GTTTCGTAAGGGTATCAACTGATCGTCGTAACTCGGCGATCTCGTCAGCTGAGCTTGATTGGATTTGAGATACAAGGTGAGTCTTGGACCGTTCGTAAATTCTGTCGGCTATGTCTGCTAGTCTATCAAAATCAACGTCTTCGTCTCCAATTGCTAGTATCTGTTGAATGTTTTGAGGGAGACGTCTGAGCCACAATTGATATAGTAGACGTTTGTCTACTGTACGATTTCCTAATAAGTTTGTCATGTGGCGTTTTAACTGTGACGGTGTATTGTCACCTAGCTCCACGTTGGCTAAAAGTTGATCAATTGTCTGTTGGTCGGTGAGAGATGTGACACGAATGACCTCTCTTTTTAGACAATCGAATGGTGAGTCAGGATCCGGCTTAAAAATGACATCCGGCACTTGTTCAATGACGTCATCTGGCAGCAGTGAATTTGCATAACTAAATTTCGTACTCTGGTTTGTGATTTTGTTTGCTACAAAAAAGCTTTCCAAACGAGCAAACCAGAGTTCAGCCTTTCGTGGATTAAAAATGGGTAAAGGTACAGAGATGGCACCCACGGAAATAGATTTAGATGAAAGGCTTAACGAATTATCAAGTGCCATGATACGAAAAAGCAATAGTAATAATAAGCCGAGGATTGTAATATACAATATGAAGAGAAATAAAAAATAACAAAAAATATATATATAAGACTCACCAAAAAGAAAAACTGTCACTTTGGGTATATGTATGAGAATATACAGTAATAATTCCAAAGGGAAAATATTGTGAGTGAATTTATTATGACTGTCAATGGATTGTTATTAATTATAATAATAATTCCAATATGAAGTTATTTATGATACTCTTGAGGAGAATGCAGCAGACTTTGGAGGAAAATGGTGCGCGTTCTAAAGGCGGGTCACCAATATGTTGGGGCGGCAGCTAACCAATATGTTAAGGGTAATGTCCTTAATATCTGACTCCAAATAATAATATTCCGTAACTGAGTATTTAAGGTAGGCTTAATCTCCTAGTAGAATTATGGATTTACTCGGGATTATTAAGAAGCCTGAACACCAGTTATGGAGATAGTTTATTATTAATGAATAATGATAATCCACAAGCGTATTGTGAGCAAGCACACGATGGGAACAGAGAGAGTGAGTGAGTTTGTTAAAAATCCATATATATTTGAGGGTTAATCGGGTGTAGATAAATTATCGATTATCTGCACGTTGAAACCAATAGGAAAATAGTTTAAAAGTTAATGTACAGACATGCATTCGATCATACACACCGAAATTAACATAGTGAATTAAGAGTCTAAGTTACAATGAATAGACAGATGATACAGTGGCCAAATGGGCTTGCCACAGCTGAGGAGATACATTATACTGGCAAAATTTCTACAGCTTCCTGTTCCCATAGAACTAGGCATCTCACTTTGTATAACAGTCTACTTAGAAACCATGGGACAGATGCTACTAGAGAAGGTTAAGAGGTGATGAGACGAATCAACGAGTACCTCCATAGCAACTTTAGAGGATCAATGAGTAAACTAGGATAAATAAGAATTATGCCTTTTCACTTGGACCTGAAGATCAATGTCCTAGCCGAGATATGGCTGTCACCCAACTTCACGGATGACGGAAAGAACTTGCAATGCATGACACTTCTTCAACGCGGCAGGTTGCACGAAACAAGAGGTGGAATGACAGTATGCATTAACATCAACTTGAAGCCTGTAACAACTCGAAGTGCAAAATCGACCTAGGTGACAATGTAGAATTATGGCCAAGTCTATATTAGTACATTTATCCTTGCTACTATAATAATAGGCCTGATCCCGAAATTAGTGATGTGTCATGGCCGAGACACACCATTTCGGCTGGTTTTTGCCCCGTTCACCATTGTTGGCCTTTTCTTAGTGTTACATGCAGAATGTAACTCTCCACAGTAATAAACGCTCGGTTTCAAAGATCATGTGGTTGGGAATCAATACCACTACAACAGAATCATGACAGTGTTGCTTCAATGAAGATGACACAATATATTTCATTGAAGGAACATATCGATCCTCCATTGGGCACTAAGGCTTAAAGGGATGTGAGAATGCAGGTGGTACTAGGCCTAACGAACACAGGGTTTAACCAAATGATACTAATTGGAGAACTCAACACTCCGTTCCTAAGTCTCAGAAAGCAGAGTATAATACACTGTGATTTTTTTCTCAGCCTGTCATACGCCCTAAAAGTATAAGACTAAGTGAACAAGGTGACGCTATGAGATAGGGAAGAGGAAAAACAACTCTAAATTAGACTATTTATTTACAAAAGATCGGCTTCTTATAGGAGACGTCCGTGTCGTGATCGAATAAGGAATAATGGCACCGCATAGTCATAATTGACGTGATCTGAAATGAAGAGATTCAAATTAACGGGAATGGTCTCTACTTTTCATCCACCGGGACAGACTGTACAGTTATCCCGGGGCAGCCTACACTGTCCGTATGGCCACAAGGTTGGTTATTTAAAAGTGAATGACTACCGGAAGGCAATGAAGTATATCATTCATGAAGCTATCACGAGCAACGTACCTTCAGCAAATACACTCTTGGAAGGAGAAGATAATGTGTTAAGCGGAACACAAAACACCGGCTGTAATCTAAAAACCGCCTGGTACAAATGGAAAGTCCCCCTAATGGATTCTGAACGTAGCTATCACATGACACTGAGGAACAAGCACTACATCAAGATTTGAAACAGTATCAATTTTTTTCAGGTCAAGCTAGCAGCCAAAATACAATCTAACCCTTAATGTCTTCACAGATTTCTAAGACCTACAAACCAGGCGACCTTTGCTATTAAAGAACCAAACAGTGACTTAACCAACTTCCCCAACTAACTAAACTGATGGATTACAAGGGCAGAAAACTCCCCAACTCTAGTGTCATTTGATTGCCTGGTCAAAGTATCCCATTTTAGCACTAAATAGACCGGGAAGTTAACCAGACTGTGACAACGTCCTCCGTATGATCGTGGAACAGTCTGTGGGGTCCATTGGCACACTGCTATGTGACCTGCTCAGCCACTCGCCTTTGTCACATCAACTGCCAGGTGATTGGAAACAGACTACTCTCACTAATATTGAAGGTTGAGATATAAAAGATCCAGCCTGTTGCAGACCGATAATATTAATCCCAAAGCTGTCGAAGGTAATGGAAGAAATGATCAACGAACAAATGACGGAATACGTGGACAAAAACAACATTCCCAACGGAGACCAGTATAGGTTTAAGAAAGACAGATTCTGTGCGTTCAACCTCATTATAGCATGGTACGGCTGGACGGCCTACTGGCACTAAAATATACAGGTCTACATAATACTTCTTGACTTTCCGAAAGCCTTCCTCACTTTCTCTACCTGGTGAAGGTTGCGAAGATGAATTTTACTGTTCCAGTTTTACGTTGGTTCCCGAACAACCTACTGGATAGGTTCTTTTGTACCCTGGCATCAGGATTTTGACAGTGACAGTCATAGATCCACTTATTTCTCTGATCTTTTAAGATTGTCTGTTAGATAAGGTTAGATCGACGAAAATGCTCGATGTAAACTATGCAAATATCTGGATGTTCATAAAAGGCGAACTGGATTCAATTAAGCTTCAAAAGGGCCTTACAACAATTAAGGGATGAGCAGTGAACAATAGATTAGAACTTAACCTGTCTGGATGTTATATCATGAACATTCTAACTCATCGGACACAAAGCATTTATGGCCTCCGTGGAAATTCGTTCTCGATTGTCTCCTCAGTAGGCGGCCTCTAGCTTGTAGTCACAGAAAGCTTAGACACCAGCTCAGAAAACACAGGGAATGCAGATAAAGAAACGGAACCCCCTCTTTATGAGAAAATAACTAAGCCCAATCACCTCAGAGTTGTTCCTAACATCTTGTAACATACAGCTCCACCTTGAAGTCTGAAATATTTTCTCACTTCCGCTCTTCAAAAGAGACATAAATCTCTTAGATCACGCACATGGTCGGGCAGTCGGGTGGGTGATATGTCTCAGGAGTAAAACGTATACGTCTGTACGGAAATATTGTGCCGCCTTCACCCATTTGTTGAATGCGTATAGGTTTGCAAATCTCTCCATTTTCTTTTATCTCTCCAGGTCCGTATCGTCCCACAATATCTTCATATCCGGTGTTGTCTATCCCGACTTTGGCGTTAAGATCTCCCATCAGAATGATGAGGTTCTTTCTTGGGCACTTCGCTATGATAAATTTTCGCCTCTCATAGAACCGATCTTTGCCATCGTCAATGCTATCATCAGTGGATGCATAACACTGGATAACATTCATTGTGATCTCCTTCTTCTTTGTTTTGAATGATGCTTTGATGATTCTGGATCCGTGAGATTGTCATCCTACAAGTGCACTCCATGCTTCTTTGGTCAGCATCAGAGCATTTTTCTCTTCGTGGTAGGAACGCAGAAGCATCCCTTCTGGATCTATCTTTTTCTATCGAGCTTCGGTCCAACGTGTTCCACTGATTTCGGGAATTAGTTGTATCTCCTAATTTTTGTAGCACCTGGGTTGGTCCTACCGATCTTTCACATTCTGCGGACGTTTCATGTACCCATAAAAATTTTTGCTCCGGTTCTTAGAAAGGGAATCGGCCTGATGATTCGCGGAGAATCTCGTCTTTTAGTCTGAGGCGTCATAATTCTTTCTTAAACTCTAAAAGCAGAGTTTAAATGATCTGATTTTTTTGATATGGTTGGCGTTTTTTAGAAAGATTTTTTTACGGGGTGGGGTTGCGGAATTCCCTTTCACCCCCCGAACCCTGGCTTGGGACCGGTAGTAACTCTTGAAGAGCTACAGGCAGAGTTAAAGACTCCAACACTTCAGATTATCCTCTTCGGGCTGTGAAAGAAGAAGAAATGACCTGATAATGGTACAGAACATTCAAAGTACACCGCGACTCTCCAATATGGAGCATCCTAAGAGAGTAAATCAATTGGTTTATGTAAGTCCGCGGCCGAGGAATTGGATACCGGATTGTGGTAGCGGTCATTTTAAGCTTTGGCGTTGCGATGGTTTGTTCTCAGTTTGTATCATGGATAGTTAGTTGAATTGTGGCTAAACTTGATTTTTGCATCTCCAATTGGTCACTAATAGCTTTTTATTTTATCGCTGTCCTAATTGTAGTTACCACGGATTCCGACTTATTTGCTCAATCCATTTCTTTCTATTGATCCCATCTACTTGGCGTTTTTTATAGACTAGAGGTGACTTTTTTCTGTATCCCGATGGTACTACAATAATAAGAGTCAATTTCATTTTATATCCTCGTGATCGCTGTCTGCATAAAACTGGAAAATGTTTTAACGTTTTCCCTACTGAAATACTCCAGTTTTGGAAAACTTCCAGATGTCTTCCAAATTTTTATTTCTCAGATCTTCGTCCTATTTTGTGTTGATCTTCTCGTAGTAATAGTATTATCTGCACACCGGTCGTTGCCAAATTTAATAACTGATAATCTTAGTACAATCACTTATTAGGTGTCTTGATGATGCTCAAAACTAAACCCACGAATTTGCATCGGGTATCTGTACTGCATCAAGATTTGTCTTAAAATAACTTCTGTCACACGTAAAGTTCATCTTTCTGCGTTACGCTTGTAAGTTTTTGGTTCTTTATCCCCTAAATTAATTTCGAAAGAATACGGTAGCTCATGCTAGATTGTATTCGTTCAAGTTGATACATTCTAAAATGACGTTATCAAAAAAGTAAACAGTGTTACCAAAGCTAGAAAAAACCATTAGGGGAAGTGTGGCGAGTTTATCGGTCAAATAGTTGTTTTTTATTCTAAATAAGGGTTGATGTAGATACACCCTAGTTTTTTTTAAACATCACTAAACTGTAGCCAGTGAGTTGATAGCATTTCATATAGATCTGGCAAACATTTAACAAATTGAAGGAATAACTTAACACATTCATCTAACATTTTGTAAGGGACATCGTTGGAACTGACACTAGTATGCTTCGATCCAGTTTGATACACCAATAACACATCAATAGAGAAAATCAACATGATAAAATATGGAGCAGAATCAATATTAATTGCAGTGAACAAATGACGAAAGAACGAAAAGTTCATTTCTTTTCAGTTAACATAGGGCATCCTTCTAGGCAGCAGTTTATTGTATATGATATGTGTCTCAGTTATCTCAATGTGTTTCTCAACATGTTCAGTGATTTATTTCCTCTGTTTAAATTCACATGTTTGATATTTCATCGCTGTTGGCTTTTAAATAAATAAATAAGACAAGCGATTTTTAGGTCTTACAAGATGTCTTTTTTGATCATATATAAATTAGAGTTCCTTTTTGCGAGAGTACCTAAATGGAAACTGAATCTTTTTGACAGTTTTCTGTTCTTTTTTGGAGCTGTGCTGTATCTCATAAGCACCTTTTTTCTACTTCGTAGGATGACTCTCACAACTTTTTACTGGACTAGTTTAGCTGTCAAAGATGATGAATATTCCTAAAAAAGTCAATATAATTGGTAATTACTAACTGTTAAATATTGTTCATTCTACTTGTTGTTGTCAAATCTTTTTAAATGGTATTTTCACGCAACAATTCAATTCTCTGTGTTAAATGTGTGGTCATTTTTGCAATTTTGCAAATTTAATATAAAACTATGTTACCCACCGTGTTATTGTATTTTAAACTGATTGTCTTGGAAGTGTTTCTTCATAAACCATTTTGTATTCAGTGATATGTTTCGAACCATTATAGAAAGATGTCTGGATACATGGAGCTATTATCACATTTTTTGAGTTCGTGTGAAGTTTTATACTGTTGGTTGCCTGTTCATAGCCTGTAAACTTTATGATTTCATTTTCCTCGCTGACAAAGTGAACAATTTCATTGTTGTTCTATAGTCTGCATTGGTATTGGAAATAATTAAATTTATGTGATAAAGTACTATATTTTGTATAGTTTGTCACCATTCAGAAATTTCTGAACTAGTATTTCGAAAAATTTATTGACATCATAGTTGGAAGTTCAGCTTATTACTTGTAGGCATTATCAGTGGTTTATTCATTTATTCATAGTTACGTTTTGTTTAACATTAATTTTGTGCGTGATAACAAATTTTACGAGTCTCGTGTAGCTCGTTTTGTACGTTCACGTTTCCATTCAATAATCAGTTGGTAGTGGCCAGTCTTTCTCTCTCCTAGTATTTGCTCAGTGTAAATACCATCAGTTGTTCGGTTGACTGAATGAAGTAAATTCTGTAACTAACGATTTGTTTGATCAGTCACCTCATTCAGGAGTTCGTATAAAGTTTTATCAGTCAAATAATCAAACATTGGAACCACAATAACTCATGTTTTCCAAAAAAATATTCTGTAATTCTTATTTGAGCTAGTCTCTAACTGTACGTCAACATGACAATTAAGATAATAGTTATCTACAAAATCATTGGTCACACTTTAGCTGTGTGTAAGCACTCGCCTTGTAACCAATATGAAAATGGATTATTTTACTTTTTCTACATCACTTACCGGTAAATGTCACCGATGAATGAACATGAATAATTTTTAGACAGTTTCTGAAGTTGTGTTTACTTATTTTTATTGTTGTGCCCATAGTTTGGGTGGTAAACCTACGAAAGTGGTTCGTAATAGATGGTTACAACGCCTGCCCTCACCCAAACATTTCCATTCAGAAATGGGCACATCAATTTACACATGATGAGTTGAAGAAGTATTGTGGCAAAGTATCTAGTATTTAGTCAAAAATCAGTAACCGCAATTTGCTGGGTTGAATGTTGACGTAACAACGGAGTTCTCGACTCGGTATCCAAATGCAAATTTTCATACTCAAATTTAAGTCACTTTTTTATGTGACTACTAGTGATACTATCCAAGACAAGGCAATGTAAAAGAGATGAAGCCATTGACACAAACACCTTCGCTAACAATAAGAATGCGATACTATCCACTCAAACATTAAACTGTAACCATAATTTTCTATACTGGGACAATTGCAATCTCTGTTCAGTGGTGAATAAAACTCATTTAGGTTGGTTTACTAGTCTACGAATTACATCTTCCTATAACATCTCGAGGGACAAGAGAAATGTAAGTGACGTTTGGCACTGAATACTAAGACTCCCTCACATATACCCCTATTTCTTATATTTGCATAGTGAATGGAGATCGGGATAACGGTCTAACCATTAAAATCATGGAGTAGATTCAGTTTTATCTGTACACTTCAGGTTATTTTCATAAATTAGGTTCTAGGCTTTTTCTACTCAAAGCTTGGATGTAAATTCACTAGTGTTTATGTATTACTCCACACTTCTTGTTAATCAGTGAACTTGTTTACATTTGTTTTGTAGTACAGCGTGGGGAGAATTTGGAATACACTTCGTCACTTAAAAAAGGTATGTTTGGATATGTTGTTAGTGAATACATTTGTCTGACCGGATAAAAAATACAATTATTACTACGTAATTAAAGAATCGATTGTGGTGACAAATGTTTTGTATGAATGATAACCTGTTAGCTTAAACACTCAGCTTTGAATTAATAGACTCCAGGTTCAAACCTCATTTAGTCTTCTATTTAAACAACTGAGTAGCATCGTCTAGTTGTGATCGAAAACTTAAGTAATAGACTTATACTTGGCAAATAAGCTGGTAATAATTAAATAATTTGAAACTGAGATTTCATCAATTAGCATATTCTTTTATATGACTCGACTTCAATGTTATGTTTTAAAGTTCAAGACGTTTAATGCTATTTAAGGTTTTTTCATTATTTTTGAAAAACATCACATGAACAATAACATTATATTCACAATGACCAAAATCCCTTAGTCCAATAACCTAAATTGTATACTCGATTGTTTCTAGAATAATTACTTCTGATAAGCAGCTGTTGCCTATATTGTCTTCCTATATGTAGTATGTCTGGTATGGAATGATAAGTAGTATCGCACTTGTCAGTTAATATGTTATAGACAGTCAAGTGCTCGTGTTAAGTCCTAGTGATTTTGTACTCACTTTTGTGGCCCACTGATCTGACTCCAATTTGATTGACCGATGTTAACCAGCTATACATATCATCAACCCTCGTATATAATTATTGACCTAATTCGCGTTAGAGAATAACGGAATAAAATAAGTCGAATATGATCATGAATTTTGGATATGTATATATCATACATTCGTTGATCCAGACAGACTGTCTATCAGAATACTTTTTACGAGTGGCCATCTTAACTTTGAACCTTAATACTGTGCTTACACCATTAAAATCACTAGAGTTTACTGTCAAGTATTTCTGAAATGTGAATCGATTTGGATCTTCACATCAATTAGGTATAAAGTCAAGTCGGTAATCCGATTTGGATTTTGTATGTTTATTCTAGAAGCGCAGAAAATATCCTAGATAAAGGATTCTTCGATACCTTAGGTACCATTGTGGTGTGTTACTGGTGTCGACAGATATAAGTAGTATGTATCACCAATCGAAAGTGAAATGCCTGACGACACTAGGTTAAAAAGATCGAATAAAAGAGAACGAGAACAGAGAATGATTGGTGTGGAAACGAATGCACAGTGAAGTCGGAGACGACTGATTGACATTTTGTAAATGAAATATTTACTGTATGATTCTCAGATTTTACCAAGATATTCTGTAATTTTGCATTTAAATACATTTGGTTGTCCCCACTTGTGTTCTCGTTCACTACACCATGACCGAAAGTCAGTGACATTGACGCAGATGGACTCAACATTTAACTTCCCCTAAATCGTAAGCCTATTATTATTATCACATACTTCTCATTCTTCGAACTTTATTTGCCCTTTTGAAACTAGGCTTCTTGTTTTTCTAGTTTCCTACCCCTGTTCATATTTTATATTATTCCCCGTTCTGCTTTCTATATGGCTAATTTCCTATCACTGTGCTAATGTGGAGTTTGGCGGCTTAAATAAATAAACGATAGCCTTAGGTACTTCCTTTTAATTTCTGTTTGAGATTGTTATAAATCAGACTAATTTCTCCCTAGGTACCGATCTCTGTTTTGCAGCTAATACAAAATAAATATTGTGATATATTCCAGAACCCAAATAATGGGGGCTTTATCACTGAATTGTTAATGACTCACGTTATTAACGCATTATAAAAATAATTAGCCTACTAGTAATGTAACAGTTTGAAAAAATATCTAGTTACTGGTTATATGATCACCTGTTGGTAACAACGAGATTGTTAGTTTGAAAAGATTGTTGCATTTCTAATAAGTTGACGTAAAACATTTATCGTAATACATATGTTATGCATTTAAACCTACATGTGATCCTTTAACATCATCTGACTTTTCATCTGTCATTATCGTCGTCATCATCACAATAAAGGCTTATTGTTATTATCATTAATATTTCTTGAGCCAATTTTTGATTATCAAATTTTACCTTTGCATTGTATGATAATAATTTTGCAGTTTTACAATATACACTTATTATTATCCAATGTAATATTGCTTCAAAATAGCCTCTAAAAGTCGTCGATGGCGCGTTATATTTTTGGGTGGAGCGGTTAAATTAGCCTCAGAGTATGTTGATGCAGAAGATGGTCGTCCAATATGGGATTGTGAAGTAACATTGTAAGTGAAATTCTAAAGTAATAAATATTACAATTCTTATGTAATCACCTTTTTAAAATCTTTATCTAATTAATTTAGTGGTTTTTCAAAGATATCCCCAACAAATTTGTTAGATTGTTAAATGTTGAATTGTGTGTGTATATGTTCAAAAAGAATTCACTTCCCAACTCCTTTAATAATCAAAGTTATATAAACTATGAAATGATAGTCGATAAGTTTTACATTTGGCATAGAACTGTGAAATAATTGTCCAACAGAATTTGTATCACTGGTCTTGATTTAAAAGGAGAAAACGTACATGATTTCGACTCTTACTATTCACCTTGTTAATTTCATCTCGTGCTAATGTGATTTGGTAACTTGGGTTAACACACGTTTGTTTCTTACTTTATTTTACTTATGAATGACGGTTTAGTACGTTGGCTTGTGTAAAAATTGATATCCTCTACTTTTTCTACTTTCATTTTTCATCCTTTAACACTGGAATTTTAATGTAATTTGATTCAGAGTCCATACTGTTGTAAGGGTAAATATATATTTTTTGAAATAAACGACTTAGTAGGCACTCAACATTGTTATTACTTCTTTGGTTTTAACTGATCTAACTAAGCTAAGGGTTCTCAGTTCGCTATCCTAGTCATTTTTCGGCGCCGTTCACTTAAGACGTTTCTTTCAATTCTAAAAGTAGGCTCATATCCATCTAATTTATGTGCGACCAAACATATCATCGGTCCTGATCATTATAGTTTTCTTCGTCATTATATGTGAAAGTAACGTGCTTTTCGTGAGTAAAACCTGAAAAGAGGGATTTCAAGGGGATTTTTAACACTTAGTTACGTGTTACATACTCTGTATCATACCGTAGCTAAATGTGCCATACTAGGTTTATTGTGATTAAGCTATAGAATCTGAGAATGTTTTGTTGGACAAGATATTGAAAACATGATCCTATGCAGGTTACGTGAAGTAAGTGCTACGTCAGTAGGCTCCTGAAAATGTTAGATTCCGGTAATTTAAGATGCTAAGTACTATATTCTCGGAGATCATAGGTCACATGACGATTGTTTAGCAGTTTACCTTTTTTTCAAAATTGTCTTATGAAATAGTTATTCTAGTGTGTATAAACGTAATGAATGAAATCTCAGCAAGTTTAAGCTACACAGAAATCAGTTATTTCGCATATACGTAAGCTGTAAGTATAGTATATATTTACAAAGGATGTAAAAAGGTACAATTTTTAATGATGAGATTGTCGTTCTGATTTTGTAGACAAGTAGTAAATGGTGTATTATTGTACGTTAATATCTCTTTTCATGCTTTTGTGTTGTCTTTTCTTAAATAGAGATTTGATTAGTCCATCAGATCCAGTTACTTTACTTGTTGTCGATGGAGATAATCATCATATCGGTCAAGTTGATATCCCCTTAAATCAAGTTCCCCAAACTGGCAATCCAAATTTCGACTTATCACGGTTATGTTATTCTGATTTAAAAGCGAAGCGAAAAAGTTCTAATGCACATGGACGTTTAGTTTATTGGATTTGGGCTATTGACTATTGGCCTCCAGGAACTCAAGCTAATACTGTACACCATTCTAAATCATTACGTGGTTCACTTACAAATCTTAGTTCGAAAATACGTTCAAAGTAAGATATGTGTTCTGTTTATTCATTATTTACTCCAACTATCATTATAGATATTTGTCTGCGTTAGACTGAATGAAAATATGAAGAGTAATAATAGTTGAGCTTCATTTATATAACTGTCAAGTATGATTTACTCATTATTATGTACAATTATTGTAACATGTATACGTGTGTGATATTAATTGCTTATTATTAAAAAAACATCGAACGACTTATTAGTTTCTATGCTCATTGGATAGTGTGAACAAGCTGTATTTTAGTCGAAGGGGTAACACATATCACGAATTGATCGAAGTTGTAATTTGTCGTATGGGCCCCAATCTGCTGGTTCTAATGGTTAAACGTCCTCTTCAAAACCAGAAGGTTCTAGGTTCAGTCCCGATGGGGATCGTATGTGCACACTTTTGATGAGCCATATATTAGGACGAAATGTCTATTCAAACGCTCTCTATTTCTTTATTGGAACCCCAAATGATATGAACGTTTAACGACAGTTACCATATTTGTTTATACTATATATATGGTTTTGGGTTTATTAGGCCTGGGGATTTCCGCCGATAAAACGAAAAAAAAATTATACATTATTTTTATTCAACTAGTATTCACCTTGGACATTTGTGTTTGTTAGCTTACTACTAGGTGATGTATTATTATTTATTTATTTATTTGAACACATAAATATTGGTGCAAAAGGGCACCAAATACATATGCGCCACACAAAACAATGAGAATTTAAAGAGAAGAAGGAAAAAAAGTAAGGAGCGTAGAAAAAAACAATAACGTACAGATTAGTGTAAGGTAGTGTAATAATAATAATGGGGGAAACAAAAAGGTACAATCAGAAGAAATCTTTCAGTTAAGGAAGACACAACCACGTTTTTTTATGAAGAAAGTAAAAGAAGGTTACAGCAGGATCGCCACTGGCTTCTATTCTGAGCCATTTCTGATAACGTCTCTAGCCACTGTGTCGCACCATCTCTATGACCCCAACCAGGGAGTCGTGAAGGACCAACAGAAGCCAGCCCTTTGCAGCTTTCATACCGCGACACCATGTCATACACTGACCACCTCTCCGCTTTTTCCAATCAGTCTCAGAGTCGGCAGATAATGCACGACGTGGAATTCTCTGGGACGACATTCGGAGAACATGTCCAAGCCACCGAGGTCGGTGTTTCAAGATGGTGACACCAATTGCATTATCGTCTCTGTGCCCGAACACACGATGCCGAACCTCTTTATTACTAACATGGTGTTGCCACTGAATGTCAGCAATCCTTCGGAGACAACGATGATCAAACACAAAGAGTCGTCTAACGTCTCCAACTCGGAGAGGCCAGGTTTCACAAGCATAGAGCAAAACTGCTCTCACCGACGCGTTGTAGATCCGACCTTTTACAGCCAGACTAACATCACGAAGGCACCAAAGGTGGCCCAGATTGGCATAAGCCGCTCTGACTTTCACTATAAGTGCATTGATCTCATCACTCACGCCACCACCAGCACTTATGCAGCTACCCAGATACACGAACTTCTCGACTACGTCTATCTGCTCACCATCCAGGGTGAGTACAGGATTGGAATCCTGCCAGTCTTGTAGGAGTACTTTGCACTTCGAAGGTGCAAAGCACATACCATACCTACGGACACTGATTGCCAACTGATTAAGTGCGGATTGCATGCCTTGGGCATTATCGCACAGTAAGACAATATCGTCCGCATACTCAAGGTCGAGAAGTCTTTCTCCAGGCAACAGATCCACACCACCATTACTTACATCCATCAGAGCTGTTTCCAGAATGTCATCGATGGCAAAGTTGAAGAGGAATGGTGAGATTGGGCAACCCTGCCTAACCCCACTACTCGAATGGAACAATGGAGAGAGGTGGTTGTATGTCCTCACTCTGCCTGAGGTGTTTTTATATAGGGCTTTTAGGATGTTAATAAACTTCTCAGGCACACCCTTCTTCAATAGACAATCCCAGAGAACAGTCCTGTCAAGCTTTTCTCAATTTCATTACGTAACATCCTTCGTTTGTGGTCAAACTCACGGTCACCCAGAGTAGGCCGACGGGCTTCAATGATTTGTAAGGAGTGTGAAGTAACCCAGTGCTTATAAGCGGGACGTTTCGCTAGCCCACAAGTGACTTTACTCGCTATTTTCATGGCGTCATGCAATTGCAACCAATGCTCATCTATACTTTTCGGTGGAATGGTAGCTAGCCTAGAAACTAGCTCGGTTCGATACTTACTTGCAACAGAAGTTGCAACCAGCTTGCTAATATCAATCCGTTGATGGCGGTCACTTCGTTGTCCACTGAAAAGTAAGGCAAGATTGGCGCAGAGCAAAGCATGGTCAGAGTCCAGATAGGTACTCCAAAAGGAGCGACAGTCTTGTACACAACCACGCCAGCGGTAGCTGATCGCGATGTGATCAATCTGAGTCCAGGGTTGAGATGCAGATGGAGGGCGCCAGGTGGCACATCGGCGATGACTGTGCCGGAAGTTAGTGCTAGCCAGAAACAGGTTGTGGTCTGTGCACAGTTGCAGTAGACGGTCCCCGTTATCTGTCCTGCGACCAACAAGTCTCCATCGGCCACCTAAACGACTCTCTTCTGTGTCTAAGACGCCCGACCTGAGCATTCAAGTCTCCGGCTAGTAATACAATATCTGTCGAACGCACTTTCTGGAGAAGAACAGATAACTGGTGGTAGAATTCATCCTTGATTGCATCCGGGTTGCAATCTGTCGGGGCATAGTCGGAGATGACGAAAAGACATCGTTTCTCACGCCGATTTCTTCTCACTTTGATGGAACTCTAATCTAACAGCACATAACCGACTGTTAATGGGGACCCAATCGATTAGTACTGCCTCAGCTCTAGCGCTTAGTACGACACCAACGCCAGCAAGACCAGACGAAGATGCCACAGGGTCCCCGGGTAAACGCACGTAAAGCAAGCTTTTCGAAGCGACAGATGGAGAGCGAATTCGTAGTACTTCATCAGAGTCTTGAATACGGGTCTCGGATAGACAACAAACATCGATATTAAGACTTCCTAAAGACATAGCCAGCCCTATCTGTTGTCTGACCTGCATAAGTGTGCGAACGTTGAAGGCAGCCAGTTTGAATGGTGCACGTGGTTTCAGAAAAACTGCTTCAGTCCTCGTATTCGGTGGTAGCGTACAATTTTCAGTCAGGCAGTGACTCGAGAACGTTAGATAGAGCCGAATTTCCATAGGCGAGCTGCTGTATAAGCCGAAAAATAAGGATAGACAGAGTGGGAATAAAAGAGAGTGAATAAATGACGTAGCTAATAATAATAATAATAATAATAATAATAATAATAATAATAATAATAATAATAATAATAATGTGAATCATTTGATTGTTAATCGCAGCAAGAAGAGTATTTTCCATAAATATAGACAGTTTATCATAACTGTGTGTGGGCTGTGATACTACTCGGTTGCCTAGACCAAAGCAGGTGGTTTTCTTAGGGGGGAAGTGCCACACCCCGAGCCTTTAACCTAAAGGTCTAACCCACAAAGCAGTGGAGCATCGTGAGGAAATGCAGTCCCATGGTAGCCGGTGACCAAAAGTTGGTTCATACGCCACTTGTTCCCGCAGGATACTGGAGCCCATGTGCACCATTGGATGTATTATTATGATGATTTCAGTTGAGTTCATTAAGATTAATTTAGTTTTTAGGTGGTATTTGGCGCAAATTGACAACAGTTTTGATACTGTTGTAAACTAGAGAGTACTGAATTTGTGTTTTGTTGTATTATGAAATTTATTGACAGTTTTCAGTCCTTACACTGTTAATAATTGGTCCCAGAACTTTAAGGTCTTGTGCGCTGCCTTTAGACGATCATTGAGTAGAAATCCAGTATTTTTACTTACTATTATCATATTTTCATTTTTTCGGATAACAGTATAGAATGATATTGTTTAACTCTAGTTTACTATAATTTTCTTTATTAATTAGATCTAAGCATAGATCCAAAAATGATAATGATTACACTAATGGTTATCAAAAAAGGGAAATTAATGGTTCATCTACTACTTTACAAGTACCCGGTATGTCATATAATCCATTTGAAAATGATGGTACTGTAAGTGAATTCAGTGGACCAATGGGTTTACCACCAATGTATCAATCACATTCAAATAGTCCATATGCTCAATCAGAATTTGGTGGATCACTTGCAGGCAGTATAAAATCATGTAAGAAATTGCTTATTGTTAGAAAATATTTTTTGTTTATAAATTAATGTATAAATGTATGGTAGTTTATTTGAAATATATCTTAATTAGTTAACAAATACTTCGTATTATATGGTAAATATTTTTCTTCAGTTTATGAGGAGGATTTTACCTGTTCTTTGTTGTGTTATTAGGGTTCAATAGTTTAATTATATAGTTTGTAGACAACATTATCAGGATATACTTTAGGATTGGATAAATTAGATTTTTTCCACAGCTCATTTTGTGGATAAAAAATTCTTCTGGATTATCGTCAATAATTGTATTGTCACTGTCTGAAGGTAATCAACAAAAAGTCCCTAGACCTAGATTTTGTCGTAGATAGTACTCAGCACAACATGTTCTTCATAAGATTTCTGAGCATGTTTCACCCAGCGTTATATAAATACCTTTTCTTTACGATTTATTCAGGCTACAATTGAGCTTCTGTAGAACTAAGATACGTTTTTCCATTAAGTATTCACTGAACACACTAACCAGCGTTGTTTTATGTAATTTTCAGTATTAATCGAATACAATCGATCAGCTTTTTGATAATTACTCAATGACCTGAGTGTCAAGTTCCCAAAGTACTCTCTTGTCTTTGTGTAGAGAGAGAGCAGCTAACAAGTTTTTTTCGGCAAATTTTTCATTTCGTGAATAATTATTTTATATACTCTTGATTTATACACCAATCTCAAGTTCGTTAAACTAATTATTATTATCAGAAAGGGTTTTGTGGAGATTTTTAGTAATTTCACAGATTGAAATCATGAGTCAGTTGAAGCTGTTTATTTCTGTCTGTATCATGTCTCATATTATTCTAATCAGTTCACTAATTAGATGATAGAAGTTACTTTCGTTTTACTTCAATGAACACATAGATGAATTATACTTTAAATTCTGTACGTAACTAGAGACCCATTCAGTAGTATTCAACTTCGCAATATGTTGTTATTGTTATTGTAATAAATATCGACTTTCAACTTCATTACCATAAATTCTATAAATTAGCATACATTTGTCTTATTAATCGAATATACACTAGTTTTATGCATAAAAAAACGTTTTTTCCTTATTTAAATTGATCACGATAGTTGTTTTTTTAAAAGCTTGTTTACGGCAATGTTTACTTACAAATTGTTTACATATAGTATGTATCCATTTTTAAGCATAATGTTTTCTTAATTATAAAAATTGTATATTTCAATTCATGTCTTGTCCTTTTCTATTTATGTCTAGGATCTACTGTGATTTACTGTTATTTTGTGTGTGTATAACTTTCCATATTTGGTCCTGGTTATTTGATTAATTATGTAACAGTCAATTCTTTTTCTTTTATTATAGCACATAAATTATAGTAAGAGTAGGTCACCAAAACAATGCACCATACATATATTTAGTGATTACATTCATTTTACAACTTCTGTGTCATCTTTTCTCTTCATTATCTATAAATAAATAAATAAATAAGATAGTTAATAATGTAGCCAAATGTAGACGTTCGGTGCTTGATTACGGCTAATATGGCATACGACTTTGGCCCTTGAACGTATAGAACCCTCAAGTCGCAAATATAATGAAATCACGCCAAGTCGATATTTTAAAAATCCTGTCGGGCTGTGACTGAGAGGAATTTCTTCGGATTCTTTATAACCTTTGAAGCTTTAATCACTCTTTCTAGGAGCCATCCCAACACCAAGAAAGTTTGCTTTTATTTAAAGATGATAACTTGTTGTTTATGAAGAATGTAATTAGAAATTACAGCAGGATCGTCAGTGGATAGTTGGACAATTTGTATGACTTCAATCTGGGTGTCGTGGTGAACTGAATGACTTTCCAATAAACTGATCAGCTGAATGTACCTATATCCCAGTGTTGATTTCGTACCGGGAATCGAATTATTGGATGCTGGTCCAGTGGTTTAGAGGATTGGGCTCAATATCAGAAGTTCATAGTTCCGTCCCATAATAAGGTGCGATAGCTGTTCAGAGGAGTTCCTGGTTTTAAGTGGTGGTCTAGCTAATATCAGTTCGTGAATTAAACTAAAGAAATGGATGCGCGTTAGTCGCTTATTATCTATCTATTTGACCGTCGATAGTATTGAAACGATGTTTATTTGAAGGGATGTTTAGTGTGCTATTGTTACTGTGAGCAAAAAATCAATGCGTAACATTAGTTTGTTATTCTTCAGGAGGTTTATTTGTTTGCACGTGGTGATTTCAAATTAGTATGTAAGATAGTAAAGATTAGTTTCATTCTAAATCATGAACTTCCATAGACTAACAACAATTTATTCTTTCAAACCTACTATGTATAAACGTTTTTTGTTTAATGAATTCACTAAAAAAGTTAGATTGGTACTTTCTGATTTGTGAATCAGATAATCATTACTATAATTAGAGGTTGTAATTACAAAGTATGTTAAAATTCGTTAAAAGTTTTGTATTCCATACATTTTTAACTAGTCACTTTAGAAAAGGGTTTCTAGAACATTATCATACCACACCTCTGATTTAAATTACACTACTTGTATTACCGATTATGTGATAAATCCCTCCCTCCAAATATTGGTTCGGTGATAAAGTTGGAAATTTAGAACTCAGTACTGTGATATATGTATACATGGACCTATTTTTATATCTTGTAGTTTTGTTTTTGATATCTGTTCTTTTGGAACAGGGAAGGTTGAGTCATTATTCCGCTCTGATGAATCGTTACCACTCGGTGACATCATATTATCATGTCCATATATCAATCACAATTCTATTGAAGTCTTAACCCATAGTATTCATATTAACTGTCTGAATAATATTTTATGTTTTCATAATCAGATAAATGTGATAGTTATTACTTTTTGACTTGAATGACAGTTTTCAGTACTTAGACTTAATGTAATAAAAAGTTTTCTACCTGAGTTATTCACAGATTCTGTCTTTCATTTTATTTAACATGTTAAAATGTAAAGTTAATGAATTTTCTTCTTCCTGATGAATATAGATGGAGGCTAGCGGATAAGTTAAGAATGTCCTTTTTGTTCTCTTTTCTTAACGATTTTTCGGTTTGATTGTGTAGCTGATATGTCCCGACTGGGACGAAGTGCACTTTTGAATTTCCACTGTTAGTTACAATCCATCTTTAATAAAAATTAATGGCTAAGTAGCTATGTGACTAGTCATTTGGAGTCCTTGATGTCAGCAATAGGAATATACATTTCTTTAAAAATGGATCCTTTCTGTTTGAATATATTAAAAGTAGAGATATTTAGAGTAAACTGTAGTCAAATATAGATGATTACTTTCAACTTAACTTACTGTTATGTCCCGACAAGAAGAATGAATGGTAACTTTTAGGATCCATTTATGGACCAATACTAAACGTATATTTCTATTGTATAATTATTAAGTAACTAAACTATGCATATTCATATTCCTCTTATTATAAGCTTTATTTTGACCCATAAACTATTATTATACGTTTACCATTTTTGAGTTATACCCAGTATATTAATTACTACCTCCCTCATTCACAGCCACATCTGGCTAATTCTTGTACAAATGTCGTTTCGTATTTCATTGATACGTTCTGGTCTGTTTGATCGGTATATAAACTCAGTATGTTTGAAATATAATGATTCATATCTCAGTGGCTCGTATTGGTGTTCTGAACTTAACTGGCTGGGCTAGGTGAAGAACAGGACCAATCAAGACTCTAGGCTGCTCGCACGTGTTTTTCGCGTCACTGATCCGATCGATAAGTCACTGCTCTCTAATCGACGGTCACAAGATATAATACTTACTATTTGTCTTTTTCAGATATTATAGTCGATCACTTGAGTGAATAATTTTGTTAAAAACGTAACAACATTAAATCGACATAGAATGTATGCGCTTATGTATACCTTATTTCAGAGTTAATTTGTTATACTGCATTCAATATTACCTTTCATTTCATGGTACTATTTTAGAAAAAAGCAGTTTTCTTTACGAGCTGAAGTTGAAAAACAACCTAGTGCTGAATAGCTGTTTTCTTTTTCATTCAGACCTCTTCTCTATTACTTAACCATTACACCTCGTGGTGATTCGACACCAGGATTTTCAAACATCGTGGCAATACATAGTACTATAAAATTAATAAAAGGAAATTAAATTTTGCACATCTGTTTTCAGCCGGTTTACAATCCTCATTTATTATTATTACTATTATAAGGCCCCAAAATGCCCTGATTACGGCCCAGGGTGAGTGTCAGCTGTCCCTCTTGAAATGCTCTCACAAGGCTACGCGTATACAGCCACTGTCACGGAAGTTCTACTCACTGCCTTCTCATAATGGAGCTGTTGTTCACGAAATTGCTCCATTGCCTTGTGGATTAAGCCTCTAGTTTAAAGGCTCTACGAGTGTCCCCTTAAGGAAACTACGTACTTTGGTTTGGGCCTCTGGACCGTATTCTACCCCCCCACACATATCGAATGATTTGTGTGGCGCATATATATTTGATGCCTCCCTGTACCAGTGTTCATTTGTTCTCTCTTTTCTCTTTTCTCAAACAATTATTTCGCAGATCATGTGTAATATGATCGGTATTTTAGTAAATATCAGTTTGTTTAAGATTAATCAATTCTTATTTTTACTGTTTTTTGTTAGTTTATTGAGTCTGGGCTCGATTGATTTATTCTTTCATAACCATGATGTCTTAATGCTCTTTTTTGAGCTTATCGTTCAAATATTCGGTTCATATATCAATCACGAGGAATATAGCGTTTATCGAGTTACACAATCTAATCAATGGTTCGTCTAAATACATCATATTTCTATACATTTTCTCATTTGTATTGAGTTCACTGAGAGATATTCACTTACTATTTCCTTCATTTTCTAATGTAAGAATGTCTATAAATGTTTTTTCTTCTGTAATAGCTAAACAAAAAAATATGCTGAAGAAATTTAAATCGAAACTTTCTCATAGTACACTTAATTTGGCTGAAGCAGCAGCTAAAAAAGCTGCTGGAAAAGATCCTTACTTTCAAAGTCTTGAAAAAGGGTAAGTAGATTGATGGTTTCATTCGCATACTTCATTTTTTAATATTGGTAAACTGTTTCAATGTTGTTTATTAAAGTTTTTCACACAAATGTGAATAATCATTATAAGAGAATTATAGTAAATAGTTTTAATTCGTGTTAATCATTTCTTATCAAGCGATAATTTAGTATTTAAATTACTCTTGACTTTCTGTTCTAACTTGATTTTGACTATCCAATTCGAAAATGTCAACACAGAGGGATTTAAGGGTAATGCAAAGATGACACCAGAAAGTCAATTCGGTCAGATACTCTTTAGCACTATGCCCCTTTTCCCCTAATACTGTTAACACAATCCTCAACTATATTGCTAAGATCAGAGGAAGATAGACGTGGGATACAGCTGCGAAGAATATCTGTATATCAAGTCGAAATACCACTGTTTTATATACAGATTCACTTTACAGTAATCATTAATTAAATAGTTGAATTCATAAGTCAATTAAAGCTAGACCATCATGGAAAATCTAGAAGTTCTGGACGACCGATTCGTCCTAGTATGGGACTCCTTAGCAGTTCGCGCGCGAACGGCTAGCCTCTAGATCACTGAGCCGGTATCCAACAGTGTTAATGTCTAACTTCAACCAATCCTTATATATATATATATATATATAAGATTTTACTGCTACAAATCTTAATGATTGGCACTGGAAATCATTCTTACTGATATTTGTGGAGGTTTGATTTTGAATTAGCTAGTCACTAGCTTTATTGTGTGATATTTTACTATGGATGGTACTTAGGAGTAGATTTCAGGACGCCTATTGAACACTTTTTGAATATGTCATCTGAATACTCTTGTTTCCAAGTGAGATTTGAATCTCAAACCTTATTGCTTCTAGCTATTAAGGGTTATTATGCATTAGGTCACAGATTTGGTAAAACCACCATTATTTAAACGGTTGTGATAATGAATAATAATTTCATGGCGTTAGGAATGGTTTGTATTTTTCCATTGTTGATATTCAGGATTACAATTGACCTGTCTCTGTATATGTGCCATTTAACGATCCTGAGCGGATTACTTCTAAAGAATACTATATCACAAGTTTTGGTTTACTTTTTTATGTATCTATCAGTGAAATCCAAGACGCACATTTCGTCTTATTTATGATTTTTCAGGTAGATATGCCTGCATCATCCTAGTGTTGATGTTCACACTGAGACTCAAATTCATTATCTTTCATTTCCAACTTCCAACATAATATCCGTTGAATATCATTTACTGTAAATCATAAAATCATATAATTATTTTCATATCAGTTGAATACGTTTCTAACTATCTAGACTCAGTAGCTCATTGGATAACGTGTTGAGAATTTGTAGCAAAGCTTACTGGATTTAGGTCCCATTTTGACCATCTATACTGAGATGCAGATGAATTCAGCTGACGAGTCACAAATTGCACTGTTAACTACATACCAACTGTATTAGATTTTTGTGGCTTTTCAAATGACGCATAGTCATAATTTCTGTATACAAATAATAATGCTTGCTAGAATTCAGATATTTCCGTTACTATTAGCCCTATAACTAATATCAAATGTTATTTACCCAACTTACTATCAAAATACTTTCATATAAAACCTAGTGATAAAATCTATTTGGAAATAAATGCTTTTTATCCAAATAACCGATCCTGATTTCAGTTTTGTGCAATTGGGCACAATACATTTCTATTGTAAAATAAATCATTTATCGTTGTATATTCCTACTATTGTATACTTCATTTATTTTTAATCTCATTTATATTGTATTTATTCTTGTATTAGCCTCTAATTTAACCTCTACTATGAAAACAAAATAAGCGTATTAAATTTTTTTTGTTTGTTTGTCCCTTTTTTTAAAATCATCAATTAATCTACATCTTTTGTGTTTTATTTACTCTTATAGATCAAAATCAAATTTAAGAGGGTAAGTTGTACATACCTCTAACTGGTGTGTATTTTTCTCTCTTTCTGTATCTGTGTAGTTGTTTGTTTTAATAATCAATTATTTTTTTTAAAAATTAAATATTTATGTTAACAGTTACAAGAAGTTACTGAAAATAGCAACCTTTAAAACCGTTTTTATTGCTTAAATTATTCATACTACATAAGATATTCATAAGCAAAGGTGGATAATGGCTAACAGTGAAATCCAGGACACGTGTTTCGTTCTGTTTAGGAATTGTCAGCTGAATGTACCTGCAGTATCGAGGGAATCCGCACAGGATGCACATATTCTAATAAGTGACTGATCAATTGCATTTTTAAACATCAATGAGAAGATTCAAACTAGCTATACAAAATGAATTTACATAAGATATTGTTTCTAAAGTATCTATACTGCAATTTAATCGCTTCAACTTCAATGTTCTTTCTTCTGGTACACTTCTTGAAGATTGATAAATAGTTAGTTATGGGAAAAGTTGATGGTTTCTATGCCTGTTAAAATAAATTTGGCTAGTTCTTTGACAGATTTCAAATATCATTTCATAACTCAATTCATAGTAAAGTTGAACGATTCTTCTCTAACCCTGTTGGTACTTTATGTGCAATACAAGATTAAAATTGCTTCAAAAGTTCAAGTGAGAAGTGTTTAAACATTCAAAGTATTACTTGAAAGCTTATCAGCCAAGTGATATACAAACCAGTATGGTACTTTAATTAAAAATGAAATGTTATAAATCGAGGTAGTTTTTACAGTCTTATAAAAGTATTTTGTTATTACTATAAGTATAAATTTGAAATTTATTTCAGTGAACATAGTTTTCCGTTGTGGAATTGTTGTGTTTGAAGAGATTATCAGGTCATTAAAAATCGGCAAACTGAATGAAGAATGTGTTTCAGCCCCGCTAACTAGAGGGAGAAGTCCATATTCAGATGAGGAAAAGTATATTACACAAGCAACCGGAAGCACGAATAACAAGCACACAACTCAAGCGTATATATATACAGCAGGCTGTATATACTAGGCTGTTGCTGATGGTATCCGGCCAACGAACATTGAGTATCTTGCATAGACAGTTGTCCTATGGAAAACAACGTTGCAAAAGAATGCTAACTAGAATAAACAATTTAAACGATAAACGTGATACAAATACACATAAGATATGGGTATAATTAGGTACCAAAATATGGGCACCATATTAAGAAAGATATGACATTGTTGAAGATGGAAGGAAGGATATGAAATTCAGTCGGGGAAAAGTCTAGATAAAAATATAACCAAAAGTGACTTTTTCAATCAAAAACGTTATTCTCACTTCTATGATGAATACGAAGAAAAAGTACAGTCGAATCACCAATCGCTTACATTCTAAGACATTTATGATAACTTCTAGAAGCACTGAGTTACACAATCTGTACAACCCTAACCAAGGAGTCATGGTTTACTGATGGATCCCAGTCCCATGTTACTTCCATACTACAGCGTCATGTCACAAATCATCAGTTACGTGGTCCCATAGGGGAGGCATTTGATTACTGCATCACAAGATAGGAAGCTCAGATATAACACCCTATCTCATCCAATTTGAACTGTCGATTAGTAAGGATTAAACTGATTAATGATCTGTATAAATTGATTATTTGTATGAACTGTAGTATTAATACTCTGTATACGTATTTTTATACACAAAAATATGTTAGGAATTATTTTTCATCTAAATTACAAAATAACTGAATGTTTATGTGAATATTTTTCAATATTTAAGATTTCGTTTTGTTTTTCTTATTTTGGTAGACATTGACTTTGATGACCCATAAAGTGTTACAATTATAAAATTGTTTTAATTCTAATATACATAACCTTATTTATTTATTTATCCTATTTGAATGCCTTTTTTAAAATCATTAATAAACGCTATAATTATTCGTTGATGTTCAATAAATGTTTTGTACATTTTTCAAATGATATTATTATCATTATTATTATTCTAGAAGTCAATCATCTATTGGCGGGACATCTTATCGAGGTCAGTTTTAGTGTTGTTTTTATAATGGTTAATGATAATGAATTATCAATATAGGGTTGTGGAGATTATGAAGTTATTGATTGGGATCATGAACCGATTAATGTTACCATGTGCTCACTAGTGATTGGCTTCGTGAAGGGATTCTCGGAGTTCTAGTAAGAAGCCGTGACCAGTGAAGCTAATCCGTATCGGGTAGAGACAGATATCTACCTTAGTACAATGGAAGATGGTCGCGCAATTTCGCGGATTGATCGAGGTTAGACATTAACACAGTTAGATAACAGCTCAGTGTTCCAGTAGGTTAAGCGTTCGTGCGTGAGACTGAAGGTCCTGGGTTCGAACTTGCGAGTGGGATCGTGGATGCGAACTGCTGAGGAGTCCAACATTAGGACGAAGCGGCCGTCTAGTGCTTCCAGGTTCTCCATGGTGGTCTAACATCAATCGGTTCATGATCCCAGTCGATAATGAAATAATACATCTAAATTTTTCGAAAATTATACATCACTATGAATAGTTGATTTAATGGTGATACCGGTAATCACGCTCAGAAGAGTCTAATGTTAACAATGATTACATGTATTACTAAGGAGATAAATATTAGTAATAATTATGTAAGAACAGAATTAGATGATTTTGTAAGTAATACAAATGAGACAACAATGTCGAGCGTTCATAATCGGGCTGTAGCATTAAGGTGTTGATGATCAAGAAGGGGGGAGTGAGAGGAAGCAGCTTCATAAACTCCTTGTACACACAGAAATTTGTATTGGTCAGATAGGGATGCTGATAGCTTCATCCGTTAGTAATAGATATGCATATATACACTAGTCGATAAATTCGATTGAAGACCACAGTTAAATTGAGGGGCTTTATTCATGGCAATTCGGTAAGCTGCTTGAATAATGTCAATACTAACAGAACTTAATGAAGAACCAATTAGGAAAAAATATTTCTTCGTTCTATTCATCTTCCTTCTAAAAAAGAAAGGCAATTCAAAGTGCAATGTCCAACAAATCTTTAATCCTATGTCATTAATATGTAACAATTTATAGGTCATATTATTATTATTCCAACTGATGATCAAAATTTTCATAAATTTAAACTTATCCCCACAGATTCATTATATACGCGTTCTAGCGTTGTGAGCAGTAGTAATACCAACACCAACTACCGATACAACACTAACAGCCGTTTGGTTCCATCGGCTATCATCCCATCTAAATCCATAGAATCCCCGGCTCATAAATTGTGTAAAGCAATAACTTATTATATTGATATAACTTCAGTATCCTACCATTCTATGCTATTTCTATCAGTTGCTCTACTCACATTGATTGCTCTGAATAATCTGTTGATTTATGCACTTTCAAAATAATACAAATTGTATAGCTCTAGTTAGTTTCTGATAATTGCTGCAAAATCATTTTATGCTTTAGTCTATAGTTTATACCGAAATACGATTCGTGATGTTTTTTAACCATTATTATTACAACGGGTGTATTTGGGTTGGGTTTTGGAAACATTTGTTGACACTTCTTTTAGTATCTCTTCAGTATATATGTTGTTTTTCCAGAGGCTACATAAACTTTTTCGATAGAATCATATTTATATATATCGAGTAGGCTGATGAGTTTGTCGTTACTTTTGTTCACTCTTTTTTTGGTCTGCTATAGCAACACTGAAAATAGTGCTTAAATAAAACAGAAATTTAGGAGAGATATCACTGATGAATAAGTTATTTCGTTAGCAACAGTTTTGCAAATGGTACTAAAACATTGTCATTGATCTGGATCTGCCTTAGGGTTGTGATCACATAAAACGTATTTACCCCTATAGCATCTACTACCCATGGTTTTTTTTCTGAAGTAAGAATTCAACTATGTTATTGGTTGACTTTTTAAAAACTTTGTATATCTGAGAAAAATGCCTAATAAATGTTTAGTCTTTCTTAATACTGTTTACTCCACCTTCTATGTTCATTAGGTCGCTAGCTCACGAAGCCAAGTGATATTCATCATAAATCTTCTTTGCTTTCTTTCATATTCACCTGATCCATGACCACATCTTTACTCTCATCCTTTCTAATTTTGGTCCTTTCATGTAACAATGTTGTCTTGTTAATCGATAGTGTTGAACAAATACTGTATATTCTTAATACGTGAAGTGGAAATCTTATACTTTATAGTATTCTGTTTCATACCCACCAATGTAGGTCGACATTTAAATAATTCCCTCCTTTGTTTAACTTCAGTAACCATTTTCACTTTTTTAGATTGATTAATTTCCGAAGGTTTCAATTACCCCGTTGTTGATATTCTTGACTAAATTTTGGTTAGTCGTAGTTGTAATATGTATATCCTGTGTGAATTGCCTCGATATAACAATTTTGTCACAAGTTTACTGGGTTCGAGTACCAGTGTTAACATCAATACTGGAATGTAGGTACTTTTAGCTGACGGGTTTCAGACAGGATGAAACGTGCGTCCTGGTTTCCACTACTAACCAAAATACCCTGTTCTGAGAATTCTATATATTGTACCAAAATATAATATTTGAATAAAGTCAATAATAGTAATATATCTTTTCCATAAAAACTGATTGTTACACTTGGCTGGGGCCATAGACTCAGAATTTGTTTTGATTGTTATTCATCAGCAGGTAACGTATGCAATCTTGAAGTATCTGGTGATCCTCCACATATTTTTTTTGCACGTTACTCAGTAATGAATTCAGGAATGCTGTTACTGAGCTACTTAGATTGGAACTAACTTGTGAGTGTGAGGTGCTTAGAATGATAAGTCACTAAATAGCAACTAACGCCATGTAGTACAGCCCCTAGCTATTGATCAGATCGTATCAATCGGCTAAATAATATCAATTAAGTTGCAATAAGGTTTTGATTCTTCTAATTTAGCGGCTACATTACAAGTAGACTGATGAGATTCATTCAACATTCTAGATTAAGATGTATTTATATTTTTATTTGAACACAAAATATTGGTACAAAGAGGCACCGAATACATATGCGCCACACAAGTCACTTGGTTTGGGTTTGGTCTGTGATCCTGTTTGGGTGCCCAGATCGAAGCAGGTGGTTTCCTTAGGGAGCCGCACCCGGAGCCTTTGGTCTGAAGGTCTGATCCACAAGGCAGTGGAGCAACGTCAGGAGACGCAGTCTCATGGCAGCCGGTGATCAATAGTTGGTTCATTTGCCATTTATTCCTTCAGGATTCTTGAGACCACGTACACTATTGGCTTGGAATCAGGGTTTTCCGAATCCCCTAAGGGGACCATCCGTGTCCACCAAACCGGTTAAAGCGCCGGACATTCGCTTTTCGTCCTCTCAATTTCGTAATCAGCACCCCTGCCGCGAGAAGCCAGTGAGTAAGACCTTCGTGGTAGTGGCTGTATACGCGTAGCCATGTGAGAGCACTTTGAGAGGAAAAGCGGACTCTCCTCACTCTCATCCCTACTAGGGCATTCGTGGGCTAGATTAAATAAGATGACATTAGTCGCTACTCAGTGATTGATTAACATGATTGCTCATTGATGTGCTGTAAGTAATAGTTCTCAATGTTCAACTCGATTTACTCATAATTTAGAATATAACAGCATATACTGGCAGTGAATATAAAATTTTAAAATAGTACGTTTTTATGCTTAATACTAATAAATCCGACAGTAAATGATTGCCAAGTAACTTCATTTGTTTAATTATATGCGATTGTTCTTGAAGAATGTTCTAACTATCCGGATGTTAAATTGTAGATTATTATTATTATCATCAGCTTTATTCAATATTATATTTTTGGTACAATATAAAATTCTCAGTGCAAAGTATTTCAACAAGTTTCCGTTTCTTTCTTCTTGGTCGGTCCTGGCGATAAATATTGAGTGATCGCCACTCAGATGTTAGCAGTTCACTAAATGAACATCTGAATAATGTGCATTCTTTTCGTTGTTTATTGCCAGCAACCACATTGTCTCTCATTGAGTTTTTTGTAACTTTGACAACGAAAGGTTGTACAATCTTCAGAAACGCAACAGAATAGGTTATGCGATTAATAAACATAATGATATATTAAAACAAACAAAAATAGATAACTTGTTGAAATATCTAGATGGCAGAAACAGGTAGCCCAGATGTTCAAGCAGATGGTTTTCTTAGGGGGCCGCACCCGGAGCCTTTGATCTGAAGGCACCCAAGGGGATACTGCTTATAACCAATAAAATGAAATTAAAGATTATTCGTATTCATTAGTGCTATTTATTAGATATCGGTTATCAGTCAGGTAAGTTTCAGATATCGGTTATTGTCTTGTCTTTCATTGATACTCACTTAATTATGCTAGTTAATTATAAAACAATTGTCTTTTTTTTGTTAACATGTACAACTAACTAGAATAATACGAAATATAGAACAGTAGTTCAACAATTCTGTTCAATACAGTCAATTTCTTCTTTGAATTAGTTTGTGTCTTTAGTAGAATAAGCATTTAGAGTTATGCCATACTTTTCAAAGAACTTGATTATTTAATTATTACTCTATCCAAAATATTACTGTTCATAGTGATGTAGTCACTTCTATACACAAAATCATCTTATCATCTGATCAATTTTCTTATCCTTCTAATAAAATTAACGGATTAGTGGTGAATATAATTCCTTGTCTTTATTGTTTTTTCAAGTTATTGGGACTATTGGAATGTAACATATCAATCTTAGTGTAAATGGTAAATATTGTTAGCTACTGTAGATTCGGCGTTTTTGTTTTGAAACTTCCCAGACAGGCAATTTTAAATACTGTATTTACTTATTTATTTATTTTTATTTAAACACAAAATTGGTACAAAGAGGCACCAAATACATATACTCCACACAATAACAATGAGACTAGTGGTAGTCATCATTGATTTGTGTGAGGGCTGTGATACTGCCCGGGTGCCCAAACCAAAGCAGGTGGTTTTCTTAGGTGGCCACTCCCCGAGCCTTTAACCTAGAGGTCTAATCCACAAGACAGTGAAGCAACATTAGGAGATTCAGTTCCATGGTAACCTGTAACCAACGATTGGTTCATACGCGATTTGTTTCCTCAGGATCCTAAAGCACATGTGCACCATTCGTTTGGAATCAGGGATTCCCAAATGCCCTAAATGGATTCTCAATATCCACCAACCCGATTAAAGCTCTGGACATTCGCTTTTCGTCCTCTCAATTCCATAAACTACAGCCCCACCATGAGAAGACAGTGAGTGGAACTTCCGTGGTTGTGGCTATATACCCATGGCCTTGTGAGGACATTTCGGGAGGGAGAGCTGACTCTCCCACCCTCAGCTGTACCAGGGCATCTATATATGAGGGAATGTTTCAAGTCCTGGTGTTGTTATTATTTTTCCCCAGTAAACTGCACAATTATTTAATTCGAATAATTGATTTGTTTTCTTAATCTCTGCTGCGTTTTAGCTTACATTTTGTAAAATTATGTCTCAGTCTTTAGAGCTCGTCGGCACTTCTTCTATAGTCTTTGCTCAAATATGCCGCCGTTATTGCTTGGATGTATGCATATATAGTCAGCTGCACAGTATTTTCCTAATCATTAGTTTATTCACCTGCTTGTCTCATTGTTAATCATTCCGTTTTTGTGCTCTGTGTTTAGCTTTTCTTTCTTACATATTCAACAATCGGTTCGTAAGAGAAGCAGAACAAGTTAGTGAACAAATGATACATCAGGATTACTGATATTCTAATCTTCATTTTATCATCGTGTCATGATATTTTTCATAAAATTGATAAGTTTTTCAATTCTTTGTTCTATTTTTGATTGTTGGCACCTACGTAAATGTAGATGTGCTTCATAGGGATATTTCAATGTTTTACGTGTCTATATCTGTGTATGAAGTATTATATTAAACTGGTTATTATGAAATCCTTCATTGGTTTCATATAGATCATTTCATCGTAGAATGTCAGCTCCACTTACTGTCTATTGGGAATGACCATTACTGGTGAGATCATTATGAAGATAGTGAACGCATAGCAAATTGTATCAATTTGAGCCGTCTTTATCTCTGTTGCGATTTTAATCTAGTTGTAAAATTTAGAGTTTACAATGCGTCGGAAGAGGAGTTTTATTCTATGGTTGAGAAACCTGGCTCATCCGAGGTTAGGATATATAACAACTCCATGTTTATTCATTGTTCCTTTCGAAGGATTTTTGACATCTGCTAACTACACCATGTTAGTACTCCCGACGTTCGACAAGAGGTATTCCGATGCAGAGAAATTTATTCAAGTAATGTCACTTTCCCGAAGTACCGACTTTGATGCCTTAATCATATGTTGCGAATGCTCTTTCAGCGTCTTCCATATTGTGGATTATTCGGCGACACTGGGACTGAGTGGGAAAAGTGTTGAGGTGTTCGGTTAATGATATGAGTTTGTGATATGAAAGAAATTAAAATGGGACTAGGATCCGTCCGTAAACCCTGACTCCTTGGTTAGGGTCGTACAGATTGTGTAACTCAATGTTTTCAGAAGCTATCATAAGTGTCTTAGAGTGCAAGTAACTAATGATCCAAATGTACTTTTTCTCTGTATTCATCACAAAACTGAGAATAACGTTTTTGATTGAGAGAAGTCCTTTTTTGTTGTACTTTCGTTCTAACTTTATTTCTCATTGTGTACCATTTCTATTCATTTATTTATTGTATGTACTCTCATTCCCTACTCTGTTTTCTTTGCAGTGTTATCACTTCTTTTCTGCGGCACATTTTGTGTTGATTTATTATATCAAGCTTTGTATGCTTAAATAAATAAGGGATAGTAAACAATTTGTGAATAGCTTCATGTACTAATGCATAGTTATCAGGTGATGGATTTTTAGGGGATGCCAACTAGTCACTTTTAGTAACTAGTATTGTATTGTCATGGACTTAATTCTAGTTCTTGCAATGTAACTACTAAACTAGTCGTTTCAGCATCTCTGTAAACTCTGTTTAACGTAGTTGTAACTGACTGGAATCTTGTGATCTACCTAAGTTTCATTATATTTGATATTCATCTTCATTCTTGGGTGAACGGCTATTTTTCATGTTATTCAAACGTTTATCACGCAGTATCGTGAACAAATATATTAGTACTGGATTATCTGTTAATTGCATCTGGTCACGTGTTTTACATGCGTTGCTTGAATGCAATAAAATGTCCAAATTGCTAATTTTGAGCTTTGATTTACAGATTCCTGTGGAAATGGTATACCGATAGATAAGGGTTAAAACGTTTACCCTCTTGTGATTGGGATATGTATTATGTATGGTTAGCTATCATCTACCTCATCTCACAATGCTTTCAGGCATAAAAACAGTGTTTAAGGAAGCTGAATACAGAAATATTATGACAAGACATCACTCAGTGAAACTATCGATTTTTGTCTTGAGAAGTATTGATTGATGAAAACTTCCTAATTGAAACACTTGAGATAATCGTAGCTTGTACGTTGAGTGACATAGCTTAAAATTAACTGAGGTGGGGGCACAGTTACATTTATTTCTCATCTTTCTCTGAAAACTAAACTTGGTATCATTACCTATTCTTCGTTTTCAATCTCATCCATTCATTTTATCGGCTATGTTTTTGATCTTTAGTTTATTTTGACTGTTTTTCATCTTGCTTTTTGATTCTGTGTTGTTTGCAACTGGCTGACTTTTTATTAGTTAGATGTTTTCATCATGTCTAGGTTGTTTACCGTTTAATGAAGTCTGTTCCGCATGAGTGTTGAATATCGAAGTCGTTTTCTCTTTTTTGCGGTGATTTTTTAAATGTATGATCGTGTACGACGAGAGAGATACGTATGCAAGGTTACTTGTCAGTAGAATCAATAACAGATTGAACAGTAATAAATAAGTTATTCAATTAACTTTCATTGTTGGTTTCTATTTCAGCCTCAACTTCTCAATTAGATATTTCTACTCGTCTAGTCAGTGATAATGGTGGTGGTTACCCATCACAAAGTTTGTATCCTCGTCAAGATTCAGGTAAATCAAGGATATCAGCCAGTTCATATTTAGATGAGCAAGGTGAGCATTGGGTTTTCTAGTGTACATATTATTTTTGCTAATTATTGTTTATGTATACAATACTGGTTTAAATTCCATAATGGGTAACATCAGTTCCTTCAATATTGAAGAAGACCTTTGATGACTAGTTGGAACTAGCATGAAACATATGTCAACCCTTTGACATCAGCTCACAAAACGTTTTTACACCAAATATTTTCCTCATAATAACATCAGTCACTAATTTTGTTTATTTACTATCCGTACACATGAATTTTTTTAGCATTTGGTGGATTTACAAAAGACTTTTACCGAACTAATTGAGCTGTAGAGATTGTTAAGTTTTAATTGTGATCATGAACCGATCAATGTTAGACCAGTACTAATAACCTGGAAGCATTGGAGTTCTAGGAACTTACATTTTCTTGCTCCTGAATGCCTGCCGACGTGGCTAAGCACTGGTTTAGTCAAGATAGTAAACGCCTCAGCACTAGTTATGTAGTGCAAATCGGTCATATTACCAGATTAAGTAAATCATTTTCAATAATTTATCGGGTTAGTAATTTTATCCTAAAGGCGGTTTCAGCTCAAATTATTCTAAATGATAGAATCGGTTGCCATTCGGATTAAAAACTGGAGTTATGCTTGTGGAAGTAGTAAGTTGAACACCTTTCCTTAGTTTTGGCTAACCCCAAGATAATAGATGAAGAGTAATATTAACTATAAAATGACTAAAACTGACTGAAGTATATACAACCTTTCTTATTCAAATTTTATTGTCTTAGTTATTTCTATTCACACGTCTTTATATTATTATTATTATTATTATTATTATTATTATTATTATTATTATTATTATTATTATTATTATTATTATTAAACTTCAACACCACTATTTGTCTTCCGTAAAAATGGGTAAATTAATTAGCACTTAACCCACTTTATTATTTTTTGTTACCTTGTTCATATAACGTTATACCTAATATAATCTTCCACTAAACATTTGATCGAATTTGTAATTGGATTATTATTTCTCTCACCCTATCTGATCCATACCTAATCTAATCATTACTATCACAATTTCATTTAACATATCAACCAGTTAACATTGTTTATTATTCAGTAGTTATTCTTCAACATTAACACTTTTATTGAAATCGCGAACTGATCTAAGTTAGACAACAATTAAAAGCTTAGAAACATTCGGTAGCGGTTCATTATTGTGTGGAACTTCTTAATAGTGCATATCCATGACCCTGCAGCCGGGCATCGAACCCAAAACCTTCAGTCTTGTGTACGAACACTTGACCTTTAGACGATCGAACCGGAGTTCACAGTGTACATGTTTAACTTCAACCAATCCATGATGCTGCGTGACCATCATCCATTGTCTTTGATGGTCGGCTCATGTAAATTGATTCGCAGTTTGAATAAAACTCAACAATTTGCACAACTGCTTACTTGAAAGTTAACAATTTTATTTTAAGAGCAATCCCGAATTCACATTCAACGATCTATTTTGTCTTAAACTTAACCACTTTTTGGATTATTAATTTGGATACATAATTGTAGAAATTGGCATATATGTGTGTCAGTTAGGGTTTCCACATCATATCAACTATATGAGATACCACAACATTATAAATAATAACAGTATTAGTACTAGTAGAAAATATTAGGCGAAGAAGATATGATTAAAGAAGGAAATATGGATTTGTGGGGTGAAGAAGGTTTGCTTTTAGGAAGTAGTTAAGAAACTTGAGATCAAGGGGGTGAGAAAAAGTCCATGCTTCTCACCATTTCAATGGATTCTAAACCGTATCATCCAAAGTCACTAACGATTAGTGATGATATTCACACGACCCGAACCAAGTAGTCTGAACTTCTCTCCATGGTTCAGTTTAACAAGCAATAACTCCATAAACTGATATCAGATTTTCATGTTATATAATCGCTTAAATATTTGTAGTTAAAAAAATACTAAGCATCACCAAACAATGTTTTTATATTCTAATAATAACTATATATTTTTTATATTCCAATGAGTAGAAACCTACTCTGAAGAAGTGGCTTACATTAAGTCACGAAACTTCAAAAAATGCAATTTTGTAATCATTGGAATATAAAGAATATATGTATCATTAACTCGACTCAACGCTCAATTTGTTTTACATTTCAACTTATAAATATCTAGTTTATGTTTCCACTTATAATTAATCATCTTTACAAGTTAGTTATCTAGGCATGCAATATTCATCGACAAACTTTCCGATATTCTGATCATGTCAGTAGCCGTCAAATAGTCGTGTACCGAGTATTTATGCATTTTACGTATGTACAAGTTAAGTTGTCATGACTTAAGTGATACTTTTATGAATAATTTAGTTTTTTTGGCTTGTAACTGAATAAGTTGTTGTTTGGATTCAACCTATTTATCAGCTGCATTGTTTTCTCATTCACTATCTATTGTAAGGTGATTGCAGGCTTACATTATGGATTTCTGTACGATCACCATTTGTTAATCACTATGTTCCTATGATATTGTATCATTGCTTTAATCTGGTTAGTAACTGGCAGTGAAATCCATGATTTATCCAATTTATGAATTGTCAGCTAGATATACTTATGTGGTGTCGTTGGTGTTCACACTGGAATTCAATAAAACAACTTGTTACCAAGTACAATATAAACTGCATGGGCTTGTTCTGAACATGCGGCAGGTTCTACATTGTGCCATAACTGACTGACTGTGTGCATATATGTCATTAGAGACTGATCAAATACAGTCTATAATATCGAGAATGGATAAACTCATACTCATACATATTTTACCTGAATGTTTTATAAATGGAATGTTTACTGAGATTTGTATTAATTTGTCAATGAATTCATACATGACAATTTGTTCACTGGTTTATTGATTATTACGTCCATTTACCACACTCCCCAATTTTTGTTATACATTTTTAATAGGTGTTGCAACACCTATTCAACAGCGAACTGATGGAGTTGGTGAAGTTTCAGCTGCACCCTTTGAGTCACCTGGTAGTTTTCATACTTCAGCATTCGGTGCTCAACCTGATGATCGACCTAGTAAACCTATTGAAGGTAACCTCTTTTTTGTTTAACACTGCCTACCTTAATGTTGATTAAACGATCGACTTTAGTGCATTATTGGTTTCCTTTTTAAGCACTTTTTTTCAAAGAAAAAATTGAATTCATTTCGTAGATTGAAGTATGTTGTAAGGCAAGTCTATGCAATAGGTGATATGGTGATATATTGGTCAGGTAGTTTGACATTCGAACTTTAAAATACTGACTTCAGTTTGAGCAACCGGACAGCATTAGCATCCTTCACATGTATATTGTAGCCCATAGCTCATTATATGAACCTGTACATGGTGAATAAGTGAGTGATGATATAAATCACGCATTCATAGCTCCGTTTCCATTTTCCTCTAAATTTTTAGTTCAGTATTGTTTCTTATGTTTTATTTCTTCTAAAATTGGTAATTTCACTCTTCTCTATCTATCGTTATTTCTTTCATTGTAGTGATATAAGATGTGGAAAATGCAGTCAACTTTTATTCGTTTTAAGTCCTTTCTCTCTTAGTGGTAATTTAATTGGAACGGATGCATTTGAACATGAGGTCAGCCAATCATAATCAGCGTATTACCTTATAATGAAAAAGACTAAATATTGATATTATGGTTTCAATAGGTAAAATAGAGAAATAATGAAACTAAAGATCTAGAGAAAGATGAGTGAATGAATGTGTCTGGGCCATTATGATAGATTCTAAGCCATATTACCCAACCTCACCAACCATTTGTCGGAGTTATCATGCGAACTCCAATTACGCAATCTGGATCTATCAACATGACTCAGACCAAGTCAAATGACTGATTCTATGTTTGTTTTGGTCACCCCTAGCTTACTTTCAGCATTCCCCTGTACTAGCTAACATTGTCCATCGAGGCGCAGTAAAACTATTTGTATCAAGATCTTACTAATCTTTTCAAGGTTCTAGTCAATCAATTATTAACATTCCTGTTTATTATCATTGTTTTTATTATCATTCGCATTTCAGATATGACAAAGCGTGAAACAGCTGAATATGTGACACATTTACTAAAATCGTTACAAAGTACGTTCATATTTTATCATATTTTTCTTTTTAGCTTTTAATTAAATTTTTCTTGCTATCACTTTGGAGATAATTAAGGCAATAATTTTGTAACTGAATTCGTCTACTCTCTGATATGCGTTAATTCAAGTTGATACACTCATACGTCACAAAGTATTAGGTGTTAATGTATTCATTAGATCGAAGACAAAGTAAAACGATATGGTAGCAGAATCTAGGGAGAGGTGATCATTAACCCTCTCTGAGAGGAATTCTTATGATTACGATTATATCGTGACATGCATGGACGAAATTCGTTGTACCAGCGGTACGCATATAATAGTCAAAAGACAGTCATTTGTTACAAATACGTTTGAAGGGAGGGGTGACCATCTATTCTTCCAGGTGAGTGAATATGCCTGTATGAATCCTTTGGGATGCATGAATGAAAACGTGTGTGACCAGTATCCATGTAGGCTATACTTACCCCTGTTGCGTCTCCGGCGCGCCAAGTCCCGGAGGGTCCAACGATTTCCATGTAGTGGGTTCGTGGGCCTCGGAAAGTGGATTTCTAATCCAAATTAGTATATGGGCTTTATCGAGTGGTGCTTCCCCAATATCAAATGACTGGAATATTGCACCAATCAAAACGGGTCGAGTTTTTAATGGTTCTTTATTGTTCAATGAATATGGAGCACATAGTTTCGCACATAGTTTGTAATGGTACCTTTCAACTGTACATTACTATTTGTTCTATCGCGTAATAATTTTTGTAGCTGTAACGAAGAAAAATAGTCTTTAGATACTTTGACAACCTTGGCTATGAACAGTGGATGGAGCATGAAGATTACAAGCATGATGCAATATAAGAATGGCTGTTGATCTGTTTTCATGATAAAATTGAACGTTTACACTCCCTTGTACATTCTGTTTCCCAATTCACTGTGTAAATGTCTGTTGACACAATCTTAACAAAACATTTTTAAAAATTTTTTCCGTAAAACATAGGGTGATAAGATTGTTGAGCGGTTTGAATTCAGATAACTTACATAGATATTTTAAACAGTGTTAAAATATACATGTGTATACTGCCATAGCAAATGGGAATCGTACTTAATGTACATTAAATTTCCTAGAGAGAGCTTTTTATTTCTATGATCATGTAATCACTTATTCACTGAACTGAATAGTAAGTATTAAGTTGTACATTTTTATTAACCGGGTTGTAGTTGTATTTTGTGTCAATACCTTAAATGATTCAATTAACACAGAGAGTTCGATCAAATGCAAAAACTTTACACACATGTGATTTCCGGTAGTTTACATTTTGTATTAAACTTTCTAACTCAATGTTAATTGATTTCATTGTTTCTCGTCTTTTTAAAAAAATTAATTATTATACTTTTTCTACTCTGCTTATATAGCTGCTCGAACAGAGATTACTCGTTTACAAATAGAAAATGATCGATTGACTGGTCATTCACATGAATCTGAACGAGAATTAAATGAAGTTCGTATGACTTTGGCAACATTACGCAATCGTCTATTAGAAGACAATCTTACACAATATCTTGAATTGCCTCGTGAAACCAATGGTTACATGGGTATTGGAAGTAGCAGAGTCGATAGTGTTATTGGTCTTAGTGCGCGTAATAATACTGGTATGATGAACAATGCCAATCCATTTGACAATGTACGACGTGAAAGTACTATTGAACCCCAATCATTTTTGTCGAAAATCTCCTCTCTAGGAATGAATGCTCGTTTAGGAAATATCATTCCTCCGACAAATAATCAATTACAAACAAATGGAAACAGTGCTAATTTTGGTGGGGGAGGATGGTGGTAAACAACTAATCCATAGAAAAATAAATAATAATTTGAATGAATTGGATTATTACACTCCCCGAGCTCTACTTTGATTTTGTTTTAGATAATTGAATCACCTTGACCTTGTAATGAAAAATACTTTTGTGTGTGTTTGTATGTGCTTGAATGATCCTATTTGCTCATTTGTATGATTATTTTCTCTATTTATTATTGTTTTCTTGACGTAAGCGGAGGTGATTTTGTACTTAGGTCTATATGTATATGCTGTACGCAAAGTAAAAAAAACATTTCAGGTTGAAATGTCTTTCAACATTATTACTATTATTGTTACTAATTACTATTATTATTATTATTGTTATCATTATTATTATTATTCTGCTTCCAAATATTACTATGTTTATTTTATTTAAACAATATCGAGGCTATAGATGTGACAAAAAACATATGAACACAGACAAGCGCATTGATTAACACATATCCATTCACTATTGTTCAACAGCTTTGGTGAAATACAGTAATTATTTTAAATGGTAAATCCACACTTTAGCGCATCTACTAAATACAAGTTCAGAGGTTATTATCCATTGTACCATATTAATGAAATAAATTTTTGTGTTTTTTTAAATAAAAAAATTCTTATCTACAGAAGATCTGTGATATTCAATTGTTTTTGTTTCTATTCCTAACTAGAACAATATTTAATTGCTCAATGATCAATAGAATGTTGCCATCATTCCTTCTAGATAAACATTTTTCATTTACACTTATTCACATTATCCTGTATTCTCATATCAATAATAATAATAATAATAATAATTCTTTTATTATCTTTACTGACAATGTTTCATTTCTGTGTTATCTTCTATCTTCTCTTAAATATTTCTTTCTCTAAAAAGGATCACCTATTACTTTACTTCCTATCAGATAATTTTCACATGCAAATCTGATAATGTTGTCACATTTCATTAATAATTTTCTAAAGAGAAAAGATTTCCTTTTATCCAGGGTTTACTCGTTGAGAGTTTTTCTTTCTTTCTTTTTTTTAAATTGAAGAAAAATTTTGTTTCTATGTTTTAGTAAAATAAATTTTTCGTTTGATTTTTATCCAAAAATCATTCATTCCATGTGCTTTTCTACGTGTGTGTGTAGGCAAATCGATTGGCGCTAAAAAAAAAAACATACATCCTCTTTCTAAATGTATACAGGCGTATACGTGTGTTTGTTCTTATTATTTCATATATATGTATATTGTGACAAGGTGGAAAATAAAATGGTTGTGTGTGCTTTCTCAACCATATACACATAATTGAGTGATTTCAAGGTGTGTTCCAATCATATTTATCATTTTTGTTTTCTTTGATCTGAAATTTCTTTAATGATTTCATTCATGGTTAATTCCATGCATTAAAATCTTTTTTTTTGTTGCTTCATCTAGGAATTTTTCATCACATGCCAACTCCTCTTTTTGATTTTTGAATAATAAATGAAATTGCTTTTCCCTCACCGTAATTGAATCTTACATCAACCAGTTGTTTTTTTGTCTTGTCGTGTTCATTACATATAAACAATTGTTTAATGATTATTTATCATTTGAGAGTGCCTAATTAAATATCAATGTATATGGAGTTTCTTCATATTATCATTATTAATATTAATATTAATACGACCAATATATATTTACTTTTGTTTAATATGGAATAGTCAATAATTTTCTACTTAGTAATATGCACAATTTGTTGTTTTTTCTGTGCCAATTTTTTGTTCTGAAAAAGATGACACGGGACTGAAAGAGCAAGTCAGCTAACGAGAAAGTTGTCATTTTTTTGTTTTAATCTACTAGTTTTAAGTGACATCAGGAAAGAAAATAGTTCGATCCTTTGTGATTTTAAAGGGTTCTCTGTTTTGTTTTTGAAAAAAAGATTACTTTTCATGAATGTCCTGTATTACTATGCGTACGTCGGGCAGACACTAGTAGTTATTTGGATTTTAATTCACCTTGAAAGGAATTTTGTAAAGCCAAAAAGAGAAATGATTAACTGTAATTGTGTATTGTGATAAGATATATTTAATATAATATTGAGAATGTTAACTAATTATTATTATTATTATTTTTTGTTTATAATTGGCAATTCTTTTTTTATCCAGACTAACAAAAAAGACGTTGAAAAGAATTCAATATGAAACTAATAACAAGATATTGTTCAGTTGGATATTAATTAATAAAAGTGTTCATAATGATAACCATGATTAATAATGACAGAATGAATACTTTTCATATGATTCTTATCTTTTGTTTTTGATTGTATGTCTGTGTGTTTATGAATTACTGGATCTTTATTTGTTGGTGTTTGATGATAATGGATTATTTCCATTGATAAATATTTGTGGTGATAGATGGATTTTATGCGGTGAATGTTTCGATGTTTATACTTGAGTTTGTTCATTAAAAATAAGCTCAGTTATCTGTCTAATGCACAAGATTAACAAGGTTCTTATCTAATTATAGAGCTTTTTTTTCCATCTTCAATCATTCTTACTAGATGATTTTGAACAACATCAATGTTTCAACCACAGTTAAACTGTCCAATATAATTGTAAACATTCTATGAAAAGCATTCAGATTTATTAATAGGTTCGTGTATTCAGTTATGAATTACACTTTAAGTTATGTCTAATGATTCTTTTTGGTTACACGAACCAGTGTAGACAAATCAAGACTCAGACCTGAAAGTTGAATGCCTTAATCAATAAGGTCTACCAAATTACAGATGGTCGCATAACATATTCTAAGGTACTTCTATCTCTTTCTATTTTGACACTCAATTAGGTAGTATGCAACACACAATACACAAAAATAAACGAATACATACTTGTTAAGTGATTATATCTTAAATTACTAATGCGACTTTTCGTTTCTGTAGCCATTTTGTTTAACTTTCAACTCAATTATCCTAATCACATATATGCGTTTACTTTGAAAATGATAGGTTTACTTTTTTTTTCGTAACCCTGTTATGGTTACCGTTTCTATCTTAACATTTGATTGAAAATAAAATTTCAATGGTTAAGATCATGAATCGATTGAAACTAGACAACCATGGAAAACTTGAAAGCACTGGACCGCCGGTCGGTTTCAATCGACTCATAATCTCAACCATTGAAATTACTATAATATCTACAAAACTCTTCTGATATATGAAAATGAAATGTTTCTAGTTCTGGAATACTTAAAATCTATTTTATTCAGTGATATGTTAACGGTTTTTTTTGTTGAATTCATGATATAAACCATATGACGAATATTTAATTTTTGTTTCTAACTGTTAAATAACCATAGAAATCATTTTCATTTTTTGTGTATCATTTTTTCATGTGTTTATAATGCTAGGCAATTTATGTAATGAATCTTGTGCATAAATTAATTAATTCTCTTTTCATGTGACTAGAGATTATTCGAAGGTTAGACTAATTCAATTATGCCTTTTGTATATTCATATGACTATAAAAAGTATTGTTTGATTTTCATGCCTTATTCCAATCATAGTTATCATTTTTTAGTTTTATTCCATCTGAAGAACAGTTAGATTCAGAATTATTGATGTGAATTTATTGTGCCTCACTTCAATAGCTGGAGATTTTCAGTTTAGTTCTTATTGGGTTTAATACTTTCGAGCTGAAAATCAAGTTAATGTAATTATGCAATGCTCTCAGATTTTCATTAGTTCTACAGCTATAGCCGGCTCAGTTTGTGATCTAAAATTAAATTATAATCAACAAGTTATATGAATCCTTTACGTTGATATATTTAACGAAATTTCATAAACGCGAATGTATGGAATGATGACGTAATGGTCAAATAATTCTAATTAATATCTCTTGATCATGGGTCTTAACTTTGTTTCCATTACTTCAGTTCCGGCTAATAGACCTCATACATAACAAGTAGTCATGCACATAAATCTTTACTTAACAATCAATGAGTTACATCCTATACATGGTTTAGCAGCGAGAGCTGGTGTTTTTAGTCTAATCGTCTATCTGGATATATATGCGCACTTCTGGGGAGTCATACTACGCAAAAATCATTTGATTTGTGTGAGGGTTAGAATACTGTCCTGGTTCTCAAACCAAAGCACCACTTCCAGAGCCTTTGACCCAGATGTCTAATCCACAAGACAGTGGAGCAACATTAGGAGATCCATTACCATAGTAACCAGTGAACAACAATAGATTTATACACTTTTTGTTCCCTTAGGATTCTGAAGCGCATGTGCACCATTTGTTTTGGATCAGGGTTTCCTAACTCGCTTGGGTGGATCCTCTGTACCTACCAACCTGATTAAAGCTCCGGACATTCGTTTTTTGTTCTTCTACTTTAGGGAACGACCCCATCACGGAAAGACAGTGAGTAGAACTTCCCTGACAGTGGCTGTATACGCGTGGCCCTTAGAGAGCATGTAGAGAGAGTGAGCTGACACTTCACCCTGGGCAGTACCAAGGCAATTGGTGGCATGGGAAAATGTTTGGATTAACATTCAAAGATAAATATATAGTCAAATGAATACTGCAGCATTGATGCGTGTATTTAAGAAATATGTAATATACTTCTATCTTCTTTTATCCTTCAACAAATAGGTTTTCGGGTATTATTTATTCGACCTCTTATTTTTTCTCAAAATATCATCGATCTGTTATTGAACTCAACTCTGTTTTCAGGCTTACAGTAATTTGAATAAAAAATTACAGTACAAATTTGCTGAGTCAATAATAAATACCTAATTAATTATAGAAGTGATTAGACAAATTCCACAGTGCATTAATTCATTTATTTTTTCAGAAGTGTATTATATATAGCTTGATTGAGAAAGAATTCAAGGTGTGTAAAACAAAAAAAAAGGTTGATCCTCTCTTGTTGTTCTTCGATTTGGGTAACATGCAAACAAACAGTCTAGTTCAAAGCGGAGTGCATAAACTTGTTCACTGTGAGATAAATTCTACCATTAATTTTATTTATTAAATTAACATAATAAGGTTTTTTGGTTAATCCCTTTTCAATCATTCTGCGTATTACGAAACATTAAGGTTGAAATCATAGTTTGTGTTATTTCACCAATGAAAACTTCTCTTTGGAATTTAGTACTCAGTTTACCACCTCAGTGGAACTTTTAATCCTTTTCGATCAAGCTAGGATTACTTCCTTATAACTGTACTATGTTGGTATGTACACATATACCTTCAGTGGCATAGAAATCAATTTCACTTGAATAACGATCCCACGTATTTGCTACTCAGTTTTCTACACGTAGAGATCACATCACTTCAGTAATATCTGTTGTCATAAATAACAAACTTCTCTTCAATATTTGTTATCAAATTGAATTGTTAATTGCAATTATAGCATTTATATTATGATTTAGTAAACACTATTCTGACCTTAAGTTTGTTCTGTATGTGTTACCACGTATTTGAATGATTGCCTAAACAATTTAGCATATATTTGTATTATTACACATTGTTATTTTTATTTTGAGTAATAATCTGAATTGGTTGACAACTATGATTTATTGTGAGTGTCCTAATACTCGAGTTAAAATAATTATTGTCATTTTTTATGGGTTTTGATCGTACCTTATTTGTTAATTCATATCACCTCAACTTAATCGATAGGATTCTTCATCGCATTAGGCATATATGACATTGATCATTACTAACAGGTTAGTCAATGTAAATATCTCAATCTTACAAGTGGTCATTTGCGATCCTAACATCATAAGGGCAACGTCTTCGAATCTGAAGTTGGTTGATTAAGGTCTGATTCAGATAGAGAGCACCAGTCCCCTCAAGATTGCAGAAACGCCTTACGAGTACCAGGGCTTCTTGCCGATAACTTTCAATTCTACTTAACAACTTGCATCGATCTGTTATTAGTTAGCATCATAAAGTCAATCGAAATGTTTGTCTCTGTGAAGTTAAAATCAGAAAATTAAGGAAATGCTAGTCAGCTATGTAAATCTCATGATTGTGCCAGTAAACAGAACCATTTAATCGTAGTTCAAAAATTATTTGGATATGATATTTTGAGCAGAACTGAAGACGTACTAATAACTTGTATCGAACTCAATTCTGTTGGCTTTGAGGAATACTATTTTTGTCGACATAGTAACTGAAATTTCATTCTTTATTGCTAAGTCTGTTTTTTGGACATTTCAAATAACGTACTGATTTTAGTTAGCCATTAAAACCGAAGGAATACTGGTCATCTACTTCGTCTTAGTATAGAACTCCTGCGAAATGTGCATCCACAACCCTTTCAGGTTTTATAACCGAACACCCTAACCTATAAACCACTGAGAGCGGGTACAATTATTTGCATTTCCAACTCCAGTTAATTCTTAATGTGTTATTTATTAGAAGCTAAGCAACCGAAGATTATATGTTTTTGTGTAAGGCATCACATCGCTGTTTTTATTTTGACCAGTTCAACTTTCTATGATCCCAGATCATAATTATCTTTAATGTATATACAAAGTTTTCATGGAATCAAGTTGCTTCATTATTATCGCGTACCTATTGTTAGCGAGATTCAAGATGAATTTCACGAAATTGCAATAAATAGCCCTTTTTACCCGGCACAATCAAAATATTCGCGAAAATTAGATGGTATTAACGCAATGACTATAATGGATAGTGATCGTTGATGAAGTTGAACATCTGGGCCATTGAATTCAAACTCAGTTGCTTAATTGTATCTTTATTAACATGAGAATTTCATGTTCGATTTTATACAAGGCCTTCGGTTGATATTTTATATTTCTCTGCGTGCCATCATTCATGTTGTTTATCCCTTCAGATTGATCGAATTCTATCATTTAAGTTTCAACGTCACCACTCAGAATAACTTGATATCACATTGTCGTATGCTTGATCTTAAATAGTTACTGGGGGGGGATGGGAGTAACATTAAGTAACAGGTTATCTGATAGAGGTCGGTACTCAATGATTTGTTTTTAAAATATAATTGTATTTACTTGATCATAAATTAATCCACTATTATCAGATGTGGTAGCTTTTAAAGCATCTTAAGTGTAAGTCTTTTATTATAAGTTTTTTTTCTCCTAATATTTCCTCTTGAATCTTTCTCTGATACTTACTTTAAAGACTTATTCATACCTGTCTTTTATTAATATTATTCTCTTAAGATAAATCAGCTAAATGGAGGTATTTCTAGGTCGTTCGAAAGTGAAAAAGCCCATGCAATTACCAAAGTCATCATTATCGACAACATCGTCATGTTTTCTGTCGGGTAGTAATAGTAATAGCAGTAGTACTTTACCATTTCCAATATTGTTTAAAGAAGATTTCACGGAATTCAATTCTGATCATGATGATAACAATAATGATGGTATAAACAGTTGTGAACAGTTTACATTTCAAGCGGTTTTATTAAATGGTGCTAAGACATTAATCACTGATTTGGAACAAATCAAGATACTTCGAAAAAGAGTAAGTACATTTTATACAAAATCATACTGTCTTGTATGCAGTTTAACTATGACTATCTTTTACTTATACACGCTGGTGCATCATGGATAAATGAGGTTTGTGAATGTTTTCTGATCTCCATATTATTGTCATACCTCAAGAGCAGTTAATGAAATATAATCTGAGTGAGGTATAGATATTTTTGATTTTGTTTAGTAGGGTACATTTCATCACATTAAGTAATCTGATCTTTGACTACTACTATTTTGGCATTTCTGACAATTTCATCCACTGTACTAATGTAGCATGGCAACCTGAACCGATAAATATGTATGTTCGGTCCTCGGGTTTTTTATGACTGATAAACTGTTACTAACTGAATGATCATTGAGTATAATGACTCACACTGTAAAAGTTTGACAGTCCTTAGAAGTAAGGACTGCAGACTTTTCCTACAAATGGAATTCAAGGCTCGTGGCACTACATATACTATCTTTAGATATGGCCCCTCCAGGCGGTTCACAATCCTCATTTCTTATAGTTACTATGGGGCCCCCAAATGTCCTGGTACGGTCGAGAGTGGGGAGAGTCAGCTCTCCTTCTGGAAATGCTCTCACAAGGCCACGGGTATATAGCCAGCACCACAGAAGTCCTACCGACTGCCTTCGCGTGGTGGGGGTGTTGTTCATGAAATTAATAGGACGAAAAGCGAATGTCCGGAGCTTTAGCCGGGTTGATGGATATGAAGAGTCAGCCACGAGGAATTGAAAAACTCTCATTCCAAACAAATGGTGCACATGTGCTACAGGGTAACGAGGGAAGAAAAGGTATGTGTACGTATTGTTGATCACCGGTTACCACGGGCCTGAATTTCCTAATGTTGCTCCAATGTCTTATGGATTAGACCTCTAGGTCAAAGGCTCGGGTAGTGGCCACCTAAGAAAACCACGTGTTTTGGTTTGGGCACCCGGACAGTATTTTAACCCTCACACAAATTGAATGATTCGTGTGTCACATATATATTTGGTGCTTCCTTATACCAATGTTTGTGTCCAACTAAGTAAAATAAAATCTTAAGATATTCACGTAAAGTCGTTGGTTTGTGCGCTGTTTGTTAGTTCCTAAAATGAAGCAAATGAGGTTGCCAGTATTTCATGATCTTTCGGTAACTCCTTCTGTATATCAGTTTGTGATATCATCATCGTTCTACTTATTGATACTAAACCAATAAATAGGATTCTTGTATTTACTCCAATACATTTTTATTAGAATCATAATTACGGTTTGGAAATGGATATGTTAGTTAGACAAGGATGTATTTACAAAGAAATTCTTGTCACATCTCACCATACTGATGAATAAGATTCTTTTTAGAAATAATCATTCTGAACTATAAGTTATGAGGTTGGTGGAGGCTGTTGAATATGTCAGTTCACATCATGGATTTATTTTAGAGTTAAATAATTACTTATATCAAGGGAGCGCTAGATTAGTGCTTCGTCCTGGTGTGAAAATTCTCAACATTGTTCATCCACGACATTACTGAGGTCAGAGCTTACCGCCTTCAAGTCTTGACCATTGAATTGGTATCCAATAGTTTACATTTATAACTGCAATCATTCATGTAATATTGCACAAACATGTTTTAATACTGTTTGTGAGTAACTGCTTCATTCTTGACATCATCACTTCGTCTCATTAGAACTCAAAGAACTTCCTCTTGAAATTAGTCACCAATACATACATGATCATTACCAGTATTATTCTTAGAAAATAACTAGTTAATGACCTCTCTTTGTTATCAAGATTCCAAGTTATTATCGATCATCAGGTATTCAGTTGTATAGGTGTTAATTAATTACAGGATAATCATGAATATAATGTGATATTCTGCATCGTGAAAGTTTTTTCTTAGCTGATAATTGGTTACTCAATAATAATATTTAACATAAATAACTAGTATGTTCCCCATTTGTTTCTTTTTAACTCAACTTACTACTACTGCTATTATTACTATCATCATTATTATTACTATTATTATTATCATTACTACTACTAGACAATGGTGGATATGTCGCTCAATTTCGTGGATTAGTTGAAGTTAGACATTAACACTGTTGGATGCCGGCTCAGTGGTCTAGTGGTTAAGTGCTCGCGCGCGAAACCAGTAGGTCCTGGGTTCGAATCTCGCAAGGGGGGAGAGGTCGTGGATGTGCACTGGTGAGGAGTCCCACAATAGGACGAAACGGCCGTCCATTGTTTCCAGGTTTTCCATGGTGGTCTAGCTTTAACTGACTCATGATCTTAACCATTGAAATTACTATAATATCCACAAAACCCACCTGGTATTAATACTATTTAAGTTAACAAGTATTTATAATCATAATCACTCTAAGAATTTCAAATTCATAATTGACAGAAATTATTTCTATCTTTATAAACTAAACTAAACTGAATATCAAAATCAGTTAGATTATAACACTTTGATCTTTGATAGATCCATTTTGTTATGTATTTCTTTATTTTAAAACAAACTAACATTTTCTAAATTCCAAATCTTGCGATTCTATTATTACTATCATTACGACTATTAGTTACTAGTGACCTACTACTCTCATAGAATAACTGTATGTTTCTATGTATGCTGAATTATTTATACACACGTGGTACATTAAAACAAAGTTGTGGTTTTTCTTTGTGGAGAAAAAGTTATTCTATTGATCGTTTTGTAGAATGTATGCTATATTGGGATGATAGTTGTGTGTATTAACTTTATGTAGCCTTATTCATATATGGTGTATATTTAAGGTATCAAATGTGTAAGTTATTAATTTATCTTTAAATGTATATCATAGTAATAGAGGACAACGTCTTGTGCTTTTTTTTCTTTGTTTTCTTGAAATGATATACTACACAACATATTTGTTATAATTTATGTCATTAACCGTTTGAATCAAATGAATTGTACTAGTATTCTACCAATCATGGTTGTTATGGTTTGATAACATCAGTTCGTGATGTTTATGACACCTAATATGTTGCTTGTTAGGAGCGTGTAAATTAGTTACACCTGCTAGGCGGTTCAAATGATCGATCACATTATTGTGTATGTTCTCGTTGGTTTAAATTTTGCCATTCTATTGCATATTCATTCCATTCTTTCTCTTTGGATCATTATTTTTAATGTGCAGTACAATTTCTACTATCATTTATTTTGACCACTTTGCTTATCGTCATATAAATTTAATCTTATTTTCATGATGCTGTATAAAAACTTGGGCCGATCCATATTTTTGCGAGGACCTGTGTTGATTATGAATGACTGTTAGTTGGGAGTCTTAGTACCGTAATGACGTTTTACTCTACATAACTGCTCAAAACTGAAACTCTTTGAACATTTTCATCGTATGGTCAAGGTCTTTGCGCGTACGGTTTTGAACTAGCTGACTCAAAATTAGTGAACTGTTAACTATTTAGTGAGCTTACAATTAATCTTACACCGTTCCGATACAAGATAATCCAGAGCACAACATCTTTCTGTATAGAAAAATGAGATTAAGTGCAGGATACTAGGTTAAAAATGGCCAATTGGTTGATTGTGTACTTGATCTTCATTGATTGAGGCGGCTAGAAGGACACTACGTATGCCGAATCATAACCTATCTCAATTGTGATCAATGAGGCATTTTTCCAGTCTATAAAAAACGGAATAATTCAGTAAGGCTGGTAAATTGAATATACCTCAATTTTCATGACATTTCAACATGATTCTGGTTATTTCAAACGCGTAAACATTGTAAATGTTTAAATTCGTATCTCTTCGTTTCTAGGGTTGTTACGGTTTTAGTCAGAATAATGATTTTAATCTTCCCAATAAAACCAACAGTATACCCAAGTAAGTGAAGAATAATATTGCTGATATTATTTATTTCTATGGCGAAATTGATATAGGGGTTTGTCTTCTATACCAATATACAATAATACTACAACACTAGATTTTGCACTCGATCGGCACACTAGATAATACTAACACTAGACTTGATCATGTTAGGCACAAATATACCAGTATCTGGATCAGACACTAGTTTTACTGACACACTTATAAAGATCCCACACAATGAAACAGAGCAGAAATCGCAGTAGCGATATAACGGTAGGCATTTATATTACAAATTATAGAATGGGCCTGTTTGTCTTCGTTTGGTAATCAGTCACAAACCACAACATTATATTGAACTTTTCATTCTATAAATGAAATATTTTTTTCTCAATTGTTATTCTCTATATCTAGTCTTTTTCACTGTCATTGATACTACCTCTGCCAATATAATTAGTTCTAAACCAATATCATCCAATGTCCAGGACAGGGTTGGATAAAGAGTGCTGGTGGGCGGCTTAAGCTCCTCCACGAGGGGTAACAGGCATAAGTAAGTAAGCATATCATCCAACATCTCCAACCTTTGATCATGGTTTAGGCTTCGTCCCTAATCAAGTAATCTCCGCATAGCAAATTGAGACAGACAAGCTGTTAGTGGTTCAACAGACGGATTCTACATCTTGATTTGGGTCTATTTATTTTTTTACCAACTTCTACTGCAGCCAGTATTAAACATTTAGGTAGGTAATGATTTAGGATATTCAACACGTCCTAACCACTTTCGTTGATGTACATTCATAACTTACCGATTCGCCTAATATCCACATTGCTTACTCCACCGTTCTAATATACTCGATCAATGCTTCGAAATTATCTGCAATCAAAAACTTATAACCTACCTATATCTTCTACTTTCATAACCCTTGTTTTACATCCACAGATTAGTTCAAAGACCAATTCTTAGCACTTTTCTCCCTTCGTTGATAGACATATATCCTACCTGCACCACATGTAACGCAGTTAGTAAAAGCCAACTGAGTCCACTGATTCCGTGCTGTTCTAGGGGTTATATAAATACATCGACCATTAAGCAACATAAAAATTATCCAGCCAATTATTCTCATTCCTAATGTTACAACGAATTTTTCTTGATGAATAACAAAAATAGATTAGGGGAACTAGATTTACTTTATTCATTGAAAATAATTAAATATTCCAATGATCTGGTTGACAAATTTACTGCCTGATCATAATGTAGCAGTAAATAAATCTCCAAAATATAAATACCTCTGTAAGTTTTAGACATTGGGTTCTGACCACATTAATTTTAATGGACTCACCTAGCTGAAGGCGCTCGGTCATGCATCTGCACCAGATCACAAAGTGGAACACCGTATTCAACAACCCCTGCAATCGCTAGCCAGACTAGATCAGTCGATCCTTGATATATTGGCAGCCTATCAAATATATCTTTGAACCTCCTCGCCTCTGTCTTTTGACTTCACTTGGTGGATACGACTCATAGTAGAAGATGTTACTGGTTCAAACGTTGTCAAACTCCAAATACCTGTGGCATCTTCAATAATTACATTGTTAAATAATTGTTGTGTTTAATAGAAACTGGAATATCTATTAGATGTATATAATTAAAGTAGATTTTGAATATATATTAATATTTCTTTCTTTCTTTTATATAGAGAATACAGTACAGATGATGACGACAATGATGATAATGACGATGACGGCGGGGATACGTCAGATGCAGAGAATTCAATTTATGATTTTTGTATTTCAGAAGGTATTGAAAAAACAGATGAAAATAGTTCCAACGAAACGGACGTTACACATTTAATATTGAATGATGTAGAAGTATGTTTTAGTTACTTCATGTATAATCGGTTATTCTTGAATACTTTTTTTACATGAGGTTAGTAGTTAAGCTTTACTCATGTCGTTGTGGTTGCTTTGTTGATTAGATCATAGTTATCTAAACACTAAATGGATGATTTCTTTTATTGAGAATTGTAGCTATTTTATTTGGCGGATTGTGATGCTACTTGACAGCCGATGTAAATAGTTTACTTAGCTAAAGAAGGTTTTATTCGTAGTGAAACTTCATCAGTTGAGATGGCTAGGACACGTGTTACGTATGCCCAACGACCGACTTCCTCGACGTGCGATGTTCAGTGGTATAGGAATAGGTTGGAAGAAAGCTAGGGGTGGCCAGACCAAAACATGGCACAAGTCCACGAAGTCACTGACAAGTGGACTGAGTCATGTTGGTAGGTGTAGACTACTTGGTTGGGGACCGCAAGATGATAGCAACCGATGGTTAGAGACCCTGAATGACATGGCTCAAAATCGTTTGCAATGGCGCAGGTGCATACAATCTTTGTGTTCTCCCAAATTTTGATCTTATTCCTCCTTGTCTTTTTTTTCTCTCCCCAAATTTATTTCACTGTATTATACTCTTTAAATAACATCTCCAAACACTAATCTTCCCGATTACTGCTTATACTCTTAATACCTCTATCACTACGGGATTTGAATCGATGACTGCATCTCTGTGCTAATGTGGTACGGCAACTCGAACTGATGTACGTACGTACGAAGTTCTACGTTGTTACTGACTGACTGACTGACTGACAACGCGCCAAGACCAACCTCCTTTTGAATAGAAACTTCTAAATCTTACTATTTATTTACAAAAAATCATTGCTTATATGAGAAATGTAGAGCTGAAAAACTGAACTAATGTTCTTTATTCATGCCTAGTATACTGTGTATTTATGTAGGCATACATTTGTTTGTATGTTTGTATATTATATAATTTAGACGTTGTTTTTACTCCATGGACTTGGTTGTTTAGACGTTTACTTGCCACCTAATGGAAATTCACAGTTTCATTCAACCATTGAATGTCAACAGCTGGATCCATTGTCTTTGGTAAGATAGAAAGATGTTATTTTAGTTTATTTCTGTATCATGTAACAGTAATTTCATTTTTTTATATTGTTTTTTGTTTGCTTATACATAAATATGCAATATATAATGTACTGACGATTAGTATTGTCTAGTTAGAGTAATTGTTCTGGTAGTTTGTCATTTGAACTTGATCATGTTTAGCCGTATTTAGTGAATTGTGTTTCAAATGTTTGTTATCAAATTTAAACAGAGTTGGATGGTGACTGACAGTGAATCCAAGACGCACTTCTCGTCCTATCTGGAATACGTCAACTGGATCTCAGAACTGATATTTACTACGATACTTGAACCCCGTATCGTTCCCTTCAAACCCCATCATCACGTTATCCATTTAGCTACTGAATCCATATGGCTACTGGCTTTTGCAGTGGAGTGAATTTTAATCCATATATATTGGTCGTGTGGATCTTCCAACTGATACTTTAGGACTAAAGTTGATCAATCTCTTATAGGCGCATGTACATCCTGTACGAATTGCCTTGATATTGCCACTGAGTCACAAGCATTTTTAAGCAAACATAGAGGGTTGTTAGCAGCGAAATCCAAATTGTTATTGAATATTTCAACACGTCCACTTGTATTGTAGGTCAACGAACACCATACATCTTTGAATTGTTGGACAGGATCATACTTTAAAATTATTTACTAGTCAAAGTTATATGTTGAGTTTCGCTTAAGCTATTTACAATAAAATAACTGATTCTGTCAGTGTACTTGTTTCGTACGATTGATAGCTCGTGAGAACTCCCATGTTCCTACATGTATTATCGGAATATCAAAAGTTTTTTTGCTATAAGTACTATCTGTTACTCAAATTCATAGTTGATGTGGTTGTATAATTACAACGCCAAACCATATTGCGTTATAACTTATAACCCTTAGTTGGCGCTCAAGTAGGACACTTTCGATTCTAAACGGATTAGTATCATCTATACAGTTATTTGGCTATTACGAATGATATAATATATAGGAATAATTATTAAATTAGTAAGCAATTTATACAAACTCTGTTAAAATGCATTTTATAAACACTCACTCAAAATACCCATACTAATCCATTTAATAAGCAATATTCACATTCCATATCTTCTTTCGCTATGTTCAGTTTATTGACTACTGCCTCCCACGTTGACAGCCACATTTGGCCAAATATTGTACAAATGTTATTTTCTATTTTATGGTACGTTGTGGTCTGTCTGGTTGATATATAAACCGAGTATGTTAGAAATAAATGATTCATATTGCAGAAGCTGGTATTGTATTCTGAGCTCAAGTGGGCGGACATAGGCCCCCAATAAGGACGTTAGGCTGTTCATACCGGTCGGACGTCATTTGTTTGGCACAGTGCTAAGATTGGACAAGCGGTATTTTGATTGGTGGCTAAATCACGTGATAAAAAGCCGGACATAAAGTCACAACAAGTTGCATGAAGAATGTTTCTGCATATTCGTTTCTGATCTATGTTTGATGTTCAATGTTTAGTTATTATTGTATCTCAAAGATTAGTTATTGACAATTGTAACATCCTTCAAATTATATCATGGTGTAGTAATGTGTAATTTCAGCATAGTAGCGATAACCATCCCGTATAACTTAGTCACTCATAAATCTCATCATTTTAGAATTGAACACTTTTTTCACTTCATATTAACTGATTTATTCTAAATAATAAACAAAGTTCTTATTAGAAGAAGACTAAAAACTCCAATATTCTATACTGAAAGTTATTCTAAGTGATTAAAACACATGAAAATGTTTGGAGTATGAAATGGTTCATTCTTTCTTGACTTTATTTAAACAGCACATTCTTTGTTATTTAAAGGTTAATTTTAATGAATATTATTTATCTGTTTAATTAAACTTTAGTATCAGAAGGGGTTTTTTGTGGATATTATAGTAATTTTAATAGTTGAGATCATAAGTCAATTGACGATAGACCATCATGGAGAGTTTGAAAGTATTGGACGGCCGTTTCGTCCTATTGTGGGATTCATCACCAGTGCATATCCACGATCCCACCTCGCGAGATTTGAACCCAGGAGGAGTTCCACAATAGGACGAAACGGTCGTCCAGTACTTTCAGGTTTTCCGTGGTGGTCTAGCTTCAGTTGACTCATTATCTCAACTAATATAACTAACTTTTGTTTAATCTCAACTATACAATCAACAAATTATAATTCTGATATTATTTATCAGTTTGCTTGTTATTATTAATTTGAAAACATTACATTTAGAATAGATACAATATTAGACATAAATGAATATAGATATCTTGTTATGTAGTGTCTAAGATTGACTATATGTGAACAAATAAAGAGTTCAAGTTCTGATTTATATCAACCACTGAATCACTCATATCTAAGTTATTTACATTCTCCATCACATGATGTAATCAATAAGCTTGTGTTGTTAACATCTTTCATCAGCTATCTTTTAATTGATAATAGTTTGCAACCACTATTATTTGACGCTGTATTACTGATTACGCTTTGATTGAAAAATTGATGTGTATGGATTTGGAAATATCAGATGACCCGATATCTGTATTCTTTTCATTTCGTTTATCGTAGATATTCTATTTTGAATAGCTTAATAATTGATAAGTCTTGTAAATTTGAACACTTTATTCTGTTCCTAAGTTATTCTGGTGACCCGCAAGCTAGAACTACGCAGCGACCTGAACTCGAGAGAAAAGGAGCAAAATAAGCGAAAACCACTTTACTCCAAAGGTTCATTTTTGTACAGAAAAACACGGGTATTTATAGATGTTAACATTTGTTAAATCAACATCATATTTTGGCCAATCCGCTAAAAGACATATTATGCTACTGACCAATAGTAGCACGCCACGTTGATATTCTAGAAAGCTCCATCGTGTTCCGATTGGCTAGGACTCTTTGGCTCTTTTAGGGCCTCTGGAGGCTCCGTTTCAGGTTTCGGAAATCCGACTCAACAATGACAGAATAACCAGTATCATTATAATAAATATCTGCATTTTGATAAATATTCAGAAAAACTGCTGAAATGAGAGGAAATGTAGAACAAAGTGTTTTTCTTACTTCTCAGATCTACAAACAATTTTTTCCCAGTTATCAGATGAATTAAGCTTGTGCAACATGCAAATGTAAGATCGACAGCCAATGATCTCTAGGACCTTGTTATATACTTCTAAATTAAATGCGGTCAATAAACTGGAAATTGGTATTTACACATGTTTTTTCAAATACTCTAAGCATTATCCATCGATCTATGGAGACCAGATAGGCACTAACTCATTCAATGAATACGACGTTTGTATGATTATTCAAAAACGATTGAGTAATCCTAATGTCGATATTATTAACCGAAATTTGTCCATTCTTTGTTTGTATATGTGTATTCTGCTTTTATTGACTCGATATAGCGATTATACTGGTGGGTGGCCTATGCTCCTCCATGAAGGGTAACAGGCGTAATTATATACAATAAATAGATTGTGGATAGGAGTGATATTCAAGAAACGAATTTCCGACAAAGACTGATCAATATTAGGATGTAGGTACATCGAGCTAAATAGTCCAAAGTAGAACAGAATATCGGGTTCTGGTTTCCACTGTTAACCTTAATTTATCTATTCTATACAACTTATATCATAATGGTTATCTTCAAGCAGTTCAAACATATATCATTAAGGACTGATCAAATTGCAGCCAATAATATAAACAATAAGATCACTGAAATCTTTCCTAATAATAATAATAGTGGCTTTAATATGTTGCTCAGATATTTCGATAATGCATATGTTGGTGTGTTCGTGAAGTCTATTATAGGTCTAAGAGGGGTGTCTGGTTCATGAATTTTAGGTAAACCATAAAAACGTGAAGTATTGCATGGTTTGGAATATAGAGCAAACCATAGCGAGATACCAATGATTGGTTTTAGTTCCTTCAAAATTTGACTTGTCTCTGAATTGACTTTATTTTTAATCGTTAGAGCATTTTTCAGATCGATCTTTTGATGTCGTCCTGTAGAGAGATGTTCAAGAGCTTTATTAATATAATCCTTTTTATTCATGCCCACTGCTGTGTTGCCTTTGTCAGGTTTTGTGATTATAATCGTTTTGTCTTTTTGAAGCGAATGTAGAGCCTTCAATTCTTCTTTTGAAATGTTAAGCGGAAGGTATTTTTGTTTAGTCAAAATATGGGATGTCTTCTGACGTAGAAAATATGGCTTCTTCCGGTAGTTGTGCGATTAGTTGTCCATTACAACTTAACTTACATAATATGATTAAAGATTCCTATGAATTTAAATCAAAAATATCTAAATTAATTATCGAAAAGAATGAAATCATGGTAAGCTGTGATGTTTCATTATACATTAGTATTCCTATTGATAAATGCTGAGAATTTATTAGTGGTTTACTAGAGAACGACAATAGTCTTTCTGACGGATGTCCTTTAAGCATTAGTCTAATCATGAAATCTTTAAAACTGCTTAAATTCGACATATTTACTTTTAACGGGACTTTATACAAACAAACTAGCGGTGTAGCAATGAGATGCCCAGTGTCCCCGATTGTAGGCAACCTATTTATGGCACGCATAGAATCGAATATTTTCGCCAATGATATTAAACCACGAATTCGGCTTAGATATGTAGATGATACCTTTGTTGTGATAAAAAAGACTCATCTAAAATCTTTTTCGAAACAGCCAAAAAAACCAAAACAAGTTGGTGAAGCCTAGTAGGCCCTTCTGGAGAGAAACAAGCAACGTCGATGCACGACACAACTACCAGGGTTAGAATAGTTGTTTTGCAATTGGTTAGAGTTTGCCCCGTATGGAGGAACCCCGTACATTACATGCACCACTGAATTTTTTGTCGTTTTTCGATCAAGCAGTAATTGCGCTGTGATTCTTTGTGGATTTTGTAATCAGTTTCTGGATATCGTTCAAGTGGGTGATTAGCCCGATCTCTATCACCCGGGTTACCGCTCATATTAGTTCATGAAACTGAGTTCCACTATCCAGAAGGCACGATGAGGACGTGTGAGTCGGGTTTTGCCTCCTTTTCCGAAACAGATCAATACATTTTCATTAGAAGAGCTAACAAGATAATCACATCAGAAGAAGATAAACAGAAAGAACAAAAGAATGTAAATAGCATCTTACAATTTAATAATTTTCCTATGAAGATTATTAGAAGTGTATTAAAACAACATGTTTCATCGCTCAATAATAATTATCCGAATGAGATACCATGGATTGGTATTGCAGTTTTACCATGCCGTTATGGTACAACAGAAGAACTCTAAAGAATTTTACAATAACACAGAATTAAAGTATATTACAAAACAACGAACACATTTCGAAATACTTCAGTTCGCTTAAAAGAAAAAATCCCCTTTATTTCAACACAGAACTATGTGTACAAATTAGGATGTGTCGATTGTGATGCCTTCCATATTGGAGCGTTATCTCGCGAAATCTTGACTCGAGCCAAATAACATATTAGGTACACAATGAAACCACCTAATAACCCCGTAGAACTGGGTGGACTTCATACTAAATTGACAATGGCAGTTCACACCATTTACAATAACCACCAAAACGATTTTAAAATATTACAAGAAGGTTTTTCAATTACAAAGAAAGGAGAGTAGCTGAATCGTTCCATATATTGCTTAATCCTACTGCTCTCAATAGAAAAGAAGGATTTACTATACATCCTACTTGAACTATCTATGCTAGCCACCTAGTCTGATATTATTAACATTTCACACTAGTATCGTACATACAAATTAAACTCTATCCTTTCTCACAAATGTCGCTTATAAATCACCTTGACCGAAATGACATGACCTTGATTTGTTCAGATCGGTTTTTTGATTGATCGCACATAGTATTCTTACGTTGTTCCTTTGTACTATTTAAACTTGGATTAAATTTGATCTGGTTATTTATACTCTGAAGAAATGGCTTACACTGAGTCACGAAACGTCGGAAAATTTGATTTTTCTACTCATTGGGATATTAGAAGTATATAATTTTTATTTGTAAGAAGAAATTTTGTTTACTTATGCATAGTATGTTTTGCCAATTGAGCACTATATACTTTTTATTTCTCCTTTGTTAGTACCTTTAAGAGAACCTTCAGGTTGACTTTTTGTATTACGTGTATTAAATAATTTGTAAAATCATTGTTTGTAATGTCTTTTTATTTTCTCATTTATTCAATAAATAGACTGAGGTCTGGTTTTGTCTGTGTACAGGATCTGTTGATTCACGTTGTTTACAAATTCCATCAGCACGAGAACAGATTGAAAAGTATTCAGAAAAAGAGCTCCATCTATTACGCCGTTATGCTGTATATATATATTATAGATCTAGGGGTTGGATTGTACGCCCCGGATTATGTGTAGGTGGTGCTGATTACCTACTTTATGCTGAGGATCCTAATTGGAGACATGCTTCATTTTGTGTTCTAGTTGATAGGGATTCTACAACTAAGGATGGAGAACAAATGAATTGCAGTTCAATAGCTGCACATGTTCGTGTTGCACATTCGGTTGGTAAAGTAAGTTCATTTAATTATATTTTGTGCATAACCTTCTTCTTAGTATAGCTTGGATCAAATATAGTCCATAAGATTTTGAACATTAATTTGCTTTTAAATTTGAGGGTGCCCATGTAATTTATTAATATGCGATTTGTAATTCCCATATAAATTGGGTGAATGAGTATGTATAAATTCCACTTGAATAGTTGAAAAAATGTCTAATGATGAAGGAGGACTTAATCATTGGCGACGTCTAAGACTATGATAATGGGAGACACAAGTTTGAGTGCAACGTCGGGCACAATTATCGTCATGATTACAAATATAATTTGCTAGCGAGTGTCAACTGCCACAAAATGTACATTGAATAAGATTTCTTGCCTATTGATTGAAATTTTCATCTTATTTTTCAACCAGTTGGATATTGTCAGTGTGAGGTTGTGGAGATTGGTGAATTTCATTGAGATCAAGAATTGATCTAACGTAGACAACCATTGTGAACCTGGTAACACTGAATAACTGTTGCATCCTAGTATGGGTTTCCTCAAAAGTGCTCGCGTGCAACTCTTCAACCAAGGGTTGATATTACGGCATTCAGTCTTGCGCATATATGCTCAACTTCTGGAGTACTGGGTTTGGGATCCAGTAGCGTATAAGTCTAACTTCAATCGATCGCTTGAACATCTTCCATTGTCTTATTCTCACACCTGATGTAGTTTCCTTCCACTGATCACGGCTTCTCACTAAAATTACTTGAATTTCCTCCCGAAGTTAGTCATTAGTGAAAAGGGAATATGGAGACTGATTGGATATTATTGAATAAAATACAAATAAAGTTGATTAAGTCTTCATGATGTTAAATAAGAGAATTTATATGCAAAACTGCAACTGATTAATATGTTTGCAACTACAAACATCACTTATTAGAATATGAAATATGGGTAATCTAAGCATTCGCAAGATTCTCTTTTAGAATTTGTGTTCTGTGATATTATTGGTTGCTAATTTTAAAAAATCCAATTCCTTTATTAAAGTTTATAAGTGGTACAAATTACTATTTACTTTAAAAGATACCTTTAGTAGACCGATCTAGAATCTTCATTTTCGATGACAAAATTTTTATGAAAATAGAAGAAGGACACTTTTGTAATTTTATGCGGTCTTTTAATCCAAATCTTTTCATGGTTTAAATCGTACAATAAATTTATCTAAACGACTAGGGAAAACCAGTAAGCAGTAGATATCCGTTTCGTCCCAGTATGAGACTTCTCATAAGTACACATCCATGACTTCATCGAGGGCCGAACCCAGAGGCTTTAGATCAACGCCTAAATTTTCCAATACCTAGCTGATAACCAACGTTAGAGGGAGCAAGGACGAAGATTAGTGCAAAATAATATGAATTCATTTTATTTCGTTAGGTTCTCACCAGCTGTTTATAATCTATAATATTTTAAAATCAACATTATTACAGATATTGGCATACTTATACGTATGAGGGTGATTATGGATGAATATGTGTATCATGATGTAGCGAAGATTCCGATGGAGTCAATAAGGTCATAAAAAGTTTTGTTTCGGATATAAATAAAGTTTGGCAGGAAAGGTTCTAGTACATAAAGTTAGCGATTATTTCACTGTTTCATTGTAATCACTATTTATTCATGAAATCGTGGAAAATGCGCTTGTGCACTGGATAGTTTCCTGTTTTATTACTTGATGACTGGTATTCATCGCAAAAAATTTATAGATTTCAATGTTTTCATACTTCTGAAGACGGTCAATTTCTAAAAAATTTAATCATTTCCTTTCTTAAATCTACAATTATGTTAGCGTGTGATACTTTGTCGCGTAAGTCTCCCATCAATCGAGGAGTTTTCTAACAATCCATGGGAAGCTGTTCGGAAAACAACAATTAAGGTAAATAGCAATTTTTTTCGTGACAAACTAACTAGTTATTGAGTTTTTGGGGACGGATTGAAATTAACTATGAAATTATTTTTCAAAGTGATAAAGCACTGGACAGGTGTTTCGTTCTAGTTTGTGAATCCCCAACAGTATATAAGAATAACTCTTCCACAGCTCGAACTCAAGACGTTTTATAGCCTACTATGAGAACCTTATCTTTAATCCATTAAGGTTTCTAAGTATTTTCATACTTTAAAGACTGTTTTTACGAAGAACAAATATCATTCGGATAACCAGTGCAAAGCTAGAATTAATCAGGTTTTTAAAACTGAACAACATTTAGTGAGTCTATGTGACAATGCACATTTTCAAACTTGAACAGACCGTGACTTTTAAGATCATCTAAAGCGGGAACTATAATACATGTTTGATTATACCAATGATCAGTATAGATTTTAAGTTTTCTGAGGACTAAAAGTCTTTTCAGAACTATAAATTGATGTTATTGTTAAAAAGGGAAGTTATTCGTATGATATCTGTTAAAACAAATATCTAAAGTGTGAATACCATATAATGAGACCTAGTCTCTTCTCATGATTTGTATTTTTATTAGGGTATAGGGAGGTTTGTGAAAGTTGCATAGTCTTCATAATTTCAAACTACAGAATCAGGAATCTTCTGCTAGGATGAAATAACTATTCAGTGCCTCCCGGTCCATAGTGCTTATCTAGTTATAATCAGTCGGAAATGTAAAAGCATATTTTATGCTTGATCATTATGCTACTTAATATTCAAAAGTAGTGTATAATTTTACATTTCTCTCAATATATGTAACTTTACGTACTATTGATTAAATTTTTATTTCTTTTAGGAAACTCTCATTGATTATTGGAAACCGAAAGCCAATTAATAAAGAAGTTTGAGAACCAGTTTAAGTTTTAAGGTACAATGTGCCTTAAATATATTTTCAGCGAAATCGTATTTCCCAATAGCGGTGATGTACTTATATTTCAAATTTACTGGTTTTCTATGCAATAAGATACTGTATTTTACTCCCTTCGAATACGTCTTTTACTTATTGTTGCTTTACCGTCAGGTTTCCAAATGTTCACTCATTAAGGTGCCTAGATCATCCAGTACTTTCGTATATGTGTTATGATGTTGTTTAGATACATACGTTGTAGAGATTATTGATTTTTACCGAGATTACCAGCCGACCTATGAAAACCATTAGAAACCTGAAAGCACTGGATGAACATTTCGCTCTAATATGGGATTGCTTAGCAGTAGGGATGTATGACTTGTAATCTGGAGTTGAATCAAAACCTTCGGTCTCGCACGCGAACGCTTAACCTTTAGACTACTGAGCTTCGATGTAAATGATATGCAAGTCATTACGTATGAAGTATATCAAATCATACTTGAATTTAGACAATAATGTATAGTCGTCGCACCCATCTGAAAAGATTGAGGCCACTACTAAGAGTATTAGTCATTTCGAAGGATACTGGAGCCTTTGTGAACTAATTAATGCAAATTGCTGGAGTATTTCATTGAAATCATGAACCAATCTGAGTTATACAACCATCGAAAACCTGGAAGCACTTGATGGCCGTTTCGTCCCAGTATGGGACTCGTCAACAGTGTGTTGAATCGTTAATCAAATTACTGTGATTAATCAGTTCTAGGGTAAGCAGCTATTTAATATGTATGTGTTAACTACATTTACCAATTCAATATTTCAAGAGGCTAATATTGAAACTAAGACAAATGAATAGTGTAATGTGCACATTGTTGCACCCCTAGTATCCTAAACCGTTCAAATAAAGTGCGTGAATGAATAGATTTTGTTCAACTTCCACCTTGAATACTTACAGATCACTTTCGCCCGAACTGCTTTTAACCAAAAGCTTATGTATCGTGTGAAAGTAAGCTGTGATTGAGCAAGGACAGACATGTCCGGCTACAGTGAACATATTTGTTTATAAAACGTTTATTTCAATAACTTGTTTTGTTGATTGCATTGAGCTATTTCTCAATAAACTGTTGTTCAAGCCTATATCTGGTTCTTGATCATTGATTGGTTAATTGATTCGAGTGTATCATTTGACCAGATATTATGTTCTAGTGGGCAATCTAATTTTTACCCATACTGACTTGATTATCCATTATCAAATGTTGTGTAGAATTGTCAATCATACCCACTTTTTATTGTCTTTGCACAGGCTCATATAAACTTATCCCTTAAATAAACTACCCAATTCATTCAATACATATTCCTCTTCATTTTCAATTCTAGTTATCCTTGATGAATACCTTCTATCTTTACAAACCAAATTCTCAAGGTTTAATTTGTTTATCGTTTCTATTACATGATTTCGATTTGTTTTGTTGTTTTCATCACATCGCGTTATTCTGATATACAACTTAGGTCAACTAACATTTTTCTCAAACTTTAGATTGATAAATTCACATGGTATTGTTTTACTTGTATCTTCCCATTGAGGTTTAAGACTGCAGTTGATCAGTCTGTTATTGGCATATGTGCATACTGTGCGTATGCCTCGATATTGTCTTAATTCACAAGCTTTTATAAGCAAAGGTGGATAGTGGCTAGCAGTGGGATCCAGGACGCGCGTTTCGTCCCATTTGGGACTCGTCAGCTGGATGTACCTGCATCTCAGGGCTGATGTTCACCCTGGGACTCGAACTCAGTACTATTCATTTCAAACACCATCGCATTATCCATTCAGCTACTGAGTCCTGATTAATAATATCTATCTTAAATCAAAACTGGGATAAATTTTTGATTTGTTGTATATTTAAGTCCTGAGTTATCGGTATGCATTATTTCATTTTATTTATAGATAATGCTAAACCTATTTAATATCAGCGGTAATGTAAAGAATCCCAAAACAAATAAAAAATAGCACGGGAAGAGGTAATCAAAAATAGTTTACACAAAAAAACTGAGAAAGAAGTTAAATGAACACCTTGGAATCAATTTTCTTGAGACAAAAAAACCACGTGAGTAACAGAGCACAATTTACAATAAGATACTTCAAACATTTGTTAGAGAGAGAAAAAAAGGAAGGGGGGATATAATTTGCAGGGGAAGATTGTATTAGAAAAAAGTGATTTTGAATAGAATATATTTTACAAAAAAGGCTTGTTTTTTCCTTTTGTTACAATTATACTGTTTGGTGTGGTTAAATGAGAAAGCAAATAAGACCTTGACTAGGTATATCGAGAGACATATTCAACAATGGAATTTCTTGTGGTTCGAGCACAGTTTTAGAGAAGAAAAAATACTTACAATAAATGCAATACTGTGATGATAGGTTGTTGTTGTTTTCTTTTTTTGTTTACCTTTTTCATTATTACTTTCGATTCATTGGTTTAGCTTTCTGGAAACAATTGTGAAAGATTGATATGTAATATAAGGAAGAAAGAATATATGTAACATTCAAATAGAAGGTAAAAATCTGATGATGTGTGCTGAACGATACATTATTCAATATTAGAAATTGAGATATTGAGCCTTATTTGACAATTTCAGCTAGACACATTCATCTGTATTTATAATTAATCATGTTAATTACCATTACGATTGATGGACTTAATCATCTAAGCTATTGGTTGGTTAACAGTTTCTTGTACACAAACAAAAAGTATAATAATGTTGAATTGGGGAAGAAACAATTAGGTACATACATTTTAGATTAAGATATGCAGTAGCAGTTTCATTCGAACGTTACTATATAATTATTGTAAACGCTTAATCGTATAATTGTTCCTACCAGTTCAGTCGGTGGTAAATTAGTCAGTCGTTAGTGAAGAAACTATCAATTTACTATAACACGAAATGAGTCATAAATCTATGTTTAATTCAGCTGGAATTTTTTATTTCCAACTAGCACCAGTTCCGCTTATTTTTCAGATAACCGTTCAAATAATTATCGCTTACTAGTGAGTGACCGGTCTTGACCGATAAATTAATTTTAAGATGTCATTTAATAAAGAGATAGTTAAAACGGATGATTTTTGTAGATCTAGTCGATTCTTATAGTGGTGCTGTGTTTTGTGAGCTCAATGGTTTAATTAGAGGACTTTTATCATCTTTCTAGACAACATTATCAGTGCCTACTCCACGAAAATCCACAATTAAGCCATTTAGCTCAAAGAGGCTAGAATATAAATTATTTGTCTTTACGAAATGTAATAACACTTGGGAATCGCTTTGTTACATAATACAGACATAATAAGATGTAAATAAAGCAGATCTCAGTTTACATATCTTTTTCTTAGAAAGATAACCGCATATATACCTTAAGTCCGCGTACATTATAGATTAGTTTGCCAAATACCACTTACAAGTCATTTTTGACTCGCATAACTGATTGGACAACTATATAGGTAGTGTGTCCACTTGAGTCCATATTACTTTTGGAGCCATGATTTTTACTGTGCTTTTTATTTGGCATGTTGGAATGCGCCATATCAGCGTGTTCATAATCAGTCAAAACGTAGAAACTGGTACATTTCTACATCAGTCTAAGTTGCTACACTCTATTAGCACAGTGAGATAGAATTGTCAGAAGTCGGAGAGTAGTAGAGGTAGTGAGTGTTCTCAGTAATAGAAGAGATCGGACATCAAATGTATGGTTCGAGAAAGTATAGACTAGCGGAGTTGAAAAAGTTTATAAGAAATTAAGAAGCTTCGTATCTAAGAGAAAACAAACATCAAATGCATATTCGCCACTACGAACTGTTTTGAGTTGTCACTCAAATCATTGCGTAATCACTTGTAACCCAACCAGTCAGTCTGAACTTACCGATATCGCTCAGTTCAACAGCCTATGTATTCATGAGCCAATATATATTGGCTTGGTCGTTCCTACCATTTTCTCAACCTGCTCTTACATCGATCATCATCGCCCGCTGAGTTATTCAGTCGATAAAATCACCCTACTTCATCCCTATATAGTATTCTGCGTCTAACTTTGGGAATATTAACGCGATATAATTCATTGTAGATAGGTGTAAGTAACTTCAGATTCTTGAAATGAAATGTTCAGTGGAAACTATTGTGAAATGCAACATTCACCCACTAGATGAAGCGAAAGTGCTGGGTACCAGTCAGTCAGTAAGTAACAACTTAGAACTTCGTACGTACGTACATCAGTTCGAGTTGCCACACCACATTAGCACAGAGATGCAGTTGTCGATTCGAATCCCGTAGTGGTAGAGGTAGCAAGAGTATAAGCAGTAATCGGGAAGATTAGGGTTTGGAGATGTTATTTAAAGAGTATGATGCAGTGAAATAAATTTGGAAAGAGGAAAAAAGGGACATGAAGAATTCAGAAGATTAGAATTTGGGCGAACACAAAGAGTGGATGCACCTGCGCCATTGCAAACAATTTTGAGCCATGTCATTCAGGGTCTCTAACCATCGGTTGCTATCATCTCGTGGTCCCCAACCAGGTAGTCTACACCTACCAACATGACTCAGTCTACTTGTCAGTGACTTCATGGACTTGTGCCATGTTTTGGTTCGGCCGCCTCTAGCTTTCTTCCAACCTTCTCCTATACCACTGAACATAGCACGTCGAGGTAGTCGGTCGTTGGGCATACGTAACACGTGTCCCAGCCATCTCAACTGATGAAGTTTCACTACTTCATCAATTGATTTGCCATCCTTACCTATTACCCGTCTCCTAACAACTGTGTTACTTACTCGATGGTCCCAGGATGTACGAGCAATCTTTCGAAGACACCTGTGATCGAATACTAGTAACCTACGAATATCCTCTCCTCTTACCGGCCATGTTTCACTGCCATAAAGTAGGACGGAACGAACTGCTGCGCAGTAAACACGTCCTTTGGTTGATAGACGGGTATCTCGCCTACGCCATAAATGACGCAAGTTGGCAAATGCTAGTCGAGCCTTCTGTATCCGTGCTGAGATTTCGTCACACACCAGACCACAAGGGCTGATGAGACTTCCAAGATAAGTAAAGCGGTCTACACACTCAACTACTTCACTCCCTATCACTAGTTCGGGTGTCGATGTAACCCAATCCTGAAGCAACATTTTGCATTTCGAGGGAGAGAATCGCATCCCGAACATGCTTGCATTGTTGCTTAGAGTGGTCAGAAGACTCTGTATTTTGTCAGCGTCTTCACCAAATAAAACTATGTCATCAGCATATTCTAAGTCAATATGTGAACCTCCCGGTAGAAGTTCAACCCCTGGAAATTTAGATGAGGAGAGTGTTATCTCTAAAAGTACGTCGACCACAAAGTTGAACAAGAACGGGGAGAGTGGACAGCCCTGACGAACACCACTTGAGGTAATCAATTCTGATGACAGCTCGCCATAAGCTCTCACTCGACCAGTTGTGTTTGAGTAGAGAGCCTTTATAAGGTTAATGTACTTTCTTACTCCTTTCAGTGACGAACACTGCCATAGAACCTCACGATCAACAGAGTCGAATGCCGCCTTAAGGTCGAGAAATACTACCATTGTGGGGCGTCTGAATGTGTGTCTGTGTTCTAGAACCTGACGTAGTGTGAATATCTGATTTATACAATCACGTCCAGGTCGAAAACCGGCCTGGTTTTCTCTAATCTGCTCTTCACGAGCTTTGATTAGGCGTCGAAGTATTATTGAAGCTAATATTTTAGACACTATATTGGTCAAACTGATTCCTCTGTGATTGTCACAAGAGGACTTTTGTCCTTTCTTATAGACTGGCACAATCAGTGATTGAGACCAGTCAGATGGATTACGTCCAGTTCCCAAATTCTACCTAAGACCTCGGTTAATCTCATTGTTAATACTGGACCACTATCCTTAAAAATCTCAGAAGTAAACCTGTCAGGGCCTGCTGCTCTCCCTCCTTTCAGATTTCCTATGGCTTTTTCAACTTCGTAAAGGGACGGAGGACTTACATTAACTTGCCATTCAGGTTGACTAGAGATCGTGGGAAACCGAAGTGTGGCTGAAGCCCAGCTGGGTACCACTGTTATGGAAGATTGAGAAATGGATAGATGACCTCAAAAAATTTATTATTATCTCAGTGTACTACATAGTACTTCCAAATTTTTTTTGCATGATTGAGCAGTTACTAAGATATATAAGTAGAATATGTCGATGTATAATAGTGATTTCATTTATCATTTTCTTAAGTTAAAGACACCAGTGGTAGATTTTTTAAATACAACTTTCGCAATAATATTTGTTAGCCAGACTTTGTGTGATGTGAATATCAACGTAACTTAACAAATGCTTACTATTAAATAATCAATTAACAGCTTATTTCACCTTTAGACAAAATAGTACACAAACTTGGTCATCTTCCTAAGTACATAATGGGTTATTTTTTTCTAAAAATGGTAATAATTGTGAGTAGATTTTAGGTACGAGGGGAATGGCCAACGCCCAACTTAGGTGAGTCAGCATATGTGAAATTGAATGGTGGATCAATTTATTTGGATACATCGCAACCGATAGTTGTTTTGCTAATGTTTTTGAAATATGGGAAATATTTATGAACTAGTAAAACCATAAAACAGTATTGACCTAGGGCTAACGTCAAGGTTATCAATTATAACGAAAGTGGTTGTTTATCGGTCATCTGCTGAATAATTTTACTTCAATGATGCTAATGTATTTGGATCGTCTGAATGGTGAAAGTGTTGTAGGTTATTTATGCCGTCATGAATTGCTGAGTTCATTGCTAGTTTGTCAGTCGGATACAATTTTAACGATCATTATTTTAAATGTGACATAATATACTATCATTTCATTGAATGATGTATTTGACTCATTGAAGTCTATGTTTTCATATGATAAAAATCATGAAATGATCTTGTCCACTATGGAAAAACACGCCTCATTGAATCTAAGCATTATATACATGTTCCAACTAGATCTTTGAAAAACAACGGTGGATGAACATACAGAGTCATTGAATATTGACACCGCTTAAAAATCTATCTTGACATTTGTATGACACAACCGTTCGTTTAAGTTAGAAAATATTGGCAGTTGCACTCTTGGTGTAATTATCACCCATTATCATTAGTATTATTGTCTTAAATCAGTTGATTAATAAGAATAGCGAAGCCTGCAGTAACTATTTCATTCATTGATATAAAGAACTTCGAATAAGAAGTTATAAAAGAAATGTGGAATATATAAAATTTTATAAAACAGTAATATTGTAGAACTCACTTGAACAAATCTATTTGGTTGACTTTCAATTTTCTGGAAGAAAACAAAGTATATCTCAAATAAATTTAATATATGAAAACAAGCAGCCACAGTAAGTCCTGAATCTCTTGGATCCAATCCTGATCGCTCAATGATGAGGATCAATCCATGTTGTAAAATATACATTTCCACAAATCTTTATACTAATTTTAAATGAGTTAGTCTTACCAATGTTTAGTAAACATAATAATTGTTACTATGTTAACAAAAAATTAAAAATGCACCACATGAAAATGAAGGCAAGCTAGCTTAACTCTATGCATACTACTTAATTTCAAATGAATTATAAGAGAGAAAAAAAATACACTATAGTCAACATATATGATCATACACATGACCGGTTCTATTCATTTACATAGGCATTAATCAAATGCATTTCTATTGATCAAGGTCAATGAAATCTAGATGTATTATGATTTGTTTCACTTCATTTTTAATTCATAGAAACAATGTGTAAAATAATGTAATGAGATTCTCACTGTACCATAAACGAAGATTATTAAAGTATAAATTACGATGAATAACGTAGTGAATTATCATGTTCTATGTAGTATTCAATGAATCTACATATTCGCCAAACTACAGTTGAAACGAAAGTGTACTGAATTTGTAACCCTATTTGATCTTAAATTTGAAACGGATGCTCCCCTAAGTCGGTATGAACAGTTGGATTGTTGTCAATAACTTTATGATGTTCTCTAGTGCATCGGTTTTTTTCGTAGTTGCTGAGTTAGGCTGACTGAGAAATTTATAGCTCAGGCAGTATTGTATTCTATGAGTTAAACAATTTTTAGTTGCGAAGTATTCATTCCAACATTAACTAAGGTTTACTAATAGTATAGAGAAGTATAGAGATTGTCAAAACTTATGATCCTCATCAAGAAGTGAACTAAATAATATGATCTCTGTAAGCCAGGAAGTAATGAATGGTTATTTCGATTTAGTCTAATGCATATTCATGAACTCACCGGCGGTGAAAGTCAGGTGATCGTACGATATCGTCAATTGATTGAAATTAGGCGCACAAACCACTGGTAAGGTCTATTCAATAACACATAGTAAAGCTTGGTTCAGTGAGGCAGTAAGTAATATGTTAGACGTAGAGCGGTTGTTAAGTGGTTAGAAAGATTTAGTGTTCGACGATTAAATTGTACCATTTGGACACTGCACCTACCTTGGATTATTTAAGTGGTCAGTATCACTAAGTGTTATACAAAAAGTTGATCTTATAGCCAGTTTCTGAATCTACAATTTATTAGTAAATGTATGCGAAACGTTCGGAACAAAAGGAATAATTTTATAGAATACCTAAAGTCATGTCCAGTATTACTCGTTTTGATCAATATAGTGTTGTGGAGATTACTAAGTTTTTGGTTGAGATCATGAACCGATTGATATTAGAACTAATCTGTGTCGGATAGAGACAAGTATCTACCTCAGTACAATGGAAGATGGTCGCGCAATTTCGTGGATTAGTTGAGGTTAGAGATTAACACCGTTGGATGCCGGCTCAGTGGTCTCGAGGTTAAGCGTTCACGCGCGAGACTGAAGGCCTTGGGTTCGAGTCACACGAGCGGAGTCGTGGATGCGCACTGCTGAGAAATCGCACAATAGGACGAAACGGCCGTCCAGTGCTTCCAGGTTTTCAATGATGGTCTAACATCAATAGGTTCACGATCTCAATCAAATTCCTTGTTTTTATTGAATTACATATAATTCACAAATTTTAGACTACACTACTTATTAAACAACTGGACTATAAGAAATTAGGCTATTTGATTTAACAGGTAAAACCTTATACTGTAAATCATGATAAGACAAATAAAATTTTAATATCAAGTGACTTATATCAACAGGGGAATTTGCTAGAGTTCGTAAATGGAGAAATTTTAACCCTGAAGATAGAAACTAAACTATAGTCTACATAATTTTCAAGTATTTATGACTTTTTTACATCATCTTATAAATCCAGTCAAATTAATCAATATCCTCAGAATGAATTCCGAAGATTATCAAACTTTTAGTTGTAATCATTACTAATTGATAAGTTCTTCTGGTATCGATTTATTCTAATATGTAATCTGTTGAAACTTCACTGGCTTTTGTTAAACCATGCTGAATAGTTGATTGGTAAAGGCTTTGATAAGTACCAACTAGCTATGAAACTATCTATCGATCACTTCTGACTATCAAACATCACATCGATACAAAGATGGATAGTGGTTAACAGCATTTCGTCACCAGTAGCTACTATCCATCTTTGTTTATAATGCTTGTGAATTAAGGCCAATAACAGACTGATCAAGTACAGTCTTAAACATCAATGGGAAGATTTAAGTAAACAACAATACCAAGTGAATCATATCAATACTTTCTCACAATGAATATTGTACCTACACACACTATAAAACTAATATTAACACACAAGTTGTAGAATAAACTCTAAAACCATTTTTTTTTGTTTACTAACTTCAATTTAACTTAACCCAAATTGAAATTAAACACAATAAAGATAACAAACTGTTATACAAAGGGGAAAAACTGAAAAGATTACAAAACTAGTTTACTATTTTAAACAAACAAATTGATCATCATTAGTGAATAGAAACAATTAAACTAGTCATATCTTCAAATAAATTAATATCCACCCCTCTCAATGGAGAATAAATAATTTTTTTGTTTTTTTTTAGTAATTTTCAATTTTCATTTCTTTTTTTGTTTGTTTGTTTTGTTTTACTGAAAAATTTATGAACCTAAAGATAAATGATTCGTTTAGTTGACTGGTTTCAATGAACATACATGGTAATATTGATTATTATGTTTAGAAAAACAAACAAACAAACGAAAAGTTACTTTTGTCAAAATAAATCATTTTAATAGTTGAGATCATGAGTCACTTGAAGCTAGATGATCACCATGGAAAACCTGGAAGCATTGAACGACTGTTTCGTCCCATTGTGGGACTTCTCAGAAGTGAGTATTCACGATCCTGCCTCGTGAGATAACAATCCAAGATCTATCAGTTTCGACATAGAAAATAATAATAGTGTAGTGTTGGTTACTATGCTAAGCCTATATAACTTATTCTAGCTTCTGAATAGGCCAATTTACCCATTCTTCTTGAGTCACATTTTGACCTTGTTAATTATTCATTTATCAATCTTGACTGTTCTTATAGGGGAGTTTGTGTGTGTACACTTCTTACCCCATTCATCACATGTCTGTAGCTTATTTTTGTGTGACTATAAATATTGAGTTACACTTGATTAAATGGAGTTAGCTCACATGCTTTCTCCAGTGCGCGGCATCTCGCTTCGCTCTCTTTTAATCGCTTCATTCCTCTGATTGTCTGTCCAGATCAATGAGTGTACAAAATGTACGTATTCAAACATCCATTCTCATATTTGAGTTATTTTATTTCGTTGTTCACCAACGCGATTTAAGTCGATGATTATGTACAAGGCTTGGTGATACGTATATTTCAATAACAATCATCCCTACAATACAATTGGGGTCAGATAAGGGGCCACTAAAATAGTATTAAGTCTAGTAACAAAAATTAATCTTCATTTAGTTTTCATGCAAATCAATTCTATCATTTGAATCAAACGTTTATTCATTGTGTTCAAGGAAGTAAGTTAGAAGTACACAATCTACTCTGAGTAACTTCGGCTTTGATAATCAGTTGGTATCACTAACCTCTTTATAAAATAAACTGTACTACAAACATGAGTACATGAAATTTTGAATATTTATCGAGTTACAATAGTAGTATTAAAACTTATTCCTATTTATAATGTTACCGGATATATAACTATGTGAACTCATCAGATCCCAACTAAGATAAATGTGATGGATGGTGGCTAACAATGGAATTCAGGACACGTGTTTCATCCTATTTGGGACTCAATAAGAAGATTCAAACAACCGATATAAAAACGAATTAAGACCAATGTGATTACAAGTTCTTGAATATTAGAATAATTGATGGGTGGAGGTTATAAAATATGTTCAATTTTTAGTCAGTTTTCCTCACAAAGTAGTACATGCTGGAGAACAATTAAAGCACGAGGAATTGGGATAAATCGGGTTCAATCACATTAGAAGTTAAACACATGTCATCACTCTCGTTAATACAAATCTGACGTAATATGGATGATTATGTGAAATACTGCTTTTTGATCCACTGATTTAATTGTATCGTGCTCATGGCGAGGACACAAGGTCGTGGATTCATAAAACTAGGGCGTTCCAAAATTTATAGTGAATCAACTATTAAGTTACCTTTTGTTTTCAATCGTTTCCAGGTAGTCATAACTCCGTGACAATTACTAACTTCGAATTGTTAATTTCTATAAATTATAAGTGTTTTGAGTGTAACTAATCAGAGCTAGATTTACAGCGTCATACTGATTCATGTGCACAGAGTTGATAACTAATTTTAATGTACTAGATTGACAAACTACGTCCTCTTGCTACAATGATGACTTGATTTTGAAGAAAGTGTTGGGATTCGAGAAGAAAATGTTGGTGAGTTTCAGAATTATTATGAAATAAGATGGAGTAGTCATATCTCTAATTTTCATAGCATTTCATAAGCATAGCTAAATTGACACTTGGTTGGTAAGTAATTCGGTTAAACAATTTAGTTGTTAAATAGTTCAGAAACAAACTGTTCGAATGTTGTTCTTATATCACTTTCTTTATTGGCTGTTATCATATACCCACCAACATTTATCAGTTAACTAGGTGTTCGACGTTTACTATAGTTAGTTCTTGTACTTTCTCTATAAGGGATAGAAAGTTTCAGGTTGTCAAATTAGTACTTATTGTTACATTTGCAAGGTAAACGTCAAACACAGTTGAAAATAAACTTTTTTTAATTTCCATTTTTCTTTCAGATAAAATTGTAAGCCTTTGATAACGTTGTCAACCCTGAGGAAAAGCATGCTAAAATGATAATCGTTTTCAGTTGAGTTATATTGAGAAAATCTGTCATCATGACCTTGATATCTGAAGATTCAAACTTTAAGCAATAAGAAAGTTTTTAATGGCACGTAAACCAAAATAATAATATCTAGCTGCTATGATCTATGTGACTAAAGCTTTTAAGCACCTCCTTCAAACGTTACACAATAAATAGTGTTCTCCAGTGACTTTAACATGTATTTTTTGAATATGCTTCACGACCTAAAGAGTTCAACTAGCTTCAAGGTAAATGGCATGATTTTACTTAGAAACTGGTTGTCGAAATGCACAAATTAATAACTTCCAAAGGGATGAGTTAGGCAACAAATACAAGGTAAAGAAGAATCACCATAAAAATTGAATTCAAATTTGCCTCCTACACTATTGATTTGAACATTGTAAAATAATGAGTATCTTGACAAAAAGTATGTCACTAGTTTCTAACAGAACAAATGATCAGTATCTATGAAAATCAAACTTACAGTGTTGGGAAATGATGATGAAAATTTAAATAAATTTTCAGATGGGATAAGCTTCTTCATAAACTGATCTGTTTTCATTTTTTGCTTAGTTCTTTTCATTGGACGAGCAGTTTGAATAATCTTTCAACAGAACATACAAAAAGGAATAACGAAGACATTTTGCTTGTAAAAATTAACAAACTGTTATTGATACAAATAATGATGAATGTGTAAATAATACCTGAATTGTTAACAGATATATATAACAAGGAGAGATTTTCGAATGCGAGAGTTTGGTAATATAGTTATGACGATTCATAAAGACAATTTTTTTAATTCACTCTTTAACCTCAAGGATCAGGCGAATGTTCTAATGACACAACAGATGACAAATTATTTCATCTTCGATAGAAATGGTTATCCACTTAGATTTGTCGATAAGGACTCAACAACTAGACTACATCCCGAAAAAGCACCAACGGTGCAAAAGAAAACTCTTTTTATGAATATGAAATTTAAGGAAGATATGGCTGCCGAACTCCTGGATAAACGGATTGCAAAATCCCTGAATGAAACTTTCTACTCAGCTAAACTCAGTATTGTCTTCTCAAGCCGGCGCACCATTCACGGATGTGTTAAGGATAAACTTCCGCTTTGGGTTACATAGATGTATATCTGTCAGTTTACTTGTATCTACCGGGCAGGATACATTGGCCTCACAAGATTATCACTTCCTAAATGCATCTCATAACATTACCCAACTTGGCTTTAAAAGGCGAATGCAAGATAGCCACCAGTTCAATACAGGAGCATCTTGTCTACTTTGGGCATTTTACTCTGAAGGAATCTTTCTTTAAAGTGATCTACATAATCAAAAGAGCTAGAACGAAAGGAGGTCGAATAAGAAAACTTATGCACTACTGAGACGTTTGTGACCCAACAATTTAAGTCCGAACTCTGAGTACAAAAATGATACATCCAATCTATAATCGTTCTTTTGCCCTAATTCTCTCCTGTAGTATGTTTTGTAATTTCAAACCGTAATCAGTTATTATTATAACCTTTTTCTTCATATATGTCAAGCAGACAATTATCATTCATAATTCTGACCCGTAAATTATTTTCATCCTTCTATTCTTCTCTAACACCTGATTATCACGTAACCTCTTTTGACATTTGGAGTCTAGAATCAATTTATGATGCCATTGTTTCTATCCTTCTATAGACATATATTTACCACACAACTATAGATACGAATGTACAACTCCAGTAAATGATTTCGTTGAAAAGAAAATTTTCTTCACTGAATTCTCTTTATTTTTATTTGATGACACAATGGACTGTTTTAATTGTATCACTGTACAGTATTGGGATCTTAACTCTGTCTGCTTATATGTTAATTCAAATTGAATTTGAGTGTGCTCGATTGATAATCAGTTCCATAACAGAATAACAACATGATACTAAGCTAAATATTATCACTATATAAAATGACACATTAAACTTACGGAATTTTCTGTCCATATTGAAGTATCTGGATTACTAGATGAAGGTTGTTGGAGGTTCGATGATTTATTTGAATGAATCGATTTTAAATGTGAATGAGAATCAGAATTTGTAATACATTGTGGTTGTTTTCGTTCACTTGTAGATTCTTTCAAAAAAGGCGCAGAGAATTTATGAAATGTAGACAACAAATTAGATTGAATTAATTTTGTTTTGCAATCAATAGAAGAACAATAGTCATTTTCTACAAAATTATTCTCTTTTGAATACATTATTGAATTGAACTGGTGGTTCATGTTTATAGTTTGTGGATTATATAACAAATTCAATGGAGGTTGTTCGTAGGATGAAAGCTAAGCAAATAAAAAAAACAGATTATATATATATATAAACTCCGCCTGGAGCCCCTCTGTCAGTCAGTCAGTTACAACGTAGGACCAGGCACATATATGCATCGGTCCAAGTTACCATACCTCATTAACACAACAAGATGGACACCGGATTTATAGAAGTAGTTAATTCAGAGGTGGTAATATATAAAAGAAAGATTGCAATAAGGATATAGTACAGGAAGAAAGAATTAGTTCGTAGAAAGAAAGATATAAAGCAATTTTAATCTCTTAGTTTAAGGAAAGATAGAGAGTATATACACCGACTCCATTGTGATCGATTCTGAGCCATGTCACCAAGAGTCTCCAACCATTGGTTACGATAGTCACGCGGACCCCAACCAAGTATTCTGCATCTACCAACATGGCTCGGACTAGAAGTTAGTGATTTCAAGTACTGATGCCACGTTTTGGTCTAGCTGCCTCTAACTTTCTTCCAGCCATCTCCAACACCGGTTAGCATTGCACGTTGTGGTAATCGGTGTCCAGGCCCCTCTGTGGCTACTGCCGGTCCCAAGCCGGGATAAAGGAGGAGAGTTGGGCATAGGGTTAGCGACCCCATCCCGTAGAAAACTAACTCGCTAAAAAACCGCTAACCAGAATATATATAAATTAATCGTCAAGACTATTAGCAGATAAGTGTCTATTGTACGAAACTATAATAACCAATGATTACTAAGAGTTGGAAATTTATAATGCCGGCTGACCCAGTGTTGCAATTGATCAAGTATCCACCATGAGACCTGAAGCTCCTGAGTTAGACCTTCGTCAGGGTTGTACGGATACATTACTAAGAAGTCCCGTGCTAGAACGAAATATCTGTCGAGTACCCGCAGAGTTTTAATACTATCCTATCTTTGATCATTCTGTACTAAGTACAACCTATGGATTATAGAAGGTGATAGTGATAAAGGTATACTCCACCCTAAATATCCATCCAGAACACAGAGAAATACAAACTTGAAATAATGAAAATTAAGTTATAAAACATTATGTATTGATTCTTATAATGCTATTTATGTTAATATATTGATACTCTATTTTGTTGCTCTATTTAGAAGAACATTTTAAGCTTATATCGGCACAATAGTTGTGTATATAGTCAGACGTATTTAATGAGTCTAGCAAAACTCCTACTCAATATTTGACTACAGGTTAGTTTAATTTAGAAGAATTTGCCTAACTTCATTATTCATAGAAGTTATTACCATCAATAATCACCCTAATCAAAAAGTTTATGAAATTCAATATTTTTTATCGAGGGAGATAAATGGATATCTGTCAAGGCATGTATTCGGATTAAGAAAATATGTGCATTCCGAGTAGAATAAATAAATGGAGAAGATGAACGAAAATTGTGTTGGAAACAGTAGTGATAAAACGTTTAATGAGAATGCTTACTATTCAGATATGTCTTTTTTCAAATAGTTAGACTGAATCAAGGACTATGTGTCTTTACCCTAGACCAAGAATATGATTTATCGTGTTGTACATAAATTCATATAAGGTTTTCAAGTCCAAATAATTCTCACCTAAAAAGATCGAATAATTTTAAGTTGTTTTTTTTAATGGTTGAGATCATGAGTCAATTAAAGCTAGACCACCATAGAAAACCTGGAAGCACTAAAAGGCCGTTTCGTCTTTAAATCGCATCATCTGAAGTCACAGTGAGATACATTAACATTTAGTCATTTGAGCGGTGGATGATATAGCCTCGAACAGTACAAGGAGCAACAGTTACTCCGTGATTGCTAACGAGATTAAACTGTCACGAAACCAAAATTCAGATATTCTCAATGATCTCCTTTCGACCATCTTATGCAAAAAGGGAACCGCAAAGTCAAGTCACCTAGGCCAGTTATCATGCGAAAGTTTGATCAACAGGATTTGATTAACAGTAAGCACTCGATGGTGTAATTCCGTTGCTACGCGTTTAAGATGGTTTCTTATCTATAACTTTAATTCATGTTGACATGTAGAAGGAACAAATTTTTTACATATTTATAAATATGAAAGTTTAATACTGATCTTACTGATACTGTATCCGCTGAACGTGGATCATAACTACTCAATTTGCCACAATTATCAGACAATATAGAATTTTGGTCTTGTGCCGTTATCATTGATAATGTTTCTATCTGAGCACCCGACTTGTGAAATAATGTTGGTTTACAAAGTATTTTATTATTCAATTCATTGGACAACTGGTCACCAGTAATCTGACTGGATTGGATTAATGTACGAGAGCGCAATGAATGCGGATAATCGGTAGACATAGTAGTGATATTATGACATGATGATTGAGGATTTGAAGATGAACAGATTTTTGGAACATGCATATCATGCATATGATAACGACATTGCAAATCATTCAATGTTGGCCAATTCCATGCTGAATTAATTAATAGCCCACATGGAGATCTATTATGTTATAAGAAATAGATAGTTCAGTTTATAATGTTACAAACTAAAAAATATGTGCTTAAAACATTCAATCATCCCAACATAATGATTATTTAGTTAATTTTGTAAGTCAACAATAAAATAAGATGATAATGTATTTCAGCCACTAAATAGACTCTTTTTTAATAATAACCTGAGAAACGATATTGTTCTGAGCATCTAAATGGAAAAATTTAATAAAATACTTTTATACGTTTAGTATTATATTTTGTAGTCTTTTTTAGTAAACGTTCAGTATAAACAAGATTTGATCTTATTCATTCACTGTTACCCGACTGTTTTATAAATAACACAACCATTTTGTTCTTTAAAGTCAAGCGTATTAACAATACATAGTTTAAGATTTCTAAAGAGAGAAAATATAACTATACTAAATGACTGCTGAGTATCTTTTTCATTTTTATGTCAGTTAGGAGGTATACCATAACTAATAGAAAAGCTGATTACATGTGACTTTTTCTTAGGGTAGTTAAGCCGTGACTAGCAGTGGAATTTATAACATACACCTCTTCCCATTTAGGATTCGTCAACGGAATGCAAACAGGTTCATTGCGATAAAATGATAAATTCCAGATAACTCTCATAAGATGCATATATGCCAAGACGTAGTGATCGAAATTTAGTCCTGAATATCACTAACAGTTTACTTCAAAGCCTTTCCAGTGACAGTAGAAATATATATGAGTTTAATATGGATACACATTGACTACACGGATAGCATGATACACAGAATATATCATGTAAAGATCACAAGGTAGGAATTATTGATAAAGATATGAAAAACTGATATCACACAATAATTTAGTATCCCTTTACTAAATATTGTACCTAAAGTCCCTACTATGTAATTGAGAGTTTCTTGTCAAAATTTGATAAAAATAAGTGAATCCAACTAAGTACTATTTAATCAATGTTTAATCTCTCTCATTAACATCGCCATTATATTATTTCAATTCTCTTGTTATTAATCTTGCCAACTTCCCTTCCTCGTTCTGATATATTAAGGTAACTGGGTTTAACGTTTACTTGCGTCAGATTATACGCTATTTATGGAGGACTCACTGAGAGATTGAAGATTTGGTAAACAAGATTTTGGATTGTTAAGTAAGTGAATATAATACTAACTTACCAATAATACTCAATAATATGATGTAAGTGAGTGACAGCTGATAATAAGACCAGTTTACTGACGTAACTAATCAGTTGCATTGTTATTACAACACAAGACAACTGGCCAATAGAATGGGCTCTTTATATCACAGAATAATTTGTTTTCATTCCGTCTTAATGTAACATCAAACGTGATCAGGTGTTTTAAATGATTGGACAATATTAGTTTTGAAGCTCTAACACCGTTCAACAAGCTAAAGTTTTGAACGTTGTATCAGTCACTGAACAGATACAAATTCGTACACATGGCTTTAAGTTGTACACTTTGTGTAAAGAGTAGTAATGCTAGTCAGTTAACAAAATCCGAAGCACGTGTAGTGAAATCCAAAATTGAAATTCAGTGATTGAAATTGAAGAGGCTTATACCAACATAGTACTTCTCAAAGTTTATAGACAATAAATAATTGACATGATAAAAAATAAATTGTTTCAACGTTTCAAATCTTACTTTTTAGGGTAAACAAACCATCCTAAAATTATAACTGTAAGGCAGCTTGGTAATAGGGATATTGCAGCAATACCATATGACCAAGACAATGAGTTCTGATCAAGATCTTCTAACCAAGGATGTTTTGCAGCCTTTTCAATTTTCTGTTCAGTGTCTACTCCTACACCCATTGTGATCAAACTAACTAAAGTTGAAAAACCTGAAAAGAAATGGACAAACATTGTAGGATATAATATATCAAGCAGTAACTTAGTGAATTGAAGTAAAACCATTATGAAATTGATCGGCTGTTACATGAAGTCATATTATGAGCAGGAGTTATTGTATGACCCAGTTAATTAGTTATATCTTTTAGTTTTACATGCTTAATTGTATCATATGTTAAGTGTGTATTCATATCGTAAGTTATTGAAAAATGTATGTTAAATGATACTCAGTTCTATTGTATGGGGTTGAAACTTGAAGAACTACTACAATCATCATCAAGAATGTACAGGTAATTATAAACCATTGTCAACTCATGATACTCAATGTTCATTGACCGGATACTATTAGCAACAACCTACTGTGGGATAGAACAAATAAACTTCGAGCTGAAAAAAAAATTAGGAAAAGGTGCAGGAGGTAGACAGTGCTGTAGTGGTAAATAAATCCTCAAAATAAATAACTCTGTAAGTATTGACATTGATGCTGACCTCACTAGTTGTACTAGAAACACCCTAGTTGAATGCTCTCGGTTGCGTATCTGCACTAGATCACGAGTATGCCACGCTACACATCCTTTTAAACTACTGGCCAGCTTAGACCAAACGCTTTTCGGCATACTGATAGCTTTCTAAATATATCTTCTAACCCTTCCATTTCTGACTTCTGATTTGACTGGGTTGATTTACCTCTATCATAAAGGTGTTACATGTAAAGACGTTCTCAAACTCCGAATGCCTATGGGATTCTTTAGGACATACATTGCGAAAATCATCAGACTACATCAAAAGACAAGCCACAATTCGGAGTATTAAAGGCGAAAGGAAAGGAAGGAAACAAGAACACAATGCGCTGGGAATTGCAAGCGGATATCAAAAGAATGAATAGCAACTGGAAACAGTTAGAAAAGAGAGCCTGGTCCGTGGCCTATGCTTTTCCACATGGGGTGACAGAGGTAAATAAGCAATACTCAGTTTAGTTAACACAAATCTGGTCGTAATTAAGCCGTGTTAAAAGTTGTATATTTCTACATTATGCTGACTTACTTCGAGAGTCAAATAAATCTGTACCATACGTGTTTTGTTTTTGCTACGCGTTATTTTTGAAGTACTTGTACAGCACGATATTAAAACACTCACTGGAGATTATCTAGTACTATTTCTGGACATGTGTTACTGTATTACTTTTGATTAATATACAGTAAAATGCTGACGCTAGTACAATATAGCGGTCAAATGAAATAGCAATCAAGTCATAGCGATTATTGAAAAATCAACAGTCATAGTTTTGGCACATAAAACTGAATCCATAATCCAATAGGGAACTGAACACGTATCAGGAATACTCAGAATTGACTTTCGAACAAATGAAAAAGTAATTCAAACTTACAGTTAACTGATAGAGTCACCATTATACACAAGACTGCACGTGACCCAAAAATGGAGACCAAGCCGAGAACTTGAGTCAAAATAACACATTCTGCCAATATATGGGTTGCAAAACTGCATGTAAAAAAAGCTTGACAGGCAATAAACCAATCTTTAGAGTGGCAAATTTAATTATAAATCAGCCTCATACCTCTGAATATGATCGGCCACAGAGTCAAAATTTTCGTATCAAATAAATAGAAACATCCAAAATACATATAATTTCCAGTTTTCTTCGCCATATAGCCTTCAAAACACACCTCCCAGAGCCCCAGTCTTACAAAACGATTTTGAGACTGAGGATATCTGGCATACCAGTAAGGCATAACCATTGAGACAAAACTACATGTGAAACCGAATGTAGTAAATGTGAAACATGTCCAAAACAAAGGAACTTTGTGATGACCTTCCATCATGTTAAGAGTACTTCAACTCATCAACCCATATCTTAGAAACTGTGAATCATTTACCCACGTTTACTGGATCATAATAAATTTCAACAAAGTGACAGATTAAAACAATATTAAAAATGAGTATAAATTACAAGAGAACCCGGGGCACTTTACCAATATAATTAATTTTTATAACTCTTATACGTATAGGAGACCACTAATGTCTTCAGATAGAAAGAAATGAGAGTTTAAGTTATTATAAACGTAAAGGAATGATTTTAAATAGTTTAAAGAGAATGATTGCTTATCGGCCACTTCTTGTTGTCTCAGTATGGTTCTGGGTATATTGTGATCTTTAATGCGGGGTATTCTGACCATGGGCTTCAATATTTTCAGTCTTTTCGAAAGTTGTTTATGGGTTTTTCGATTTCGTATTCGGAGTGCGTTTGTCTCAGGGTAGTGGGGTTTGTAGAACCAAAATTCATGGCATTACCAGGTAGGAGATAGGTTAGCCACAATTTGAGAAACAATTTCGATTCGAGTGGACTAATATATTTTTGTTAGCAGAAGCAAATCAATAAATATATAAATCATTCAAGCAAGTGTTCAGATGGAATTATCAATGCAACAAGTAAACGTATATGATAGTGAATGAGATAGGGAGAATGTGATAATGTGTAGTGGTGATACCGACAGGCATCTGACACCTTGTCAAGACGGAAGATGGCAATCCATGCGTGACCACATCTTTATCAGGTCTCTTCTTGAAACTATCCACTCAGTGGGCTGGGAATTATTAAACTGGGGAGTCACCCCAAATGTGCAGAAATATCACCAAGAAGAACAAGGATGCCGATCAAGGTTTAACCTTTGTGTGAACTTTTTGAGAAGTTACCGGACGAATCACGGTGGTAATACTTTGGTGTGATGTTCCTGTTGAAGTCATTTGGAGTATTGAATATGTTGTGTCATTATCAACTAACCTATCACTCCTCTTATGTCCTCATAATACCTCAGATGGCGGTAACCCCAGTGATATATACAAGTGGAAGGTATATAAATTATCGTCACACATCAAAGTATTAAATCGTTAAAGAGTTATAGGATGTACGGCATTTGATAATACTTCTTCCCTATCCTATTCGGATGAAATAACCTTTAAACTAACAAAACCAGAGGTCGAGAATGGTGGAATAAGAAAATTCACTTGAATTATCGGTTGATAAATTGCTGCGTAATAACTGAGCTGATAATCTTTGGTGGTGTGTTATACAGTTTACCTGGACGTAATTTGTCCGAAAGCCACAAGCTAGTGAAGTAATGAGTGAATTTGCAATGGTTATTCTGGAATATTTTTAGAACGATTTAGTTGGAAGGACTGTTTTCAGCTACAGCTCACTTTCATGTTTTTGTAACTATGCAGACCCGAAAACGCGATCAGCTAGAATTTTAAACTCGTGCTTGTTGTCGGTAAACACTTTTTCGATAATTTGCTACGTCTAGCGACTTTTAGTTGTATGTGCCCAAAGTAATAGATTGTGTAAAGATTATAAACTACAAACCACAAGAGGATGACCGGGATTTTCATTTTGTTATTCTTTACCGATTAGTATGTAAATGTCATCCATCTACAACCAATTTCTATTATGGTTAATTTTGTTTAAACCCTGTTATTAGCTTACTTGACAAACAATGTCACTTATATGGCAACAAATCGTCTGTTTCTTCGAACTTTTATGATCACTAGATTACAGGACAAACTAGCTTCAATGGTGATTGTTTAAATATCACTCAGTGATTCATCCTCCTCCACATATATATTTTTACTCAAATCCTATCATTAGTTTTTCCTTTGCTTCGCTGTGCCCTTATGCGATTTAACTACAAATTTGTTTCTGTATTTGTTAGCACACACATATTCACTACTTTGCTCTAAATTCGCTTGATGTGCTTAAAGCTTTGTTATCTGCGCTGTCCACTAATAAACTGTAGATTGCGCTTTTCATTGTCTTCTGATTTCGAAATCCCACGGTATTTATATTATAACGGTTATCGAGGTGATTGATTAACTAAGCAAAGCTACTACATGGAAAATGCAGAAAAAATGTTACTGATTGTTATATGCAGTTATGCTCATGAAACATGTTTGAGAAAGTAAGGAAAATTGCACATAAAGGTGGGCATATAAACTATGAGACAGAAAACACTTTACACGCAGGCGTTTGCATTTTTCGTTCTCTCCGAGAAATTGAAATATAGGAGTATATAATAAAATTGAATTACTTTGAACAGAACAAAAATAAACGATGCACCCAAGGTGCTACAGAACTCAGAAAACAACCGAAACGGGAGAAATGAGCAAAAATTGATAACTTACAGTAGTCCCCTGACTATTCTAGCGCTCATATAATTCTGTCAGAACATAACAAAACAGAACCGTCAGCAGTTATTAGCTACTCTTCTCACGGTCTGTGATTAATTGTGATTTCGCTGTGATTCAGAGGACTGTGTCATTAATAGAGAAAAGATCGCTTTTCAAACACAACTTTCAGCTGGTCACGTTCGACATTTTTCGACTTTTCGCTTTCGTTTATAGCATAGCACCTTGATTCATAATTTTGGAACCTGTTGCGTCCATCAAAGCTCACAGAGAAGGGTCGAAATAATGAATCCTGATCTACAAAGTCATGTTCTATACCACAAAAGAAACCGTACGAAAATATCTGATGATCAAGACGTTTTATTTACGTGAGTGTTGGTAAAACACCCTCCCGCGTATACATCGTTTATGACAGTAATTATTTGTTTATTCCTAAATGTGTTTCTTCTTAAGTGCCACTCTGACTCGTTTCGTTCTAATGTATCATGTTTATTTCTTTGTTACCAGGGGAAATTGTTGACATTCGTCTTTGTTTATCAGTATTTCATCATATTTATATATTTTTTTACTGATCCTTAGTTTTTCTCTACGTACTATTATGTCCTTCTGGCTCTTGCATTAGCTTGTCGCTTTCTGATCATTCTTGTCGTAATTGCCCAATTTAATTTGCTCCACTTGTGAAGTATAACCTTTTCTGTTCTATGGAAAAACTTATTATTATTGAAAATTTCGTCCCATCATGAATGAGTTAAACTAATCTTTCCATTAGAATAAAAATGCACTCGCTTTTTGAGACGGACATCATTTATCAAAGAAGATTCAATATATGACTTATTGTTTATGGTCGTTCAAGTTGGATTCTGATCATTCAAAATACACAGGTCTGATTTAGTTGGATCTGGTTGTGTCGAGTACCCCGCATAGAGTTATATGTATTGCGCTCAGTACGGCTCTTTAAAAAATATTTCGTGTAATCGAGAGAGGAGGAACGTTTTACAAACAGGTACGAGACACAAACCTGAGAGCAGTCGAACCGCGAACCCAACCAGGATGGCTTTTCAAATGTTAGTGGAGATCGTAAGAAAGGAGTTGTATAAGTATTTAGACGAACACCAGATTCCTTCCAAAAAAAGAGGCCACGAACAACGGAAGAGAGTGTTTTTTGGTACACTTAAACAAGTACGGTAAAACAATCACTGGTACATTTGGTTATAATAATAATAATTGTTTCCATTATACCGATCGCGTTCTCTTCATAAAAGTAGGTCACTACAACCTATTGATGTGGCCTTCACTGACTTCAGTAAATCTTTGACAAAGTTTCACATAACTATCTGTTTTTTGAATTTAGTGATATAAGAATTGGAGACAACGTATTTATTTTGATAAAGGACTTCCTGGTTGTGCGTCAATAAAGAGTACGGGTGAACTGGAAATCTGTGTTTAGCAGAGCGCCTCTGGGGACAGTTTTGGATCCTGTTTTTGTCCTACCGTATGTAAATGACCTTTCTAGTCTCCTGAAGTTATCAGTTTTATCATATGTTGGTCATTTCAAGATGCAAAGTGACGGTTTATAGCTCCGAAATGATACGAGAAAGTTATTTAAATGGTCGGGGATGCGGCATTTGCCGACCAATGCTTCCAAGTGCATTTTAACTCATACTGGTGATGAAGGCACAGATACATATAAGGTGAGCAATATTGAGCTTTCTAATTTCCAGACGTTTAGTAACTTGGGAGTCGTCGTTAGCCAAGGCTTCGAGTCTAATCTGCACTGCCATGTGATAGCAACCCAAGTTTTTGATCGACATGCAGGTCGATATGTAGAGCCTTCATCCTGAGCTTGAGTTTTGCATACAAGCAGCTAGTCACTGGCTAGAAGAATGCTTAGTTGTTGGAAGAGATTCAAAGGTCATGAACTAAGATGATTTCTGAAATAGCATAGTTCCCGTATGACAATGGACTGATTAAGCTAGACCTATTTACGATGCTATATAGGAGGATCAGAGGTGATTTGATCACAGATTTTGAATTAATTAACGCTTGATTGGCATCAGATATACCTGCGTTTATTATGTATTCAAAAAGAGGAACTTCGCGAAGACACTTTGAAAATTTTTACGAGCCCAGTACAAGTTACTACTGGCCTTATTGTCCTTTCCAAACTGAAACTGAGAGCACAGAGAATTTTCCCTGGATTCGAATATAAATTTACTGGACTTTACATCATGTATACCAGCTACCGAAGATAGTGAAGAACTGAGGCCCGTTTAACGTCGGCATCTGATTCGCTATTTACACAGCTGCATACTGCCTTCATGTAACTGGGATAGATTTCCAGACTATTGGTCTTGTGAGCCCCTGATTTATTGAAAATAATAAGCGAAAGAAGACACAACTAGATGTCTGGTAATGATAATTGTTATTATACTAAATTCTTTTATTTTAAAAGGTTACTAATAGAGTATTGAATATTGCGGCATATTATTTGTTGTTTAATCTGGTCATTGCTCAGCAACGCAATTATTCATCAGTCCAACTTCAATTTAGCTTTTAGTAGTTTACAATTGGTTTGAAAGACGTGGTGTCACTGAGACGGATTATTCTAATCTGATCACTCGTTAAAATTAACTTCGCTATGGATATCATTCTTGAAACAAGCTTTTCTCTGAATTTTCAGTTGTTCTTTTAATAGGAGGTATACCAAATCTGATTGGTTCGTCCGTAAATTATAGTCTCGATTTGCTCTTTAATTAAAGTTGTATTACTATATGGCTTTGAAACATGGACTTAAAAAGTATAAAGTATGAGTAGGCCATAGATTTTTCATCGTATCTTTGAAAAACTTTTCAGGTTTCGAGAAACGATCGAGTGAATGTTTTTCAAGTCAGCCATAGACATTTAGGCTTAAATAGAAAATCATTCGGTAAGATTGTAAGTCTTTATGTACCGTGGTTGATAGGACATTTTACTAGCATATATAAGCCTCCATGACCTTGTTTCAATATGCTTGTATGTGTAGAGTCAGGTTTAAAGATGTCTGTGAGAGTCCAAACGGAAATGTAGCATCGATTCATAAGTTCACTAACTTTTAATCAGCCGTGGTAGCAGAGACAGAAAACTTGGTTGGGGTTCGAGTAACAATCATCTTAATTATTTGGAGATTTTTGGTGACATAGCCCAAAATCGTTTGAATTGGCACATATGCATTGAATTTATATGTCTTTTGATCCTAGATTCAATTATCCGTTCTACTTCGTCCTGTTGGACCATATTCTTGATGTTAGGTCGTTCTCATAATCTCTATCTCGATCACTTTTTCATACTGCCCTACTAGTTTTATTGTAGCATGGAAAATTGGTATAATGTACGTTTCTATCAGACACTATTTACATTTCACTGACTGATCACTACACTACAGTTACGTTCCACTATGTGAAACTGTGAATAATTCTATACTTATTGTTTGAAAGTTGTCTTATGTTTCTGTATAAAAGTAAACAGAAAAGACTCCATCATGAAAGGTCTTCCACTAGTCGGGGTCATTAGCTTATTTTACTAGATTGACGTTTATTCATTTGTTTCAATTATTATTTCTAAATAGTTATTATCAGTCTCTATCATTCAGTTTTAGGTTTAGCCTCATTTACATAATAATGAGATCAAAATCAAGACACAATTTAGTATCTTCAAGTGTTATGGTAGTGTATCGCCTGAAATATTCTACCTCTTAAGACAACTTTTACACCTTATTTTAAGTGTTGAATTAGTTAGTTTTGTCATATTTCGTGATTAAACACAAAGACTTTAACAGACTTGCCTATATCACAGTGTTAAATCATCCCATCGTTTACCACGACGCGCAATACTGACAAGTGTTAGAAGAAAGTTAAGGGCGGTCAAACCAAAACGTGGCTTCAGTCCTTGGATTCACTAACTTCTGATGTGATCCATGTTGGTAGGTGCAGACTGCTTGGTTGAGGTCGACGTGACCATCATAACCAGTGGCTGAAGACTCCTGAAGAAGTGGTTCAGAATAGATTACAATTGTGTGGGTGTATACACCCTTTATCTGTCCTTAAACTGTGAGGTTAAAATCGCTTCATACCTTTCCTTCTACCAATTAATTCTTTCTTCCTGTATTATATCCTTATATACAATCTTTCTTTTACATATTACTACTATTGAAGTAACTACTTCTATGAATTCGGTGTTCACCTTGTTGTGCTAATGAGGTGTGGCAACTTGAACCGATGCATATGTGTGCCTGTTTCTACGTTGTAGTTGGCTGACTGACTGTTAAATCATCCTGTTGGAATTGTAAGTTGCAGAACAACAAACATCAGAGAGTTTCCCTTTATAGTTGCTCAAATAGTACCGTTCTTTGTTGCAATCTTGGTTTTTAAAAATTTTAAAAGATGTTGGTAATATTTAAGATCCATAAAGAATTTAATACGAGAGACGATTACAACGCAAAATACAGAAAAACAGAGATTCAAAATAGTGGACACTTTTGGGTTGATTAGGAGTACAAAAATAATTTTAGCGAACATAAAATATTGACCTGAAAAACATTAAACAATGTTTTTGAGTGATAGCACGTGAGGTGCACAAAATAGTCTGTACCAGAAGTTCCAAGTTTATATTATAAAGTATAAATAAGTTATTATCTCCATTAGTTCACATCCCAAGCTGTTATACATGAGAAGAATCAAGGAGCAACCATGTTTATCGACTGAATTTTAAGACTACTCACTAAGTTGGACAGCTGTCAGAATTTTATTTTCGTATTATTCTGACTTTATACTGTGCATTATTAAGGAGGTCGATTGAGCTACTTATCTTTTATTTTCAGATTTTTGTTTAACTACTAAGTAGCATGAGTGCTATCCGACCAGGCACTGCATCCCGTCTAAAATCAGCCCAAATACAAGGTAAAAGTGGTACTGCATGTCGTGTAACAGATGGCGCAAAAACGGGTGCCCGTGGTAGAACGCTTGGTGGGACAACTTTAAACACTATGGTATGTGTTGAAGATAGACCGATTACACAACAAGGTAATTTGTATATTATTTTGATTATGCTGATTTAATAACAAACAAATAGGTTTAGGCGGGATTAAAAACCCAATTCGTGGACCTAAACGTCAGATTGAAGATAAGTCATACTTTCTGGGATTGTTAAGGGGGAAAATCAATGAAATAAACTCAGAAGTTGGGAATATAACACGTCAGTTAGTAGAAAAAGAGGAAGATAATGCTAGTTTTGTACAATATGAGCAAATGGCTGAGAAATTGGCGTATGAAATTAAAGAACTACAGGTAATTTATTAACTAACATAATGGTATTGTTAATCTGTGCTTATGAGAATTTATAGCAGGAAACACAAAAGTTAGCAAATGGAGGAAGAATGCAGGAATAACAAAACTTTGCGTAAGCCTATTGGCAGGAAATTAAATCTATCATTAGGAAAACCGCCAAATTGAGATGATCAATGTGGATCATGAAATGCTATTGACATGCTGTAATAATCTGATTTCTTACGATTCGTTGTGAATAAAAAACATGGTGATGAATGTCAATATATTTCATATCGTTTACATTTCAAAGACATTTTCTGTACTTGAATCACCCATGTTTCGCTCAACTATTTATGTATTTTTGTATGAACTAATAATTCTAATAGAGATCCTAGCCATTCTGGTCTATATAATGGGATGACTTACATTTTTAATCATTGTTAAGCGTCATATCGTTTATATCAAGCTGAAATGCGGCAAAAAACAGTGTCAAAATGTTTTTGGAAAATATTGAACGATTGTGTCCATACTACTATAACACTTAGGTTTCTATTAAAAATTTCCTTTTTTTAAAATTATCACTTATCATTTACTCGAGCGATGAGTGGAGATTTCTGGCATTTGTAATAGGTTACATCGTGAAAATTACGTTATCTAGAGAACTGTTTGATGACAGGAAAAACTAGAGGATGCTTGCGTCTTACTTCGTTTTTAACTTGTACAACTATAATCGTGTGCAGGATCTATCTTGAAACCCTTTACAGTAAGCACTATACGTTCAGTATTTCACATTTTTTTACGTTTTGGGATGAGGCATAACACTAACCTATTGTTATGAATAAGTTACTGTATCATCTCTGATTTTATTGACCATATAGGTTTAAAATTACTATCGGAAATTGTGAGTATTAATGCCCAAAGTTCATCACCAATAAGCAAAAGACTACGATTTCTTTCGTGGTTTATACAGATGTATTAATTCGAAAATATTTTGCATTTTATTTTACTAAAAAGATATATATTCATTTCTTAAAAATAATTTTTCAACAAGGGTGAATTAGGCGATTACAATACTCTCGTCGATAAAGCAACATTAGGCAATAATATAACAAGTATTGAAATGGATTTGGAAGATGTACGTGCTGCAAATGAACGAGCTGAACGGAATTTAGAAATGTTATTTGAAGATCGTCAAAGAAAGGAATCATCACTAAAATCATGTGAGCTAGAATTAAAACAAGTAAGCTGACTTTACTATTCTCTTTAATAAATTTAGAATATTTAGTTTTTTTGAAATATCTGTCAACCTGTTTACTGAGTTGTATTGCAGTAATTTTCAATTAGTGTACAAAATTTCAGCAGTGAAAAAAGTTAAACAATCTTATTATTTCATGATCACTAGTAGTGAGACATTGGATGAGTTCTTTGAACAATTTAGTCATAATTTCGAATTTATAACTTCAAATAAACGACTAATTAAAACTAAGAATGGTTGGATAGTTTTTGTCCCACTGTGGGGGTCCTCTTAATCACGAACACGAAATTTTGGAAGGAGTTTAACCCAGAAGCTTAAGGCCGCGTAGTGAGCACGACTATTTAGCGCACCCTAGTTTTCAATTTTTTGATCTGAGTCAAACGGTCACTATGTGGTCTAAAAACTCCAAGTTAGATTTCTATCAGATTTAAGGATTTGCAGTTCAGAGGACTTTCATACTGGGACAAAAAGCTATCAGTTACTTCTTGGTTTAGATGAAGTCTGTACATGATGTTAGTTTTTTGTTGCCCTATATCTGAATCCAGTTAGATCGTATGATGATTGTTATCGAAGTATACATCTCGGCTACCCTCGTACATAATTATTGACTTGGTTCACATTAAAGAATAATGGAATAAAATACATCAGAAATGAGAATGAATTTTGAATTCGTATATTTTGTACACTCATTGATCAGAACAGACAATCAGAGAAACGAAGTGGAGATGGCACGGAGGAGAGGGCGAAGCGAAGCCGATAATCTCGTTGGAAAACTGAAAAGCAAAGCAATACAGAGAAGGCCAGTGAGCCGGTTTGATTTAATCAAGCGTGACTCGATAACTATAGTCAAGCAAGAATAAATTACAGACATGTAATGAATAGGGTAAGTAAATAACGCATATACGCTCAAATAAAGGTAGCCAATGTTAATATGTGAATAAGTGGCAATGTAAAATGTGACCGAAGAAGAATGAATAAATTGGTCTGCTCGGAAGCTAGAATAACCCATGTGAGTATACTTCAAAAATGTCCTATAATAATTATTAATATGAAATAAAACTAAGCTCAAGATTTAGGAAAGTTGAAAACATGATACATTTCCATCGATTCCATCAATTCAAACAGATTTTACTTAATCTCTCCAACGATGGAATGCAATTAACTCCCAACTGAGAATTTTACCACTGATTAAAGAATTTACATTATTAGTCTATGACTTGATAGACTAGTGTCTTAAGGTAATCATCCTTAACAATAAATTTCATAAAGTATGTTACAACAAAATTCAGACCATTGTTTTTTTTTATTACACATCGATGATGTAAGGAATGCTTCCACTAACAATTCAACAAATGTACTAGTTATATTAAGATACCATTTTCAGTAGTAATGATATATAACTTCTATTTTGATGAAGAATTCAACTGTTTAATTACAAATTATGCATGATAATGTTTGTAATCATAAAACTCGATGTTGAAATGTAATTGTTTACAAATTTAAAGCAGTATTTAAGACAGCGTAAGTTATATAAGCCATATTATTATTATTACTATCAACACTTTGTAGCCAGTGTTCTACACTATTCTATATTCATTTAAATTTGTTTGTGTATTGTCTTTTTCAAATTAATGAAATTAAGGAACAAGAAATGTCTGAAATAGTTATTCAAGAAATGGTTGATACAGAACGTGAACGTTATTTTAAATTAAAGGATTTAAATATTCATCTTCTGAATCAGTTAAGTGAAGGTCAAATGGAGTTAGAAAGATTGAATACAAGAAAAGCTGAACTTGAAGAAGAACTACTTACATCACCGGTAAATTTTAAAAATCATTAATACTTGTAGTACTGTTATAACTTGTGGCCTGTGCGCCCTGCTAATATATAACGTAACAATACCGCCAATTAGAGAGCAGTGACTTGCCGATCGGACCAGTGACGCGAAAACCCGTACGAGCAGTCTAAAGTACTTATCGGTCCTACTTCCCGCCTAGCCCAGCGAGTCATGTCCAGAACATCACTCTCAGCCTCTGCGATATGAATCATTTATTTTAAGCATGCTGGGTTTATATACCAACCAGACAGATCACATCGTACCATAAAATGGAAAATGACATTTGTACAAGATTTGCCAAATGTGGCTCTGAATGTGGGAGGTAGTAATTAACAGACAGGGCATAATTCAAGAATGGTAAATTGTATAATAATAGTTCATAGGTCAAAACAAGGCTCATAAATAGAGGGGCATGAATATGAACAGTTGAGTTATTTAACAATTATACGATAAAAATATACGTATAGTATTGGTTCATAAATGGATCCCAAAAATTACCATTCATTATTCTTATCAGGACATAACAAGTACCACAAAAACTACTAATATTGACAATACTATTAATAATCACATAATTCAATACTTGATGCTTCGATACACTATGAACCTTTCAGTTCTATATGTAAAATACTCCAACAAAGTTCTGTTATGTTGCTTTTTTTTGGAAAATTAAAACAAATTGTGTCGGGCGGTTGAAATTAGTCAACAGGAAAATTTGAAAATAAGCTTCATGTCATTTGACACTTGTCAGCAAACAGTGCAATCGTGCGGACTAAATGTATTACATTGGTCATTACTCGGTAATCAGTTACTTGTGAAAAATATGCATCGAATATATTTTTTTAACTTTTATTTACTTTCAATGGTATAAGCTCTGCTTTTGTAACGTATTTACCACATACTATATACAGTAGATAACATATTATAGAATACTTGTATGTTGTATTAAGTGGGTATATTCTTATGTGCTTGTGTCACATTCTATCCAAAAGATACAGAACACTTCAGTGTTTACGAAAAGTCTTGAAAACGCTTTCGTCACCATGAATATCGATTTACAATTGATCATTCAGTCAGTTATAATCATTGTACAGCTTGATACATATGTTCGTTAACCCAAGTTATCATATCCCATCGGCACGAGATAAAATTAACGTAATGAATGGTAAAAGAGTTAAGAAAATTGTAGTAAAAAGGAAAACTGGAAAGAATATACACTGAAAATATAATTTAAGAAGACGCAATGTAAACATGTGTATGAAAGAATACTGAAGGGGGATAAATATTGAGTGTATTCACTCCATCGTAATCCATTCCGAATCATTTCATCCATAATGTGAATTAATTGTGAGAAGACCCATTCATTACAGGCCATTTAGATAAATTTTACTGAAAATATTCAAATTCAACCATAAGTCGGTTTGAAAACAAGTGGATCTGGATAGCTTCCATTGGCTATAGTATTTTAAATGACATACACTTTGCATGTCACTTAAGAATTGATGAATAATTCTGCATTTGTTATATTTATTAATTTTTAAATTAATACTTTATAACATCAATGAACAAGATCAAACAAGAAGCTGTACGTTTATTTACTCAACTACATGAGATTCAAAGTAGACGAGATCAGTTATTATCTGAAGAGGCATCAAAAACAGATCCTCAAATAGAACGTCAACGTCTATTGCAACAAGTTAAAAGTGATAATCAAGAAATTGCAGCTATTGATAAACAGTAAGGTTTGTTATAAATGATATAATGTTAAATAAACTAAATGCTGAGTTAGAATTATAACTGAAATTATAACCGATTACTGCTTATACTCTTACTACCTCTACCACTGCGGGATCTGAATCGATAACTGCATCTCTGTGCTAATGTGGTATAATGACTTGAACTGATGTACGTATATACGACGTTCAAAGTTGTTGCCGACTGGCTGACTGACTGAAGAGTAAACTACTGCTGTAATTCTGTCAATGAACTTCACAGCAGAGATCTTTATTACGTGATTATGCATTAATCAGTCTGCACTGAAGTGGATACTTTGATCTTAGAGTAATTCAAAGTTCGTAAATAAAGTGAATATTTAAAGATAGAACAAGTAATGTGCAATAATATTACTTTTTTGCTGTAAAACAAGGCGATTATACACAATTATATTTAAAATAGGCATAAACTTGATCTTAAACATTTGTACAAATAAGTGCTTTTATTGTTAAATGAAACTGATATCAGACTAGCATTTGTCTTCCATAACACTATTCATTGAACAAGTTAACTTAGCTTAATGATTATATTACACTTACTGACCGATAAAATCCTATCAATAGTGGAAACTATAACAAAATTCACTTGGTATTATTTGGCTTGTATCTTCCCATTGAGGTTTAATACTGCAATTGATCAGTCTGTTATTGGCATATGTGCATACCGTGCGTATTGCCTCGATATTACCTTAATTCACAAGCATTATAAGCAAAGATGGATAGTGGCTAACAGTGGAACCTTAATGGAAAGATTCAAGCAAAAAAAATACCAAGTTAATTTAGATTCACCCAATTGTACAAGCATGTGGCTATCACGACTCAGTAGCTGAGTGGATAACGCGATGGTGTTCGAAGCGAATGGTGCTTGGTTCGAGTCCCAGAGTGAACATCAACTCTGAGATTCAGGTACATCCGGATGACGAGTCCCAAATAGGACGAAACTCGCGTCAAACTGGATTCCACTGCTAACCACCATCCATCTTTGCTTATACAACAAAATATTTATCTTAATTTTACTGATAATTTAATTTAATGAAATGTGATTTTCTACTCCAATTAACAATAAACTAAATTGTGAATTTCTCAGTCTACACACTTTATTTCAACAATTTTTTGTAGATCATGTAAGTAATTATTTTTTTATAAAAGATTTTATATTGAAACTATGAGTTAACTTCGATATTAATTATTTTTTTAGAAAGTTTAACCTACTAACATGATAAGTACTGGTTCGATCTCATTAAGAAGCCACAGTTGATTAAATATTGAGGATATACCTTACTGTGAAGTGTCTAACCGAAAAAAAATACTTACGTCCAAGGCATGTTACCAGTTTCCTTTAACTATCTGATACTCAACACAATGTTGAGTAATTTAATCTAGTTATCATCTTCCAAACTCCGCCTGGAGTCCCTCCGGGGGCTACTGCCGGTCCCAAGCCCGGATAAATCAGGAGGGTTGGGCATTGGGTTAGCTACCCCATTCCGTAGAAAACTAACTCGCTTAAAGAAACGCTAAAGTAAGATCATCTCAAAGTAAGATCAACTTAATCGACATGATTTAATTACCATTGAGGATGAAACTAAGATGACATTCCTTACGACACAATAATCAATCATTGTAATATAAAACCTTTTTACTAAATGAAATCAGTATAAGTTTTAAGGAATCCTCATTTTTCTAAAATTTCACGTTGTAGAACACATGAAATTGAAGAGAAAATTACTAATAAAGAAGAGGAATTACATTTACTGGAACAACAATTAGATGAAAATTATAATGAAAGAAATCAAAAATATCGTGAACTTAAAAAACGTGAACAACAAATTGATGAATTCTTACAAACGTTTGATCATGCAAAGGTAATTTAACTTTGGATTGCAAATGAATCAGAATCAAGTGAAGGTTATTGAAAGAGATGTTGACTTAAACTCCCTTGAAAATAATCATCAAAATGTATTTACAAGCTTGAGAAAATTACTTATAATACAACATATTTTGTCCTTATTTTCTGATGACGTTTCTAGCGATAGATACTGGGTATGTTTCCTGGATTGAACGTTAACTCTGAGATACAGGTATATCCACCAGATCACGAGTCGGAAATTGGACAAAACGTGTGCGATAGATTCAAGTGCTAGCCACCATCAATCTCTGCTTAAAATGCTTGTGAATTATTGGCATTATTGAGGCAATCTGCACAGTCAATAAAAGACTGATCAATTGTACTCCTAAACATCGATGGAAAGATCTAAATAACCAAAATGTATGAATTAAAATGTAACTTCATTTTTAAACATCTATTCACTTAACCCTTAAACACAGTTTCTTAAAATAAACTATTTGGTAAAACTACCATAGTTGTTTGTTGAACTAAACGAGAATATTTTTACGACTAACTTCTTCCTTGTATCCTCTAGTAGAATGTAAGATAAGTTGTTTTACTTGATAAGCCTAACATTACAAATTAAACCATATAGTGAGTATTAGTTACTTCAAGATTACGAATATACCTTGTTGATGATGGATGTGCAAATTACATTATAAATGAAGTGCATTCAGTCGATAAAACTAACCATATAACCTGAAAATAATGATTATACAATAAAATCATTTATTTATTCGTTTATTTATTTAAACACATAAACATCGGTACAAGGAAACACTAAATAGATATGCACCACATAAATCTCATTTGATTTGTGGGAGAGCTGGCATACTGTCCGGGTGCCCAAACCGAAACAGTTGGTCTCCTTAGATGGTCACATGCTGAGACTTTGACATAAAGGTCTGATCCACAAGGCAGTAGAACAACGTTAGGAGATGCAGTTCCATGGTAGCCGGTGAACAACGATTGATTCATATGCCATTTGTTCCTTCAATATACTGGAGCCCATGTGCAATGTTGGTTTGGAATCAGGGCTTTCCAACTCCCCTAGGTAGATCCTCCATACCCACTAAACCGGTTAAATCACCGGACATTCGCTTTTCATTCTCTCAATTTCGTAAACAATAATGCCACGAGAAGTCAGTGAGTAGTAGTTCCGTGGCAGTAGTTGTATGCACCTGGCCATGTGAGAGCATTTAGAGAGGAAGAGCTGACGACTCTCCGCACTCTCAGCCTTACCAGGGCATTCTATGAGGAGAGGGCCATACAACAAAATTACTTCCTATTGTTAATTCTTCACTTTTAACATTTTTTTTTTAGTCTTTAGAAATTTCTGGTATCCATGAAATGGAATCAACAATTATTGAAATTTTAAATAAAACATCCAATTCTATTAATAATTTCAATCAAATTACATCAAATCTTGATGTAGATCTATCATCCATTGAATTAATTATTCAACAAGATAAACATAATAATCAAATAATGAATAATACAATACAATATCTAAATAATAATAATAATAATAATAATAATAATAATGAAACAGAAGAAGTGTTTAATCATTTGACAAAGGAACGGATACGTTTAAATCAAGATTTATTGAAAGTTGATCATTTACAAAGTAAAATTACACAAGTGAGATAAATTAAATTTCCGAATTATTATTATTTTAAAATTTTAATTAATTAAAACAAAATGTTTTCTTTTGGAGGGGGGGGACTATAATTTATGGACGACCTTTGAGCGACTCTAGATTGACCTTGAGAGTGATCACCTAATAACTAGGAGCAAATGAGAATTATAAACCTGTGTAAGGAATTAGAATTTAAAGTTGATGATTAAGGTTAGGAATTAGATTTGTGTGGTTTTCATCATGAACTGGCATCAGCTATAATGGCAAAACTTTATTTAGCTAAATGGATGAGTGAATTTTGTGCTAAAATCCAAGACCTGTTATCTTATATTTGATTGGTTCGTCCATAAATTATTGTTTCGCTGTTTTTTGATTGTTTTACAATTAAATGATTAAAAAAGACTAATTTATGAATGAAGAATATTCTTTTTAATAATTTCTATTCAGGTTCTTTAATTCAATATATCCAAATTAATAATCCGAAAATAGTCAGGTTTCTGGCAAAGCACATCGTTCAAAGTTAAACAGAATGGAATGGAATAGTTAATGTTGATATGATTCATATGGAATGTTAAGTTAGATCAGTTTATATGTGAAGTGACAATTTTAAGATCTATGATCCGAATAAATATGGGTCAGTTAGGGTGAGACAAACAATAATGCAATTTCAATTCAATCAAATGTTTGAGGGAAGACTATATTGGTTAAAAAAAATTAACAGGTGCATCGAATCAGGTCGCTATCCAAAATTGTATTATACATCGCTGTGACGAAATGGGGTTTACCCCAATAGAGAGACACCGCTTCTCTTCTCCTAGTCAAACTTAAAGCCAGTTCATCTTAGCTAGTGTATGACCTAATTTGACTATTGTACTTACGATGTTTTGTAGTGAAATGTAATTGTCTCTGTTATCTTTATTCACAAATTTTTGTATTACTATTATTATTGGTTAAACATCACTATTAATCTCCCGCAATACATTTACTCCACTTCATTATGTCTTACTAATAATTTTTTATCCAATATAGTTTTCTACTAAACATCTGATCCAATTGTAATTGCACTATTATTTCTCTAGATATACAAATTTTCTAGATATACAAATTACTTCGTATTACTTCTCAACGAATAATTTCCTACTTTGTGATTCCCTTATTGTGACATACAGTACATAGTTGGTGTAGTTATGGTTGGTAAAAACGCTTTAACCGATTCAATAAAGAGGTTTATTTATTATTTTACAATGTAAAATTATTCTACTTATTAGTAATATGTTGACTATAATTTTTTTGGTTTTATGTTTTTTTTTTAATAAAGGAAATGGAAACGTTAAAAAAGCGTATTTCTAAAATGGAAGAAGAAATAACAATCTTCAGTGATTTGGATAAAGTTCGTGAAAACGCGGTTCTTAAAAGACAAAGTGTAAGTTGATATTTTGACTTTTCAATAGTAAAATTTTAATTTCATCAATATGTACTATTTATTTATTTTAACACATAGATATTGGTACAAGGGAAGCACCGGATACATATGCGCCACACAAATCTCATTTGATATGTGTGAGGGTTGTGATACTGACCGGGTGCCCAAACCGAAGCAGGTGGTTTTCTTAGAGGGCTACTCCCCGAGCCTTCGACCTGAAGGTCTGATCCACAAGGCAATGGAGCATCGTGAGGAGATGCAGTCCCATCGTAGCCGGTGACCAACGATTGGTCCATACGCCATTTGTTCCCTCAGGATACTGGAGTCCATGTGCACCATTGGTTTGAAATCAGGGTTTTCCAACTGCCCTAAGTGGACTCTCGATGTCCACCAACCTGGTTAAATCGCCGGACATTCGATTTCCGTCCTCTCAATTTCATAAACAACACCGATGGTGCGAGAAGGCAGTGAGTAGGACTTCCCTGGCAGAGGCTATATACGCGTGGCCATATAGAGAGGGAAATCTGACTCTCCACACTCTCGGCCGTACTAGGGCATTTGGGGACATTCTTTTTTTTAAATAGAAACAATAACGGGGCGGATTTGCATGCATATAGCATACAATTCTCTTTGAAACTAGCACACAACAATAGCATCATGCACTGTTCCATCACCCTTGGCAGATCACGCAACCCGAAAGTTACGAGAACACCATAAGGGCATACGATAGGCTAGGTACTATTGTCATTTAGTTAGAAATATTATTGACGGTATTAAATGGTGCTTATGAAATTTTATAAGCTAACTGAATTTATCCATTTAAGTCATTGTATTGTACCGTATTAATTACGCTATCGAATTTTGAAGGTTGGTTTTTTAATGGGATTGTATATGCACGTTGTTGAGGCATAACACAGTCTATGGAAGGAAGCTTTCTTTCTAATCATCATATCAGTTAGTTAGTAACAACGTAGAACTTCGTACGTACGTGCATCAATTCAACTTGCCATTAGCACATTAGCACAGAGATACAATTGTCGATTCAAATCCCACAGTGGTAGAGGTAGTAAGAGTATAAGCAGTAATTGTAAAGACTAAGGGTTGAAGATGTTATTCAATGAGTATAATCCAGTGAAATAAATTTGGAAAGAGAAAAAAAGGGACACAAAGAATTCAGAAGATTAGAATTTGGGAGAACACAAAGAGTGGATACATCATCATATAGGTAACATCAATCTACAATGGAAATCATTTAAAGTACAAATGATTCTAATTGTTTTTATTGAGTCCATTTAGTTTTATAGTCCATATTTTTCACATTCCATTTCATTCTTAACTCAAATCTTCTCTAATAAGTTTGAAGATTAGTTTTAGCATGAAAAGAAATCAATCAATAGACCGTAAGAAACTAAAAAAAGAGCTTCGACTTCGTTACTTTGTATGTAAATTTAATATGTGGAATTGGGGTTCGACACTGAAATCTTTGGGAACCTTAAAAAATGACATTGGCTTGTTTCATTTTACTTGGTAATTTGAATATCATGTTAGAAATTCATTAAATTAGGTGTACATGATTTCTAAATCGAAGGTATTCACATTTCAATCAATCATAAGTTCTTCATTCAATGTTACTGTTATGTAAATGAACCGAAAAGTCTAAATTATTTTATCGATGCAAATATATCTAAGTATTTTATATTTATATCTTTGGATGTATGAATGATTATTAGGGGATAAAAATTCTATTTTCTGGTAAGCGTTTTTTTTAGCGAGTTAGTTTTCTACGTGATGGGGACGTTAACCCCATGCCCAACCCTCCTCCTTTACCCGGGCTTGGGACCGACAGTAACTCTGGAAGAGCTACAGGCGGAGTTGATAACAATTGTGGATTAGGAAAACTAACTTAAATCTAACAGTCAATATTGTTACATAGATCTTCATTTTTTTCCAACAATAAACTATACTCATTGTTTTAAAGAATATTTACAAACTGCTAAGCTTTTTAATGATTAGAATGCAGTTCAAATTAAAGACTTAATCAGTGAGTTTTGAACTAATTTCAGTCAACTGTTTCAGACAATAACGTTATCAATAGACCCAATTGACATTTACTGATAAAAACAAAATCTAGGTCTGTTATGACTATATGTCCGGCTTTTTGTCATGTGATTTATCCACCAATCAAAATGCGACTTATACAATCTTAGCATTGTGCCGCCAAACCAATGACGTTCGACCGGTATGAGTAGCCTAGCGTCCTTATTGGTCCTATGCCCGCCTAGCCCGTCCACTTGAGCCCAGAACACCAATACCAGCTTCCACTATGCGAATCGAATCGAGTCGGATCATTTATTTCAGACATACTGGGTTTATATATCAACCAAACAGACCACAACCCACCATAAAATAGGAAATAACATTTTTACACAATAAAACCAAAAAGTGGCTGTGAACGTGAGAGGCAGTAGTCAATGAACTGAACATAGCTTAAGAACAGTACGTCTTGCAATAATGAATTATAGGTCAAAATAAAGCTTATAATAAGAGGAATATAAATATACATAATCTAATAATTGAACAGTTATACCATAAGAATGTATAGATAATATTAGTCAATTAATGTGTCACAGAAGTTACTCGTGATTTAATCTTCGCTCGGATATAACACGGTCCAGGACATCTTATCGATAACCTTCAACCATCTAATATCAAATAAAAATACACTATGATGTTGAATCACTTAGACCTCAGGTAATTTTGGGACTTTAACGACAGAACTTGATCACTTATTATGATTATATAGATATGCTTTAAGCAAGTTAGTCTTCTATTTATATTCAAATACAAATATGTTGACTTATATAAAACTATCAACAAGTGATTATTCAGATTAATGCTTCCGAATTCTTTGAAGTATAAACAATTAAATAAACTTCCTTGACATTCTCCTCGAATATTTTCAGTTAAATGAAGAGAAATCACGTTTAGACAGGTATCGTGATAATTTAAACAAATTAAATCAACAATTATCTGTGGAGCATTCAAATTTACAAACACATTTAACTGGACAAGATATATATATACAATTAACTAATTTAGAACGTCGTTGGGCACAACATGAAGAAATTAATTATAATTTAAATGAATTTATTACTAAGAAACGTAAAGAAACTGATCCAACTCAATGGATTAAATGTACAATGGAATTAGTGAAAAATTATAATGAACATTTAAAATCTTCACTTGCATCAAAACCTGTAATTGCTTAAATTTACCATGTTGAATACACATACATCATACATCTTCTGTTTATTTCATACTTTATATTAAAGTTAATGATTTTTTTTTATTTTGCGCGTGTTTCAAAGTTCATCATTGTGGTTTTGGTATATTTAATTACTACGGATAAATGGTCACTTCAAATATTTGAAAACGGTTGATTCGCCCCCTTGTATCATTCGAAATTTATGCTCAATTTTATATTCAATTAAATTGATTTCAATGAAACACTCAAAAACGTTACTGCTTCGCTACATTGACCGTAGTATTTTATGAACTATAATGTGGTCAGTAAAATACCAACCTTACGCTTAATAAATCTATATCTAGGTTCAATTGTTATCAACGGTAAAATACTTTACTAAGCTAATCTATGAATGAACAAACCATATTTCTACCATTTTTTATGATGTTGGAACATCTTATTCACTAACGTTTACTAATTATATACATATATATCATCGTAATAATTGTCAACAATCAGTGAATGAATGAATAGATAACATTACTGTTAGAAATAGAGTATTGGAGTTAAATTAGTAAAGTAACCGACGGTATTGACTGCGTAGTGTGATAAGGATATCAACTTACAGATGTGATGACCTAGGTTTATAAAAAAGTTATTTTCTGTATAGTGCTTGAGTGCTGGTCTGAATTGTAGTCTTTTTACATTGGGTTTTCAAGATATTAGAAATCAATCGTTAAGTATTTTTTATCTTCATTTAAACCATAAAATTGAAGTCTACCGGTTCTTTATCGATACGTGTGTTTTGTGTTTACGTTCAACATCGTTTTGCTGTTGCCTATTGTAGCACGCGTCAAACTAATTTGAGTTTGTCACAGTGATGACTACCTGTCATACCATAAAATTCAACAATTAATTGGTACTATAGCCCCTATGAAATGCAAACACTATACTGTATGTCTTATCATAGTTCGTAGATAATAGCCCCCAAAAAGTCTGAAACAAAAGATAACACATTTGTGTTACTTGGAAGTTTACGTCAAGAATTATCCCTAAATACTCATAGACGAATGTACAGTCAACAGAGAGTTGGAAGTATAATCACTGAATTTACACTGTTAACACCAAGATAACTCATGATAAAACTATATAAACTTTATTAAATTACAAATATATGTAAAAAGAACACTAAGTATTTTTTATAGGCCAGTATTTAATTAAGATAGAAAGATAACCAATACATTGTGAAAAGAAACGCAGGCAAAAAAAACACATGTTGATATTGAACTGAATAATTTCATGATACTTATTTTCTCTGTATAACGATTCAAAATTAGCAAAGATTATACTTAAATGTGCATTGACACACTGCTATGATAATTCATTATTCAAAGCAGTTAAATTAAATTTTTTATTTGTGGCTTTAAAATTTATACTACTAATAAAAATTGTGAGTAGTTGAAGTAATATAGAGAATAAAAAAAGAGTATATAATCGAGCCATATAAATAGGTATGATCCTATTCACTTATTATCCATATTTATACTACTTGGAACAGATAAAAGTATACAAATGAAAGTTCAAATAACGATAATTATAAAATTATTTATAAATAATAACAATAAAACTTACAAAAAAATGATTGATTTCAAGTTAGGGGTTTATAAATAAATATATCAAAATGGGTTGAAAAAAAAACAAAACAATAACACCATACACAAATAATGCAAAACTATAAAAGTAATTCATGCATACATTGATCAAATGCCTAAAGTTGACGAAAAAGATCATAATGAGCATAGAGAACATAAAGAAAACTCCACTTAAGAACTGAAATGAATGATCATTATTGCGTCATTTGAAATGTATAACGGTTTTACAACCCGTATAAAACCAGGGTTAAAATCGTTTTCATGTTCTTGAAATAACTGCAAGTTTTCCTTTTTCTTATTTTCGAAATGCACAAATTAAACATGGATATACTTGAACAAATGGTAGAATATTTCTTTTTTGTAGAAGCTAAGTTGACTGAAAAATAAGGCAAATTGTACCGGGATTTTGTACCAGAAACGAAATTTTTTAAAAAAAAAGAAGAAACAATATAATTTATGCAATACAAATACATAGTTAGATAGGTAAGGCAGTATTCAAGAGGTAAGTTGATGCTGATAATCAAGAAGAATAAGAAATAAAAGTAATATAAAGATAGTGTTGTAGTAATAAACATTGCATAATATAAAATTAAATGATAAGAGAACCGGTTTAACCAACGGTAAACAAATATACTCATCATAAGGAAAAACGACTAAGGCGTATATGTTAGAGAGAAAAATAATAATAACAAGTTTAACTACTTAAATTATTTGTTAGTAGTGTATATGATCAATTGTTTGACAGGTAGTTGTTAATTGTAATTCTGGATCACTAGACCATTTACGATTATCTATTGAAAATTTCATTAAATATTGATAATTTTGAATTGAATTAGGCATTTTTTGTTTATGAACATCATTATAAAATTGTTTAATTCGATCATTTTGATATATAGATTGATTATCATTATCACTAACATCAAAATCATGGTCATGGTGATCATATTGTTGTTGATCAGATTGATGTTGATGGTGATGATGATGACGATGATAACGATGTCGACGATATGATGTTCTACGTGATAATGATAAAAATAACATATCAGATATGGTTGTATAATGACTAGATGTACCAATAGATGATGAACGACTTAATGAACTAATACAACCAGGTAGAATAAATCGATGCAAATTAGCTGGTAATAAATTACGTACATGTTCAGTACGTTTCTTTAAACGTTTTAAACGTGGACTAGAATGTTCGTTTATTTCTTGTATAGAATTTTCAATCCTGTACATTAATAAGAAGGAAAAAAAGTATGAAGTTAACCACATTCAAATCAGTCAGTCAGGAACAACGTAGAACTTTGTACGCAAGTACATCAATTCAACTTGCCATACCACATTAGCACAGAGATGCAGTTGTCGATTCAAATCCCACAGTGGTAGAGGTAGTAAGAGTATAAGCAGTAATCGGAAAGATTAGGGGTTGAAGATGTTGTTTAAAGAGTATAATCCAGTGAAATAAATTTGGGAAGAGAAAAAAAGAGACAAGGAGGAATAAGGAGATTAGAATTTCGGAGAACACAGAGAGTGGATGCACCTGCGCCATTGCAAACGATTTTCAGCCATGTCATTCAGAGTCTCTAACCATTGGTTGCTATCATCTCGCGATCCCCAACCAGGTAGTCTACACCTACCAACATGGCTCAGTCCACTTGCCAGTGACTTCATGGACTTGTGCCATGTTTTTGGTCTGGTCTCCCCTGGCTTTCTTCCAACATATTCGTACACTACTGAACATCGCACTTCGAGGCAGTCGGTCGTTGGGCATACGTAACACGTATCCCAGCCATTTTATTCAAATATTACATAATTAATGAATATTGTAAAGAATGTAAGTTTCGTCCCCTTATTCATTATAAATAATGAGAATGTGAACTTGTAGCGAATATGTCTTTCAATGTTCAACATGTATGCAAGAACTAGAGTTTTTCTGTTCATTTAGTAAGTAGATGCTACATAATAAAGTATAATATCCATTGAAGATTCCAGTTCAAGTCCTAATTTTCACGTTATTCATTTATTTCATCCAACAAATCAATAATGTAACACAGTAGTGTGTTCACAAAAGACATATGTAGTGAAATTGGTAAATGGTTAAAATAATGTTTCTAGTGAAAATCAAACTCTTCTATACAGTAAACACATACTAAAGGAACGGGAAAATACTCGGAGTTGTTTATCCTCTTCTTTATTACTTGATACATTAATAGAATGCCATGTTTCTAAGAGTCTTCTAGCTTTCTTTGCGTTTCTTTCGTCCAATATTTCAAAGTTTCCTAAATAGAAATTGTGTCCATGGTTGACTCCCATCCACTATGTCTTAGTGTTTAAATAGATGCTGATATTCATGCAGACGCAAAAGCGGAGGTAGTTTTATCTTATGTAGTGCTTTTTGTAGTTGGTGCAATTAGTTGTGTAAATAATGTTTGGTTTAACTCCGTTTGTTGTAGTGTCCTTTGGTCTACATTGCAAAGTTAGTGTTTGGACATAACTATCACGCAGTTTAAACATAAAACCGTCTAACAATACAACTGCAAATGATACATATAACTTTTTACAAGTTACAACTCAGAATCATAATAAAATACACCTGTTATTTAGTGCTACTTACTTACCTACCGATAAGCTTTGAAAAAATTATTTGGAATACTTGTTGGTCATATTACCACCAACATCAACATCAAATAACATACTTAGTGAGTTATTTGCAGAAAAATTAAAGTTTTGTTGTCAGATGCCTGGAAGCAATCAGCATGAAGTCATGAAACTAAGTTTTACATAAGTTCGAATTTGTCAAGCAAGGCATAATAGTTATAATCTTGAGAAGGTTGATGATCCTTACACAGTTTTAAACGGCGCCACCCAATGTTACAGTGGTATAATATACTGCTGAGATATTCAAGTTGTTACTGATCTCTTATAGGATTTAGATATTTACTGAAAAGTAGTCAACATCAGTACTGGCGAGTATCAACACTGACACAAAAGTTGAGTTCTTTGCCTACTCCAACCGCCTTCCATCTAAACACAGTGCACGCCGTTTTAATTCACGTAAACTACCGATCTTGTTGTGCTAATGAGGTATGGCAACCTGGTCCGATGCACATATGTGCCTGGTCCTACGTTGTAGCTGACTGACTGTAACTCAAGACAGCATTAATCACTGCTTAGTTACTAGTCAGCGTAAAACCAAACACGATCGGCAATTTTATATTTTAAACTGAAACCACCATAATACCCATTTACTTAATTATTCACATCAGTGAGGTAAAGATACTTAGTAATATTGGTCATAAAAAAATAGATATCGGTCTTGAGCAACAAACTACTTATTACTTTCTGAGACAATGAGTTGTGCATCTCAATAAACACTACGTGGTCGGGTCAAATAGGAAGTAGAAAGAAATAAAACATACTTGGAGATTTTCATTGAATTACATCCTAATTTATGTTCATCATCATTAGCATTATCAAGTTTCCAACGTTTATTCTGTTCCTTCACTTCTTCATCATCCCCATTGTCGTTATGGGGAGCATCAAAACTTGAATTATTGATTGATGATGATATTATATTCAAACATGTTGCACTAAGAGATCGTGGTCGAACAAGTAAACAACCAAGTTGTGGATGATTAAAGTTTTGATAGGTCCATTTTTCAACATCTACACAAAATTGTTTTAAACGGTGTAACAATAGTGGTGATGAAATGATAATAACAGTAGTAACAATATTAATAAGTTTAGTTGAAGGGATTTTATAGACGTTGATTTGATTTGTAAGTTGTATTTGTTACTGAATGATAATAGTCGGGATACTATTAAAAACCAGTGGAAACTGGACAGCTTTAGAGTCCTAGTATGAAATTCCTTAGCAGTGAGTATCCACAATCATGCAGGGAATCAGGCTAATTACGTTCAAGTTTCGCAGCAGATGCTTAACTATTATGAACACTCAGTCGGTAACCGATGGTATAATTTCAAATGTAATTAATTTGTGATATACCGCGAAGATCATCCAACCACACTGGTGACAACTATTTTACTTCAAACATATCTGAACTCCACCAGTTACGGTTGCCCACTCGAACTTAAGGAATATCTTGAAATAAATGAGCTGGATATAGTAGTTCGGTCGAGAGAGTTGTTAAGATCGGTTTTATGTGTAGTATGTATTTCTGGAGCGTTAAATGTCTAAGCTTCGATTTTTGGCGGGGTCATGGGTGCTCATTACTGAGGAAACGTATACTAGGATAAAAAAGCTTTCCAATGTTATCTGGTCTTCAATGGTACTCCAGATGCGATCAGCCTGTGACAAATAAAATTTGCAAATTGTAGGTTCTTAGATTAGTTTTACTCTAACCTACTTCGAATTCACCTAGAACTTTACACCCAAGACAAAGTGTATATGTCAAACGATTTTTGCATGTACTAACAATAGTGCGATAGTATAATGATTAGAGGCCTACATATTTCTTACATTATTTAAGTAGTCTACAATTACCTCTAAACCTTTTAATTAAATGATAAATAATTGTGGATTAACAATCACCATAAATAAGGCTTCCTCTACACAATGAACCAGATGATAAATAAAAAACGAAGATGGAAAACGTTACATCTAATAGTAAAATTATTATGAGTTTAGGCGGTGATGAAGTTGACGGCATCCGGCTGTTTAATCCTTGGCCAATGAAAGTCAACAATTCCGAAATATTGATGTATTAGGTGAATTCAAACAATTAAATGGCATCTCTAGGCCAAACAATAGGGGAGAAATGATAAACAGGGACACTATTGAATACAAGGTAAAGGTTATAACCTATATGTTCTTGGCTAGATTAAGAGCACAAATGTATTTATATCAATCATGTATGTAGACGTTAATTTGGTTTGCCAATCACGATCTTCACGTTATTTTTGCTTGTGTGACGGGTTGTGGGAGTGAATAGGAAGCGTGTGTATCTGTGCTTAAATTCAACGATCGCAGAACATAAAACACGCAGTATCCAATAGGTACTGAATAATAATTTTTAAGATAAATGGGTCATTAATGAGTATTCTCATGTTTCGTAATTCGACAAAGGGTGAATATTTGTGATGGGTGCAATCTCCTTTGAGTAGGAAACCTGTCCAGTTTTCCTAACTTTGTTGTTCATCTAACATTAACAATGGAATGTTTATAAATCATACGCTTCATTTTTTCAAAGCATGTAGCTACAGCTAATTACTCTGTGGTAATCACAAAAAGACTTTTATTCTTACGTATAAATTGTAGCGATCGAATTGATAGAAACCAGTTACAACAAATTAAATCCAACTCATTTTCTCGAGCTTAGATGATAAGTTATTGCATGCACTCACTTCACATATGATTGTCAAAGCCCTAACGGAAAAATACTGACAAAATCAGTCCATGAAGACATTGACTGTGATTCCGAGCCATGTTGACAAATCCATACTACCTGGTTGAGGTTCGCAGCGGATAACCACAACCGGGACTCAAAATAAATCAAGATAGGGTAGGTCCATTCACTACTTCTTTCGCTTTGAATTTTCAGTTTCAGTATTCTTCTATACATACATTGACACTCTGTTTTCTCAAATTATATTCTTAAAACTTAGCCTTTCTCATTATCATAGCTGCTACAATCATTTCCATTCCTTTGCTATTCATTGTGTTAATTTCACATGATCGTGCTAACATAGTGTGGGGAATTCGGTCAAATACCTATTTGTGTCAAGCTCTACGTTGAAAATAACTGACACAAACTGACAAGATAGAATAAAATGTATGGGACTCACCATATTGCCAAGGGACTTCACCATTTACAATGTACTCATCTCCATGAAATCCTGATTTAGTGGAAAATTGACTTTCATCATTGATGTTATTATTTATATCATTCTCATGAAACAAGTCAATATCATATTCCCCATTGTTCATATCAAATGCTCGTTCATCATCATCATCTTCATCCAGTTGTGAAGTGACTGTAGTCACCGTTTCACTGCCAATACCACTTCCAAAGGCACCAGTACCAGTATATCGTAGTCTACAAGTTCGTAAAGATGGTTGGCGTGAACATGCTCGATTAATTTGAGAGCTCCCCGGTAATAAAAATAAATGAGTTCGATGTAAACCAGAAGTTGGCAATAAATCTGCTTCACCTACAATATTTTTTTTAGTAAATATCATGTGTTTCATAGGTTGAATGGGATAAATGTGAATTTAAGCAAAACATTGAAGATTTATGATACGTTAAGCGAATGAAACATAAGCCAAATGATAAACACTCACTATTTGCTAAGAGTGAGTTGCATTTTCCAAGGAAAGCACACGCCACTGATTGAAAATTTGGCTTTGTTTTTAAGCACGAACAGTGTCTATTTATGAACGGGTGTACATGATATCCTGGATTCGGTTTCAGCGAATAAATCTTCCTTCTCACTCCATCTTCACATCCAATTAGTTGGTTTAAACTTGTGTAGAAAAAGCTCATCTATCAGTATCAGACTCGGATGACTACATACTTTTAGAATAACTAAGCATCATAGATTGATACAAGTTATGGAAATGCTGAAGAAATAAAGATCACTGAATAGCGATTTTATCCTGTCTGGTGAATTTATAAGTGATGTTACACGCAACTCGGTGTGAGATTTATCCAAGAAACTCTGAATGCACTACTAGGTTAGAGATGGAGGATCATATATTTTCACTGTTGTTCAGTGCGTGACAGTAACATAGCAAACATCAAATAATATTCACACCGGAAATGTTTCATTACAACTGTCACAACTTGAGACTGACGCAAATTTGTACGTTCGACAAATCAACTGGTTACCCGAAACTGAAATACTCACTCAAATCAACATCAAAGCTAGGTGATATCGTTTCTGATTTGTATAGCTTATGTAAAACGGAATTACATGTGGATTTTTGATTAAACAGTAATTAATTCAATGCTTCAACTGACTACATTTAGTTTGATCATCGGTGTAGATTTTCCTCTCTACTCATCATGGTGAACCTCTTTTGATTTTATATAGTTTAGAGAGCATGAATTTATCATTCAAGGATAATAGTGGTACTATAGAGAGATAAAAATTCAACTGAAGATACTAACGTGAGGAATTCTTTGAATGAGTTGAACAGCGAGAAGGTATAATTTAACGAGTGTATTATTATGAACAAGCCGCATTTTGAAGAGGATGTGATTAATAAATTAAGTTCTAACCTAAATATTATAGTTTAGATACATTTATTTGAAAAACAAATGAAACAGGATGAAGTGGATATTTTGTATTCCATGGTTAATTAACTGTGCAGAATATGGATCAGCTTGTACATCGACGTATTTTAAAAACATATCTTTATTCAATTAGCTCATAAACAAACACATTCACACAAACATACTGATTAGATTCAGTCTTGAATATTAAGATAATAGAAAAAAGACAAATCCAAAAAGTTAGTATGGAATAAATAGAACGTGGCTAGCAGTGAAATGCATGACTCGCGTTTCGTCCTATTTGGGACTCATCAGGATAGATGTGTCGACTGATCAAAATTCAGTCAAAACATCAACAATGGGACATTTTAATCCATTTGTAATTGAATTAAAAGTTAGAAAGTGTTTTATTTATTGAGAGCTAATGATAATCAAGGAATAAACGTGGATACTAACACTGTTATGTATCGACTCACTGATTTAGAGGTTAAACGTTCATACGCAAGAGCAAAGGTGGAGTCCCATGCTAGGACGAAACGGTGATCCAGTGATTACAAGCTTTTAATGGTGATCAAACTAAGATCGGTTCATGATTTCAGTGGAATTCAACAATCTCCACAACCCTATACTAATAATAGCGGAAAATCGGAAAACCGCAACTATTTTTCAGTCCTAATGTCCTTTTTATTTTTATTTTAAGAAAAAAAAAAGAAAGTCTACTTATATTATCTAAGTAATGATAACTTATAAAAATGTTGTTTACAATTAATATGATCTCCATCAGAATTTTCACTTGTATTAGCATTTGTTGTGAATTGTTCACCATCGACAGGAATCCAACCCATAACACGTAATTGTCTACTAATTTGTCTAGCTTCAGCTGCAATTTGTGCATCAAACAAACTGTGATTTGGTAGTGGTTTTTGTTGAGTAAATGACAGTGGAATTCGTGATGATTTTGTATTATTATTATTTTGTCTACTATTATCATTGTTGGTGTCATTAATTTTATGGGACAATGATTTCATTGATTGTGTGTATAACAAAGATGAATTCATTTTCTCAATTACTGTTGTTGATAAGTTAGATATTGGTGGTGATGACGATGATATTAAGTGTTCATTAGTCGTAACACTATAGTTTAATGTATAATTTGTTAATTCCAATTGATTATGATAATCATTAAATGTACGTAATAAAGAATTGTTTTCAGTTTGAAAGCCTGACTTGTCCACATTATCATATTCGGAACTGGTTAGGAGGAAAAAAAAGAAAAGAGAGGAATGAAAAGATGCTTTAACCGTTGATAAAATCTTTGAAAACAATAAATGATTAATGTGTATAGATCATGATGTGAATGAAATGAGAAATATGTGAATCAATGGGAATTTTAGTTAATTCCAGTAAGATAATAATACATTAGTGTGAATCTATTCTATTAGTTGAGAGTTTACCTAGAAGATTCAAAGTAGAATGGAAAGGCCAGTTTAATGGGTTTTTTTCAGCTAATTTTAGTTTGCAACGAAAAAATCTTGAAATGAATGAGATATCAATTTTAAAACCTTTATGAAAACGTGTTTTATTAGTCACAATTTTCTAATTATGTTCCTTAATGTGTTGGTAGCCCCCAAATGCCCTGGTACGGTCGAGAGTGGGGAGAGTCAGCTCTCCCTCTCCAAATGCTCTCACATGGCCACGCGTACGTAGCCTCTACCAGGGAAGTCCTACTCACTGCCTTCTCGCACCATGGGTGTTGTTTATGAAATTGAGAGGACGAAAAGAGAATGTCCGGCGATCTAACCGGGTTGGTGGGTATGGAGGATTCACCTACGGGTGTTGAAAAGCCCTAATTCCAAACCAACGTTGCACATGGGCTCCAGTATATTGAAGGAACAAATGGCGTATGAACCAATTGTTGATCACGAGCTACCATGGGAATGCATCTCTTGACATTGCTTCACTGCCTTGTGAATCAGACCTTTATTTCAAAGGCTCGAGGTGTGACCCTCTAAGTAAACCATCTGCTTCGGTTTGGGAACCCAGTCAATATCACATCCCTCACACAAATCAAATGAGATTTGTGTGGCGCATATGTATCTGGTGCCCCATTGTAACAATAAATAAATAAATGTGTTGGTAACAAAGAGAGTAGAATTGGATTCTAATAATAGTATAACTAGAGGAAAGGAATTTCTAATGTCAAAAGAAGATCATGAATTGATGATTCATTTCGGTTTGAAAATTTTTCCAAGTTTTCGAATGTAAAACGCGTACCTGATTATTATTTCCATTGTCTTCTTCTTATTCGACTACTTTCATGTACTGTACTATATTACTTACTAACGATTAGTAACTTATGGCCCTTACACTTATTTTTAAACGTATAGCTTTTGATGTGTGACATTTGATTAATTTATTTTCTTAGCATTCCTTATAGTTTATCTTCATTTCCTTAGTCTTCTGTGAACATTATTTAGTATGCACTAACTTCAATATTTAGCTTTGTATATTTCTCATTCCAATCAGTTGTCTATAATTGTTAATTTTGACACAGAGACATGATGTTGCTTAGTTTGTTGATCTTTTTTAAATTATTCCAAAACAACAATCTCAGGAAGTATTTCTTCGTCAAACATAAATGTCTTAGAAAATCCATGAATTAAGGTTTGTAAGCTGTATTGCTCATATTATTGAGCAACTATTTAGCTCTCGACTGACCTCCTGTAGGACTGAGATATTTACTATCGACTGATCGGTATGTTGTAACCAAGGTTATGTTTATATAATCGTTTAGTGGTTATAAGTCACAATCTAACCTATACATGGCATGTAAAGCCGAGCCACCTCGACCGTTGGCCATGATTTATGATTTTATGTATAACTCAAGAGTTTCGTCTGAATTTTTATGTGAATCGAACGCTCAGTGCTCATCAAAAGTAACCACGTTTTGTTCCACACCTAACGGAATATATATTACGTATAGTGAAAATGTTAGGTGATATCTGATACTTATGAATGTGAAAACGACGAATCTTGAGAGCTAACAATCCTATAATAAGTCGACATGACTATTCTATGGCAACAAAAATATCTACATCGTCTGCAAATGTAAAAATTGATCGAAAGGTTAAACACCACTGATCAAGTGCGAATCACACAGAACAAAGTGTGTTAGCAAACGTGAATACACTGGAAAAGAGAACATCATACACTCAAATATATACACTTACCGGCCACCGCTTGTATGACTGTCAGCAATACTAATAGTTCGATGTAGGTTTGCGACAGCAGATTGTTGATGTTGATTAAAATCTTGTTCCATGATAATAGTACAATTCAAATGGTCATGATTTTTGCTGTCAGTAGTAGTATTAGATTGATTCTCAGATAAATTTACTTGGTTCTTATCAGTAATTGATTCATTATTATTACTTTTATTATTCTTCCTATGAACTACAGACAACATATTATTGTTATTATGATGAAAATTCTCTGTAGCAACGCTAGCGTGACTGTTGATTACATTCGACGAATATGAAGGTGAAACAACATCAGTTGTACTATAATGAGTTGAACTTGAAGCATGTTCATTATTATTCACCGAATGTAGACAATTACGATCATCAATTTGAAATAAATTAGTATAATTATTTTTCACAGGTTGTTGACATTGTCGAGTAATATTAGTGGTTGAGGTTAAACGAAAATTTTGATCCATTGAAACTGGTGTATTTATTATTGAAGAATCTTTATTATTACGATTGGTTTCAAGCGGAATACCAGCCTTTAGACTAGTTATTTCCTTTGTATTTTTCTTTTTTCTACCACCGTCATCATCATCATCGTTGTCACCCTCGTCGTCGTCATCATCATCATCTGTATCGTAAACTGATGAGGCAGCATCCCCAATATATCTAAAAAGCATTTTATCATGAATTAAAACGTAATGTCCTAAGAAAATAATACTGGATGAGGGAGGTGGATAGGGAATATTATTTTAGAAAATAACAATAAAATCTGTATTTTAAAATAACGAACTTTCTAATGAAAGAAAATTGTCATGACACAAGTAAAAGAAAGAGGGAAACGAGTCATAAATATGCAGTGTATCCATGGTTCTAGTAACTATTTTTACCTATATATATATTCACTGTCACTGAGAAGAACCCATCTATGAATGAAACGAATTGGACTGACTTTTAACCTGTTCCACTGTGAATAGGTAGTTTAGTAAAAAGAATTTCAAACAATTTCCGAATAACATATTGTTAGCCAGTTGAATTAAGGAGATTGAAGACTTATGTTTATCACTGACAGTTGAGGAAAATTATAATCTAAAGTATAAGGATGTATATAGAAATATCGATGTCTCAAAGTCGACATCTTTAAATTCAATTATCGCATAAAGGGGGACAATTGAAATACATGTAGAATTATTTGATCAAAATTAGAACACTTTTTAGTTGACATGAGACGAAATCAACTGTACAAAGTTCATAAGTGCTCATTCTTTATCATCGTTCTCCGATCTTGAGCTTTGTCGTTTACTAATGTTTCTTTCTAGTAAGATTTAGCTTCTAGTAATCGGACTATATTCACTATATTTAGTCGTATTTTTACAACTAAAGATGCTACTACTATTATTGGAACTCCACAACTGTGTGCATCATGTTAATTCTTTTTAATCACAATGTGGATGTGGAGTAGGATGAGTTGATTTAATGCAAATGTGTGCTGAATTCTAGGGTGTACATAACTGCTGTTATGTAATTTACATTATAAATCGAAGAATAATGTACATTTCTAATAAGTTAAGAATTAGGTACAATAGAGAAAGAGTCAAGAAAATTGACATTAGGTTTTCAATGATTCTACGTCACATACGATTACAAGAACATCTTAGTCAATCAAAACAGTTCTTATATTTTAATTGCTGATTGATATTCAACAAGACAATGAGACTAATAAGGCTTCTACGGCCAAACATATAGCTTACTATTGACGATTATATTCATAAATTTGGAAGGCAGATTTCTAGTTATAGTTATTCCCGCCCAACAAAGTAGGAGAAGCCTATTTGCGCTTTGGGATAAGGGAATATCCTTGTAAAGAGAATGAGACTGGACACCAAAAAAAGCAAAGTAAACGGACGCGTTATGGTTCACTTCGCGGATTTTATGTGTAATTAGAGATCTGGAAACCGGTTATATGGGTGAACTCGTTCTCGTTCACACTTGTAGAGCAGACGGTCACGTTACTGTCTACACATTCCCATCACTTTCAGAAACCAAAAGCGCTGGTGAGTCATTGATGAGTTCACCAGTGCAGAACGTGGAACTTTCTCTCAAGTATGCTGTATATACGTACATTTAAATGCACATGTCAGAGAAACATACATTCCAGTGATACACATATAGGCATATATGAATGCGATTGCTAGTACAAGTTACATGCACACATAGAACGCATAAACGGAGACCCATACAATCCATAGGATACATATAGGTATAGATGCGATCATCCAAGGCCGTAGTCCAGCGGCTCCCATTACCGAATATATATCAAGTACTGAAATAAGTGTCAAAAAAGGTCGTCATAGACGATATATTTGGAGGGGGAGTGAGTCTACGCAATAAACCGAGACATTTTTCCAATTTATAAATGACAGATTTAATTCTAATTGAAACATTTACTGATATGCTTGAAGAAATAAATAAATTCTGTAAAATAACAATCCACTAACCCGCTCATCGTATCACTTTCCTCTCCAGGTGTAATCAGTGGCCAATTTGTACGAGATCGATTAACTTTAGCCAATTTTCTTAAAGCTGGACGACCTACCACAGCTGCAGTACCATTATTATTGCTGCCAGTGGCAGTTATTTCAGTTGTTGTAGATCTTTGTAAAGTACTACTATGCTTATTATTATTAAACCTATTCGAAACTTGAAGATTACATTCTGGATAATATTTGTTGTTCGGTGATTGAAACGAATTTGGATAAAGATTATCATAATCTGAGCTTAAATCCATTCGATCTATTAATTGATGCTGTTTTTTATTTGTAATTATTGATGATATCACCGTTGACGGTAAAACAAATGGACGAGTACTGACGACTTGATGATCTCTACTACCAGATGGTGATGATGAATACCATGGCATTCTATTTAATGCCATTTGTATAGGGTGAGGATGTGATGAAAAATCCGGTAAGCTAACTGGTGCTATCTCTGGTAAAGATGGTCGTGAAATATTTTTTGTTGAATTGCTTGGTTCACTAGAATTATTCCATTGAGAATGATGTGAATTATTGTTCAATTCATCATTCTGAGTAAATTGTGTTTTGGATTGATGAATGTTGGATAGATAAGATGGTTCTTTATTATTAGTATTGACTGAAGTATTATTAATTCCTTGTCCAATGCGTCCATGATAAACAAATAGCTGGATAAGAGGATAATGTATAGAAAAAAATGATATGCAGAATCTGTTAACAAATGAAAAATGAAATTATACAAAATGTATTATAAATGATTACGTAAGTCGGCTACAGTATTGATGATTGATCTTCTATATCAATGAATAAAATTTGGTTAAATGAAATGAGCGGGTTTATAAGAGACCCAGTAGTAAGTAATTGTTTTCAATGAAAAAATATATTTTATACGAATATTCGTCAAGATTAGAACGAATAGTTTGACAGAAATTGAGCGCCGAGTATAGAGAAGTCATTATATGGGAAAACTATATATATTCTCAGCGATTGAAATTTAACTAATTCCAACGTTTCGTCCAGCTAACTTGTCTGGACTTCTTCAGGGTATTGAGTAAAATCTGAATCAAAACTGAATAGTCTAAAAATATAGACTTGTGTACTCGAGAATAGGTTACCTCGCTCAAATGAAAGTAGATTAGTACTTCTTTTTAACTGATCGGATAATATAAACTTCAACTATATAATGAGAGCCTTCAACAAAACTTTGAAAAACATTTCAGGGGCTTTGAAGAAGTTGATCAACACTTTTTACTACCAGCGTTAAATGAAAACAACTCAGAAACGTCCTTAAAAATGATGGATTATGCATAGACGTAGGATAATTGCCTATTCCATTGTTTAGGTTACTGTATTTCGAGAAGTATCCAGAATATCAAAGTCAAGAGTAAACGCAAGAAAATCACAAAATAGGCTTTAAAATGAAGCTTCCTTTATACTTCATACTTTCTTTCTACTATTCAAGCCTCGAGTACAGAAGCTGTTGAAGAATCAGCAATCAAGAACCAGATGTATCATTCTCTTAAATATTTTTTTAAAGAGAGTAAACATTACTTCCATTTCGACCTGGAATTCATCTTTTCACAATAAAAGAATAACTTCAAAGAAATATAGTTTGCAATGAATTTTATTGACACATGTAACCTTCACATTTGAGTAATCATAAGCCTAGCTACGAATTATGTGACAGTTGTCTACCTTGTTTCATTTCCTCACAAATATGTTCACACTACTTATTAGTAGCTTATTATAACTTGTAAAAATATTATCATTTAAGCATTAGAGAAACATTGTCCAGAAGTTAATTTTGTCAAAACTTACTTCCTCACTGGTTAAATCATCGAAATCAATGTTGGATGACGAATTATTAATTGGTTGTTTATCATGATTATGATTAACTGAATAAGTTTCATTTGAACTACTATCCACTGGAGCACCAAATTGTGATAAGGGTGTCGTGGATGTTGACAATAAAGCCGCTTCTAGTAGCATATGATTATCATTATTACGAATCATATTACTACCAATATTATTATTATTGTTTTTATTTAGATTGCTGTTATTATGTTTCACACAATTTTGGTTATTTGATAAGTTATTATTTGATGGAATTAAATAATTCATGCTCATTTGTCGATTTGATTTTGATGATGAATTATTCTGATTTAGATGACAATGCATAGATTCAATTTGTTCCGGTGTTGCGTAATCAAAATCTTCACCCAATTCCGAGTCTCTTGCATCCAAATCTGGATTAGCTAATAAGCTATCAGTCATTTGATGATGAACATGATGACCAAGACTTTCAACATTATAATTGGTATCAACATCATCGGTAGAAACATTATGTATAACCCTATTATTATTGTTGTTTCCATTCACTAGATGACCACCTCTAGATGAAAGGAGCCAATTTGAAGAATGGTCATTCAAATGTTGTAGATTCTCGATGATATCTTGATGTTGCAAAAGAACATTACTATCAGTCATCGAATCAAGGCCATCATTAGCATCGTCATCTTCTGTAAGCTCTTCACCGTCACAACTTGTAAGACCTGTTGATAGAGGTATTAATGAACGAATAAATATTCAACCCATTGTTTTCATTTTTAAAAACATTTTTTCTACACATATAGCTAACTGATATAATATATACGATTTAATGTGTAAATGTTGATATTGACAGTTTATTGTAATACTTTTAAACAAAAGGCATGAATAAAGTTTATTTGAGAGGGCTTTGATAATAATTCTTAAAGTTGATCTCAGATCCAACTAATAATTGTATATATCCAAGTTAAATGAAACTACTTCCAGCTATATAGAAGTGGTGATGAGCGTACGCTATTGGTTAAGATTTGGCTTCAGTTTCTATTGAGATGGATATACCCTATCGGTTGGAAATAATAAATTCATTTTCTGAGAAGAATGTACTTAAATTTGTGAATGAGTCGGGTATATATATAGTAGGTTTGGTTAGTTAATGAATGATTCCTACTCATTCTTGGTTTTCTCACGCCAATAACTGATTTAGGCACGCATATAGGAAGCACAGTAGCACAACTCAAACGACCATAGAACATAATAACAGGTTGATTTTGGAACAAGTGACCATTCCACTGAGAAACCTACCAGTTGTAGGATTTTTAAGCAAATTATACTCAAGTTATGGACCTGTTGCTGGAATAATGGCACTTTTTTGTGATTTGATACAGACTACAAAATCACCTGTCGCCTGTCTACTGTAATGGTTATAAGTCTTAATATTGATCTATTCCAGTGGTAATCAATCTTCAGCAGAACTGAGTTATTTACGCTGACTGTTCACTGAACAACTGCTAGCCATCAAGCTGTTCTTAATGTTGATGGAATTCTGGTTATGAGTAAAGATTTGAATGAGATTAAGCTACGGGCAATTACAGACACTATCAAGAAACTTTTGTATAGTATTCTTAAAGCCTTAATAACGGGTAGTATTGTGCTATCTAGATAAAAAAAATCATCCAAAACTACAAAGATAAGGAAATTGTTTACCATCTTCAGTCATTGAAGTTAGAACAGCCATGCTTAACGGTTCAAGTGATGCTGTGCCAACATATTCGGCATCTGGACACTCCGATGGTTCTCGACAAGAGGAAGAATTCAATTTTATATGTTCATGCGGTATATATGGGATATCATAACGTTCCATAGGCTACGTAAACAAGGCAATAATTAATGGAAAACATATGAATATGTTAGTACGAAACGTCAAAATTAAAAACAAAGAGCTATTTAACAATTTTGTATAACTTAAAAAGATGGTAATATGTCAGTCCATTATAATCAATGTACAAAATGGGACAATGTGTGTAGATTAAAGTTGTCACAAGACAGAATTACAACTAAACGAAACATTATTATTATTACCAATTATTATTGATAGCTCCATTCACTGTTATATTTTTGATACAATATAGAATTCACAGAACAAAGTATTTCAACGAGTTCCCTGTTCTTCTTGTTCGGTCGATCCTGACAATAAATATTGAAATCTTGTAGTGATACTGAGCAATTGTCTTGTAAATCATTTAATCAGGATTTATGAGCTGTCATTATACCACAATTACAATAAAGGACTTAGTAGCTAAGTGGAAAATGGTAATAGGTTCGAGTCCCGGAGTGAACATCAACTCTGAGATGCAGACGACTCCAGCTGACGAATCCCGAATGAGACGAAACGCGCGTCCCGGATTCCACTTCTAGCCACTTTTCATCTTTGTTTATAATTACGATACATGTTTAAACTTAGTAAGAATTGAAAACATTTCACTTTGTCAATTAGTGATCGCCAGTTAGATACTAACAGTTCAAGAATCGATATCTGAATGATGTTCATTCTTTTCAATGCATACTGCCAGCCACCACAATGTTTCTGATTGTACTCTTTTGTAACTTGTACAGTGAAAGGTTGTAAACGTTTCTTAAACGCGCTTGAATAGGTTATGCGATTAATAGACATAATGATGTGTTAAAACAAACAAAAAATAGATAACTTGTTGCAATAGCTAGATGGAAGGAACAGGTAGTCTAGATATTTAAGAAGACCGCCAGATTGTCAGGAATCGTAAAAAAAGAGATGAAGGTCCAAAAAGAAGGAAAAGTATGGAATAACACTGAGACTCTGAATCTAGAGAAGAGGATTGATGAATGAATGTAACTGAGTCACTGTAATAAGTTTCGAGTCATATCACATAAAGGGATAAGTATACAACACATCCTTACAATACTGTCTAAAACATTCATTGAACATATAAAACAATTAAGTGCTATAGGCATATTATTACCAGAGGGACGTATTGGGTATTTGTTGAAACAAGCTATGAATTTCTATAAACCGGGTTAGTTGAGATGACTGGATAGTTTAGACAACAAGTATCTATCTCCAAATGAAACTAATTGGTATGCATTTTAGAAATTTCTGTGTAAAATATAACAATAACCTTTGGTGTTATCAAACGCTGATATTAGGAACCAAAAGCACATCGTGACCTTTAAAAGTAGGAGTTTAACAGTTGAAATTTTGAACTATACATTAGTAGTATTTATGGGGCTGGAGAGATTCTTGAACTTCATCGTAATCATGAAGTGACCTAAGTTAGACAAACACTGAAAACCTAAAAGTAGTGGATTACCATTTCGTCCTAGTACGAAACTGCTAAGCAGTGAGAATTCATGACATAGTGAATATAATCGGAATGGTGATTCTGAGATAAAGCACTGTTAACCAACAAAGAAATTATTTATCATATATTAGATTAATTGAGTATATTGGTTACATAATTCAGCTGTTTGATCCCGATAATAAAAATTAACAACGTACACAAATAACAGGCAACATACTTCTAAGACACAACGATGTATACAGTTTCTAGTGTAATACTTAAACACGTTTATAAAAACTTAAAGTGAAAATACCTCATCTATTAAGCACTGATTATTGACTTGTGTTCTTCGTGTATCCGAAATATTCGGTATAATAATATGATCTATACATCGTGGTGTTGTTTCGATCATAGTTAAACGATTTGATTGAGATTGAAGACATTGTGAATTAGATCGTGATGAATTAGAGGAATGTTTAGAATCATTAACATTTGTTTTGGCTATCATCATTCCATTGTTACAATATGAATGATGATGTTGATCGCTTTTACGACTACCACTGGCTAAACTATGACCAGTTGATGAAGATCCTGATACAGGTGATGATGAATGATGATGACTGACATTTCTTATTGATATTAATTGTTGTTGTTTTACTGAATGATCAGATTTTTCAATTTCAGTTGGATACATTGATTGTTGTTTTTCATGTGAATATCCTCCACCTGGACTTGTGGGACGTTGATAATCGGGAAAATCTAATACGTTTCTAAAAAATAGAAATGGAAAAATTTAAAGCCAATTCTGCGAAGAAATTTTTCCTTTCTATTGTATTCTTTGACAATGAATCAAGTAATGGCGAATAAGATGTATCTGAGAAATTACTTGAAAAACAAAGTAGAATATACTATTAAATCCAAACAAATCGCTAAACTATATCCAACCATCAATGAGATAAGGGAAAGCTGATGAAAGACATTATGAGGTTGTATCAAAGACTTAGTAGCTATTTCGACAATTCTTGATTACTTTTCACTTTGCAAATTTACCAATGTTCACTATCCCCCACACTCTCATTAAGCGTTATTCATTGAATTCATAAATAAACCTGTACGGCCACAAGTTCGAGCCCTACTCTACCCATTTTAGTTAAAATAACCAGTACTTAAACTGCCGTCACAGAAATCCCGTGACTCAAAGCTGTGTACATAAATTCAAGTGTATTCAGAGCCTCAAATCAAGGTTCTACCCCATCGTAAAAAATTAGTAATAATAATAAAGTAGATGACAAAAACTGATATCAGAGACTACTGGAAATATTATGATAATGAACATTTGGTTCTCCTTACTTCCACAGGCTTAAGAATGGGACGCTCGGACCACTGAACTTCAGGTCACAAGTGACCTTCATAACACAAATGCATTGATAATATAATAATATGAGCTAAACATAGAGTGGAATATGAACAGTAAGCTAAACGAATGAACAATTGCCTCAAAGTTATAAATGTTGATCAGTGACAATATAGATGGCCACATGTATATAGCAACAGCCAGAGAAGCCCAATTCACTGTCTACTCGCAGGGAGAATGTTGTTTCTGAAATTGAGAAAACGGAAAGCGAATATCCGGTGCTCAAACTTGGGTGGTGGATATGTAGGACCGATCTGTGGGGAGTTGGAAAACCCTGATTATAAACCAGTAGTGGACATGGGCTACTGGATACTGGGGGAAGAAATGGTGTATGAACCTATTTTTAGTCACTGGTTACTACAGGATCGTATCACCTAACGTTGTTTCCCTACTTTGTGGATTAGACCTGCAGGTCAATGGGTCGAGAAGCGTCCACCTAAGGAAACCGCATACTTCTGTTTGGGCACCCGGACAGTATCTCAGCCCTCACACAAATGCACTGATTTGTGTAGCAGGTGTATATATTGGTTTCCCCTTGTAACAACGTTTAAATAATTCTACTGTTCAAAATGTTACCGATAAATTAAACCACATGGACAATATAAATGATTAAGAACAACCAAGAAATCAACGAATCTCTAGCTTATATAGATAAGAGAAGTAAAACTAAAATGTTAATCGATTCTGGCTACTGTCTGATTGACGATGCACTAAGTTTAGTGCTTAATATTTCAGTTAGATATATTCCATGCAATTATGTTTTTGCTAGAACAATGTATGACGGTTAGACGAAATCAATTATTCAATAAACACTGAACAGGTTATTTTGAAACAAGTATCTGATACACAACTACTATCTACATAAAGATGTACTACAAATGTACATTGTTCAGCTAATGTGATTGTTGCTACATCCATAAATTTTAAAATGCTAATGCATTAAAATAGTTTTCTTATTTGTAAGCGTTTCAGTTTTGTGTATTTGTACATAGATACAATACTACTGAAATATGAAAAAGAACGAAAATGAAAAAAAAGAGATATGGTAGGCAAAGAGGACACTACTTACTTTTGCATTGGGTGACTAGCACTATGAAAGTGTATACCATTAGTATTTATTGGTTGACCATTAGTTTCCACGAAATTATGTATAATATTAGTTGATGAAGGATCGATTACTGAGGACAGTCTTGAATCTTTGATTAATTTCTTCGAAATATCCATATCGCCATTAAGATTCCCCATTGTTTGATTAGTACCTAATGACTGTTGTTGTGTGATTGGTGTTTGATGTACAAATCTATCTCGAGGATCTACTTGTGATGATGTAGCAAATAATCCTAGACGAGAATTCCTATTAGCTTTTTTAATGACGGCTGAGTTGTTAACCACATCTGATAAATTACTTTGACTCTCTGCCATTGATTCGTATCTGTTAGGGCAAAGTAAAACGAAAAATGGAATATTTACTGATTCCCTAAATTGATGCCAAAACATATGACTAACAATACTTACTAACGCCTGTTACCCCTTGTGAAGCAGCATAGCCGACCCAACAGAATACTCCAGCAAACTCTGTCTTAGATCATTTTTTCCAATTGTTTCCAGTTGCGATTGATTCCTTTTACGTCTGCTTCCAATTCACGACGAAATGTGTTGCTTGGTCATCCTCTTTTTTGTTTCTCTTCAAGATTCCAAGTTAGTGCTTGCATCGTGATGCAGTTTGATGATTTCCTCAATGTATATCCTACCCACCTCAAGCACCTTTTCCCAAATTTCCTCTTCATTTGGAAGCTGGTTTGTTCACTCTCAAAGTAAGTTGTTGCCAATGATATCCCATCAACGAACATTAGGTATGTTGTGTGGACAATTGCCTATAAATGCCTGTACTTTTTTTATGATGGTCGTAGTATTTACAGTTGATTGATCACTGAGTGGTGACCGATTTCATGTGTCAGGTCCTTCTTAGTGCAGATCGAATCCTGTCGACCACGTTGCAATGTAGCCACTAGTCTAGGTGACTTGACATTGCATGCACTATATTGAGATAAGATGGTGGTTGGAAGTAATCGACAAGAAACTCTGGACCTAGGTTTCGTGCTATTTAGCACTCATCAGCAAGGTGTACCTGTAATCTTGAGGGGACTGATGCTCTCTGACGAATTCGATCCCGTCTCACCCAACTTCACAGTCAGAGACGTTGCCACTGGGCTTTCCAGACCGCGACCGACCAAGTTGTAGTAGTTCTCCAAGTTGCAGCTCCATACAGTAGAACTGCTTTGATGACTCTATTGCAAATTCTGACTTTGATGTTGGCTGACAGTCATTCTGAGCTCTACATGTTCTTCAGTTGTAGGAATGCTGCCCTTGCTTTGCCAATCCTTGCCTTCATGCCTGCATCAGACCCTCCTTGTTGATCGATGGTGCTGACCAGGTATGTGAAAGTTTCCACCTCTTCTACAGCTTCTCCATCAAGTGTGATTTGGTTGATGTTTTCCGTGTCGTGTTAGAGGATCTTGGACTGCTCTTTGCGTACGTTGAAGCATACCGCTGCTGAGACTACTGGGACATTGGCTGTATTATTGGTGATGATGACTCCCGAGGGTAGCGAGGGTCCGCTTTCCCTCTCGAAATGCTCTCACATGGCCACGCGTATACAACCACTTCCGGGAAATTTCTATTCAATGCCTTATCGCGGAAAGGGTGTTGTTTACGAAATCGAGAAGACGAAAGGAGAATGCTCAGCGTTTTAACTGGGTTGGTGGATATGAAGGATCTACCTAGAGCAGTTGGGAATCCCTGATTCCAAACCAATGGTGCACATGTGCTTCAGGATCCTGAGGGTCACCGGATACCATGAGACTGCATCTCTTCACAGTGCTGCAATGCCTTGTGGATTAGACCTCTAGCTCAAAGGCTCAGGGTGTGGCTCCCTAAGAAAAGCAGCTACTTTAGTTTGGGCACCCGAACAGTATCACAGCCCTCTCCCAAATCAATGATTACCACAACAACCAAGTTACTTATCATCAATTCAAATAAAATCTTGATGATGAAGTAACCTTTATAACTACTGATATCTGTTACAATATTACTTACACATATTACATTACAAGACTTACTCATTATCAGTATACAAAGGATTATGATGACTTGTAGAATTTTCATTTCTTTTAGAATGTCTACGGACATCATCTTCATCGTCATCATCATAATCATCGATTCCGTTGAAAGTATAGAAATTCTTATTAGGGTTAATATTTTTATCATGATTATTATGATCATTATTCTGAATAGATGAAAGTTGATTAATAGCATTTTGTACATGATCCCAATCATAAATAGATTGTGAATTACAAATATTTGACATGGGACAAGTTATATTTTGATTATTTTTATCATTATTACTCATGGTAGTATTGTACTTATTATTATTATTATTATTATTATTATTATTATTATAAGTAGTGTTAGTGGTAGCATCTTCATCACCATCTGTGGCATAAGCACATGCACGCTCAGCAGCTAGAAATGAATCAGTTGACGACAATGATATCGGTCGATGATGTTGATGTTGACCACCATCTCCGATATTTTTTGACGATGACAGTAATGAATGTTCAGGAAGTGGTTTATTTAAAATATTCAATATTATTCCATCAAAATTTTTTGTTATACCGGCTGATATAGGTCTAGTTGATTTCTAGTAAGGAAAGAAAAAAATATATAAATATTTATTACTTATTCACGTGCAGATTGAACAAATATTAATATCACAGGTTACATCACTACAGGAAACCAGGAAATACCGGGTAGTTGATTTGTCTTAGTATATGACTATTCAATAGTGAGCATTCACGACTCTGTAGGGGATCGAAACCAGGATCTTTAGGTTTTATAGTGAGTGCTTAACTTCAAAATCCTTGATTCACCATTCAATGGTTAACCGTTCAAACTTAAATCAATTCGTGATATTATAGGGCAACCATACTTTGAAATTAGCGATGTTTGTCTGACATCCAACACGGATGACCTCTATTCACAGCTTCACAGTAGAGCTCCAGGAATTATCTTTCGAATTTCGAGATTGTCAAATTTCATAGTTTACAGCACTGACTAAGACGTATTGGACAACAGCATCTGGTTCGTCCAGTATATGAATCATTAAGAGTATACATCTAAATAATTGGATGCTGAGTCAGTGAACTAGAGATTAAACGATAAACGGGAGACCTGGAGATCCTAGTTTCTAAAGGTTGTACATGTCAACTATGAAATTATACAACCTAAACAAATCCCCTTATATTCACTTGATATTGTTTTACTTGAATTTTCCCATTGATGTTTTTGGACTGAAATTGATCAGTCTCTTATTGGCATATGTGCATACTGCGAGTATGCCTCGATATAACCTAAATTTACAAGCATTATAAGCAAAGATGGATAGTGGCTAGCAGTGGAATCCAGGACGCGCGTTTTGTCCTGTTTGGGACTCGTCAGCTGGATGTACCTGCATCCCAGAGTGAACATCAACTCTGGGATGCAGGTACATCCAGCTGACGAGTCCCAAACAGGACAAAACGCGCGTCCTGGATTCCACTGCTAGCCACTATCCATCTTTGCTTATAAATCCCCTTATAGATTATGATAATAATTATCATAATGATTTAATTATCAATGAAGAGGGATTTAAAGTGATTAGTGATGAACACGACTTGTACATTAAAACATTAAAATAAACTGTATTCAGTGTTTTTTTATGTGAAGGAGGAGTTTAATTCGCTCAAACAACCACATTAGTTCAAAATTCCCAACAAGTTGAATTCGTTAACAAATTGCTTTGATCCAATAAATGAAAGAGGTGATGATATATAGGATATTTTTGTATTGTATCATTTATAAGTATGAAGCTGTATATTTTAACATTTTGAGTTAGATTTTCAGCTTAATCTTGAGTATGTACTGATGAGATGATTTCATACTATGCTGCGATATCATAGTATTTCTTAAACTTAAATGGTTATTACATTCAAATCATTTAATGATATAAATTAAAAATTTGAAGGAAAACTATGCTTTAAATGAAATAATTTCACTTAATACCGAGGTTCAATTGATAAGTTATAATTGGATATTTACAACAGAGATGAATGAAATTTTACGATCGAAACATTTGTGGTGTTTCCGTTTCTACCAAACAAGTGAAGATTTATGCCATCAAATAAGAGTTCACTTGAGGATATGACTTATCTTCAATATAAGGCTATCAAAATTACGCAGTAAATAATGAAATGCTTCTTTATGAAAACAAATAGTTCAATTACACTGTCTTAGACTTCGAAGAGGGGTTATGCGGTTTCAAAAGTCATGAGGAGCATCGCTTCCTTGAAGATTCCAGGTAGACCTTGGTAGAGAATGCTAACTCAAATGGGACCTAGGTCCAGTCGACTACCTTGGACACCCCAACACTAATATGAACACATGGTACATGACATGTCGAGTCACATAGATTAGTCACCACATTGGAACTTGATCACAAGAATCCGATTGAAATTAGGGATTAATCAAACACACTGTTGGTTAATATTCACTGAACAATCAATATCTGACATAAATGTATTAAAATTAAGGGCAACAGTAAACACAATCGACTCTTTTTCACAGTAATTTGAGAAATATAGACAAGATCAAGATTTTGCAATGTTTAGGCATTTACATGCATCCGCAACAGTCAGAAATAACCAGTTTGAAAGAATGAAGTGGTCCCACAGTCGGATTAGTGAAAACGTACACAACATGAATATAAAAAAGGATACCGTATGGCAACGCAGATCGGTACCAGGATCTATGTTGACGATGACTGATATCCCAACTGCATTATTTCCAAACTTTTCGAATGACATGTTTATTGCCCGCGAATGAGAACAACGTAGTCTAGAATATGACTGATTAGTGGGCTACATCTATAAGTTTATACATGTTCATGAAAGGGAAATTGACGTGAATACTTTTCAGAACACTTAATAACTTGGAAAAAAAACTAAATTCAAGCAACTTACTTCTTTATTATTACATGAATTATTATTTTGGTGATTAGTTTGTATTTGATCCGATGATAGTAACGATTCATCAGGTACTGGCCAATAACTACTAGGTCGAACAGGTTTCAATAAAGGATTCGGTGCATTTAGATTATTATTATTACTATTATTAGTCGTAGTAATAGTAGTACTATGTATTTGATTCTTTTTAGTAAGATGTTCTAATTGAGGCGAAAAAGGTTGAAGTTTATGATTTCCTTGAACAAAGAAAGATAAACCAACAAAAACAAAACAAGATTTTAAAAAGGGGAAAAATTCGGTCAAGATACTACTCATAATAATTTTTATAAAATTGGATTATAAAAATATAACACAAACCAATAAAATGTTAACATAGAACGAGAAATTTCCAGATAGTTCTTAATGCATGTAAACGTTTGAGTATTTTGCTTTCAAGCTACAGGTCATTACTTTAGACTCTGTTTATCTAAACGAAGTTTGAGGATGTGTACATTGACCCTAACAGGTAAAGTTCTAGTAATGAGAAGTCAATATGCAAATTAGAGTACGATCGGTAATTGATTGTTAATGAAGAACTCAACACAAGTTGGAAAGAAACAGAAAAGGTTGAATTAGTGATTACAGCGAGTTTTCTTTTAAATCTATCCTACAACCAGCTTAAAAATAATAAATTTTAGCCTAAAAGTGGTGATTCTCAAACTTAAGAAAAAAAACAAAAGTGTATTAATTACAAATCATATAGAATCCAGTGGCTAAGTTCCAGCTGATATTGTGGTCTATATTTACATATATCAAACTCAGTACAACTGTTGTGCAATGTGTTATCTATTTTTAAACAAAATATATATGGGATAGTTTGAACGCAAGAATTGAGATTCGAAGAGTAATCCCATAAGTAAATATTTAACAAAATGGACAAACGACCTTGAATAGAAGAGGGATAAAGGTGATCCCGAACATACCTTGATTTATTTCACATGGTTTGTGAGTAATATTCGATGATGGAAATTCACATTTCTGTTGAGAATTCTTCAAGATATGAGGTGCGGGATTATGTTTTCTGTCATTATTGTTGACATGTTGCATGTTAGCAGTTCCTGTCACGGTAGTCGACTGTAGAACTGGTGACTGAGTAATGGTACAACTGATTGGAGTATTTAAATGAGTAGACAACTCTGCACTCATATTATTATTAGTAATATTAGAAGGATAACTTCGTTGATGGGGTGGTGGTGGCGGTGGTGAAGAAATTGAATTGCAAAACTGACTAGTCGGTGTATTGACCAGTACATTTGCACCAGCACTCAGCTGACTTTTACGTCGATGGTTAGTATGTTCGACAACATTTGCCAAACGTTGTTGAACTCCTATTGTTGTTGTCGTTGGAATCAAAACTTTGGGTATGGTTTCATGGATAGAGTTAAATGGAACAGGATTTACTGAATTCAATGCTATCTGATTGGGTAAAATAGATGTTGTTGTTCTTATGGCATTTCTATCATTACTGTCATTAGTAGATGGTAAGTGTGAAGTGTTATGTCGAGAATGATGATCGATTGAAAGTTGATTGGATTTTATTGGATCACATGCCTTTTTCCAAAAAACAAAACGTAAAAGAAAAGAGGTTCAGGAAGAGAGAACTCTTTTCTTGATAGTGATGTGAAATCCAATATAGAAATGAGCTTAAAGATAAAATTCCAAACATAATAATTATGTAATACAATTTCGTATTGATGCTTTGAATCTTCCTACTGATGTTCCGGACTTCAGTTGATCTGTCTCTTATTGGCGTATGTGCATCCTATGCGGGTTGCCTCGATATTGCCTTAAGTCACAAGCATTATAAGCAGAAATGGGTGATGGCTAGCAGTGGAATCCAGAATTGGTGTTTCATCCTATTTGCGACTCGTCGTCCTGAATAAGACGAATCGCACATCCTGAATTTCAGTGCTAGTCACCAACAATCTCCGCTTATAATAATGATTATGTATTATTAAAAGTGCTAAAACTTGTGGATAAGTGGTAGAAGCGTATTAACATATCAGAAAACAGATAAAATAACAGCTGTAATTGTCTCATTCATTCGCTATTTCCTCATTTTCAGTAAATGAAAGTTTGGATTAAGTCAGCTTGTAGTGTAAGATATAAAATGAATAATAATTTCCACAGATCTCTTATACAAAGCTTTACTTGTTTCACTATAGCGAAAATTCCCATTCTGACATTTTGTGCAAAGATACATACAACGGAGAAATATGACATATTAGTTAGTTGAAGAAATATATCACTTGCGCATGTTTCAGTGTTATGATTATCTTCATAATTATAGCTCTGAATGGTTTAAATGTTAATCTTATGTTTTTCTACAATTATCCACATGAAATGCCAAACTTTCACAAAAGAAAAACAACGTCTTTTGTACAATGAAGCGATCCACTATCCTTATAACTATAATTAACTCAGTTTGAAGTACGTTGACCATCTATGGTGATATTTTGAGGATGTTTGAGATGATTTATTCAACTCCTAAATAGGAAATATCACTTCATGATTGGTTTAGTTTAAATATGAGTTTTGTCATCTCTGGTAGGTTGGTAAATGCCAAACGAATGATATAAATAAGAAAACGTTTATCAGGATTTTTTTGAGTTAAGAAAAATGTTTGAGCATATCAGATACCAGTTTGTTAATAAGGTGAGTATGCTGAACAATGTTTCTAGGTAATGATACACAGGCGTAAATTATGACCTATGAATATAGAGAACATGTACAGGTTAGAAGAAACTGATTAGAGATATCAGACAAGGACTAACTGTATAAGGTGATAAATTTCATGTAAATATTTATGCTGATTTTATATTAGGGGTGCTACAATAAAATTAGAAAATTAATGCAAGATTGGGAACGTTTTTTTAAATCACATCGAACAACTATCTACGTAAATGTCCAGGAATATATTTGAAAACAAAACACACAAAGTGGTTAAACCAAATCATTTTAATAAGTCCATAAAACCACTGACTCATGCATAATCTGACGAGCTTCGTAGGGAATGGCCAGTTTTATACATGCTACCATTAGACATCATAACTCTTTGATAGAAAATGCCCCCAAATGCCCTGGTATGGCCGAGAGTAGGGTGGGCCCATCCTCCCTCTCGAAATGCTCTCACACGGCCACGCGTATACAGCCTCTGCCAAGGGAGTCCTACTCATTGCCTTCTCGCACCATGGGTGTTGTTTATGAAATAGAGAGGACGAAAAGCGAATGTCAGGCGCTTTAACCTGGTTCCAAATCAATGGTGCACATGGGCTCCAGTATCTTGAAGCAACAAATAGCGTATGAACCAATCGTTGGTCACCGGCTACCATGGGACTACATCTCCTCACGATGCTCCACTGCCTTATGGGTCAGACCTTAAGGTCAAAGGTTCGGGGTGTGGCCCCCTAAGAAAACCACCTGCTTCGGTCTGGGCACCCGGGCAGTATCACAGCCCTCACACAAATCAAATAATTTATGTGGCGCGTATCTATTTGCTGCCTCCTTGTACCAATATCTATGTGTTAAAATAATAATAATAATGATAATTTGATAGAAAATAAACACAAAGATAACAGTTACGTAATAAATTTCAGCTTACATTAACATTTTCAGACAATTTTCACAATTTAATATCAGCTATTCACGCGATTCGCTCATTAAATACACAAGCTTATCATAATATCAGTAACATTTCAAATGATTGTTTGCTGGAATTAATGTTATCGTTTGTATAAAATTGTATCTGACTCATTAGATTTATCACTATTCCTAAGCTTTTTGTCTATTTGACTAGTTTCCAACTACAAACCCAGTTGAGTCACTATAAAATTTATTTGGTTAAAAGAATTAACTCAGAAAAACGTACTTTAGGTAACCCTAAATATGTAACAGTTTAAAATGTCATTTAGAAAAAAATACATTAAAGTCGTCAGGATACTGGGATATTTCGTTAGTGAACTTCAATCTTGTCTATATTTTCAGCTTTTGCAACTCATTACAAAACAAACAAACAAACAAATAACACTGAAAACATTCATTATTGATGTGTGGTAAGAATTTTATAAAAAAAAGGGATTTTAGAAAAATAAGGGAAATTCCATTTCTATCAGTTAAAAAAAAATAGATTTCCTGTAAATATATCATTCGATTTTGTTTAATCTTAGCGGTATTTCCACAAAGACCTGAATTCAATTCTGTATGGAATCATGGGTAGGCGTTAATGCGGAGCTAAACAGAACAGGCCAAAACAGCCTTTTAATACCTTTTGCATTCTAAATGGTTATCCAACTGAAGTCAGTAAAACCATATATATAATTTTGATCAGGAAAACACACATCAATCGTATCATACAAAACGAAATAACGTACATGATTTTGCTTTTGGCTGCTGACATCACCACTGATAGTCTGTGATAATATCAAACCGTTTGTAACTGGATTATTAGATAACACAGACGCAGGCTGATCATATGTATTGAATAAAGAACAAACTTGTTTATTTGATTCCGAAGTCGATTCTATATAAGGCAAATTACTACTTATACTCGTATTAGTAGTTGTTTCATTGGCAGGTGCAGTAGTTGTATTAATGGTAGCATTTGAACGAACAGTACAAAAATGAAGTAAACGATCAATAAATGGTGGTCGTCCATCCAACATTTTCACTAGTGGTGCTGAACGTTGAAGTTGCGCCGATGATATAATCTTTCCATTGGAAGGATCAATAGTACACCAAGTGAATAAGTATTGGTTCAATAAATTACTATTTTCAATAGTTGTTTTCTGATTAGTATTGAGATGTAAATTAGCAATCGATGAGGGATCCAATAAATTTGAGGGAATTAAACTAATCAATTTATCCGTAGCCAATATAAAATGTTGGGAGCCTAAGTGATTCAACTGATGTTTCGATAATAACTGGCGACACGTTTCTAATGGTTCACCCCATAACGTGAAAACTGGATGTTGACTGGATACAAAGCCGAATATACATGATCCAGAATGAAGAGCTAGATTTAGTGAGAGGGTGGGAAAGATTTGGAAAGAGGAAAAGAAACAGATAGCTTAACGGTCACTTATGGACGAAAATCAATTAATTATTTGTTAACCAATATAAAAAGCGGATTCGAACCTTTGACCTATGTAGAATATGATCAAAGACTTCAATACCTTACAAAAATATACAACTAAATAGATAAGGGTTTTCCTAACTATGTATACTGAAAGAATCCAGTGCAGTGTGAAATGATATGAGTAATAGATAAAATAAAACATACGAGAGAATCCAGTTGATAAGTCGTAGCAAAGATAAAAATGCATGTTTTATCTACAAATCCCGTGCTTCATTTAAAAAGAGAAGAAAAGATATCCAAAGCTGACTGTCACACTCTATTCATTTGTATTCATTTCACTAAACTAATTTTCAATTGAAAAATAGTCAGAAGTAACTTAAACAATCAGGCGAAAAATTTCATTAGTATATACACTAAAAATGGTTAACAAGTATGTGTGTGTGTGTGTGTCATGAAGAACTAGGAAACAATGTACACCTGTATGTAACCATGTCGTCACCTATTCTAACACACATAATTAAGCTATTATTATTATTATCATTATCTTCAATATCAACAACACAGGATACATGTGACACAGTAACTGTATCAATCATATGACGACAACTGAAGTAGACTGATGCAAATGCATCATACAAACAGCAGTATAAAACTAAGAACTGATGCAAAACTGATAGAATACTACTTTGTTGTTTTTTTTTCAAAGTATAAAACGCATAACAAATAGAAGTAGAAGAAAAAAACGTTTGATGATAAATATTAAGTAAAAGGTCAGTAATAAATACTGTCTAGCAGCATCTTAATAATAACAATAACAGAACCGATTATGATTGATCTGTGTACATTATTAAAAATAAGACAAGGGGATTAATGTTTTAAATTAATGTAACTGATTCATCATAACATAGATTTATATAATCGATTTCAAGCTGTACTTTCAACCTTGGTTAGAATGTTTGTAATCATCGTGACAAATGGTTGGTGATGTTTAGAATTGGCTGAAATAGTGTAAATATATTCACTATTTGTCTTTCCATAGATTGTGAGTTCTGAAACTAAGATATCTGAAGACAATTATATTGGATTACATCTTGATCATTTCATGTCGTTGTATTGATTGAGATATTGATAGAGATATTAGTCAAGGTTTACGTTGCGCTTGACAGACGTATGGCACAATTTACATATGCAGGACTAGTGATACTATTCGATTGCTGAAAACCGGTTTAAACCTGTAACTTATTACTGAATGGAAATTGCAATTGCTTTCCAAACAAAATTAAATAAGATTAAAAGTATTAGGAATGAATAATAATGAGCAAAAGAAGATTCTAGAACATCAAAAATAGTGACAAACGACCGTTCAATTGTAGATTAATTGTACTAGGAGACAGTTGAACACGAGGTAATGATAATTAAAACAATAAAATCAGTTGGATCTAATCAGTTAAAAATAAAGTTGTAAATTTGAAAGAACTGAAATATGATGCAAATAAATTATAAGAGAAAGTGCTGAAGGAGTGACTTATCAAAAAACGTTAATGTTACTGTAGTAAGAAAAGATTTATCACTCATTCTTCTCAAACACATGAATTTGGTTTCAAGTATATGATAGCTATGTATTTGGTAACTACAGTTTAATTGCTTAATAATCATAGTGAAGGATTTCAGCATATCAACCCGAGGCCGTACATTTTCCAACAGATGTCTTGAAATAGTAGTACTTAAAGTCGTTAATCTATTCAACCGGTAACGTTTTAGAATGTAACCATAAAAGAAAACGAGCGTATACCCTCAGTTTTGTTCTACCAGAGTAACTGATTTCGCACATATTAACTTATAACCAACTTCATCAACACAATTACATCAACTTCTATATACAATATCGATTTTATAACTGAACTGAAGTGAATTCATGTTATTCCGCTCACTATTCTTCATACATGCATATGAATGTTACTGAGAATTAAATTATATCTCGTTTGAATTTGCACGCTTGAAACGTTTTATACAATACTTTGTATCTTAAACAAACTCGTTGTTTTATGAATCCCAAAACCTAGGCCCAGGGATAACTTTCGATTGTCTGTCGAGTTAATTATACTAGTTGTCACTTTACAATTTCACAGATAGGAGTCAATAAGGACTGAGGTATCTAAAAGTCGAGTGAACCATCATTCGTTTTCAGCTAATCACAATATTAATGACTTTGGATTGATCACTGAATGAATTAATATAGACATAGATATGGTGAAATTTAACCAAAATCATTACATAAAATAACTTAGTCAAATATCAGTCAGGTAGTAATAACTAGAGCCTAGCTTCGAGATGAATTTTTTGATGTTCCAGTGAGAATTGTGAAGCTATGAAATGAACCGATTGAGGCCAGTTATCCCATAGATTGGAGGTGACTGTAAGTTGTATCAGATTATGGCCTAACTGAAGTTGTTCAATGTGAATCAGTAGATCCTAACTCACTGATGACTAGATGACTAGCTTAAACTTACCAGCTTGAACATAAATTTGTCTACCAGAAGATGATGACGATGAGGAGGATTTTGTCTTTTGATTAATTTGATCACAAATAACAATAACACGTTCAATAAATTTGATTAAACAGCTCCATTGATTTACAGTTGTTGTCTGTGATGCTTTCAAAGAATGATGATTCTGACAATCCTGTACGGATGTTTAATTTAGAAAGGAAAAGAGAAATAAACAAATATAAGACAAAGTTAGTTCTCTTTTCAATGTTTCACAGTGTTTCTTCTTTTCTTAAAAGTTTAATTTTCTTCATCACTGCAAATACCAATGAACTTTAGGGTAGAATGCTTTATTATAGGGAATTTGCAGGTATTAAAATGTATAAACCACAATTACAACAAATTCTTTTTCCAGGAGGTTTTAACAACAATGATTGTTAGTCAATATTAATGTACAGCTTAACACAGTTGTACGTTGGTCGAAGTTTCCAACCCCTATCTTAGTGTGATGGTCAAGCTTACTTGTCATAATGACCTGATCAACGTGCATGGGACATACTGTCCTTCACATAACATTTGGAAATTAAACCAAAGTCTAAACAATATTAACTTTACAAAACATCATGGAGTTATTATAGAATATTGAAATATGACAATCATATTCCTCAACGAATTCTGATGAGATCATTCGGTTGAAAGTGGTTAAGTTGTTCAAATCGTTTTGATATCTTATATGCTAAAACGTCAATATTCTGTAAATTGCTTTTTCTTTTTATTGCATTCCTATTTCGAAAATGACTTATCTCAGAACAGAAGTCAATACATCATTATATGTAATGAAAAAGTAAATCACTTGTAAACAAAGCATTTGTCAATTAATTATCCACTTCAGTTGACCCAATGAAAGACAACATGATTATTGTTTTTCTGATGACTAAACAAGTTTGGTTTATTTGTTTACTTATTTATTTTTTAATAAAAACAAAAGGAAAAAGAAATGTTGTGTATGAAGTTGTAAACTACACCAACTATGACACAGTGAACAAAGGTATACATATTGAAATTATCAAGAACATTGACCAATGAACAGGTATAGTTCAATGATACATAAAATGTCATTAAGAAAACTACAATCCATATTCCATAAATCATAGTTATCAAACATTTATGTAAGAATATGGAATATAATGTAGGTTTATACACAAAAACGAACCTTAAGTCAAACTGCTAAACAGAACGTTGAAACTATTTGATTCCAATAGCTGAGATTTACAAATATTGAACGAGTTTTTGATCTATTAAAGATTACTATTTTGAAAGTTAGAATAACACATATAAGCGGACAATATTGTTTTAAGTCAGACTGTCAACAAGGTTTACTCCAAATATACATGAATACATTCTGTATGGGGATTTGTGTAGATTGTAGTATTAACACGAGTCGATCTAAACTAGACGACTATTGAAAACCTGGAAGTATTGGACAGCCATTTCGTCCCACTATTGTACTATTCAACAGTGGATAGCACTCTTAAATTGAAATGTGAAAATACTACAATCTCCACACATACCTATACTGATAATAATCATGTGCTCACTAGTGACTAGATTTAAGATAGATTTCCTGGAGTTTTAGTGAGAAAATGTGAACAGTGGAGCCAAATCCATATCGTATACGAGACAGTTATCCACCTCAGACAATGGATGAAGGGTTGAGCAATATCATAGATCGATTAAAGTTGAAAAAAATATGAATATTTGTCTGAAAATATTAAATCAATCACGTTGATTTGTGAACGAATGATCACAAAGAAACGGATGGCATAACTACAAATAACATAGTACATAACAGAAACTTTAGGGATTCAAAGTTTAATTCATGTGTCCAGAAGAGAATTCGTGACATCGCGACCCCTTTCTTGGTGGGATATGACTTAATAAACAAATTTTTTCACATCCTGTATTTGTCTATCGTTCCTCATCTCCTTTCCTTTATGTTTTTCATTATCTAATTACTTACACAATCTTATAGCGTAGTTTTGAAATGTTTTATGACTATTATTTTAAAGTCCATCTGTGTAAGTTTGATCCACTTCCTATGTTAAACTATTGACCAGAATTTTTTAACATTTTATTATTGTTATCAGTACTAACAGTACACCTGTTTTCTTTTTATCAATTTGTACTTTTCACGTACTGTGTGTAGTTATGAAATCCATTTCATTGTGATCTTTTACTCATAAATTGCCTCGACTGATTGAATATTTTCATATAGCCATGTAACTCAAAGCCTGATGACAATCTAATTGAAAACAATAGTTTACTTATATATGCTATTCTGATTGTTCATACTTTAGGCACAATAACAGTTCTGTAACTAAATTATGTAGCTGAGTGATGCGGAAACGAATATGCCACAGGAAACCAGTTCCCTGAAGACTATAGGTGCGCCTTGTGAACTAACGTTAAAAAGTACGAAACCTAGATAGAGTAGGGTTTCGTATTGACTAATTTCCACCACCTAACACATTACAATTTAACTTCACACAATAAAGAAATCATCAAATCAGAGTATATTTCAAGCATTACAAAACACATGCATATCATCAATTAAATATTAATTTTCTGTTAAAATAAAAATCTATCTGAAAATCAGTTTACTTACAGAATCTTCAAGTGTTCCAAGTCCAGCTGCATATCCAACCATTGTTCCTCCTGTATAAACTTTAACTAGATTTAATTTCGATGATACAGCCTGTGAAGGTGTTGATGATGATGATGATGATGACGACGATAATAATGACGAAAATAATTTTTCATCATCCTTTGCATTTTTATTTAAAGTATTACTATTGTTACTTTCTCGTTCATTCATGGTATTTTCTCCTGCCGTGGTTTGCTGCTGTTGTCCAAGAGCAAGTGAATCAACCAAATGAATAACACGATTTAATAAACGTACTCGATCAGCGATTTCTGTTGGCTCTTCATTGTTTATTTGTGTTTTTGACTTGGATTCTGAATTATTCATTGTTGTCGATGCAGTACTGTTATGAGATGAATCAGCTGATTGTTTTTGTTGTTGTGTTACTAATGGTTTTGATGGAATTACAATAAAATTAATTAAAACTAAACCGATATTCTGATGAGATTTACTGTAGATTTCTATTGCCCTCTCTGGACTTGATATTTTAGCTATCACAAAGCGTGGTACAATAGAAACTAGTAGACGTGCCAATGCTGAGCTTGTCAATGATAACTTCTCTAAAGTAGATTGACTCTACATGAATTAATAATTAACAATAATAATAATAATAATAATAATAATAATAATAATAAGTAATAATAATAATAGTAATTAATAATAATAATAATCGTTATCACGTTAGTACAAAAAACGCAATTTGATTGAGTTTATGAGATTAACTTAGAGACATTATTCGTTATACACTACCCTCAATTGGAATATGATTGAAAACCAGGTATAACTGGACAGTTGTTTCATTTTAGCATGGAATGCTCTTCAGTAGTGGAAATCAATGGCTCTGCATAGATGATCGAATTCAGGATATTTGTGAACTGGTTTAAGTTGAAAATGTATACCATTCAGGGACGTAAAAGTAACGCTTAGAAGACGAAATAATATCGATTTATTTTCAATCCTTAGTACGGTTGTAAGTGGAAGGAAATTCTCATATTCAAATGACATAAGTTTCCAAATATTCTACTTGATTTTGAATGTTACTGTAGTGAAAGAGAACACAAGTGGGGACAATCGAATATATTTGAACACAAAATTACAGAATCACTTAGTGAAATCTGAGAACCATAGAGTAAATACTTCATTTGCAAAATATCAGTTAATCATCTCAGACTTCATTGTTCCTTCGCTTCCATAATAATCATTCTCTGTTCTCGTTCTCTTTTCGTCGATCTTCTTAACCTTATGCTGCCAGGCATTTCACTTTCGCTTGATGATACATACTAATTATATCTGTCGAAATCAGTAGCACACACCACAGAATATCAACCTATATCAACTGAAGATGAATACTACAACTAAAAATGGAGTTATTAACAACGTTTTTATGTGTGTAAAAGGAGGTCAACTTCACCATATACAATGCCAGGTTACGTAACTTTGTTTCTATCAGGAAGAAATGTGAAATACTACATAATACTGGTTTTCATAATTGCCAACAATCATTGAACCGATATTACTCTGCGTCATTTCGTTATAAATTATGCTGAAAGTCATTCATTTATAAAATAACATGTGGGATGAGGAAAATTAACAGCTTTAAACAGATACATATATATTTTTTACTGTAGACAGGGTAATTGATGGAATGGAGAATATTTAGATATTAATTTATCGAACTAGACTGCCTACGTCTATTGACAAGTAAATAACTGCATGTGTGTCTGATAACTGTTTAACCTGTAGAAAATTATATTAAAGTTAGTTAGTCAGTAATAAATATTGTAACACCTGATAGAAGCATATACCGACTTAAGTTACTACACTTTATACACAGTAGATTAGTGAAAAAGAAACAAGATGAAAATATAATGGAATTAATAACAATTTTAATGATACCGGTAAACTAAACCTAAGAAGTATGGATTAAAATGGAATGAAAAAGACTGAAGAGTGAGAAATATGGAATTACTATAAAACGTAACAAGTGGATGAAGTTAGAGAATGAATAGATTAGTAACATTGTAGCGGAACTTGACCACTGATACCCCCATCCCAATATAGAAGTTTACATTCTTCTCAAATGACTCATTCCAGATGGTAATAACTTTATAGACTGATGATCATGTCATGGTCATAAATAGACTACTGTCAGGATAACACACTAATGGAGGCAAGAGTTGAGTAAGCGTTTCACAGAAATATAGCTCGCATCTTTTGGGATCACCGGGAAAGTAACAGTGAGGTTAGACGCAGGGTATTAGAGAATGATGGTATAAATCATCATCGACTAAGATGGTTGGGCCACGTGTTAGGTTTGCCTGAACACCGATTACCACGAAGCATAATGTTGCCTAGTGTTGGAGACGACTGGAAGAAAGTTAGGGGATCTAGTCTGAGCCATGTTGGTAGATGCAGACTACTTGACTGGGGTCAGCGTGACTATCGTAACCAATGGGTGAAGACTCTGGATAACATGGCTCAGAATCCATCACAAAGGCATTGGTGTATACACTCTTCGTCTTCCCTTAAACCATGAGATTAAAATTACTTTATACCTTTCTTTCTACGAACCAATTCTTTCTTCCTGTACTATATATTTATATGCAATCTTTCTTATATATATCATTGAAGTAACTACTTCTAAAAATTTGATGTTCATCTTGTTGTTCTAATGAAGTATGGCAACTTGGACCGATGCATAGATATGCCTGTTCCTACGTTATAGCTGACTGAATGAGTGAAGTGTATCAGATATCCTAACTGCAATGTTCTTTGAAAAATGCATTTCACATAGTTATCAAACATCATATGCGTATTTCATCAAATCGATAGTTATACTATCGGCTAAACACTCTTCATGTATTCACCTATCATCGTAAACTTGTATCCTATGCATACCTTCTATCTCGAAAAATGAAATTTGACATCGGACATATGTTGACGAGAATAGAACACAGTCAAGAATTTGCAATTAATCTCTACAAATCACATAACCCATTATATAACAGGACGAGAGCAGAAAATAAGTTTCCTGTGACAACTACTATTCACATTTTCTCAACAAATTTTTATATTTAAGCATTAAATTACTTTCTACAACCCACTCACCAATTCACCGGAAACTATAAACAACTATAAAATAAAAACGTATACTTGTCTGTAGATTATACAAAAACTCTAACATTATGATATATACTATCCAATACAAGTGTATGTTAAGTATGCCTATTATCAAGAACGAAATTGGTTGAATGACACGACATTCAATAGCAAATATATTGAAGATTTACTCATACTATTCCCGTTTGACAGAGATTATCAACTAGAACTTAACACAAGTGATTGAGTATGGATGAAGTAAAATGTCTTAGATATACCCCTTTCGGTTTGTTAAATGACTACCATTTATCATTCATGAGAAGAAACACGAAAAAACGAAAGCGAAAAAAGATATACAAGCATTTTTGTTAAAACCAAAGAATAAAATCATTTACAGGAATATTAGCTCATTAAAAATTGAATATGTGAAATTATGTATTATTGAACAATGACCACTGTTTATACTGATCAGAAGATATCGCGATCATTTCGTCTTTTGAAGGGTCAGAAAATCTGTAATGTCACCAGAGATAAAACTACATATCCATCAAAAAACTAAGGACTGTAGGAGAAAATCACCAGATGTGTAATGTTTAATCAATAGGTGTCTTGTTAAAGTCAATCTGTGATGCAAATTATATTCAAATTGAACAATTCTCAATAATTTATGAATCTAACTGTAAAACAGTTGTTTACTAATGATTGATTTCGTTCAAGTAGTGTATGCATACTGAAACACTGCTATATCAGGTTAGTACTAATCCCTTCCAGAAAAAACAAATCTGACTGTTATGTCACACAAACCCATTATTTTATTCTAATCACTCTTAAAGTCCACAGTGGCGTCGAATGAATCCTCATACACCACAAGAAAGGATCACATTATTTATAAAACAACGATGATGAGATGTCCATGAACAAATACTAAAGCTCGGAGAACAAATAAGTAAATTACCACTGGTGCGAAGAGAGTGACAGAAAGTTAATTCCTAAACTTAAAAACATCAGAATTCTTTACTTGTCACCTATGTCCCAAATAACTTCGAATCATGTACAATTTTGTAACCAACATTTTGCATGTAAGCATGTCATTTTATTATGGAAGACATTTTTTGTTGAACAGTTGCGTGTCTTTGATGCTAGTTCGCTTGTAAACTTATGTTGATAATTCGATTTTTTCACTAATTGTCAGTTAAGCATATAGTATGAAAGCGCACAACCCATCAATCGTCATTCTGTTTAGTGTTTTGGCAGCCAAAATGTGTTCACCATCAAAACCATCGATAATCTCCTTACATATCAGTAACTTCACAGTTTAAAATTAGGCAACTAAACTACAGTTCTGTTCATTTTTATTTTGACGATGAAATTTTTATAATGAACAAACCAAACCTATATGTATGCAAGAAACCGAAAAAAACAATCTGATATTGTTATATGCAAAGATGATGATGACTATCAGTGGAACACAGGACGCGGGTTTCGTCCTATCTGGGACTTGTCATCTGGATGCATCTGCATCCATCCATCCTTGCCAATAATGCTAGTGACTTAAGGCAATTTTGAGGCGATCCGCATAGAATGCACATATGCCAATAAGAGGCTGATCAATTACCGTCCTAGACATCAGTGGGTCGATTCAAACAACCCATACAAAAACTAATCAATTTGATATTTTTATCAAGACCATTCCCAAGTTAGTATTTAGACATGTATATCGCAAAAACCAAATTGAGTTATCATAACTAGATCTTTTATCCCTTAGGTCATACTACCCCACCAATGTCATGTGAAGTATAACAAGTGTAAAAGCAGAAACTTTAGCTCCGAAGGTAGATTCACATTGTTAAATGTATTTATATATGATGACAGTAACATGTCTTACTAAAACATTCAGTAACTCTGGAGATATTTCTTTACTATAACGGGATGAGGTTTTTGTAAAAGATCAGTGAGAAAAAACAGTACACCTCACCTTACCCCACAGCTTTACATAAAAAATTGTCTGGAAATTACAAATTGGTGACATCAAAAACTACGCTCAAAAAGGCTGTGTGGACAGCTTGCAAGTAGCTGTTCCATAGATTTAATAATCACAAATTCAAATTCATCCAGAACATCCTAAATTAAGTTTCCTTCACAGGTGACTTCTAAAATATCTTCTCATGATGTTGAAATCGACTGAAATATGACAACCGATCTTATACTTCTATAACCACATTTGACTATCTATTTTTATATGTACAATTCGAAATATTTTATATACAAAAGACAAAATTGTCATCAAACATTTGAAAAAAAGAAAAAAAACCTCCTATAATATTCATAACATACTTTCATTTTCCATTGATGCATTAATCTACATTGATATTCTAAACTTCGCGGTAATAGAATAGCCAATAATAAGAAGCTGAATTGAGCAAATAAACTTTGTACAAAATTCGGAATAAACAAGTTCTGTTGAATGGATGTTCCTTGAAATAGATGGTTGCTAGCATGTCTATATAGAAATAAATGCATAGATAAGAATAACAATCATTATATATATACAATGTGAAATGCTACTTAAGTATAGCATACAATATAACATGGAATAGTAACAAATAACAATAACGTAAGCACATATTCAATAAATTAATGAATTCATTGATAAAGCATTTTGTTTTATATTACAGGTGATTATCAGGATTTCCCACTGATCGGCGTTAATCAATCATTTGATATTAAACAAGACTAGTTTTAACAAGGCATTGGTACAGTATAGTGGCCAAATATAGAAATCAGATATTCCTCCATTGAGAATTATGTTATATGTGATTGATTGGTTGATTGTCTTATAGTCAACGTATGGTTTTGTATAACAGACAACCTTTGAAAACTAGAAGGCAATGAATAATTGTTTTGTCCTAGTACAGAAATCATAAACAAATCGATGATCGCACCAGGGATCGAACAAAGAACATGCAGGTCATGTAGAAAAGCGAATAACCTTCAAAAATGAGTCAGCATTTCAGTCAATGTATAACCAATTCTATTTCCCTTAGTGATATAAAGCTACGACTGACTGAATCAAGAAAAGGTTAATGTCTTTAATAAAGAAAACGATATGTTATTTGTTTTGCTACAGTTTGTTATTTATTTAAAAACAATATGGGGGGGGGGGAATTCATGATGAATGAACTGTATTCATTGTATAGATAAACACAATTAACATTTTATTCACACACAAATGACAAACTCGTCATGGAGATAAATACTCTAAGGTGGTATTGGCAAATTCTAATACATTAAACAATTTAAAATTGGAATTAAAAGAAATTAATACGATATTGATGTTATAGATGGACTGAATTTACCGGATTTTAATTTTTTTTAATTCCATCGTATCCTGATTTGAATGTAAAGTCTTAAATCAATATTAGTAAGAGTCTGAATTATCCCATTATTGATATTCATTATGGAATTGTGGACAATCTTTGTTAGTCTATATACATCCTGTGGGGACTGCCTCAATAATCCCATATAGTCACAGGATTTCAGTGAAGTTGTATAAAGTTAGTAGTAAAATCCATAACAAGTGTTTCGTCTTATTTGAGACCAGTTAGTTGGATATTCCTAAATCCTAATGTTGACGATTGGATTGAGGTTCGAATCAAACGCTTCTCATCCCCGATACTAACACGTTATTCACTGTGTCTAGATACATGTTGAATATTTTTTTATTTATCCGGAATAGGCAGATCAAAGGACAACGAGTTGTCGTTTGTTGCTAGGCGAACAAGGTCCATGTCTCGAAACGAACATCAAAAAGGGGACGCAGATGGTTGACGGTTGACAAGTCCTGAACAGGACCAAACGAGAGTCCTGTATTTCACGGCTAGTTACACATCATCTATTCTCCAGAACAGAATGTCTGATTCCGTAAAACGGAAAGGAATTTATGGTCAAAAACTTTTCAAATTGAGAATGATTTCTTGTTTACATACCATTTTCGTGGTACTAACTCGTGCCGAAATATTCACTTTGTTTTCTATGACGATACCCAAATAGCGATCAATATTTAAAGAGTATCATCACTAGTATACAGAATTCGTTATTTTTACATATAGGGAACAATAACCGGAAAATAAATTGAGTTGTCTAAATGATCGAAAAATGGAGGAGAATGAATGTTAATTTTTTGTATTACTAGTTTATTACACTGCCTTCGGCTAACGAATCATCATCGTTCTGGACGAAAATTATCAGGGTCCATTCTAAGTCCGAGACGTTTTTAAAGAATGGCATTCAGTTCAAATTATATTGAATAGTCAGATCGAAGTAAATCACTTGTATCGATCTACACGAAGAAAGTAAGTTAACCAAAAAACGTTTACGAAGACAATCAGTCACAAACAAGATTATCGAAAATAAAACCTTAGCACTATGTGGAATCGTTCTAAAATCCTCACTTCACTTGAAATAGGCTCAGATGGTGTTGCCCAACACAACAATAAACCAGTACCAAGTAGCACGAAACCCGGGTCCAGGGTTTCCTGTCGACTACCTCCAACTACCATCTAATCTCAATATATAGTGCCCGCAGTGTCGAGTCACCTAGACTGCTGGCCACATTGCAACATGATCGATAGCATTCGATCTGCACTAATAAGGACTAGACACGCATGACATTCATCACCACCCAGTGATCAATCAATTGTGACAACAATAAACTATTCAGGTCAAGAAACCTGACAACAGTGAACTTATTCATCAGAGATACAAATTCTCTCATTTATTTCAACATTAGTTAAATTACCAAGTAATTCATTCAATATACATACATATATTTGGAAAGTTTGCTTTGTAAAGCAAAAGAAAGAAAACAACAACAACCCATAGTCACTATCACCATTGGATGCTGGCTCAGCGGTCCAGTTGGTTAAGCGTTCGCGCGCGAGACCGAAGGCCCTGGGTTCGAATCCCGCGAGCGGGACCGTGGACGTGCACTGCTGAGGAGCCCCACAATAGGACGAAACGGTCGTCCAGTGCATCCAGGTTTTCAAAGGTTGTCTAACATCAATCGGTTCATGATCTCAATCAAAATAATAACAAATTATTCTTCTTTTAACCATCGAAAACTAAAAACAACTCACTTTTCATAATTCCATTGTAATATATAAAATAATCCATTATAATTAACAGTCCATAAAATGATGATAATATGTAAAATGAATATCATTAAACCAATTAAGAAACGTGTTAATTGTGGTGTAATAATCATGTATTTCATATTCATTTCATTCATTATCATATGTTCACTATGATGTAGATTAGTTAGTATTACTTTTTTTGTATTTACTCTATACAAAGCAGCAGATGTGAATATAGTTGAGATAAGGATTGATAAACAACCAATTATAATGAAATGATCATCAAAGAAACTGTGATATCCATAACCTCTATTAAAATTATTACTATTACTACGAGAAGAAATCGAAGAAGTGTTAGTTATAGTATTCACTGGTGAATTAGTAAACATGTTGTATAACAATGATGATGATGATGATGATGACGATGACGAAGACGATGATGACGGTGATTGTGAAAAGATATTTCCTTTAAAATTATAATTTATTAATAGAGACGTAATGGAAAGATTATTATTGAATGAATGAAATTGATACTGTTCATATGGTATATTAACAAAATCTCTATAACTGTAAGGTTCATTGATATAATTCACTTCATTAACTGAACTGCACAAAAACTGTTTTATAAAAGAAAAATAAACAGGAGTGAAATTAGAGAAAAAATGGATTATAAACAAAAATAAATGATTGGAAGCCTTTGGAAATTTCTTAGATAAGTTTTTAGAAACTGAAAAATAGCATGAAAAATATTCTGTTTAGTGAATGTTTAACACAAAACTCTTTAGGAAGTTCTAGAAAAACAAAGGATTACGTCAATTTAGAAATTGGGTAATTATCGATGTTGCTAATAATTACATTATGTCTTCCAGAATATCAAGATTACTCATGAGCTTACATATATCTTTATATTCTATAGCCCCATATGCCCTGGTATGACCGAGAGAGAGGACAGTCAGCTCTCCCTCTCCAAATGCTCACACATGGCCGCGTGCATATAACCACTGCCAAGGAAGTACTACTCATTGACTTTTCGCACCATGGGTGTTGTTTGCGAAATTGAGAGGACGAAAAGCAAATATCAGGCGCTTTAACCGGGTTGATGGACATGGGGAGTCCATCTAGGAGAGTTGGAAAACCCTGATTCCAAACGAATGGTGCACATGGGCTCCAGTATCTTGAAGCAACAAATAGCGTATGAACCAATCGTTGGTCACCGGCAACCATGGGACTGCATCTCCTTACGTTGCTCCACTGCCTTATGGGTCAGACCTTCAGGTCGAAGGCTCCGGGTGTGGCCCTCTAAGAAAACCACCTGCTTCGGTTTGGGCACTCGCACAGTATCACAGCCCTCACACATATCGAATGAGATTTGTGTGGCGCATATTTATTTGGTGTTTCCTTGTACCAATGTTTACGCGTTTAAATAAAAAAAAATAAATCTATACTTTGACTGACGTTGGAGGTAAAATTTCTTTTCATACTTTCCGTCTTTAGTCTGCCGTCTAAGATTCAAATAAATGTTTCCGAGGATCTTGAAAGCAGTTAGAAGTAAGAATCAAGCATTCAGATATTCAAGAATGACAATGTGCAAAACAATCGCATATTAATAATTCTCAAGATCAATTCCGCGAAGAATGTCTTTTTCTTGATATTTTCGGCGATTGAAGTATACAGTAATCTTTTGGGGAAAAGAAAGCTCCATTCTGTTAAAAAGCTGTGTATATTGACAATTTGATTCTAAGATATCTCGAAATTTCCAGGCATGGAGTTTTATCAAGATACAGATTAGAAAATGGTGCATAGCAGTGACAGTAACAAGTCCTTGATCTGTGGAACTTCTGATTCCTCATTCTTTCATAGTCAAAACCATCTGCTTTTCGAATTTCTTGGATTTATTAAGTAAATCATTAACTTTTATAGTTTGATCTGCCAATTATTTTCAACCTACTTTTTTAGTGTGGCCTATATAAATCTATAGTTTAGATACTTAAAATTTACCAGCAATTAGTTAACGACCTAGTATATCAATTGATTATTAAATGAACGAATACATATGTTAAGAAAATATAGAAACGATTGTATGTCACATGTGGTCAGAATAGTTTAATCGTAACGACTCGGACCGTGAGGTTGGGTTGTGCAGGTTCGAATTCACAAGCGACGATTAGTAATCTTATGATTGCGAGTACAACTCGTTGATGAGTATGAATCTGCAAGATACATATATCGAGCAAGGTCGATCGATGAAAATGAAAGTCATTTCATTCAATGCATGAAAAGACTAATTAAAATATGTTTAATTATTTAACAAGAAAATCTGTGAAAACATGACGATATTTTTAATGTTATCATTGTATTCAATAAAAGGTTCATTTAGAAAACAACAAGAGTAAACAATCTTAACATCTTAAGTCTCTCTTCTGAGATTAGACGCAGAGTACTAATTAAAGGTAGAAAATCAGTTTGTGAGGTAGTGAATCTACATCGACTGAAATGGTTAAGACATATTTTATGTATCTTCAACCACCGCCTACCTTAATAAGCTATGCTTGCTGACTTAATGTAGGTTAGTGCAAAGTTACAGAGTGCCAAATCATGATGTGGTATTAGTTCATAAAGCCATAGACTGTTGGATTGACCCTGGACATAGGTGATAACTGCCTGTTTGAAACTCGAAAGATAATCATAACCAATGACTGAAAATGTTGACTAGCATTTACTTTTCTCAAATCATATTTTTTATGTCTGATCTTGTTTACTACAGATGATACTCTCAGTACATTTACTACCTCAGCATTTATTTTGATAATTTCACCTCACTGTAATAATGTTGTGTAGTAACTTGAATCTATGCATATTTGTGTTGTGCTCTATGTTGCTTTGGATTGACTCTAGTTTTTCAGTTTTATTTAGCATGTGAAGAAAATTGGTCTTCACAACGAACCAAATTTTCGTACACTAGAAAGTTATCGGAGAAGATGGAAAGTACAAGACATTTGTTTCCTTCTATTTTCAGAACTTTATAGCACTGAATATCTATTTAAACCGGATAATTTAATAGAAATGTTTCATGAAAAAAATATTTCGATAAGTGTATTGTTCTGATTTTTCGTACACACACAAGTAAACATAACAATCCACAGATTATCAAACTTGTTACGATAATCATTGTTTGAAAACATTAATAATAACAATATCACCTGAAAACACTTGAGACATACCATGTTCAATGATGTGGTAACAGTTACTACGATCACCGTTAACCATAGTAATAGAGCCCATATAGTTGGCGAAGTACAACACAGTAAATTAAGTTTCTATAATTGTAAAAACAACAACAAAAGAGGAAAGAAACAGAAAAATAAAAGTACTAACTCATGGATAACGTTGCCTAAACATACAGTGCGAAATCGATCTACAAATAATGACAATAATAGTAATAAAACATAGTAAGGCGTAACAGGTTGAGATCAATAATGTCCGAAGTTTACGAAGACAATTATTAGAAATCAGGAAAGAGTTGGATAGCTGCTTTACTTTAGGACGACACTTCTTGAGAGTGTGAGAACTGAAAAACCCAATGATAATCGAATCCAGAACATTCAGGTTTCATGAAGTGTACTTACTTTTTAAATTGATGAGCTGGAGGATCCAATGATTTGTATATTTAACTTCAATTACTTCGCAGTACTTTGTAACTGTCTCTTAATAGTATTGGTGGTTGACAGTAGCACGACCAATATGATTGAAATTCTGGTTCCTAATGGCTTTATAGCTAGTTCCACTTTGTGGTGTAAACTATAAAACGTCCCGTGATAAGGATTTTATCGATAATACTACTAAATAATGCCACAAAAGTGCTGAAATTCGAAATATGAACAGTTATGTTTCATTATTTCAACGATTTAAAGGTAAATAGATCTTGTCGTCGGATTTAAAGATCAATTTACAGCAAGACAGTGCGGTATGCAAATTACTGAGGAACCATAAGATTAGACAAAACGACTGTCCAGTGCAACTCAACTATTAATAGTTTTTTTATATATGAAATAGTGATGAAGATTAAATACGAAAAAACTAAACAACTTGAAAATCTTTATTCTGAAATCACAAATGAAAATGTAACGAAGATTAACTTTAGAAGAGTTGGAGGCTGGCTCCTATTGATCTAAAGTTAGTCAGTCAACTATCTACAACGTAGAACCAGAAACATATATGCATCGGTCCAGGTTGCCATACTTCATTAGTATAACAAGATCAAGACCAAATTAATAGAACTCGTTACTTCAATGGTAGTAATAGATAAAAAGAAAAGATAAAGGAAAGAAAGAATTGGTTCGTAGAAAGAAAGGTATGAAGTAATTTTAATCTCATGGTATAAGGGAAGAAAAAGAGTGTATACACTGACGCCATTGTGGTCGATTTTAAGCCATGTCACCCAGAGTTTCCAACCATTGGTCACGATAGTCGCACGGACCCCAACCAAGAAGTGTGCATCTACAAACATAGCTCAGACCAGAAGTTAGTGACTTCAATGACTGATGCCACGTCTTGGTTTGACCACCTCTAACTTTCTCCTACTATTGATCAAAAAATCCTATTTAAATAGTCACAACTCTACAATTAGTTAGTTGAAAGTTTTGTGAAAGACAAGACTGAACTGATTGAAGATCAATTAATTAATGTCTTATAATGAAGGAAAATGTTAAAGAATATTCCACTGACCAAACAAGATAAACACAAACCAACCGGATGACTAATATAACATTATTATACAATCTACCAAAAATGTATTTTAAAAAACCCACAGTATACTTCCTAGCTTAATTTTGCATATTTCTATCAGTCAGTCAGTCATCAACAACGTAGAACTTCGTACATATGTACATCAGTTCGAGTTGCCATACCACATTAGCACACAAATATAATTGCCGATTCAAATTCCGTAGTGGTAAAGGTAGTAAAAGTATAAGCAGTAATCGGAAAGACTAGGGTTTGAAGATGTCATTCAATGAGTATAATCCAGTGGAATAAATTTGGAAAGAGAAACAAAGGGACATGAAGAATTCGCAAGACTAGAATTTGGGGGGACACAAAGAGTGGATGCACCTGCACCATTGCAAACGACTTTGAGTCACGTCATTCAAGGTCCCTAACCATTGGTTGCTATCGTCTCGTGGATATATACGAGTTAAACTAGATTACTTCATAAATTAGAGTTCATTATCTGATTATAAATTGTTTTCGTTATAATCCACTGGAAGTTCAGTATAAAGGCGAATGTCATATGATGCTAATGGAAAAACTGATATAAAAGGACCAAGTAAATCGACAACCAACAATAAACAACAATTCAACGACGGAAAAAACACTTTAGTAAAAAAAACTATAAAATGGAGATCGATTATACCTCAAGTAAAGACAGTTATATGGGAATATACAGCTTTTACAGTGTTTACATGTCACAGTGACCAACAGGAATAAATGTGAGCGAATTAAGTAGCGCTGCAATACAACAAAGTTCATATAATCAAGGTGTGAAAAACTGTTCATTAAATATTGATCGCAGTGGGGAGTTCCACTAAAAACCAGTTACTAAAAGTATTGGATGATCGTTACCCAAACTGAATGACGTTCACATTGTACGAATTGACCCCTACATTGTAGTTCTGATAATGAGACGTCCTGAGATTGTTGAGATAAGCTCAGGTGGATGAATTTGTTAGTTTATTCATCGAACTGGATCGTTTATTTACCGAGCTTTCATTGTTCTTCCGAACAGAATCATCAACGCAAACTCCAGGTACCAGTGAATTATTCGAATCGCCTAAAAATAACTAATGATATGTAGTGTTTCTCGAGATTTGAAAGTGGATGCTCCCTTCCTCTTAGCCTGCATGGACATCAAATAGCCATCAAATGCCTATGATAGAACTTCGCTTAAACGGCGGCCTGCTTGAGCATCTGGGCTACCTGTTCCTGCCATCGAGTTATCTATTTTTGTTTGTTTTAATATATCATTATGTCTATTAATCGCACAACCTATTCTGCTGCGTTTCTGAAAAATGTACAACCTTTCGTTATCAAAGTTACAAAAAGCTCAAAAAGAGAGAATATGGTTGCTGGTAATATACAACGAAAAGAATGTACATCATTCCCATGTTCATTTACTGGATTGATAACATCTAGCTGGCGACCACTCAGTATTTATCGCGAGGACCGACCAAGAAGAAAGAAACGGAAACTTGTTGAAATACTTTGTGCTGAAAATTCTATATTGTACCAATAATATAATATTGAATAAAGCTAATAATAATAATAATAATAATAATAATGTGTGTGGACAACTGTGGACACATTTTCGACTGGAAAAAATATTGAAATCTTGGATAGGGGGAATACTACATACATGCATTAGAGAATTTACGGAACCTTGACACTCTGGTCAATTATCAATCAACAAACAGAAGAAAATCGATCCAATCTATAGACTAATCAGAGAAATCATGGACAAATGTAGGATAAAGAATCAAATTACAGGGATACGCAATCAAAAAACCAGTGTGTATTCATTGAAATAAAATGTCAAAAGTTCAACTTACCGGAAACCGTTTACAAGCTCCTAGTATCGCTAACTGTAAGGTTATATAAGCTGTAGCAATCGAAGAAGCAACAAATAGTAGAAGGGACCTGGAAGTTGAATTAAAATAAATAAATTTATGATCCAAAAGATGTGATACTTGTGAAATAATAGGAATACAGTTTTTTAAGTGTTTCCGATTGATGTTTAAATTCAAAAAAAAGAAAAGGTACTAAGAGTGATGACGTAAGAAACAATAGGCCATTTCTCATCTTAATTGACAATTAATATTCATTTTGTACAGATACGCTTATATAAAATAAAATTTACTAATTCCCGCACTGAATATGTTTATTTCATCTTTATTCCCTATTTACTTTACGAAATGACAGTCTCAGTACTCTACCGTGTTCATTAATTCTTAAGGAAATTTAGAAGTATTTTAATGTTGCCAATTTTTGGCACCACCATAACTCCTGAAAAATGTGATACACATCAGATGGTGAAAGTTAAAGTATATTTTTAGAAAAGTACTCAAACATTCTTGCGGTCATTTGTCTGTTGCACCGGAGTTTACAACATGGAAATGATTGGGATGTTTTCATAAAATAAAAAAGGAGAAAGCTTTAGTGCAGAGTCTAAACAATAAATACGAGCACTTCATATATGTATAAGCACTAATCTGGGGTGGTGGCATAGTGATTAAGGCGTTCAACTTACAGCCACTAAGTCCCAGATTCGAATAATCATTCAACCTAAATCAGTTTAAGTAACCGAGTAGTATCATTCACTCTAGCATTGAGACTGTGGCTTGTACTCCAGTACCTGGTGAATGAGCTAATTTTCGAACTAACGTCTAGTAAAGAATGTGTTTTTAATATGTAACATGTTATTTTGAATAACTTTAAGGGGATAATAAGTCACCAATTAAAGAGTGAGTGTCACTAACATGTTATATATTCAACCATCAATTAGTATATATGTGGAAACTATTCTTACAGCTATAATGAATACCCTGAACATATCAATAAATGAGGCTGATTTAGTAAATTGAAAATATGCAGACTACTCTTTACCAAACGAGGGATAGTAACACTTATTCCATAAAATTTGGTATCACAGAAGTAATATTAATGCTTTTAAACCCTAATGATTAAAGGATTATGTTTCATAAACAATATTTCAGTTTAAAGTGTTTTTTGGTGCTTTTTAGACTAACATTAGTTAAACCGTGACACATACAACACAAACATATAGTATTTTTAATATGGGGTTGTGGGGATTGTTGAATTTCATTTAAGTTATGCATCGATCAATGATAGATGAGCATTGGAAACTTGGAAGCTCTGGACGGTCGTCTCGTTCTGGTATGGTACTTCATAGAAGTGCGCATCCCTGATTTGGCACGTGAAACTCGAACTTAGGATCTTCGGTCTTGCGCGCGGACGCTTAACCTCTAGACCACTGAGCCGGCATACAATGGTGTACAATTGTAATTTCAATCAGTTAAAAATATTGCACGACTATCTTCCACATTTCTTCAGTTGATAACTGCCTCATATCAGAAATGGTGCTCCGAAGACTGAGGATCTTGGGTTCAATTCCGGAGTACGGGATCGTGGGTGCACACTGTTGAGGAGTCGCATACTAGAACTAAACGGTCGTATAGAGTTTCCTGAATTTAAATGGTGGCCTAAATTAGATCGGTTCATGATTTCAACGAAACTTACATTTGCCAATTCGTGGGATCATAATTAGTACATTTTACACAAAACAATATCCACTACTGAATGGATAAAGACTATTCATATTTATAACAACTTTTGAAGACAATTATTGGAGGTTCAATGAAAATAGAAAGCAGTAAACAATACTAGTTTCAAATTTTGTAGCGGTGAACACATACAACTGCATACGAAATGGAGTATTAATGAGAAAAATCAGACTCGAGCAAAATAACTATGAAGTGAACCATAGTTTCACACACAATAATTACCAAATAGCAACCATATATTGTATTTGTTAAGTTCTCAGTACTGATCACATTCTAACAATGAACTAGTAACGTAGCAATTAGTTAGAGTAACTCTAAACCGCAGTACAATCTATATGATTTAAGGTGGTCAAAACCTACCTGTAGGAAGCTCTGCACCTAAATTGTATGTTATTTAGCACTTTTCACAATAATGTATCACAAAGCTTCAAGGAAGTAATGTTCCACAAGCGATTAACAATCTGTATCATTCATTAGTTTCAATAGTTTCTCAACTGACATCATTTCAAGATGAAACCAATATACACAAAAATATTTTCAAATCAATCATTAAAAGACAGAGAATCACACTTACCTCGGCATAACCAATAAATGTATAAAGCCAAACAAAATTAAAAACGGGATATATATGATAGTAGAAAAGTATAATATATCAACAAATGATGATTGATTCTTCATTAAATCATTCACATTGAATTTATCATTTACAGATTTTCCATTTTCTAGTTGATAACGTTGTTTTGTACAATTGAAACAGAATAAATTCAATAAACCAGTCAAATTACTATCATTATTATTGCCCCGACAAAATCTGCGTTCTTCATTATTATCCATATTATTAGGGTCGTACAGTTTATTATCTTCTATGTTGTTAGTATCATTCATCATTGAATTTGTTACATGATTTGATATAGTAGTATTAATATTGGTATTGTGTAAAAATAAACTTGTATATGATACTTTATGAAGATTACGCTTGAAGCAATCCATAATAAGATTATATTTTTTAACAGTGGTTAGTGGCGTACTACAAAAGCTATGATTACTGTTACTAGATGACAACGATGACTGATGATGCTTTGATTGTTTCAACGTTAACCAACATGGTTGATTTTCATTTAATGGTGTAGTGTTTAATAAAGACGATTTATTGATCATCGGTTTTAAATTATGCAATAAACTCAACTCATGATAATCCGAATTCTTATTATATGTATCACCGACAACTGGATCATTTGCTTCAACAGAGGAATATGGGTGTAATGGTGCTGTTGTTGCTGTAGTCGTTGCAAAACTAGTACCCATTGAATTGGTTATACCGACGGCTAAATTTAAATCACCACCATTCACATCTGTATTTGTTGGTGGGTCCATGACTATGGAAGGACTACAAATAAAAAAGGGTTATCAAAAGATTTTGTGAAGAGAAAAAGTGGAAAATTATTGAACAAAAGAGCAGTAAATTACTAATACGACGCCCAAGAATAAGGCCTAATAACCAGGCTTTCATATATCGGAAAATGAATGACAAAAAAACTCATTTCTTCCAGTCACGTATGACAAATTGTCCTGATTATTTTGCGTTAATAATTTGCTGTGCCAGCATGCCATCTTGTTAGATTTTAAAAAAACTTATTCTTCTACCTAGTGGTCTTATCTTCAATTTCAGACCGTTCGGGGGCTTACGCCGATAATGTAGTCACACGAAAAACTGTCACTCGACTACATCGTACGACTGTATATAATCGACTGATCGACGTTCCTTATTTCATCTTAATAATCAGAAATTCGTTTATAGAAACATGAAATATTCCTAGATAAAGAGTATGCATAGAAGTGAAGTTCAGTCAGCAGAGTCCACTTTAACGGAAAACCATTAAGTATTACAAATCTTACTACATCTAAAATACCGTTTCGAATTGATATAGTGAGTTGGTTGAACTATTGGATTGAGGTTAGTATACTTGTTTAGTTGTACACAAAAGTAGACAGGACTGAGTTCGAACTAAGAAACCGTGATTTAATTTGTTGATAGCTGATTCATGATATCGATCATCGGGTGATTAGGTAAACAAAAATAAAGAGATCCCATATGAATTCACAATTCATACATTACTTTTATAGTATTAAATTAAATCTCCAGTTTGATGTGTATACTGTAATTTCATTAATCTCAATTTGAATAATAATTCAAATGCTAAACTTTTCCCTAATAATAAATTCAATTCTATTTCCTCTTTCCTACTCCTTCACAACTTGTTCACTTTTTTTCTTGACGACGTGTCTTCATCAACTAACGAAGTTGTAACACATGTCAAAATTGGCTACCTTGACGGACGATGTTGTCTGGTGTAGGATTAGGCTGTAAGAAAGCTAAGGGGGTCAAACCAAAATATGACATCAATCTATGAGGTCACTGACAACTGAACCGAGTCACGTTAATAGGTATATACTAGACATAAATACACTCAAGATTTTGAAATTCTTTAAAGTGATGATCACACCTACCATATATAGGTTTGCGAGCAGGGCTTTGAACCGCACTTTACGTATATGGATTAGTAAATTATTACCCAGTTGAGTAAACCACTGAAAGTGAGGTGGGACACAAACTTGGACCTCCTAACCCCTAAGCTACCGAGCTCCAAAGATTAACTATATATACAAGTCGACTATTACACATACAACCATAAAAGCAATAAGATACAGAAGAGAATCAACACGTTCAAAATATGAATTACCAGTTCTTTCTCAATTTCCCAGCTCTTTTTTGACATGGTAAAAATTTATTCGAACAATCTGCAATGTCATTATCATCTTCAACACCATAATTAGAATGATCACGATCAAGTGATTCAGCTAAATTAACAGCAATCATTGCAAGTAATTCTGAAGTTGAAGACGGTTCACCGTTTAACGGTGGATGACCATCGCCATGATGTTGATGGTGATGATGATGACGGTGATAGGAACTGAATTCTAATGGATGAGAATTATATCGATCATTGGTCGTGGTCATGTTAGTTGTTGTAGTAGCGGTAACAATCGGTTCATAATGCTTATAATCAGAATAATCCAATAAATCAAATTCTTTATTAGACAATATACGTAATAAATTCACTTTGATCGCTTTCGATTCTTCATCTTCATCGTGATGATGTTTATGATGTAAGCTCTGTCGTTCTTGTTGGTACCGGTGATGATGATGATCAAGTGTAGAATGGAATAAAAAACCCAACGGCAATTCAGGTAATGTATTATTTCGACTATCATGAATTCTAGTGTTACTATTGCTATTATCATTACCGTCTAATAATGAATTATTCTTATTCATTATATGTCGGCATAGAATAGAAGCTACTGATGCCAATCGAGTGATTACCGCACTTGCTGAATTCAAGTCAAGATTTGTCAATGCAGACCAATCAGCAGTTGATGACGACAATGACGACTGTAAACCATTTAAATCAATTGGATTCAAGGTATCAACAATAGTGGTAGATTCCTAAAATTATTTTTTAAAAACAAACTGAATAAGAATGTAAAAATAGTTTACTTCTGGGGTTTCTAATTAAATATATAGTAACAATGAATGATGGTTTAGTGGTAAAAGCGTTTAATTCTGAATCGACTGATGGCAGATTCGCACCTTATCTTCAACAGTTCAGTTCAGGCATCCATGAATACTCAAACGGCTTCCATCACACTATGCAACTAAAAACCGAGTACATAAAGCTGTACTTTGCAAGTACATTATTAATTTTTCTTATTAATCAATTGTCATATGACTATTAGATTAAAATTTATGATCTAATAATTATGTGCTTCTTTTAAGATCCAGCCATACTGGATACGAACCTGTGTATACTGACAAGTGTTGCCTGATTTTCAATTTCGACAGCATAAATATCAATCGCCAGTGGAAACATCTCTTTACAACCCATAAAAATCTACACACAAATTGATTATAGTCACCGATTAACCAATGAGCTCCATTGAACGACAGCATTCATTTTATACATATTTCTTTGTTGGTGAGTATTAAGAACAATTATGAAATCGATGTGTAACTGCAATAGTTCATAGCTTTGGCCACACAGTACATCAATATCAGAATTCCTCTTTTACTACCGGCTTCAGCCACACCAACACATAAATTTCCCAAAGAGAAGATCGAATTAGGAGAGATCACAAAATATTAATTTGAGCAAACAATGTATGTCCAATGACATTCAAAATAGAATGAATCTTCAGCACACTAAAGAAAACTATGAACTAATCAATAAAAATGAAGAATAGAACCCGTTGAAAGAGTTGCCACAAAGAAGTACGAATTCAAAACTTACAAAATAAAAATAACCAGATCATCACTAAGTAAGCAGATTAAGCACCTTTAACATCCACCTAATCCAAATAAAATTATCAAGATTACATGCTTATTTCGAAATTAAAATAAAGGCGACTATTATGATCTACTATGGAATTTAATGACCTATCAAAGTATTATATTACTTCATAGTATCTATTATAAATTGACTTTCTAACAACAAGTGAATGAATTAAATTATTCACGATTGAGGATAAACTCCACGTTGTCAAGTGATCTAAGTGTACCGTAGTCACTGATTACGGTTATGTTGTCGCTTAGTTGGTCACACAATTGCAGATATTTTGGAATAGTTTCCATCATAGAATTAATTGAAGGTATGAATTTTGCTATATTGTAATTTTACTTCCATCAACGACAGAGAGCAAAACATGCCCTCCATCATGAATTATGATAGTGTAAATAATAATTCTCTCTTAGTTTTGGTCGGTCGCTAGATGCAAGGTCGAAATTACGAACGAGAAGAGAATTTATCCTCACATAGATTATTGCTAACAGGAACACGTGAATGGAAATAAATTTTTACAACCTCTACCTCTCCCGTTTTTTGTAAAAATGAATAGATATAAAAATCGATTAGGAACAAAAAACAATCAATATTTCATTTCAAGTTGACAAAGACAATACACATGATGAATACATTTGAGATGCAATAAATCAGTCGTTAAAATTGTTTATCTATATTATTACTTAGAGACAAATAATTTTAAAAAATCCCTGTTAGTCATCACCTGAAAAAAAAGTTAAGCAAACAGCTAAACAGTAGAATAGAAATAAACGGAACTGAATGTAAGCGATATTCAATATAGATCGGTTTCAGTTGGGATATGATTGAAGACCATGGAATACTGAACAGTTGTTTCAATTTAGTGTGTCACTCCTTAACAATGTGCATAAAAAACCTTGTCAAAGGTTAAACACAGTATGTGTAGGTGTTGCAGTGAGCACTTAACCATAAAAACCCATATACGTACATATATATACACACAGTAGTAAATACATAGAGGTTAGACTGTATGCAAATGAGATATAAAAAATTCAAGATTAGAATGCGTTTATCACAATCGTTAGAATTTAATTCATCATAAAACACAAATAATTGGAACGTGATCCAAGTGAACGATAGTTGTTGTACAGAAAAATACATCCCTGAACATGAAAGGTAATCAATATGAATACAGAGTAATTGGACCGTTATAATTCATTAACCTGTATGGAATATAATGAGTAGAATAAAATTTACCAAACAACAGGAAAAATAAGAAAATCACCGATCGGTAAGATAAAAGAATTCATTTAAAAAGTTGAAAAGTAAAGAATCTTATTATTATCAGGAATTTTTGTGGATATAGTAATTTCAATAGTTGAGATCATGAGTCAGTTGAAGCTAGACCACCATGGAAAACCTGGAAGCACTGGACGGCCGTTTCGTCCAATTGCGGGACTCCTCAGTAGTGCGCATCCAAGATCCCGCCTCGCGAGATTCAAACACAGGACCAATCGGTTTGGCGCGCGAACGCTTAACCTCTAGAACACTGAGAACCGCTGAGAAGTCCCACAATAGGACGAAACGGCTGTCCAGTACTTCTAGGTTTGCCATAGTGGTCTAGCTTCAATTGACTCATGATCTCAACTATTGAAATTTTATTATTGTTTATATAATTGTAGACGGATGTGACAAAACGATACACTTATACAAAAGCATCCATATAGAAAGATTAACAAATATGATGATGGTAGATCTATAAGCAGTGTTGGGAAGATAGGATCTAGGTTAAAACTCTCAGTAACCCTAAATCAGATAGCTTAATCGTTAAAACACTCAACTTTCAAGAACATTTTAACTCTAAATCCATATACTTCCGTTAAGATAGCTAGCTGTGTGAGTATTATAACTGGAGATAGGCTATATACGCAGTAATTTGATCAGGTTTAATTCTCTAGATCAGTTTCAGTAGCCAATTAGTATGAATACCTGTCAAACACAATACATGGTTTAAAACTGAGTATAATGTTCTATATTTCGTTGAAATTTTTGTAAAAACAAATAGACATAAACAATGTTGAAACTGGTATAATTAGTGAATTTATTCAAATTCCCACATTTGAAATCAGTACAATTCTAAATAAAACTATCAAGAAAATAAACAAAAGAATTGAAAACAACAATAATGATATTGTCAGTAGTGGGAGACAAAGAAAAAAACCGATGAAATTTATAGAATAATACAACGTGTTCAAAGATTAGATGTTTAATAAAGAACAAATGTATTGAAGTAATTGAAACCGATTTTAAAATATACAGACTTATACCAGTTTATTCCATAAATGAGAGTAAAGAATACATAGAATGCCATACAGTTAGTTTGTATTAAGAATAATGGATAAACATGCCTATTACGAGATTCGTTACAAGCCAAGCACACGGTTGTGTTCTACAAGTCTACATGTATATTACTATTACTCGCTGTAATTTTTATACAACCCAAATGTAAATACTAGTCGAGATATATTAATTCCTGATGATCTAAAACTGTCAAAAGGTTGTTACTTTCTTTAAAGAAGATAGGTCGCGTTCTAAATTTATGTAGCTCTACGGGGACAATGTAGAATACTTCATTGACACTTTATCTCTGGCAATCTCTGTACATGTCTTGAGAAGCAGTCACGGGGCTGTAAAGCTATACATTAAAAAGTGTAATGAGCGTATACTTTACAGGTGACATTAAATGATTTTTTTAAGGCCAATGTTCGGCCAAACAAAATGCATTTGATATATATGAATAATTTATTGCATCAAAACGCAAAACAGGTTTAAGATTAGAAGTTTCGGTTACATGAGTTTTGGTTGGAAGAACAGAGTAGAGAAATGCTTTACAGGTAGACAAAAGGATATGTTTGAATTGACTTCAGGACTTTATAAACTAAATGTGCTTCAAATTTGAGTATGTAAATTTGTGTGTACTTGATTAGACCGAGTTGACACAAAACTAATTCAAGATAAAAAAGAATATATTTTGTATTAAAATGCAAAAGTACAGTCACTAAGGTTAGATCCGGAAATTTGAAGCTATGTAGGCTCCAATTACTAGTGGAAAAAACCGAATCACATAAGTTGAAGTCCTTAAGGTAAAAGTATAAAAGCAAGACAAAAGAAAGCATTGGGTCGCGAAATGAAGTTCGACATCAAAAGGACGAGTAGCACTTGGCAACAACTGGAAAAGAGAAGCCAGGACGGAGGAGGTAGTAGATTGTTAGTCAGCGACCTATTCTCCACGAGAGGTAATAACTGGAAGTAGCAACTTAAGAGAGGAATTAGATTTTCATTCCAACAAGAGCATAACTCATTTTACTAACATAACAAAAGGTCAATAATTGTTAATTAAGAGTCATTCCAGGTAAATTCGAACAGATTTTGTAATAGACAATGATGGAACATTTGTTATGAAAATTATATTCTCAATCAATTGGTACGGATCTCGAGTAATAATTTTAACTCAGTATTACACAACGTTAACAAGTATAGATTCGTGTATTTAGTTTCAAGTCACACTCTAAGTGTAAGAACTACAGAAAACACGTGGGGATGAAGTTCAAACATACAACTTGATGGTTGAAAGTCGGATATATCCCCAACAACAACTTAGCTAATAATCTTATGTTAAATATTTAAAAGATAGAAACATCATAAAATGAACATAAGGGAATAACAAATACATCATTTGTTTAAATATGTAAATCATCTGTGTATGTTTAACAGACGGCTAGTAGTGAAATTCAAAATTAGCAAGCGCATTCCAGTTTCTAATAAATACATGTATATCCATACAATCAACAGTTACATTGAACAAATCAACAAAACAGTAGAAAATGATGATAGATATAAATGATCATACTGGAAATCACTTTCAACAGATGAGTAATTCTAAACATGATACAAAAAAGTACACGAAAATGAAAATTGTCTTTCATAAAACTGTTTTGTATACAAACTCACAGGAATTTGTAGTTGGTTTAATGGATGCAAACACTAAAACCTGAAAACACTGACCTCTCCTTGTTGTCGTCGATAATACAGTAGTCATACATATTACAAGAAACATGTTTATGCTTGTAAATCAAATTTGATATGACATAGAACTATGTTCATTTATTCAATAATAGTGAGTTATGGTTTTTTTTCTCAATAAAACTCAAAAATCGATATTAAATGTAACAGAGAACAAAGAGTTGTGTGTTTATCAGAGGATGGGTAATAAATAATGGCGTAGAAAACTTTCAATCTAAGTCTTAGTGTTGGTCGTCAAAACTTATTAAGGCGTACATACTAACATAATGGGACCAATATTTCTTACATGATAAAAAATTTCGGTAAAAATATAACGTACTGACAACTGTGGGTTGACTAGTTGAAAAAAAATGACGCCTCATGTATTTTGTGTAGTGATAAGTAACGTGTATGCCTATTAATAACCAAATGAAAATTGGAAATATTTATTCCTTAAAATGCATGAAATCAATAAAATATCTATTATGTAACCAAAATATGAATCTTAGGTGTTTAAGCTAATTTACAAAATACACCTGCTCCTATGGTGGATTTTGTATTAAATTACTTGATGTGATTCAATGCATAATCAAAGGTGTTTGCTGAAGCTAGATAATTTCCTCGCTTTCTTTCTCTCACTTTAAATCTCAACTCCAAGTTCTTCAAGTATGTAAACAGGAAGGTGGCAAGACATTGCATTATAGTTGATGCCAGTTCCTGTTGAAATACCTGACCCTAATTTGAAAAAATAACTCAAAACTCCAGTTAAACTATTATTATCTAACCCTAAATTTTTGTAATATAGCTGATGTCAGCTGGTGAAGAAAACTATAGAGTGATAACTCTAAATCACAACACCAGCACGACTCCAAATATATATGTACATATGTAAAATTGCCCGTCTTTCTCAACTACAAGGGATAATTTGACTTATAAGGGTTAATTACAACGATCAAATCTGTCATTCCACTGTTATTTCACTAATTCAAGTTGCAAATTGTTTCATAACTAACTAGGCAGTTTTCCGATTGGGTGATAAGTTTCCCACAGTTATCTGTATATTATACGTTTACAAGAATTTCGTTTCTAAAACACTATATCAGAATGCAGCGATTCACATTTTGAATTTCAGTCAAGTTGCAATATATAATAGGAATTCGAATAACTGATAACAGTAAACTATGGTTTTTTTAAGACCCCACTAGTCATTACTTCCTATTAGAAGCTTAACAAACCTATTATGAAGCAAGTCACTAATGTGTGGAACAATGAATCAGTGATTAAAGCACTTAGATTGCAATCAATACACTATGGGCTCGAAGCCAAGTGTAGCTTTGATTTGGTTTGAAAGACCAGACACAGTATAACTGGTTCCCTCATATATAAATAGAATCAATGTCAATGATATCAAGTCGGCTTAGATGAATATTTACCACGAACAAAAGCATTTCTAAGGAAATAAATACAAAAATCCGAAATCCAACTGTTTCGATGATCTAACTGATATGAAAGCAATCTTGATCATGAACTCAATTCTTCTGAATAATCATTATTTCAATAATAGAAAAACTCACTGGATAATCCGTACTATACAAGTAGGACTTTTATGTCCTAACTAGTGATAAACTTATGAGAATTGTAGAGATTGTAATCAACAGTAATGGTATGTGCTTAACCTAACTGTGTACGAAGAAGTATGACAAATATTATTGATGGAAATTTTAACTTTACTTAAACGTCAGTTTAGCACAATATGGAATAAATGGAATGTGACTAACAGTGAAATCCAAAACACGCGTTTCATCCTATTTAGGACAAGTCAGCCGGATGTGCCAACACTAGTGTTGATGTCTCAGATATTATTGTTAGTTAAGATCCACCTATTCTATAAAAGTTGTAACATAATAACTAAATTGAGATAATTGGGACAAGATGCACATATGTTAACAACTAATGATTAAAACTCATTCCTGAATGTTAACAACTGGATAACTTAAACCCTGACTAATAATGAGATACATTTGCGTACAATTTAATTTAATTCAATTTGCCTCAGTGAGCAAGTATAAATTAATACAGTAATTACCAAGTAATACTTTTGTGTGTGATAACTCGTGATAGTAACTGACTACCAAGACTTTAATAGGTGGGAACCTGAAACTAAATAGAAGTTAGGTAATCCACTGCTTAACATCTGATTTGTTTAAGAAATATACCACAATTCAAGATGAATACACTAAGCATAAACAGAGAGAGACCAATGGAGAGAATTTGTTTTACATTTATCCAGAAAACATTTAACTAAATAGTTTCTTAAAACTTACAGTCCGAGGTTGGACAAAATACGTCTCCATAGTTGTTTGATTATGATGGTTGGACTTGATAGATTCATTTGTTGGTATAATTACTGGGTTTGGGTAACCGAAAATTGGACCTGCTTCACCACGAAAGCCTTCCGGTAATTGATTGAAAGTCGATCGTGATGTAAGCACTCGACTAATAAAAAAAGAATAAAAGTTATGTGTGAAAACAGAAAATTACCATTAATCAAACTGATTTGATATTAACGAACAGATAACCGCTTAAAGATGGGTGAAAGGAGCACTGAGACAAACACTAGTTAGCTGTGCATAAAATATATTCAGAGCGATTTATCGCATACAAATTAGTCATTTCAGAACGTATGTTTATTTTTGACTCCAAAACAATGATTAATTGATGAAACTGTTATGTGTAGACAATTATTGGAAAGTAATAATGGTAAAAACAGTGTGTTACATCCCGTTTTCAATCACTGTTTTACAGTGAGATATTATACAATGGCCTAGTGGCTTAATGATACTAAAAAATGTTAACATATACAATTAACAGTATATGACGAGTCATGCGTCCTGTATTATAGCATTAATCACATTAACTTTACTTAAAAATAATAACTACAAACACTGTCGATACAATCCGCGAAAGATGTGCATACACTAGAAGAGACTGGTTAAATATAATCATGAATGTTAAAAACAGGTGAACTATTATTAACTTACCATGGACGATAAGCAGCATATTTCAACCGACTCACATATGTGACATCATCACCGATTAAATCAAAGCCTAATCGACTACGACCAAGTACAATGGCATAAGCTGTACCAGTATGTACACTAACACGTAATTCCAATTGAACATGAGAACGTTCACTAATCTCTCTACAGGGAAGAGTAATGGATCGAAAAAAATATTCAGAAATAGGCAGACAAAAACAGAATTTAGTAAATTTAGTATCCTAAATAAAAAATGCCCACCGATTAAACAACAGTATGAAAACGACCAGCATCTGGAGAGATGTTATCTTCCTATAGATGACTGGGGTTAGAAAAGGTTGGCACTAAAAATAACGCACATGATCTTACTTCTCAGGTTTCGGACGCTAGAGATAACACCTTAAAAGTACAGGACTAACTCATCTAAATTACAAAAAAATCATACCTAACCAGCTTCAAGAAGCTGTCCCGATTATTCAGTGCCCTTCCAGCTTAGTTTACTTATTAGGTACTTCGAAAAGTATACTTCCAGAGCGTAGGCAACAGGAAGCGATGAACTGTAATAACACTAGAAATCACTTCGTTTATAATCATACTGCATAACTAATTCACAACTAATCACAACGGACACTGATTGTTTTTGTCCTTGATTGCATTTTTATGACTTCGGAATGTTTATAATGATTCAGTTCAATTATTCTGGAATAAAATAAACTTTCGATGAATACGACCAGTTTCATCAGGTGCCCTGATATAAATATATATGACTCCGGATACTTCGCTGTTTACAATGTACAAATTTGTCCTATTTCTAAGGTCATTCAAATTATTCCTTAATATATTGTTCTCTTTTCTTACACTCATACAAACGTTATACTGTAAATAACACACACCCAGCATAATAGTAATAACGATTAATAAATATAACCACAAATGACTATTCATATATTCAACTAAACTACTTTAGTTATAAAATACGATCATAAAACTATTTTACATCATACACGCATATAAGAAAGCATGAATATGAAAATCTGTAAACAAAAATAATAAATGAAAACTATTAGTTAAAATGATTGTAGTTCTTACAGAAAATATAACAGTAATTTATCCTGGTAATGGATTCTTATACTTTGAGTGGAACTTGTTCTACTTGTTATCTTACAAAGGAATCGAACAATAACAGATTAGGTTAATTTATGTAAAGTCTTAACACAGACAAAAGAAATTGGATAAGTATCGAAAATGTGGAAGGTATTAACTATGGATCAATCTCTTTTTGAATACCGGTAGAAACCAAGGAGCACTAGACAATTGTTTTATTTTAGTGTAGGGTTTCTCAACAGTCCGTGCTCGTGAGCTCGTCAGAGGTCGAACCTAGGGACATTCGGGTCTCACAGTGAATGATAAACCAAATGCACCGCTAGGTTTGTAGTCAATAATTCATAACTAATGAATAGTTTTATTTTGGTTTACTTTAAAACAATTTAAGCATAGATCATCCAGCACCATATTAGAGATTTTAGAATCTCGAGTTAACTACGCGGTAAATGAACTTTGCTGCGTTAAAATTAATTAATCGAGGTTATTTAAAGTGAACTATAATTCTGAGTTACTGTTGGGGACCTATTGTAATTTAATAATCAGATAAACAGTAAACAAATTTTCCATACAGAGTGAAATGATTATCTAGAACAAATTTCTATTTTATTTGTAGTAATCATTTGAATCTTTCCATTGTTGTCTAGGACTACAACTGACCAGTCTCTTTTAGCATATATGCGTCCTGTGAGGATACCCTCGACATCGCCATTAAGTCACAAGCATTTTAAACAGGGTTGAGTGGTGATTGATCGATTGCAAACCTAAACATCAGTGGGAAGATGCAAACGATTGATATAAATGGATTAAAAATCACCACACTGCATAAGCCAGTACCTAACTGAACACATTAGGTGCATAACACGATAGCTTTTGAGGTGAAGAGTACTGAGTTCGAGTCCCGGGGTGAACATCAACACTGGGATCCAGATACATTCAAGCGACAAGTTCCAAGCGGCATGAAACACGTCTCTTGGATTCCACCGCTAACCATCATTAAATTCGACTTAAAAGCTTTCAGAATTCAAAAAAACTTTTCCTAGTGAACGACTAAGTTGTAAATCAATTGTAGGTAGGTAATTCATATAAGACCAACAACTTCCCAAAAAACATCCAAAGTAAGAATAATTTCACTCAAAAAGCCTACTTTTCATTGCTCTAATCAAATACTATAATGTATGTGCAAATAAGAGAAATTTGATCCAGCGGACAAACTGTCTTTCCCTAAACAACAAAGGAATATAATCATACAATTATGATAACAGTACAATGTATCAACTTCATTTCGAAAACCCCATTTAAGTATGCATTTATTTATAAGTCAGTCCTAATATCAAAAAGGATTTATCACAAAAATCTTACTTCATAATGTTCATTATATGACCTATGAAAATCATCATTACACAAGTAAACCCTAACTCGATGACTGTCAATATGTATACATTAATATACATCCAGGGTAAGGGATCGTGGTTCCCCATTGTTGAGGAGTTTCACACTAAGACAAAATGGCTTGCCAATGATTCCAGGTTTTCAATGATCGGTTCATGATCTCAATGGAATCTCCACGGCCTATACTAAAAAGATATATAAAATAGTGTATACTTACCCAATAATTTTCAACATATTCAATCCTAAATCAATACATGATCTAGCATGATCCACACGAGTTTCTGGATAACCAGCAATGCATAGATATTCATTAGCATTTAAACGTACACGATAACATGATTCATTTTGAGCTAGATAATCAAAACATGTGTAGATATCATTGATAAATGAAATGAATTGTTGACAGATTAATTCATGATTGATATTTGTGTTCGATTTCAATGTCGATGCTAAATTGGAACTTAAATTGGATAGACCAACTAATTCAGCACTGAGAAAACTATAACAGGAAAATTTGAAAAGAAAAACAGACAAAAAGCAATAACAACTTTTCTTATTTGAAGATAAAAAACAAATTTGAATAACAGTTAATTAGCGATGACAGACATGATCAATTCAGGAGACCAATAAATGTCAATATGAAGTAAGATAAGGAAGATATTAACTTATAAAACTAGTATGTTACGGTCTGAACTATGTTAATAGATACAGGCAGACCTCCTGGTTTCGGGATCAAGCATTAGTTATAATAAATGATTAGAGATGTTTGTTAAATTGTGAGAAGTTAATTCTAGTAGAATATTTGCATTAATTCATTTTTTTATAACTTTCAATTATTCAGTCACATTTGTTCTATTTAAATTGTATTTTATCATTGTAAACTAATGCTATTTCCTTTCCTTTGTCTCCTTCTTCTTGCTAATTTCCTTTCCCTTTCTCGCCCTCTTTGTCTCTGTACCATACTGAATTGGTTTGAGATTCAGCTAGTTGGATCGATGTATGGTTGCGTCAGGTTATAACGTTGACGATGACTAACTTACTGAATAAGAAATACAGTTATTCTGATTAGTGTGTTATCCAATTTTTAGCACAAATCTTATCGTTACATAGATAAGAATAAATTTAATTTTTCCACAATATGAATACATATATACCTTATTTGTAACATATGTACAAATATGGATGAACAGTTTAAAATGGATTTTGTGAGAAATCGAAAGTGCATTTATTATGAACAAAGTGAACATTATCAATATTTGATTATCAGAATGGGTTTTGTGGAAATTTTAGAAATTTCGCTGGTTGAAATCATGAGTCAATTGAAGCTAGGCTACCATGGAAAACCTTGAAGCACTGGACGGTCGTCTCGTCCTAGTATGGGGCTCCTCAGCAGTGCGCATCCACGGTCCCACACCCTGTGAGATTCGAACCCAGGACCTATAGGTCTTGCGCCAGGCGCTTAACCAACCAGACCACTGAGCCGGCATCCAACGGTGTTAATGTCTAACTTCAACCAATCCACGAAGTTGCGCCACCGTACACCATTGTCTTTAGTGAGTTCCTATCTCACAACAGACCTTGTTGAACTCCACTGGTAACAATATTTGAGTGTTGAAATGATTGGAATTGATAAAAATGTTTATTATGGAACCAAACAGTGAATATACGATGATACTTAAGTTAAATGAAGAGAAATACCTTCTCGTCGTACATATTATGTGTCAGAGTATGAAATATGATTCAATGCGTAAGTCAAAGGTGTTCAGTGTAGCTAGATAGTATCTTCCCACTTTGACTTTCAACTCTCAATTCCAACAATGAATTTCTTAAGTTTGTAAACAAAATAGTGGCAAGGTTTCATTCGGTTATCGTTGATTTCAGTTGATGATGAAAATGCTCTACTACGATGATAACCCTAACTCATAACGCTAACCCAACTCTTAATAATGTAAACTTAACCATTTTCCTTTACCCTATAGAATAAATCGATAGTGTAAGTGTTAATTATTCATTTCAAAACAATTATTCCAGTCGGCAAACCTAGATCTTTGTTGTTGGAATCAATATACTCACATATATAACATATCGTTTCGGTTCCAGTGTTGTTTTGTTACTTATAATTGTAAATTATTTTATAACTAAACACTGGTACCTGGTTGGCTGATAAATCACTAAAGGTCATCGGTATAGTACACTTTCGTCGCTCATAAGAAATGTGAATATTTAAAATGATAGTTATAAACCACACAAAATAATATAACTCATTTGTCAAGTACAAATTTATGTACATGATTTTGAAATACACTTCTTGAGAATGAATGATTATATGTGTTGTAATTCAACTAGTTAGAACTGAATTAGATGACAAAAAAAGCTGAAACTACTTAAATTAAATGGTTGGAAGTCAAGTGTTTCAACTTCTATAAAGCTTCTTCGCTTCATTGAATGCGTTAAATATGTATTCATTTTCTTTTTGACACCGGTTAACCTCTCAGATTATATTCATTGCGGTCTCATTAATTTTTCATATGATGATTGTATGATAGAAATATGATTAATTGACTGTAAACATTCTTATCATCTTAATACTAATATAAAACCTGTAGAAAAAAGTCTTTTTGTTAGATCCTATCTACATTTACACATCGATTCTCATCCAATTCAAATTATGAATGCAATATAGCTTGGATAAAAATGAAGAATCCCATAAGTATTATTTATTAATCTAACCGGTGGTCATCGACGATTAAACCATTGATGCTAATCGCATTCTATAGTAGATCAAATAGTAATGTGACTATTAGTCTAATCGACTTAACATTGTCTGCACTGCACTGAGATGTTTGGCTGTTGAAGGTAGACAGTGGACTTAGGTTTCATGCTAGTTGACAATAGTTATCAAGGTTTACCTGAGGTTTCAAAGGAATTGATAATCCTTATGCGATCCAAACTTGCTTCACCCAGCTTCATAATCTTAGACATCATCATTAGGCGCTTCGGGAGGTGACTAACCTCCTACTACACGTATATGTACACTAATATGAGAGCCCTATTGTTTATGTAAAGGCTAATGACGTAATCACTAACCAGTTATGTAAACCGAAATAGATAATACCAGGTTAGAATTCCACAAGGGGTATCAGTTGCCTCAATATTTTATATTTGCCTTAACGACGAGTCCAGCCAAGAAAAACATGATGTAGAAAGAAAGAAAAGCATGACGATAATAATAGTAATGAACTCACGTCACATTACGCAAATAGATTACAAGTGGTGAACTCCAACTTAAATGTCCATTGATAAAATCATTTACTAAGTCATCAGCTAACGGAGCTGGAACCAAACATTCACTCAGTCGATGCTATTAAAAAATACATTGAAAAGATTAATAAGTTACTGTAAGAAAATGTTAAAGAAATGTTGAAATTTGAAACAAAAATAAATTCGATGGGTATATTGAAAAGATTAGATAACCACCTGGTTCATAAGTAAATGTTCATTTTAAAAAATGTAACCATTATAGCCCAACTACTGATTACTAAAAACTAAGAATGACACCTTGAGACAAAGATTGTACGTTGATTGATAAGATTATGAACATTAAACAAATGCAAGGATTAGAAAAATCCATCCAAATTTTCAACCACTGACAATCGAAAAGTAGTATAATAAGTAATGCAGGATTGAGGTATATAGGACTATCACGCAATTTACTAAATCTACTTAGTATTTAGTACCTGAGTTTAACATTACTCGTTCAATAATTGTACCATTCACAACAATTAACACTTCGAAGATATTTAGAACTAAATACTAACAATTAATACCTTCAATCAGAGAAGTTCATGTTTTTCACAATCATAACATAGTACACTGTTAACTTTTACACACAGTATCCTCCTCGCATTGATAGCCAAATGAAAATCTTGCTTAGACTATAATTCATGGACGACCTTTGAGTGAAGTTAAAGTGAACTTGAGACGACTCTCCGACTTACTAGGGTTCAAAAGAAGGTTAATATTTAGTACGAGAAATTAGAATAACAATTTAAAGTTAGAATTTGTGGATAGGAATTAAAGTAAAGGTTTTCATCACGAACTGACATCAGTTATAATGCCAAAATGCTATTTAACTATGTGGATAAATGAACTTAAATATTGTATAACACTGACAATTACTACTTATTATCTTTAAAGCAATCTATTTTAAAAATTTCACAAATTAACGCGTAACTTTATTATTATGAGTTAGTGATTAAAAAAATATACACCTTTTCTTATGTGACCAGTAAGTGATACAATGTTTTATTAATGGAAGTGTTTGTTTAATGTACTAATGCCAGTTAGTCTATTTTCTATCTATCTGTTTATTTACGTCTAATGCTTTTTTCAGTATGTATCCATCGCTTTGTTTAGTATGTTATTTGACATTTGGTACTGAAGTACTACTGTTATCATATACCAATGAACTCTTAATATTCTGATTACTGTCTTGGTTACGCCTAGAGTTACTCTACATAATAATAATCAACCCCTTGAATAATGCCCTTATCTTGTAAATTAAACACCAAAATCAATAAAGCTGAGTCATATATTCATTTGTCAAGACTTATTAAAGTGTACAAAATACACCTATTAAATATTAGGAGAACTTCATCCAGAATATATAGGTATATTTCCAGTCTGGACAATACATGATGGAAATACGTAAAAATTTAGAGAGAACGTGAGATGTTGAATTTATTTACGTCTATGTGACAATGATCAAAGCATTGTTGGCTAAGAATGAAAGACCAATTAGTTGCATTTTTTATCTGTGACTTTATTTTGGGAGGAACTTGATAATTCACTGACGAGTAAATCTGATTCACGATAGTGATCTCTTGGATTTTTGCACGAAATTCATTTACCCTTAAGGTTAAACAGAATTCTCGGATTCTACTTGATGTCAATTCATGATGAAAACATTAACACTAACTCATAATCCAAATTCCTTACATTCATTTATAACCCATCTTAGAAAGTAATGCGTGAAGCTCATCAAGATTACTGAAGAATCACAACATAGGCCCTCCTTACAAAAATATTTATTCACTTAGTTCAGCTGGTCACTCCTGTTCTCACCTAAAATAACTTATTCGTTAGACGTTACAGGATTAGTTTTACTAATAAATTTATGTGATTTTAAATGTCAGTTGTGTTGTCAATCTGCGGTCAACTGAAAATTTTTCAGTTTTCAATAAGCATATGGTACCAAAACCTTCTGTTATTTTTTCGTCCACTTAGTGGGTAACTGCCGGGTGTTGGGGTGAAACCTTTGTTGGACATTTCATTTCAAGCGCTTGGAGCCATACACAGCCGTTTACTATGAACATCTTAGAGGAACGCATTTCAACATTCCAAATGAAAAACAGAAATACAAAAGAGTTAGGGCTTGAAATGAAATGTTAGTGAAAATTACACTTTAACATGCGGCAATCAACCACTAAATGAAAAAATGGCTAAAAGTACTGTATAGAACACACTTATTGAAATTTGAAGACGTTGTGGATAACCTCAGTCGTGATGTCATATAAGACACCTATATAAAATTTTACCTACGATAATATTTTATCACTCCGAAATTAATTGTTTATTAACTACATAGGTAGGTACACAGAGTATAGTTACGGAATTTAAAAATTCTTAAACTGCCTTTGCAAATGTTGCATAACTCGGTTCATGTCATTTACTATGATATGGAAATGTACTACTCGGCTTTGAACCACTGTTTACATTAGGGTTAGTGATACTTATCGATTGCTTAAAATGAAGTAGGTCAGGTGGAATTCGGACAAGCTTCAAAATGACAACTACTTCACACCTCTATGACTGATATGATTACTAATACACGTGTCTGATGGTTTGTTCTAGTTTGGTATTGTTAAATAATGAGCAACCATAACATTCAAGATCTTGAAACTAGAAACACGTGATAAAAGAAAAATGATCCACAGTCTCTAAATTCAGTTGATTTACGACATCAGAAACTACTAAGTGGTATAAGCTTTACTTACTGACCAAATTTACGTACGAACGTCTACTTCATTCATAGGAATACGAGATAAAGAACAAAACTTCCCATCTATCAAATTATTTCTAATATCCACTACATGGAAATAAACGGAAGAGAGTTTCAAAATTGCTTTAACAATTTCATTAGAAAAAAAAAAGAAATAGAAAGAGATGGGGTAAGAAACACTTTCATTCTTGTTTCTATTCTTCTTCTTTTTTAGGTTTCATGTCTTCTTATCATCCATTTATAAATAAACAAATGTATGGACATTAATGTGTTTATGATGGAATTTTTCGTAAGAGAAAAAAGAAATGATCATAATGAAAAAAAAAAGTTGTAAATTATGTGAAGTATAGAACATTACTATGGTAAACCTTGCATATTAATAATCAATAAAACAGTAATGTACATGGTTTCAATGTAAAAGAAAGAGAGAATAATTAGCAGTAAACACAATGAACCACTTTTGTTTTTCTCTATGATAAATATAGTAACGCGTTTGATTTTATATGTGTGTAGCTATGGATTAGTGGTTAAAGTGTATTCTCGAGTGGTGTTAGAGGTATGGGAGTGGATATCACTACCCGGTTGTCTAATGGTTATCTAACTTTGATCAGTTCATGATTTCAATTAAGTTTAAAGATTAAGGTAAATCATTGACATTTTTAAACAACCTCATCACAAATTTACTTTCTTATTTATAAGATTTAAAAAAATTCTAATATATACTCACCAATTTTGATTGTGTCATATGTAATCGAAAAATTATAGCTTGAGTATAACTGGCTGTAAGAAATAAACGATACCGATGTCGACTAGTCCATACTGCAATTAATTGACCAATTAAATGTGCACATAATATTGCACACAATGTTGCTAAATTCTGTGTAAAATAAGAAAAATTTCCCCTTTCAATATCTTGACATATATATATATCATTAAACGTTCTTTTATTTAGGTACAAAATGTGTACTACTATTAGAAAAGTATTAAAAATAGCAATTAGACAAATGAATACAAGAAACACTTGTATACAGTTCTCGTCATCAAGGTGTAAACCTAAACTACAGTGAGATGTTGATGTCAACACCATCACTATCACCACGAACATTGACTGAAAACAAAAACATGAGTAAAGTAGTACTCATCGCTTACTCCATCTGTTTAACCAATTAGATCCATAAATACAATGTTTAACTACTTCTTTTAATTAAGACTATGATATTTATTGAATTTCAGTAAAGAATAGTGAAGTTTTATAGGTTTTGCTGAAGAAAAAATTGACGAAAGATTAACATAGATAATTAATGTTAAATATTATAAAAATGGAATTGGATGCTTAAATGAATCTAAAAAACAATAGTTATGTTTGCTTATAATTCACTCTCTGGCCTAATCTCTTTACGAGTCGAATTCACGTGTGCTTTGGAAAAGTTTATAGAGTACATCTAATATTTCGAGCATAACTAGTACCCAATGATGTTTGTACATAACACTTAGGTACTTTATTAATAAAGGCAATGTAAGAGTTTTATCTCAAACTGAAGCAGCAAATTTAGTCTGTTACATCCGTTTGAACAATTTGGGCAATTGTCGGAAATAAATATTTAAAACTCTCGACAGTAGGTGCGTGATGTTACTTGGGATTTCTTTCTAACTATCAGTATCCAGTGACTGAACAACATATAACATTAGAATAAAACATGAAAAATAGAATGCATATCATAAATAGATAACAAATGGTTCATTTGCTGAAAAGTCATGGTGTAAACTTTGAAAGTATACAGTCTATAGGAAAGTTTTAACACATATTTCGTGGTGTTAACTAATAACTCGGATTTATTAACATAAATAGTCAATATGTTTAATATAATTCCAGACTAACTTATTTTGCCTGGGATGTTGTTTATAATGTAAATAATTATAATTTTTTATGATATGGTTGGGAACAATACTCCACCGTGTGAATAATCAAGAACACAATATGGATTAATCTGACTCAAAGACAGATCAAAACAGCAAGTTAAAAAGCCCTACATAGTTAACAGGACTAGTAATTACCTTGACTTCATATGTATACATGCTCATTTTGTATTCTCCCTGAGGTCGCCGAAATGGCAGTCAACAAAACTAAGTATCACCATTCTAACTGGAAAAAGAAAATCTGACCCGATATGATTCAAGGAATCATACAAAGTCATATCTGGCACAAGCGTGTATCGACTCAAGAACCCATCAGAACTAAAATTGGCACAATAAGAGAGGCGATCAACAGATTCAAAAGCAAAGTAGAGATTAGTTTAGCAAACATGATCAGCTTGACGCCTGGAACATATATATATATATATATAGGCCCAAGTTACCACAACACATTGCCACAAAGAGATGAATTTAGAATATCAACGAACTCGAAATGACAATGTGAAAGAGTGAACGTCGACAATATGGTTCAGGAAAGCATCATGGAAAGGTATGAAGGAATACTGGGACTTAGAATACAGAGTCAGCCATAAGTAATGTAGAACTTGGAACATAAGTGTATCGGTTCAAGTTGCCACACGACATCAACATAGTGAGACATCAGAGAAGTAGAAATAGCAAACATATCAGTGGTAGTAGAAGAAATTAGACAAAGTATGGGATTTAATTTGGACTAGAATAGAAGTATAAACACTGTTTATGAGCCTGAGAAAATCAATAGTTGGTTATTATTATTACTATTAATTTATCATTTATGAAAAGAAAACTTTCAATTCACTGGAAAGATATGGGCAAGAAGCACTAACCTCGCCGCAATCATAATAGAAAAAATCAATAAAGGACAACTTACACTGCGCCATAATATTCCCCGATGATCAGTCCACCATAAAACAGGTTGTATTAAAGTTGCTTTTTGAATCCATTGGGGGCATAATGAAGAATTTACAAAGATTATATAATTATTCCCAGTATCAGTATTATTAATTAAATTCGACCTTTTTATCAATGTTTCAGAATGTGTTAACCCATAATTAAGATTGACCAATACAAAATATAGAATTGACATTATAATAGTAAGACCATATCTCCAATACTTTGACCATATACTATCTACATCGAAAAATCCAAGAATAAGAATGATACTGAAAATAAGTAACCAGAGGTTATCAATTAAATGGTTGGTATTTTCAAAATCAAACAGATTATTTTGATGAACAATAGTAATTTGATTCATGATGAATGAAATGGAAGTATCATCTAAAAAGAAAAGAAAAGAACAGAACAGAATTAGAACTTTATAACGAAAATAATGAATTGCTTCAGAAGAATAAACCCAAAAATCATACATATATGTACTCATGAATTTAATTGCCACTTTTCAGACATGTTTTTGGAGATAAGCATAATTTACTGAACCCTACAATAGTTCAAATAGAAACAAAATAAACACTAAAAATAATTAGGAAAACAGAATAAATGATAACTAGTTAAAGTTCTCTTATGATTTACAAGTTATATATTTCCAGTATCCCTATTATGGAACTTCGTCAATTCCTAAATCCATAACCTCTCTATACAGTTTAAACAAGTGCATTTTTAGTTATTTCCCAAGTACTTGAAGAAGCCACACTGCAAGTGTAAAAGCTAATTATACTACCCAGTTGTTCAAACTAAATTAAGTGGAACGGGGCTAAAATCTAACACTTAGTGGCTGAAGGTAGAACGTACTAACCTTTAAGCTACCGCCCCACGGCTTAAATTGATAATCAATAATTTTACAAACTAGTATCGCTAAACTTTTCAAAACTATTCTTATTTCCGGCAGCAGTACATGTTATTAAGAGATACAGTGCCCTAGCATGAACTGGATTGGAAATTAAACCACTCCGATTGGTGCAAGTTGACAACCTGATTGATTTACTCTTTCTATTTGTTTAGAAACACGTTTATTTCTAAAAACCGCTTGCTAATTGATCCTGCTACATAATATTACTACTACGGCATTTGTCTTGGTAATTTCAACACGTTAGGCTGATACAGTATGGTAAATTAAACAGATGCATAAATGTCGGGTTCTACGTTATTTGTGACTGACTGACCGACCGATTATTATGCTTACTGCAAAACCAATGCCGACACGCTGAATCTTGGTGTTAGGAACTATTCTCATGTCCCTTATATATATAACCTTGTATCTTTTTGGTGGAGTTTTGTTCTCTGAGCTGGATGGTTTGGTCGTGGACCTTTCATCGTCCTTCTGAACGACATCATCAGCACAAAAACCTTGTATCCTGTGATTTCTTCGAAATAAATTTATGTTCAGTGGATTTTCGCTCTCAATCAAGTTAAATGAGGTAGTCAGTAAGAGTATTAGACAGGAAGCACAATCGATATCGTCATTCGTTGAAACAATACATACATGAAGTTGAGATTCAAAGCTTTAGATCCTTGAATCTTAAAAATGTTGTGCTGGGTTCAAATGCATCAAAATTTCTTCAGTTTGGAAATTAGGAATATTGTTCTTACTACTCAAAATAGTGGAAATATTTGTTAGAAATCTATATATTACTAATTATTAGGGAACACTCATAATTCCTCAATAAATTCTCTAGAAGCCAATAAGTATTGTTAACCAATTCTTACCTTTGAAGACTTCTTAGAAAAAATCTAGAAATTAACTCATACCTTAAGTGGTTTAAATGTACCAGACATTGAAAATTTAATTCACTTGGTATTGTTTTACTTGAATCTTCCTATTGTTATTTAGGACTGCGATTGATAAGTCTCTTATTGGCATATGTGCATATGTATGCCTCGATATTGCCTTAATTTACAAGCATTATAAGCAAAGATGGATAGTGGCTATCAGGACTCAGTAGCTAAGTGGATAACGCGATGGCGTTTGAAGCGAACGGTACTGAGTTCAAGTCCTAAAGCGAACATCAACTCTGAGATACAGGTACGTCCAGCTGATGAGTCCCAAACTAGGACGAAACGTGCGCCCTGGATTCCACTGCTAGCCACTATCCATCTTTGCTTATAATTGAAAATTTAGTTTACTTTTATGTAAGCTATTCATTTGATACACTAACTCAAAAAAATAACATTGGAATATATATGCATACATGAGGGAATAGTAGGTTGCATTCATTTATGGCGAACAAAATTGTTTGTTTGTTTTCTGTATTATATTATAATGACCTTTTAAATAAAAAGACAAATCATCAATAAAGTTACCAATCATAATCATTTGCATGCAATGGGAAATACTTAGGGGATCATGTTAAATGAACAAATCAATATTGATGAAAGTGTGTATACAATCAAGTATGAAATATAAGCCGGACTCCAGGTGAACAACGAATATAAAGAGTAGTTTAATTTTCTATTGTAATCAATTCAATCATGATTTAAAACTAATAATACAATAATATACCTGAAATATCTAATCACACGGCAAAACAACTAAAGCATTACGCTGTGTCTATAACTTAGTCCTAAATGATATAAAAGCCAAAGTTACAAGGAAGTAGTTAATAAATGACAAATCTGGAGCTATAACAACGATTTATAAGTGGGATGAAAGTATAGAAATAGAAGAATATACAATAAAACTATGAATAATAATCGTTCATATAGCCGTTTCAAAATTCATGTTTCTCCCTATCATATTATAACTCAGTCAATATAGTTCAGCTTAGATAACTAGGTAATATCACACAAGTCTTCACACAGATTATGACTTGAAGTCAAACATATGATATGTACTTGGTAAATGAGTTAGGGAAAACCTCCTAACGATTACATTCTAATATATCAAGAATTAGAAACCACGTAGTCCATACCACCCACGCGTCAGACGATACAAATCAGCGAAGTACTGAGCATGTATCACTTTTTAGCGCAGTAATTCATGAACTCTAACAAGATGATTAGTGTTTACAAATAGAATTACTACAACAGATGAAGATCACTATAAAATATTTAAATCATCCCGAAATGTATTCAGCAAAATAAATTATAAAGAGAATTGACCACAATATTTTACAGTTCTATATTTGTTATGTCAGTGAACTAGTCTAATAAAACATTTTAAGTGGTCGTTGACAAACATCTCACGCTGTTAATGAAATTTCAATCAAACATTACTTTTGTAAAAGAATAGTTATACCAATAAAACGATGACATAAGTAGCAATATATTGCTCTATTTTCCGTGAATTAGATAGCGAGTCCAACTATTTTACTATGTATGTGTCAACACTATGTGGAAGTTAGTGATACTATTCGGTCATTGTTAATGAAGTAGGTTGAACAAAGTTCTAGATAGTAAATAAACACAACAATGTAGAATCTAGCAAAATAATATATCCCCTCGAGTCCCAGCTTTCCACCATAAAAACAGAGTTTGTTAATGAACTAAACTGATCTAACAAATAACAGAGTCTATTATACGAGCAGATTGAAGACAAGGTTAGGTGAGGTTAAACCAAAACATGAAGGTGTCGATATTCTGTTTATCGTTTGTGATCTATGATTGTAGACTTGGCTTTAAGTCTGTTAGGGGGACTCAGATGCATATATTCTTTATCTTTCTCCAAATCGCGAGAATAGTATATTCAGTAATTTTCATTACACAGTTGTATTTCTTTCTTTCCAACCACATTTCATTCGTTTCATTATAGCTATTATTAATATACTATCTCCACTCTCTTACTTTTCATTTTGTTAATCGCCATCTGTTTGACTGAATAGAAATGCGATAACCCGAAACAACAAACATTTTGTACTGTATTCTACATTGTTTATAATCGGTTAGGGATCACAGTTCCTGTTGTCGACTCTTCAAGAAAAATTGAATCATTCACAAACAATATGATTTCAAGTAGCAAAAAAGTTACTGGAAAGGAGCAAATTAACCAAGCAAAATAAATACAATAGGAGGTCTCAGATTAACAGTTTAATTCATGCACACACGTGTATAACACACACACATATGTATGTACACACACGGACGTGGACATTTCTTCATTTTCCTCGTTTTAGTTTAAATAATTTTCTTGTAGGCTAACAAGCATAAGCAAGTAAACAATCGAATAGAACGCACAAAATTGATTTTACTGTAGCTTGGATCTAGTTTAGAGATTAGATCAGTAAGGAATACGAACATTACTATTATTATTTATCATTATTGCATTTTGTTATTTCATTCTTTGACCATTCGTATTCACCTGAATACGAAAATACACAAAGTATGATTCATTCAGCTCAGTTGAAAACGGATAATAATGATGATGATGATGATGATGATGGTGTGGAGATTTTTCTTTTTAGACGAAAAACAATTTTATCCTCTTATAGTTCACGTATGTTATGCATGTGTACCTGTGTACGTGCTACCTTGTACGCAGATGTGTATTTAGATAAGCATAAAAAGCATATATCCCCAATAGTTTAGCTTATTCATATGTGTGTGTGAATGACTTCCATTATGTGAATGTTAAAGAAAGAGATGATATGGGAACAAAGAAATAAGAATTATATTTGCATAGATGTAAATATACAATCTGTACTATGTGATTTGTACATATTAATTTTAAACTGGAACAACATATAAGATGTGAGATAATAAAAAAATTATTGTTATCAGAATTATATATTAAACACACAAGTATTATTAGTTTATTTCATACTTATTGGTTGCTTGGATCTTCCTATTGATGTCTAGGATTGCAATTAGTCAGTCTCAGTAGCTAAATAAATAACAGGATAGCGTTTAAAGTGAACTGTACAAGTTTCGAGTCTCGGCGTGAACATCAACAGTGTGGTGTAGGCACATTCAGCTGAAGAGTCCCATATAGGTCGAAACGCGTGTCTTGGATTTCACTGCTAACCACCATCCATTTCTGTTTATTATGCCTGTGACTTTATGGCGATATCGAGGCAACCCGCATAGGATGCCTATATTCTAAAAGAGACTGAAAAATTGTAATCCTAAACACCTATTGGAAAATTCAAACAACCAATACGAATACACTTCAGTTCAATATGTAGTGGGGCAATGACGTAGTTACTGAACAACTCAATAAATTGCGAAATTGTACTAGGTGTGTTTAAAGGCTGAGTACACGAATTCGTGGTTAATTATTAGCTTTTAGTGGGTATTTAGTAAAACTAAGCTGTAGGGCCGAGATTTAGTGATGTTACAAATAGTCTTGTGATTTCAGAAGTAATGAAACGTCACATATTAAAGTGATTTTAGTAATCTTGTTAATTTAACAAGCTTTAGTATCAGTTTACCGATAATCGCCTACAAGATCTTTATTAACAGTTCCGTTGGAAAGTTATAAAGATGGCATTTCACACTACCAGGAAACTGCCTGAAATTAAGGATGGTCGAACTTTACCAGTTATAACTTCTGACGCATCTTGGGGCTGACCAACAGTTCATGGTAAAAAACATTTTACGAAATAAACTAACCCCTCCCCCGAACCGATTATCTTACTGAAATTATTATATTTTCGAAATACCAAACTAAAATTTAGGTCACTAGGACATTTCCAACGCACGAACACACACAAATACACAGTGATGGGAAGAAATGTTCGAAATATGTGATGAATGTATTTGCATTATAAATTATGCTAAGTTTAGCTTAGAAGTGAAAACTTGATATGCAACAACCAAATTTGCATTATAAATAATTACAACAATGATGATGAGTCACAGTGATGTATTATGGAAGTATACCTGTAGAGCGAAGGTCATTCTTACACATGTCTGTAACCTTGACCGTAAATGACTTATAAATATTGGCTTAAATTTATGTACATAAGCGTCAGTGCTAGTGAATTTAAACAAATCTAACAAAAATACGAAATTCATGTTAATAATAATAATAATAACAACTTTTAACACATGGAATAAAACAAATGGTTTTGCTAGTTATATTCAAAATGAACATTTCTTGATCTAAATAAATGAGAGTTCACATTGTTTCCAACTGTGACATACTTAATTATTTTAGATGGTAATTACAATAAAATATCTGAATTTCAGTTCACTTGATTACTGATGTCAGTGTCATTAGGGAAGAATAATCAATCATCGGTCATTATTCAAGTATAACTTCATATAATCATACCTTCTAATCTGACCTGTGAATCATATTCCAACATTTAAGTAGGCATAAGCAAGCAAGCAAACAAACAAACAAACAATAAAGATTTATTTATTTCTGTAATTCGTATCCACAAAAAAGTGATACACAATAACATAGAATAGAAGAAACTTGTTTTATAAAACAAGAACATAGTTTATCGGTAAAAAAAAAATAAATTATTATACATTATAGCTTACAAGTTGAAACTTAAGATTTCATACTGAATTGCATCCATCTTCAGTCAAAAGTTCGGTTAAACAAATGGGAGGGCATAAATCAGAATTTAAGAATATTTCATTTTGACAACAATAAAAAAACATAATGAAACCAAAATATCAAGGACTTATTGAGGTGTTGCTTGTAGGGGTAAAACTAATTCCAAATGCAATCAACCAGAAGATACAAGTTTATTTATTGAATATAGTTTTGAGTATGCTGGTAATATAATAACTTTGAGAAAAAAATATAATTCTTCTAAACTGGAAACGAAATTAGCTCAGTCGATATTAATGCAAACTTATTCAAATCAATACCATAACATTTCCATTGTTGCAGAATATCACAATGAAGATACAGTTTGATTATGGACAAAGTAGTCTTGAGTGATGTCGAAGCTTTGACGGCGATTGTTACTTCCTATTTGTTTGTACTGTGGAAGGATATTTCTCTTTGAAGTACTTGAACATGAAACTGGATTAGATGTGGTCCTAGAAACCTGAAAGTATGATCCCAGTACCAAAGAGACAACTATTTGAGGGCGGTCACATATAGCAGTTTTGTGGTTAGTTTTGAGTGTATCAGCTCCAGACTCTTAAGACCTTACTACAGGAGACAGAAACCCGCGAAGTCAGGTAAGGTAGATTATTTCTGGAGCAGACATTCGTTGACTCCTTCCCTTGGTAGCGAGGAGGTAGCATAGCAGTAAACGCTGTTTGTCAAAGGGAGATACTTTGCTGCTATCACACCTTTCTACAGTTGACGTTGGACTGTGAGTCTACTGTTTTAAATCTTACCTCTCTTGAACCAAACTGCTTGGGATAGCAGACATAAAAGGGACAAGTTTTCCAGCCAAAAACCTCGACTGGGTCACCACGATATACAAGCACAACTACAAAATCAAGATAGAAGCTACGGTCGGCGGATATCGTAATAATAATACGTAGTACATGTAGGATTTTCCCGACTAGTCCAACAATGGATAAGTAATTTAATTACTAAACTCAAAACAGGTGTTGTAGACTGAATTTCAACCGGGACGTTTATAATGCTTTCAAAGGATGAACTTATAGCCTAGGAAAAGTGAAAAGATATTTTTCCGATTATTAAAGTCTTATGAGAAACAATCATTTTCTTTAATTGTAACACACAGCACGTGAGGATAAAATTTAAACATCTCTGTATTTCATATTATAGCAGACAAACAGCTTTTTATGATCACATTTGAACAAGCAAGAAAAATTTCTGAAAACGTTAACTTACTTGAGTAGGCTAAATGAGAAGAGCTGCAATTGAACTGTTGAACTACTGAAGGAGTTGTATGTACCTTTGATAAGGTGTGATAAAGTTTAGACCATGGCAAATTAGCTAAGATGAAAAGTATACAAGCTATGTAGCTTAGTCCATGAGACCAATGAAGATTCCTACGAAGTTTCCGGGCCATAATTAAATTTACTGATTCTTGGGTGTCACTATTATATGAATAGGTCCGATTATCAGTATCAGTACTGTTATTTTTAGTATACAGAGGTTTAATGGCTTTACCTGAAGATTTATTGGACATAATATGTTGAATTGAATGAGATGATTTTGAAATGCATGGCATGTTAGCAAAAAGAACACTAATTAAAAGCAAGACAGTTGAACTGATCAGTAAAGCTAAACGTATTAAATTTATGTGAGTTAAATGTAAACTAGAAACAGCATATGAATGTTGAATAAATGAAGAGTCAACTGTTGGTGGTAGTGCATTATAGTTTGAGTAAATCATCATAGATACGACTAAGAAAATGCAAACAATCAGATTTAAAGAAATAAATAGATTAATTTCCGCCTGACGATATTTTAAAATGAAGTAATTTTCATAGTATTTATAAACGTTTGGTGATGAACAGTAATTATTAGTTGTATTTAGACAGAGCCAATCATTTGATAGCTTATCCTTTATAGTGGAAAAGTATGATTGTTTTTGGCAGATAGCATGTTGAGTAGACAATGATAAATCATTACGAGTTTGTGTTTTTTGGTTGTAATTTGATGAAATACACTGCGATGCATTAGTGGGCAAATGACTAGAACTGAGATTATATAAACTGGACTTGATATCCGCACTCTTATTTGAGAGAACTACTGGGGAATCACTTGAAATTTTCTTATGTTTGGAGTTGAAAAATGATTTAAACCAATGAAGTCCAGACCATACATGTTTACTGTTTTGATTATTCGATCTTGTGTCTGTTGGACAAAGTAAGTGAACACCGGCTACATCATAGAGCTCAACTTCAGGCCCACGTCGAGCAGAAAGTTGCAAACCATGCGGAAGTTCAACGTCCAGTAATGGTGACTCAGTGAGATATTTGTCTTTTTTGGAGTGAGCACCAAGCCAGTTTTCATATTGTGGTTCGTTTGTTTTAACCTGTACGTCAGGCATGACTAACAGTTGGTTTTAGTGGAATTCTATTCCGTAAAGTGAACTTCAAATGTAGCACGGAAGTAAACAAGTCACACCATTCTGAAACATAAATTAATAGCAGCATTTTTGAGAAAACAGATACAATGAATCAGTGAGAAAATAATTTTAATCACACCAGATAAAAAAATTTTTCTCTCAACAAAAGGTTGTGTCAGGGTCCTGGTTTCTCAACGAAATAGCACGAAGTTTCTAATTCTCGAATAGATATTTTATATATTAGAACGAGTCGAGAATAAGCTAAATATATATTTTGGAGCGAAAAAGGGACCTTACTTTTGAAGGTTTTCTAAATGACGAAGCTTTATTTCCTAAGTATGTTTAAATTTTCTACAACTGAATGTCATCTGAAATGTAAATATATGACTAATACAATTGCTGAACAAGATCAAATCAAGCATTTATAATTGTTGTTTTACAATCGATCCAAAAGAGATACCCTGGAAAAAAACTGACAAAACATCAGATCAAATCCTAGCTTTTGCGAAGATAAAGAAGACAAATGAGATGTTGTGTGCTAACTTTTTAAACCTCAGTGTACCAATGTATGTACAGATGCTCCGTCATACTAACTTACACCTCACACATCCAGATTTCTCAACTAGACCATAAATGGTTGTAGGATCCCGTAATTATCTGTCGCTAAGGGAGATAAGTACAGGGTACAAATGTACTTAGTTAACTCATTTACCAGATACTTCGCAACGGGCCACACATATTTTGAGGGCTGATGGTACTATACATTTGACCACACCAAAAACCGCAATGAATAAGTACATCACATGAAATTGTGTTCAGTAGATTGCGTTAACTTTACTTAAAGCGATTCATTTAGTATTGGATGGATAAGAAATACAGAAAATGGTTTCAACTGAAACTCGCAAACGATTTTCAAGTATTTAAAGCACTAGAATAGCGAGTCAGATACAGACAGAAATTGGATTTGAAACGTAGTTAACAATCTGAGTTCCTAACTTGATTATGTCGAGACTTAAACGTTTGACTGTTAATTCTTCTCCTTTTGTGATATTTGTAAAGTAAAGGTACGTTAATCTGACTTCTGCGATAAAATAAACAAAATATTGTTTACGAACATTTGCCAACACTTAGACCAAACAAGGTAGTATCCTGTGGCGTTTCAATTACCACGTTTAAATTATGGTATTTCGAAAATATTACGGAATAATTGTAATTTTGCAATATAACCTAAAAAGCATCTCAACCATTGAATGATGTCTAAAATCAACAGAAACATCTTATCTTTTGGTGTGGTAACACTTAAACATTGGTACCCAATTCACGTCGGAAGTTCAAAGAATACACTTCCCGCATTCGAAATATCGCGTACTAATTTTGTTACCCTTACATACCAGTCGTTTTAAAATAATATTTATAGTTATATTTGGTGGTACGCTATGGAAGAACTAAGACGTAAAACTACTAGCTGATTGGAAAGACAGAGGAGCAAGTCTGAAAACAATCTTTACGTCATAATCATTCCAGAAAACGAACAAAAAATATCATCGTAATATTAGTGTTGGCTTCTTCTAAACTATACTAACTAAAATGTACCCTATTATGATTTAAACACGTGTTAGGTACATAGACACGGTGAGTTTCTCATTGTTACGAGGCTGAAGAATATATAACGCAAAGCTCGCACCTCAAGGTCACTGCACAATGAAAGTAAAGAAACCATTTGACCCGCTGATATAAAAGTTAATTTTTTGTAGACTGAAAAAACAACAAACTTTGAAAAATTAATGGGTAGTTTCTAATGAATAAAATGGTCGTTTATATTCTCTAAACGTTTTTTACGTCAAGTTGAGACGAGTAAAGGTTCATTCAAGTCATTTAAATTCTGCCCTGGCAGTCGAAATATTTTCATACATGCTTCCCATTGTGAAAGTTATTCGGAAGCTAGGAAACCGATGCTCCTCATAACATTAAGAACAAAAATCAACCTAGATACGTGCAATATCTGAACAGTAAAAGAGACCTGAAAGACTATTCAAACACCAGACGAAATCGGAAAAATGCAAAGTGTATGTGATAGTAATTAGTTAGAACCTCTAAGTAAAAGATAGTTCAAAGGGACTATCATGGAAGAAAGTGATGCTGCATTTTATTGATGAAGAACGTAGTGCCTCTCACACACAAGAAGTTGAGTACGAAAACTCCATTTAATTAGTAGAGTTCATGACTCCAGGATCATCGAAGTATCATCAAAAATGAAGATGAAATGGATCATAGTGAATAACGCTATGCTCAATGTCAAAAGCAAGGATGGTAGGAATCACACTAACGAACGGCTTCACTTCTTCACAGAAAACTGCGCAATAAAATATATGGCCATCACGATTATGGACCTGTGCGTCAAGGTTAGGACGGAAAACATCGCGAGGCGGCATGCACAAGATGATGAGGCCGAGAAAGTTGAAAAACCTGACAACCTACGTGATTTCAACAACATGGCTATGAATGCGACCATCTTCTCTAGTAAGTATGCATGTAAATATATCACCAAACAACACTGCCTAGAATCAGATCAGTCGCATCGAAATCAATAGAAATTAAGATTTATAAAAAAAACTATGTGGTATAATCAAGAGGCTAGGAGAGAAATGTAGTAGACCAGAACGGGTAAAGACGAAGTGTCCGAAACGGTTACCTAGATTCAAGAAACAACCCGTGACACTACGGATAAATGTTGGACAAACAATTGGATGTTATTCGTCACTATACAGCAACTTTCATGACCATGAGAAAGCGTCTCATGTTATGGATGGAACCTTATGGAACCTTTTCCGACACTATGATATACTTGAAAAAATCGTCATCGTAGCTTAAGGACGTCCTAAACTTGGGCGAGTTTGAATACGACTCTGATGGTTTAGCATCAAATGCTTAATGCGAAAAACGTTTGTGCCGTTATCCGATGTTATTCCTCATTATTTTAATCAATCGTCATCCGCATCGAGCAGAAACATTTTCGACTTAGCAGACAGGGATATCGGGAATGTTGAATTCAAAGTTCACTCCACAGACTGACCTTCGTTAGGCAACAGTTGAAAGCCGAAAAGTAATATACACACATATTTAGCCCTAGTATGAGACCCTTCCATGGTACGTAGCCAAAGCAAAGATAGCGTTTATGTTCATGACCCTCCTATTCAGAACTGAATCACATGATCAGTGAGTCAACAATCAATACACAGACATCACTCACGCTAAAAGACGCCAATTGTATTGTCAATATTTCCCTTACTAATTACCAGTGTAAGATCCATTTTGAATGCTTTGTGTGTTTGTGAAAATCCCTCCATGTGTATACTTGCACTTTGTTCCTATTGATCGTCTTAGTTGTACATTGTTAAATTTTTGACTACATTTGAATTGTTAATATTTGTATTTTATTATAGTTTTCGTTTTTACTACACCTTCACCGATTCCCCATGTTTCTTCCCGAACTGCACTTATGTTGTTTTACTTTATACTAAGTCTGGGCGGCAGCCATTTTGGTTTGTTCCTGCTTTTGATTGCTTGACCTGTGTTGACTGGAATTGTGCATTTTGGTTGTGAATTGAAGCACTCTTCCAGAATTGAAAACACTCTGTGTTATAGAGCTACCAATTATTACCTTTTGAACGAATCTGTACGTGATCTATCCAGACAGGATAGAATAACAGCTATTTGTGGTGATTGATTTGATCAGTTGAACAAATATTGGTTGGATAGCTGAGTGGTTATATTTGTTTAGAACCGTCATCTTATCCAATTACTTTGTTTTGGTTTCAGTCGGGCGGGGGCGCGTATCTAACTCATCCAGACAGCTGTCCTTCACTTCAAACCGTAGTTTGGATCTTACAACCAGGTAAAATTAGTTTTCATATTTTGCACTGAACAATTATTATTATTGTCACCTTTATTCAATATAATGTTTTTGGTACAATATTGAGTTCTCAGCGTAAAGTATTTCAACAAGTTTCCGTTTCTTTCTTCTTGGTTGGTCCTAGCGATAAGTATTGAGTGATCGCCACTTAGATGTTAGCAGTTCAGTAAATGAACATCTGAATAATGTGCATTCTTTTCGTTGTATATTGCCAGCAACCATATTGTCTCTTATTGAGCTTTTGGTAACTTTGATAACGAAAGGTTGTACTATCTTCAGAAACGCAGCAGAATAGGTTATGCGATTAATATACATAGTGATATATTAAAACAAACAAAAATAGATAACTTGTTGAAATATCTAGGAACAGGTAGCTCAGATGATCAAGCAGGTCTTTTTCATCTGAGTTCTCGTTCACCGCAGTACCTTCTGTTAGAACGAAAACATTGTTTTCCAATGTTAAGACTATAGACTTCCTTATGCTGTATAGTTATTACATGTCCTGGTTACATACATTAGTGGTGAAACATTTGCTTAGTTAAATGGTTTAACCTAGTTACTACGCTCTTTAAACCTAACAGTGACTCTCACCCCAAAATAATCCGTAAATGTACTCTAGATGAGTTCAAATACAGTACTGCACATCTGACATATACCGAAGCCGCTTCCTACATAAGTTTTCTATCTTCGGAACAAACTGCCAGTTAGAACACGAAAAATAAACTCTGTAGATCTTTTTAAAAGGACTTCTGTACGACATCGAGTCACTGAAAAACACTTACTTGCCCTCGGATACTGGTGTTTTCTAGAACCCACCTATGTAGGATTGCATTACAAACTCAGTAATATATCAAAATAAGGGTACTAATAATTTCTTGAAATGTCTGACTAAACACAATAGTATATTTGAATCACTCGTCTTTTCACATCAGAAAAATGGGCTATGTAAATAACAAACATTGTGTATTGACAAACGGTACGGAACGGTACAATCAATAAATTGTGTCGTAGATGGAATATCAATATCAAAATTGAGAGTGAGGTACAGCGTAATTATCTATCCTCAAACGCCAAACCAGAACAAATAAGTGAATAATGGAACATGAGTTATTTTTGTTCAGCACTAGTATGGTACATGCTATTCCACTACAGGGTTTCTTACTACTCTCTAAGTAGCAAAAATATGAACAAACATCAACTTTATTCTAGTCAGATATTTTCACTGATCATGACCCTTATCCACCAACTGTTAACACCAGGCACCACACTGTCAACAGCTAGAGCCACAAATATGGAAATGTTGACATCAAAAATGGAACGTTAGAACGACCGAATAAGACCGGTGGTACCAACATTTTAGCTACTTTACATCATGATAAAAAAAATGAAACATCATATTGGGTACATTAGTACATTTCTAACTAGCTGCTCTACTTCTGCAGCTTTTCATGACATAAACTGATACGTTACAAATGAAAAAAATTCAAACCACTACTGATCTTATTACTCAGCCATGTTTGTACCCCAGCATCCAACAACTACGAAATTTCAGCGGCCTACAAGCTGGTTAGTTTTCTTGTCTGTCCTTGTCCCATGGGTTTTGTTGACGTCCAAGTTAAAGATAAAACAAGCTACAAGTGAAACATCTATACTCGAAAATACAACCAACAGAGGTAGAATACTGAAATCGCTGGTTCTTGTTTGATTATCTCATAGTTCAGTTGACTGTCGAAATGTAGGTGGAGAAAAAATAGCGTGCGTCAGAATGAGTTAACAGTAAACTTACAGATCACTCCTGTCATTCGTACCTAAACTTTGATGTAATATTTAAATTGTTATGGAAAATCAATGTTTTTCTTAAGTAACTATAATTTTTCTTTCACGCCTGACAAAAGTAGTATATCGCACGGTTTATGTTCATTTTAGTCTCAACAAATGGTTATGAATGCGATATACCATGTTCTATGCGTCCAAATGTTGGGCATCAGCTTGAACCAACCCTGACTTTACGCTAGACAACGTTTGATGTGAAAATTGGAAGGAGAGCTGTACAAATTAAAATATGGTACACCCTTTTACTTGGAACTCGAGACTTATTAGACTGTATGCAGGAGAAGTCAAATGATTCAGAAGGAACTGCCAAAGTTGTTCTGTCAAATCCAAAGAAGTCAACAAGGAAGTCATTACATATTCCTATGGATGGAACGGCACAAGTTTGCGGAGTCAAACAAAAGGTTAACCCAAAGTTCTCAAGGAGTGAACAGACTTATATTTCTTTCTTATTGCTGATTCCGCGATGTGTCCAGCTATCGGGATGAAACTACTCTAAGACTGAGAAATAGTATTGTCGCACTCGTAAATAAAAAGGATTATGAAGCTGAAGCGTTAAACTACATCAATTTCTCTGTTTTCATGATATTAAAAGGAATGGAGTGGATTACAAATGAATCTAACTCTGTTCCTTGTATTAATTACCGGATTTATTTCTCTCGCGTGGACATGTTGATGGTAACCTGCTGACCGCTAGTGACAGTTGGAGATTACAAGTATGGTGTGTTGCTCATATGCACATAGGTTGCCTAGATCACTCCAAAGTACTCTATGGGACTGATTATTAGGGAGGAAATCGATGAACATGAGTGGTTGACAGGTCAAATGCCCACATGATTATTACACAGTCATACTAAAAGCTGCGCACATTTTTCGTGCCTTAAGGTAACCCTCGTGCTATTGACAGAAGAAACCAGACAAGTAGTGAATATGTCTTTATTTCGATCTTCGCGCAGTCACAGCGAAGCGTGGTATCATTTGTTCAGACAAACAAAGCCTCTCAACATTCAATATAAGATAACAGGAAATATAACGCCTATGAAAAATAAGGAAGTGAATGAATACTTGGCCTGTACTGTTTTGGCATATGCTTGGTTGTTTGAGGTCAACTCTTAACCAGCCAACTTATGCTGTTACACATTCACTCTATGTCGTCAGCTCGCAACTTCAATCAGGTTAATAAACATTTTAAACGTCTAACTATTCTTCGTATTATCATTTAGTTATCTTTCTGACAATCACGTTTCTCAGACTATAATATGTGTGAGTAGTTACTATAGTGGCCGGCTCTATGTCGAGCCCACGTACGTTATTCTAGTTTTTGGACAGACCAATTTATTTATTCTTCCCGAGTCACTTTTTACCTTGTCAACTATTCCCCTCTATTCGATTTGGCTATAAATATTGGGTACCGCTTGAGTAAAGTGGGTTGGCTCACTTGCTTTCTCCACTGTGTGTCATTTAGTTTCTCTTCTATTTATTCTCCTCTTTCTCTTTCTCCGTCCCTCTGTCTGGTCTGATCAGCGACTGTGTGAAATATACGCATTCAAACTTCCTCATTGAATTTCGTTATTCATCTATGCAACTTAAGTCGATAATTATATAAGAGGATTGACGATAGGTATAAGTCAATAATCACTCTATCGAAATCGCGTTAGATATCGAGTCACTAAAATATAAAGTAACACACATCACTATTGACTAATGAAACACGAATATAATGATAACTATCAAAAGCCATTTATACCTTGATATACGTAAAGGTAAGATTTTATTATTGGACACTATAGAGCACCCATCTTGCCATTTTCAGATGATTGGAAAGGTTATTTCGGTACTACTATGTATGGTGCCCGATATGGCTCTTCGTTTAGGACTCCAAGGCAGATGAAAAGCGCTGTTTCATAAGGTTTATCCGTTGAACTCAAGTATCGTTATTCCTAATGTGCTAAAAGGCACTTCTCGTATTTTCTTTAGGCCACATCCCTTGCTAAGTTCCCTTTATTCGAGAGACAGCCTTACTGGATACTTCTTTCAGAATTAAACCTAAAAGCATACCTTATACTGAAGAAGTCCAGGAAAGTTTGTTGGATGAAACGTTGGAATTCTTTAAATTTCACTCGCTGAGATTATTTCAAATACAGTTTTCACATATAGTGATATATTTTGAAACGGTTTTAACGGATTTCACGATGGATCATACTGCATTTGGTTCTCTTCTTCCTCACGGATTATCAACTAGTTTTTCCAGTCTTTAAAGGAGGTGGAATGGCACAAAGGTAGAACAGGAAGTGGCATGCGCAAAAACAGTTTCTAGCACTTTCTTTGTAAATGTTTGTAAACTATAAAATTTACTCATACAGAAGATAGTGTGCGAGAATTAAATCTTCCCTGTTTAATATTTTGTTGATTTGACTTCTACTCGGACGAGCTGATAAACCATTAATACAAATCTTTAATTATGTTTAATACACCCAGGCTAACCCCGTAGGTCCGACGACGGTAATAGAAGGCCAAATTAAGTTTGATTGGCTCGTTTCGTGTAATAGTTTACTTAGACATCGGGATGAGATGTAAGTAGATCAAAGCGAAGCGGGGGCAGGTGAACGTGTCCAATCCCTCTCACAACTCGTTGCAATGGTGACTATGAATTGAACTAGACTATATATATTGCGATAAAGAGGCAGGAAAATAAACCAATAATGATAAATAAAATAATGAGTGACAAGCCTAAACACTAGTACATACTAGGCGTATAAGCGCCGACACTCAAGGACATGAATATAACACATGTATGTTCACTGAAAGCCACAACATTCCATGAAACTAATGGTTATTAGCTGGGATGGCTGAGACACTGCCTGAACAAAAGTGACAAGTCAATGCGGTGTTCACTTAATCCCCTCCATTCTGTGTTATGGTATATCCGATCCGCTTATTCGTTCTGCTCATTAAACGTAGTGGTTAGAAAAAGTATCTCATCCATGCAAGCTGTTGAGATTGTAGTTAGTAGCTCGAGGTGATTTGGATTAAAATGTGAGAGTCATGAAGTGAAAATGCCTAGACCTTTTCTGCTGTTACACTGTAAGACGCGAGGTGACTCTGCACTGGAATTCCGTACCTTTAGTGGTGATATGAGTGTTAAAAAATTTTGCATTTTCACCGTGGAGCCCACGACGAGAAGTTTTAAAAAGCATGAGCGCATAAACTCATGGTGGGATTCCGTCTTTCGGATTGAGTGGTCACTGGCTAGCACACTCTACACGAAAAAGTGATGTTCATTCCATCAGTGAAAAAGTTTAGGGAGAAGGTGAATCTCCAGTGTAAAACGTTTATGGACAGGTGAGAACATGCTGTTCTAGTTTTTGATATGGGATGTTATGATAATCAGAAGTATTCGAAATAACGTATTTACTAGGAATCTCTAAATATGGTGAGATTTAAGGCAGGTAAAACTAGATGATTACAAATGGAAATGTTATACTTGGAATTCGTAATCAGCTTGCAGTCAATCGCATAGTAATCGTTACCACAAATACTTTGGATAAACTGAAACTTAAACGGATTAACACAGGTCAACCAGTTTACTATTCTTATTTCTGAAAACTGATTGTAGCAGCCAAATGAATAAACTCACTACGTCAGATGTTACTGAGATAATGAAACTACTTTTACTAGCTCGATTTTAAGTCGTGAGCTGGGAGAAATCAATCAGGTAACATCGCCTCATAAACAAAGCATTGGAAACATCGGGGGCGGTCAAGTTAATTTTGCGACGTGACCTTTGGTTTAGTATGATTTTAGCTTTTCTTCGTTCACAGTTGGATGTCCCATTGTATTGCTTATGGCTCATTGCTGTGGCTTTTCTATGTGATTTGAACACCGTCTGTGGTGCTAACTTAGATGATGATTTTGCAGAGTTTGAGGATCCCGATGATTGTAAGTGCTCGATGACTAGCAAACCAGTTCAATAACAATCGTCATTGAACTGGTTTGCAAGTAGTCTATGATAATTCGTTTTGTGACTGGAATTTTGGCTGCCGTTTATTTTTAGTCCGTTGACAATTCTTGACCATACAGATGACAAAAGTGTTTTGTTACATGAAAAATGTTTGACGGTCATATTGCCATTAAAGTCAAAAGTAATCGATTTCGATCATACATACCTGCCTTCAATTTCCTTATTTTAAACCACTGGAATGATGTTAGACGGTGACGCTTTAACAAATCACCGAGTTTTATGGTAGCTAACGTTCATTGTTATACCTTGTACAATATGGAAATTTCTACATCCACTTAATATCCACCAGTTCCTTGTTATGCCAAACGTTTTGTATGTCTTTGTGGGATGACTCCTCTCACATTTTCGGACAAAAAGCAGATACTCCAGTTTTAATCTAAAGAGATAATTTATGAGTAGACTTTACTGGCAACTGCCTGAGTAATGATTATATATTAACTGGATTATACAACCCATCACACTCCTCAAAATAACAGTTCCAAAAGTTTTGTTTGTTGCAGGCAAGTAAAAAGCTCTGGTTTTTTGTAGAGAACTGACTCAAGAGGATCCCCACCAACTTAACGGACTCCACACATTGAAATCCCCTCATTCAACGCCATCTTATTAGCCATGTTTTCAAGCTGTTAGTGATGAGTCACAAGCACTAGACAGTAAATCGAAATTGCAAGAAAAATGTTGGCTTTAATTGGTAAAGTATTTTGTTTATTGTTTTAGAATACCTCTGCTAGCCTACTTGTCATGATGCCAAAGGAATGACAACCTAAACGTGGCATCCATCTATAAATTTATTGGCAGTTACACTGCGCCATGTTCGCCGGTTTTGATTACCTGATTTGGGTTTGAGTAATTATCATAATCAGTGTTTAGACATGACTCAGAATCGTTCTCAGTAGACCGGGTGTATCGGAAACTTTTAGAGAGCTGTTTCATCCGGATCTGAAGTGTTCATTCCAGTTTTTCTTGAAGATATCTGTGTTTAATCTGACGAGAAAAGATCGCCGATTAATTAAAAATAATAAAGTGGGGCTGTGGAATTAATAAAGGGTGTTGTACTCGAACTATTTCATGATTAAGTTGGTTGTACTCATTCATAAGATAAATTTATTTGACTTTACCTAGGTTAGTGTAAATTATTTTCGTAGCTTGTATTATTGTGTAGTTACCTTAAACAGTACAGACAAGCAAATATTATATAAACTAAACAATTCTCAAGTTTGTAGTACAAGAAATGGATTTCGATTTAGTGGTTACTGCGTCACCTAATTATTAATAATGGCTCAACTTGTCTCTACGTAAATCTTCGTTGTTTTTGTACCGGGAAATTGAGGGTTTATGAACATTATCACTGGAATTCATAAACTACAAACGAAAAAGATGAAACTACTCAACTGGATTGATAGCGTACATTGGTTTTCTAAGATTCATGCAAAATAATGAGGTTATTGTCATTATTTTCTATTAATGTCCTAATTTCCTGAACATTGTAGCTTTTACTGCTGATATCACAGAATCTGTTCCTGTCCAATCGGCCCGTCAGCACAAAGCTGAGAATGTCGATAAAAATATTTCAGAAAATAGTTTCTCTCTAAACACTGGGATCGATCGTGATGGCGAAGCAGTCTTTCACACAACTAAATCACCAACTGATGGAGCAACCGTAGAGGATAGCGAATTAGAGGAAGAGGTATGCCTAGTAAATGTAAAATGGGAAACATTTCACTGAAATCGAATGTAAAATACCATTTTTTATGGTCCTTACCTTAAACCTACACAACCATTTAATTTGCATTCATTTTGTCACGTTTGACATAGCTAGTCACTGAAATGAGTGTCATTCAATATTTCCATTACTTAGTTTACTGGTTCTAGCCGTTATCACAAATTTTAGTGTACTAGGAATAATGTAATAACTTCTCATTGGAAATTAGTAATAGATATGTGGAGTTGTGGCTTAGTGGTTGAAGCACCGTTTTACTGACTGCGGATTATAAAGTTTTGAGTTGATTCCATGTGTCTTGGGAACAAACGTAAACATCTATCATATTTTTCCCTTATTAGAGATGTCAACGTAAGATATTACACAATTCTTTTTGTCCTCTTGGAAATATAAATTCAACCTCATTGTGTTCCCATTTGTACAACAAAATGGGGGTGAGGTTAAAGCAGGTACTGACGCTGTGATAGTAGTTTAAGCACTCAATTCACAGGCATTAAATCATGTGTTCCAGTCTGGTTTCATGTCAGCATAGATGACGATACTATACGTGACCTTATACAAGTGCGCCCCTAAATGCCCTGGTACGGTCGAGAGTGGAGAGAGTCAACTCTCCCTCTCGAAATACTCTCACACGGCCACGTGCGTACAACCACCTGCTTCGGTTTTGGCACCCGGGCAGTATCCTAGCCTTCACACAAGTTGAATTATCTATGTGGCGCATATCTATTTGGTGCCTTTTTGTATCTAAGTTTATGTGTTTAAATAAATAATAATTATTATTATGCAAATGTAGCCTAAACCTGGTAGACAAACCTATGATATTATTGAGTTGCATTGTTTTTTTAGACAAGTATTTCTATGATCTTGAAGTTTATTCAGGATAGATTTCCCATTTTCAAACCACAATACTCACCACAATCTGACTGACAGTCAACTATTTAACTTAAGCGACAAGGTTATATTCTGTACTTATCCCCAAATGCCCTGGTACGGCCGAGAGTGCGGAGAGTCACCTCTGCCTTTCGCAGTGCTCTCATATAGCCACATGCATACAACCACTGCCAGGGAAGTCCTACTCACTGCCTTCTCGTAGCGGGGTGTTGATTACGGAATCGAGAGGACGATAAGCGAATGTCAGGCGCTCTAACCGGGTTGGTGGATATAGAGGATTCACCTAGGGGAGTTGAAAAACCCTGATTCCAAACGAGTGGTGCACATGGGCTTCAGTATCTTGAAGGAACAAACGGTGTATGAACCAATTACTTGTCACGGCTACCATGGGACTGCATCTCCTTACGTTGCTCCACTGCCTTGTGGATCAGACCTTCAGGTCGAAGGCTCCGGATGTGGCCCCCTATGAAAACCACCTGCTTCGATCTGGACACTCGGTCAGTATCACAGCCCTCACATATCAAATGTGATCTGTGTGGCGCATATTTATTTGATGCCTCCTTTTACCAATGTTTGTGTTCAAATAAATAAATTCTGTACTTGGTTTGATATGTTTAGCTCTATTATTTACTTGTGATGCCAAAACTTAAGTTACCATTCATGTGACTTATCTTGTTCTGCAAACATCCTTAAAAACTGAAGTAACATATATGACTCCTAGAATTCACGTATCGTCTAGTCTATGGTCCTCACTAAATCCTGGACTCTAACGCGAGAATAATAAAGCGTGCATATCTGAATGATTTTGCATTTCTCGATACTGTAAATACTGACTCCAATCTTAAATACTATCTAAAAGAAGATTCAAGTTCAACGTACTATTTCTATGTAATATATATTCTTTAAATTTATCATTTGTTTACTTGTATTTTGTTCTCAATAAAAACTATCAATAATGGTTTTATTTGTATTTAAGTCAGAAGACATGAGACTTGACGATGATGAAGAGTTTGAGGGTTTGTCACCCAATCAACCAATTCTAAATACCGATAAAACAAAAAATGGTAAACGAAATCTGATAATTGCAAAGGTATTTTTTATTCTTAATCATTTATCTTAATAATTTTACTTTTAATTTGCTGATTTTCGCTTTCTATACTGTCAGCTTTGCTAACGTCAACCAATACACTTTTCTGTGAGGTTCACCTGTGTTCTCTGTTTCGGATAATCATAAAACACCGAATATGTTCATGTAGTTTGTCGTAAATGTTACATGATCACCTTGTCAGTTCACGTTCTGTTTCATACACCTCAGTCTTAAGTATCCATTTTATTTTCACTGTTCTACATCTCAGTCTAAAGAGTAAGATTTTGTTAATTGGTACGCAATGGTATAGCATGATTTTTAGTCGTGGTATATTTTTCACTCTCCAAGTTTTATTTAAAAGCGGATTTTCTGTTTCTCACAATTTCATTTTTATACTATCTTGTTAAATCGGGTCAAATGTTTGTAAATTATTGGCATGATCATGCTTGTCAAATAAAGACGATTGTCTAAAATCCTTCTGAATGTTACGTGTACAGATATTTACTGTCACTTACAAAACTGCCTGTTATAAATGCATATGGACTTCGGTTGTCTTATAAATACTGTGAGACAGTATACTTTGAGTTCATGTCGCTTTAAAATTTATGATACCCTTGCTAACTGATCCACTTTAAATTATTTATTAACTAACTTCCTAATGCCTTCTTTTACCGTCCGGATGATCTTTGACGAACTGGAAAGCAAAACGTGAAACAAAAGAATATCTGAAAAGCTTAACTTGTATTTACGTCCAAGGATATTTTGAGTAGTGAAAAAGGAGTTGTGATAAGTGTATAGAGACAACTGGAGAAGGTTTTGAGAGATATTAAACTGTTGTACGTTAGATTTTGCCAAATGAATTTTTGTAACCCCACTTCACGTATTTATTATGTTAACATATGTATCATACATCCATACATACATATACCATACATTTGTTTTAATTCAGTATTAAAAGTATTTCTCATACATCTTCATACTTCATTTATTTCTAGGTCCCACATCATCTTACTCGTTCATGGGACAATTTTCATTTGGAAATGCTTTTTGTACTAGCCTTAATGATATATACGTTGAATTTTGTAATCGGACGTTCCAAAAATGCACAGTTGGCAAACACTTGGTTTTCTGCTCATCAGCCATTATTAGAAACTAATTTTGCTGTAGTTGGTAAGTTTTTAATTCAATGAAATAACCAGAGTTTATTAGTCATTAAATGTTGGTGGTTATGCATTAATTTTCCTTACAAAAATCATCTATATTAAGCAGTTTACCTCTGAAATATGGGCGAACAGGTGTGACGTGTTAAATTCTTTGTATTATACACACTAGGCTAAATTTATTTTGCTATCGGTGGCTACATTTACACCAGTGAAATACATAAATAAATAAAATTCTTGAGATAAAACTATTGTTTGTAAGTTTTTTTTCAGGAATTTAACTGCATAGTTTGTAATTCATCATTTTTGCATGAATTAATATTGTTAAGGCTAGTGATTTGTAGGTTATTTGATAGTAGTACAGTATGAATCCCTATTTTATGTATTATTTGTTGTTGATTTTAATAACGGATTAACTTAATGTAGGAAACCGTTTAAAATCCAAAGAGCATTGGGTAATTACTTCCTTCTTAAATGAGACTCTTCCTTCAGCATTTTGCACTCATGACCTTTTTGGAACAAAAGCTGGGACCTTGGGATAATTGAAGCATAATTTATCAATTTATTGCTGCTCCTATTGATTATACGTTCATTTTTTAAAATCTTCTCAATGAGATACTTATATGCTTGAACTTCACTATCTAGGTGACGATGGTCTAGCTGAACCTGGAACTGGGACATTAATGAAGGAATCAGAACATTTATATTCTCTTTGGTGTACCGGAAGTGTACACTGTGATGCGATGCTAATTGAATTGCGTTTAGTCAAGCGTCAATGTTTATTCTTCGCAATTGCCAACTGGATAAGACCGGTTCATGATAGCATTGTAAGTTTTCGTTATTTTGTTTTTCTAACTGTTGATTAACTGTTAGGTTAATTGGTTTTTAAGCAGTAGGTCTCAGGTCTAAAGTCCTCTCCACTGGGTAGTGAGTTATATTAAATTAAAATGGTCTGTTAAACTTCATTTATAATGTTAAAACACTGAAATCTGCACTACATTTGGTGCATGCTACCTAAAATTAAATCAGATTGATATTTCGACAATAAATCCTCTGCTTGATCTATCATACCTCACATCCATCGATCCTAGAGGTCAAAATGTCACTAATTTTCAACTTGTTGGTAGGAAAGTAGACTTTCTACCTTTCTATACCTTCGTAAAAGTATTAAAAATCAGTTCAGAACTGTATATTTTTGTGGTAATTATTAAGACTGACGGCTGTAGATGTTCTTACACCATTGTTTGTGGTTTATTACCGTTATAACCCTTGGTACTAGTCTGTGTTTGTCATTCTCAATAGATGTTCATAGTCAAAACAAAAATCTTACTCTGTATAAAATGTTTCAGCCGATTCTATCAAATTCAAATGCGAATAGTCATGACAGTTACTTGCAATGAAATTCATGTAAGACCGTTGGAAGGAGTGGATTCGAAGCATTTAACACCAGCTGCATTTAATTATAAACTGAGTTTACAGATTATCATGATTACATCCAGGGGTTTCATACATATTATATTTATTGACCAAGTAAATCTTAATGTCCACACTACTAAATTATCAAACGAATAGTCGAGTGTTTCTTTGTTTTTCCGATGCTTAACTCCATAACATCAGGTTAGCAAAAAATCGTATTACAACAAATGTTTAATATAAACACAACTGGTGATTGAGACCACACCTTGAAACTTGTGTTCTAATGGATATTAATGTGCAATCTATTATAATTCATTGTTGTCTTTGAAGTAGGTACGTACTGACTCTTGGATGTTATTTGACTTAAGTTCCTTATTGTAAGTAGGCATGTACAGTTATCTAACTGTACACCGTTGAATTGTTTGTAATTAGAAGAGTCATTCTGTCTCAAGTTGTGATTAGTAACAGAAATATTGCCCAGCAATGTAGTTATCCAGTTCACAGCAACTATATCAAAGGCTAAAATTTTAATAAGGGGTTGTGGAGACTTGGATTTCATTAAAATTATGTACTCATCTAAGCTGGACCTTCATTGGAAACCTTGAAGCGCTAGACGTCCGTTTCTCTCTAGTATCGGATTCGGCACTGCACATCCATGACCCCGTACGCGAGAGTTAAACCCGAGACATTCGGTCTTGGGCGAACGCTTAACCTCTAAATCACTTGACATAAATTGATACGGGCTTAACTTCATACAGTGTACAAAGGATTCAGTCGAATACATAGAGTCGTTATGTGTTTACCTTGATACACTTTCATTATTTTTGTTATCACAGGTAGTGAAAGTAATTATGGACGATTCTGAAATGGATGGTTGGGTCATGGCGGTTGGTCGTAAGCGTCGTCTTCAAGCATTAGCAAAAGATCATCAAGATTTAGCTGTATACTGTCCAGACAAACGTGGACAACGGCATTCATACCTACCAGAATCTTTCATGTTTTTAAATGAGATTCCAGAAGTTATCCCGGCAATTTTCAATCCTCTTGTAAGTCGATCTTATTTATCTCAGTTAATAATTGTTACTTCGTGTTAAGTTCACAAATAGTAATCATGTAGATATTTCTATCTGATTAACATCTTTGAAGCTTGTTTTTTTATATCTATAAACCAACCCTCTTGTATGTATAGCTACTGAGGGATTTTTTCACGCCTACAGTAATTATTGTCGCTTTCGGGTACATTTTTTATCAACATCAATGTGTTTGTCCTCATATTGATTATTAGAATGAGTTGTAACGAGAATTCCGCTTTTACTGATAATGACGTATTTTCAGAGACACTTATTCATATCACAGCATCGTACATCAGACTGTTTATAAGGAGACTAATTTGACTGTGGTGCCACAGAGTTTGCGTAGATTAATTTGTGTTACTATCCTTTTTACACTCAACCAACACACATACATATTAAGTACTCAGCTAACCGAACTTGTTCACTATCAATGGTGAATGCGGTCATTATTATTCGGAACTAGTAGAAACACTATCAAGTTTGATGATACAAATTGCATGAGTAATAATGATACTTTTCTATAAAACCTTTTTTTGTCGATCACAGTGAATTCAGTACTCATGAATTATTTATTGTGATGAAAAACTGTTTTCATTGTTTGTTATAGGTTTGTAAATTTCTGAATGATTTTGAAGAATCAATCGAATATTTATTTTTCTCCGATCAGTATAGTGGACCGAAACCTCCCCAAGAGTAAGTTCTGGATATCTCATTTAGAATTTCTGTTATTTATTTATCCTTTTGACTTCTATCCTGTTGACCATTTAAAGTGTGATGGAGGTTTCAGCTCAAGTGGATGTTTTTGATGTTAATGAGTTTTCTGGGCTAAATGATTTCGATTGTGGAGTTTTCATTGTTGTTTTGAATATCATCAATGTTTATTTGATATATAAGTGAGCTTCTTGGTTATTTCACAAATGTTGAGTAAGTTTTTGCTGGTCACTTTGTTTGTGATCAGTTGTTTTCGTAGGTTTCACTGTCTTCATTTGTTGATCTTTCTGTTCCGTTGAACATGCTCCAGATTGATTTTTTCGAGTGGAGTCAGGTCTAATTTAATGTGTCTGTCAATTACTGATTAATCTGAATGTCGTACTTCCAAGAATTCTCTAACTTATTTAGAATCCCTTCGATTCAGAATTTCAATGTTTTCCCAGTCGAATTCATGTCCGTATTCGCGCATAATCGTCTACATATTTCCTGGCATATTAATCCATATTGTTAACATTTTTTATAATGTTATTATTTGTTACCGTCCAATTAGTACCAAACGTTTTTAGAATTCTTTAGTATCCTATTCATAATTTCATGAAGTTGCCTAGCGTCTCATAGCGTATTATTTCTTGTTTACATATGTTCTTTGTTGTATTGTCTGATTATAGACCATACACTCATTCTTACTCATGCATAAAATTGTTGTTTCGTTATATTATTTTTGTATGTAAGAAAGAAACAAGTAGATTTTTGTTTTTATTCTCATGTTGATGAATGTTTACTGTTATTGTTTTCGTTGATACAAACTGAGTATGTTCACACGTTTTTCCCCTATTTCGTGACTGACTGTGAAGCAACGTTTTGACAGTTATTTTATATTTGTTAACATGTAATGGTATTTAAAGCAAACAGTACTAGGTCCGAGTTCCGGAACAAACATCAACTCTGGAATCAAGGTACACCTAACTGACGAGTCTGCAATAGTACGAAACGGGCTTCCTGGGTTCCACCGCTAGCCACTATATATATATATGAGAGAGGTTGTAGGTCGATGAGTAACTACATGTCTGTTAGAAACTAATTAGCTGTTACATGGAGCTCAACAATATAATTCTAAATGAGCAAATAGTCATTGAAGGAGGAAATTTACGAAATATGAGAAATTTATAATCAAATTGAGTGAAAAGTGTAATTGTGTGAACCATTTTTACGTTGAAATTAAGATGTGTCATAAGTAATCAAGAAATCTGGATACAAATAATCTTTGTAATAATAATACGCGTACTGAGTTGGTTAGTTTTAGAAACTTATTTGTCATTTGGGGGAGGCCAAGAGGAAAACAAATTGACCAGCTTTATATTAACATTAACATCTTTATCTCAACTTAATGATGCTCATAGTTACACTCTTCACTTTATTGGATTGTAAATTCCGCATGTTTCATAGATCTTTACCTTCAACACATGATTGTTTATTTAAAACTGGATAATGAAATTCTAACACACATCTAATTATTTACCGACCTATAATTTATCACATACACATAAGTATGATTATATAACCTTGGAACTGAACTCTTTGAAAGGGGTTTCTTCATCAAATATATCGTTTTACGTGATATGTCCTGATTTTATTTAAATTCATAAAGGGACCTAATTGCATGAAATTTTCGAAAAGTCGCCCACCCCTTGTTGATATGTATCAGTTTAATCAGTGGCTGTAACATCCCATACATTCGTATTAGTTGTGCGCTCATCTTTTATCAGTCGATTTTCTTTTATCCAGACATTATAGTTCATTAAAAGTTCACAGTGTTCGACATTTGAAAGTGTCAATGCTTATTTTCTTGTTGATAGAACATCAAATTTCTATTTTCTGCTGATCAAAGTGTACATTTAATAAGGCGTGAATGTTATAATATCGAGGACTAATCGATTCCCATCATGATATACTTTCTTGAATGTTTCTGACTAATAATTTATTTCTTTATTCAAGTAACCCATACTTATAAACTTTAGAAATGTTTATTATTATTATTATTATTATTATTATTATTATTATTATTATTATTATTACGTTCACCGTTCTTCTGGTTATGCATGAATCTCTTCTCCTCACGCATACTCGTCCCCTTCGTCTCTTTTCTCGCTAATATACTTGTAATTTTTCACCAACACTGTCATTATAGATCACGAAAATACTGGTCAATAGAGCCAATTCTGGTTTCAATTTTGTTTTTGTTTTTTTGTTGTTTTAATTAAAAAGATACTCAAACAACTAAGTTTGATTTTAATACTTTATCATCATGGATTATTATTAAATAGTAGTAGTAATTGGCTCTGAATATTGTGTGCTTAATAAAACTTTCTGAGTTCTAGTTCACTTGATATTGTTTTACTTGAATCTTCCCATTGATGTTTTAGGACTGAAATTGATCAGTCTCTTATTGGCATATGTGCATACTGTGCGTATGCCTCGATATTGTCTTAATTTACAATCAATGGGAAGATTCAAGTAAAACAATACCAAGTGAATTAAACTTCACCCCATCGCACAAGCAAGTGGCTATCAGGACTCAGTAGCTAAGTGGATAACGCGATGGCGTTTGAAGCGAACGGTACTGAGTTCGAGTCCCTGAGTGAACATCAACACTGAGATGCAGGTACGTCCGGCTGACTAGTCCCAAACAGGACGAAACGCGCGTCCTGGATTTCACTGCCAGCCACTATCCATCTTTGCTTTCTGAATTCTGTATTAAAATTCTAAAAATATTTATTACTATTTCAAAACCTATTTGCATAAACACGGAATTATGGTATATTTAGTGTGTTCACTTTATACAGGTAAATTTTAAACGAAGGTTTTTCTACATACTACCAATTTGTACTTTTCACTTATTATGTAATCTTTTCCATTGTTATCATTGACTCATTGACTACCTTGATTAGTTTAATAATTTCGTACATGCATATAAATATTGCTGTATATTAGAGTAAAATCTGATGAGGATCTAATCGAAAACAATATTGTTCGCTTACATATGTTCTAAATTCACAATATGAGAATCCTTCGAAATGATTCTTGTGGTTGTTTTGATGATAGCCCTGGATAGTATTTGAAAATATTTGCACCTCCATTCATGTGGGTTCTTTTTTAATATTTACTTATTTATGTGAGCACATAAACATTCGTATAAGAGGGAACCAAATAAAAATGCGCCACACTTCATTCGATGTATGAGGTCTGGGATACAACATGGGTGCCCAAATTGGAACATGTGTTTTTCTTAGGGGGCCACTACCAGAGTCTTTGACTTACAGGTCTAAACCATAAGTCAGTGGAACAACGTTAGAAGGTTCAGTCCCATGGTAGCCGGTAAACAACAATAGGTTCATACACTATTTGTTCTTTCTAGATCCTGAAGCCTATGTGCACCATTGATTTGAAGTCAGGGTTTTCCAACCCCCTTAGGTGAACCCTCCGTGTCGACCGACCCGGTTAAAGCGCCAGATATTCGCTTTTCGTCCTCTCGATTCCGTAATCAACACCCCGCTACGAGAAGGCAATGAGCAGTACCTCCGTGGCAGTGGCTGTGTACGCGCGGGTATGTAAAAGCATTTCGAGAGGGAGAACGGATTCTCGCCACCTTCGTCCGTATCAGGGCATTCAGAGACAAAGAAAGTATGATATGCATAATTTGTTTAGATATCTCTCATCACGAATAGGTATTAGTTGTGGAATAATCAGAAAGTAGGGGACATTAAAGTTTTTCGTCCTTAGGTAGCATTTTCTGCTGTTCACCAAGATCGAATAGAGAGATAGGTACCTCAGATGGTTTGTAATGATGACCGCAATAAACCCCTAAGTCATTGAAATTTAAAATGTTAATCGTCGACCGCTGATCCATTAGCCTATTAGTTTTAATGTGCATGCTGTGTAACCCAAAATTCCTGAGTTCAATCCATGTGTGGCATCTTGGAGTGTTCATTTCAGAGAAAGCAAAACCTTTCGCCTGTTTCCTATTGTCATTCGGTTGATCATGACATGAACAGTTTTCAACCTAAATGAATGTTCACAAATAACTATTAAAGTTTTTTATAGTCTGAATGAATCCAAAACACATTAATGTGAGTTATACTGTTTGTCTTACCTTACAGAGATACAAATACTCCTACAAAACCTCCAGTTACACAGAAAACGCTTATTTTTGCTTTCAGATGTAAGTTTCCTATATACCTTTCATCAAACTTTACCTTGTGTTTTCATGTCAGTAAGTTCTGATAATTATTAAACCTCCTAATTTGTTTGAAAGCTTCACACATCTGAATTTAATCCCCGGTGAGGTTGTGAATTTGCTTTGCTGAGGAGTCCCATACTAGGATGAAACAACCATCTAGTATTCCATGGTTTTTAGTGGTTGTCTGACTAAGGTCCCTCAAACAAACTGTTGTTATATGACTTATTATTTAGGACATTACTTCATCCACCAAGTTGGTATAATGCATATACACTAAGGTTTTACTGCTGAGCTACAACTCCATCATTTCAAGAATGTAATGACATTTTAAAATGTATACGAATCTGGATTTATGTGCATCCAGCTGTAAAGTTCTCACTTCTAATCAAAATCCATATATCATTTTGAAGCTTGCTATAAAAATTTTCTATTGAGGCAACTCGCTCATGATGCCATATTACCTACAATGACTGATAAGAATTCACTCCTGAATATCAACAACGGGATAATATTAATCTTTAATAATCTTACGAAACGTGACAATATTGATTGTAAGGTTTATTAATTTCAAGTTCCCAGTTTATGCTAGCTTAACTACTTTGTTTTGGGAATGTTAAATCCCCAGTAGTTTCATGCGACGTTTATTTAGTTTTCACGAATTTTTTTAACTAATGATCATACAATATAATCAGTACAAAATTGAATGAAGTTAAACGTGAATCAGTATTTTTTTGTTTCTTCTCACAAGATTTATCTTTTGGAAGTAGCCGGAGCTAGGAGTTAAGGAAGTTGTTTTATCCTTTTTTCGAAGTGTTATCGCAAGCATATCACTGTCTAAAATTCTTTGAACTAAAGGGAGTCTAGCCATACTGGTACTAATAGTATTAGGTCACAGAGTTATTTTAGATTAGATAAATCTAAATATACTTATCATTTAGTGAAATTTGAATGTCAGTTTTATTATGGTTGAATAGAATTGTATGCACTATGTTATAAAAAAGGTGTTTTATAGTTAACATAACTGTCATTCTATGTATTATATGATGTGAGAGTAAACAAGATTTCCACTGTTAAAATAAATGGACAGAATGCCGATCAGTAGAAGATATGGATTAGTACGAAGTATTGGCTGAGTAATGGCTACTCACAAGATTGAATTGTTGACTTAAATCCCCTCAACGGAACTATTATCCGAGAAGAAAACAGATGCTTAATAGAATAGACTTTTTAAAATAAAGTAATATGCTTGTGTTAAATATTAACAGAGAAATAAACACGATTTAATGTCGTAACCTATCGGTCAATATAAGTTTAACAGGTCTCATTCTCCAGTAGATTAAGTTGTAATTCTAGTCTGTCACATCACTTTTCTTAATTGTGTACATATGAACTAAGATATGACTAAGGGTGTTATGTAATCAGTTAATTCCAATCACTATTAGTTATTATCACCGTTTTAATGATCATTTTCACAATAACATTATAGATGTATTGTCTCTGAATACATTTGTTGTATTCGATAAATTATTCAGTCTATTTTGATAATTTTCCTTTTTAAAATAAATGCAGATGTTCCAACAACAACGAAGTCAAAATCTTTCTCAACATCATTTACATCATCAAATAATAATGGTAATGGTAATCTTAATATTCATAATCAACACCATCAGCAACCAATCGAATCGGCTACTGCCTTATTCCATTTTATTTTTTATGTGATTGAAAAAGTTCGGCGATTTCGTCTTAGTAAAGAGGTATAATTGTTGGTTAATGATTGTTACTTTTTTGTTATTACGAATAATTTGGTTACATCGGTTTCCAGTAACTTTATGTATAACTGTTATAGATAATGTTATTCTTCAAATTAAATTGCATAAATATGAATATTTTGGGGAAAGACTAGTAGGTCTAGTTAATTGAAGTCGTACATTGTCAAATTTGACGTTCATTGATTCGTTTCATCAACTCTGAAATATACAATCTTGTACAGTCCGTTAGTCATTATCAACTTAGAGTTTGGCACAAATATTCGTTAGCTTAAGTTGTCATTATGCAATTAAGAGATAAAGGTAACAATATGAATCACAATGCATTCGAAACAATCATCATATCAATGGCAATAAATAAAGATAAACGTCGAGAACATGGTTCAAAGGGAAGGAATGAAAGGCATGTGTATATGTAAAGGAGTGTTAAAGTTCAATATCTAGAAGAAGATAATAAGTAAATGCATCTGCTCTATTTCAGCTGATTTAAAACAATATCACTTTACGTTTTCAACCACTAGTCACAGTTGTTTCATACATTCCAGCCAGGTAGTTTAAATCTGCCAACACAACTCCGTGACTTCATGAATGAATCTCATGTCACGATCTTACCATTCCTAGTATTCTTCTGACCTACTCCATCCAACAATGCACTTCGAAAGGATCAGTGATTTGGAAGTGAATATGAAAGTCCTTCAATCAGATTGTATATGTAATTTAATTCGCTTAGATAGTTTCGTTTCTTCCACGTGCTCTTTTCGGTCTATGATATGGTGCTCAGAAATAAAGCGATCTTTGAACGATCAAGAAGTGATTTGAGCAGAGTAACATTAATTTGGTGATATTTCGTTAGGTCTTCGTCAACTGATTATACCCTGTAATATTTCAAAATCATTATTATAAAAAAATGGTTGGGATTACAGAACTGAGTTTAGTTGGAAGTTATTTTGAACACATCAGTGTTGTATAGCAAGGAGATCAAATAAAATATTGCAAATATTTCATGTAGAAGAACATTCTATAACATCGATAGCAACAAAGATATTAGAGAGCTAGAAATAAATGGTGATCACGTAATGGACGAACACTATTAATAAGTAAGGATAAAATAAGTACAGCTCAGTTAGTTAAAATAAAATTACTGGTCTGAAAGAGAGTCAAAATAAAAACCTTCATGATGTAACGGTGTTATGTTTATGGACACAGAGAGAGATTAACAACGGTTTCGTTTCAAATACACACCTGGTAGCGATAGCTTCGGCAAACGTTAGAAAACTGAAGCCTTTGTTGTATATTAGTTACTTTGAAAGATTTCAGAGTATCGACCTGCTTCATCCATTAAATACTTGAGTATAGGCCATACTATCAGTGAGAATTCTAATGGTGTACTCCTTGGTTGCTCAAACTGAATTAAGTGGGGCTGGTCTTGAACCTGTGATGTGCAGTGGCCAAGTCAATCACCCTAACCACTAAGCCACCACTTCAATCTCTTCGTAGGTAGTTGATTGTATGTAGGTGTTTGCTCACCATAGATGTATGTTTACAACTTGACGGGTCGTAGTACAATGATTGAAAAGGGGTTCTTTCCACTTGATCGGCTTAATTTAATTTGGAGTTATCTAAGTTTTGTGAGTCAGAATTCCTAGGAATGGCTCTGAATCTAACATTGCAAAATTCCTAAAGAGGAGAAGTTTGTTGTCCAAACAACTGGTTAATATTTTCAAGAATGCCTCTTTGATGTATTGCACATCATATAAATAATAAATTTACGTTTAATCTAGGGCAAGGCTAAATCTGAACGAAATAGGCAACGTGCACATGATTCACATCTTAAGTTAATGCACAGTCAACGACAGGAAGCAGCTCAAAATCGTCGTGGTGAACGCCTACGAGCTGCTAAGGAGCGTATAATGGCTGAGGATGATCCTGAGAAAGCTCGAAAGCTTGAGGTAAGTCTATAGTAGCTTATCTGTGTTTGTATTATGAATAGATTTTAATATCACTTATATTTAACATGTATTCTGCATAACTATTTCATAGTATTTAGCGTTCCGATGTTTAACGGTAAACATAATAAATTTGAATTGTAATTTAAGTACCTAATTATTTATCGCAAGTTCCCGTTTGTTTGATGACTAAGGTTGTTCAACATTCGATAAACTATTATAATCATACTCCCTTTCTTATGGATATCTTGATGTTTTTTTGTAAAAATGTACCATACTTATTTTTGTTCAAGTACCGTTTGATAATATTTAAAGACATCTTAATCGTGGTATTTCATTCCAAAGCAATCTACTTGCAATCTGTAAAAAATTAGCATGATTCACAGTTATACAATCAATTCAATTAATAGGCAGATTGAAGTCATAAAAGGTTTACCAGTTCTAAGGTATATTGGTCTTTTATCCCTTTCAAAATACTCCTCATGCTTATCTAATTTCTATGTCCACTGGACAAAATATCCCTGGAAGTTTGCAAGAGTCAAACTCTTCATCCCTCTCATCATTTCACATCACGTCTTCACCTTCATATTACTACTTCCCTTTTTTGGAGAACAAAAAGATAATGGTTGGCCAATTACAATTCACGTATTTATTGTATAGATCATTTAATTATTAGTACAAAGTTGTGCACGTGTATGTTCAATGTGTTCAGTTCATTTCATTTTATAAAAAGTAATTTAAGTTTCCCCTACTCTGTAACATTACGGTAAGTAAACTCCATATTATTGTGTCTACTACTGTCCTAAAAATCTTTTGCATCAAAAATCCTCCCTATTGTTTTCTGTTCGTGTTTTATCTATTTCAAGGAGAAAGAACAACGTAAAGAAAAATCAAAGAAAATGCCAAAAATGAAAATGCTCAAAATGAAATAATAGCAATAGTAGTATTAGTTGCCGACGTTTACGAAAGATAATATCGTCATGCCAGATAAGTGAAGAATGTTTAAAAAAAGAAAAAAACAGCTCGAAGTTTGGATGGTACTATTAATCGATATCAATACAAACACCACACCCAAATCAACCTAATATGTAACCCAACTGAAAAATTTTGTCCGGCTAGTCGTTGTTGTTTTTTTTTAATTATATTTTAGTGTTCCTTCCATTTATCAACAAAACCCACCACCACCATTGTCTTTTTATCCTTCTGTTCTAAAAAATTCATCTCATTCGTTTTTTTGTTTGTTAGATAATAGTCACCTCATCACGCACATATACACACATACCAAATATATATGTTTCCTCTACACAGAAATTTAAAAAAAAAGATTATAATAATTACAGTATTCTTTTGTAATAGTTTGCATGATTTCCTCTTCTATACCATAAATTGGTACGTTCGTGTGTTTGATATTGACTATGGAGTATAAAGTTCATTGGTGCGTACAAATAATAACTATCCTCCTATATTCTTTATATTATTATTTTTCACTCTATCCTATCCTTGTGCTTTAAGCGCAAGTATATATATATATATATATATATATATATATATACTATTTACTGTGATTATCTTTACTATACCCTTTGTCCATTTTTCTTTATTAATTCTCAGTATTTAATCAACTTCTGTGTACATATATACATATTATTTAGATACATGGTGTATTTTGTGCTGTACAAAGAGGTGTAATTTAATAGTCAATTGTCTTATTCTCTTCATTCCTACACAATCTATTCAATTTGTGTGCATCTACTTATCGATATCGTGTCGTACTGGGTTTTCTACATTTTTCATATACATATGTATATGTGTTATTTTTTCGAATTGATAGTAGTATTCATAGTAGTGGTAATATTTTTTAGTATTATAATAAATAAATTCACATATTTTGTACCTACCGAGTTCATTCCCATTTCTGTCTTCTCACATTATATTCTTATTTGATTAGTTAGTTCCTAATTTGTTTTCTCGTTTTCAAAAAGTATATTTTCTTTACCCAACAAATTCTAACATCAGTTAGATGTGATCAGTATATTTATCATTTTAACAATAACGTAGACTGGTCATTGTTAAGGACGAACTGTGTGATAAGGTTTACTTACTTACTTACGCCTGTTACTCCTCGTGAAGAAGCATGGCATAGGCCGCTCACCAGAATTCTCCATCCAAACCTGTCCTGGGCAATCCTTTCCAGCTCCTATTTATCCTTTCCATATCTGCTTCTATTTCCCGACGTAATGTGTTCCTCGGTCTTCCTCTTTCCCGTTTCCCTTCAGGATTCCAAGATAGGGCTTGCCTCGTGATGCAGTTTGACGATTCGCGTAGTGTATGTCCTATCCATTTCCATAATCTTTTCCTAATTTCCTCTTCAGCTCGAAGCTGGTTTGTTCTCTTCCAAATTAGGCTGTTACTGATGGCATCCGGCCAATGTATGTTGAGTATCTTGCATAGACACCTATTTATAAATACTTGTACCTTCTTGATGATCGTTGTTATAGTTCTCCAAGTTTGAGCTCCGTACGGTAGAACTGCCTTGACGTTCTTATTGAAGATTATGACTTTGATATTGGTTGAAAATTGTTTTGAGTTCTGTATGTTCTTCAATTGTAGGAATGCGGCCCTTGTTTTGCTAATCCTCGCCTTTACGTCTGCATCTGAACCTCCTTGTCCATCGATGATGCTTCCCAGGTATGTGGAGGATTCTACGTCTTCCAGAGTTTTGTCATCAAGAGTGATTGGATTGCTGTTCTCCGTTTTGAATTTGAGGACCTTGGTTTGCCCCTTGTGTATGTTGAGGTCTACTGATGCAGAGACTGCTGGTGATAACGTTTAGTTAATAAAAATGAAAATTTTGCACAAAAGAAGTTATAAATTAATATTTTGACAATTTGATATTCACAACAGTTAGTTTCATTGGATCATTAATTTAGTCTAGTGATTATTTACCAATTGGCCACATCGTATCATTACGTATCGCCTACTGATCAGGATTTCATTCATTCTTTTATTAGCCAGAACTATTTTAAATATCAAATAGGATTCACTAGAAATGATTTGCAGTTTCCTATTGTTGCGATTCAAGAATGCAATTAATTCATATCTGTTGCAACACGTACACCATAAGGGAATTGTTTCGACATGACCTCCTAGATCCGACTGCTAGCTACAATATAAATATCGGATCTATTTCGTGGACTTAACTCATCGTTTTTATTTGTTATGGTTGGTTGTTGAGAAGACTTTAAATGCATTTATTATGTTTTGAAAAGGAGTTGAATAATAAATGCAGATTTTCTACATGGAGGAGAGTTAGGATCTCTGATATTATGGATTGATGTATGTGTGTTCCGAAATCTCACTCAACTAAGGGAAGCGTTTACATATTTACTTATTTACTAGTTTTTTGCATATGAAGTCTGTTATATCAAAGATAGATTCGTCACATAAACTCTGGTTGGTACCTATTTGCTTCTATTTAATTACTTAACTGTGCGAACAGTTATATAACTTCTACAGTCGGATCCCCACGTGACCATAAAGTTTTAATAATTCCCATATTATGTATTAGAACAACATATATTAGCGGACAATATTGTTTTCGATTACATCCTCATCCGACTTTACTCCAGTATACAGTAATGTTTGTACGCATATACGAAATTATTGGTGAGACTATAATTTATGGACGACCTTTGAGCGACGACTTAGTGACCTTGAAGATGTCCACTTACTAGAGCTAAATGAGGGTTATAAACCAATGTGAGGGATTAGAATTATGATTTACGGTTGATGTGTTTAGGGTTAGGAATTAGATTAAGGGTTTTAATCACAAACTGACATCAGCCATAATGCCAAAACTCTATTTAGCCAAATGGATGAGTGAATTCCGCGCTAAAATTTGAGACCTGCTATCTTATACGTAAATTATAGTCTCACCAAATTATTAAACCAATCTCGGCATTTCATATGTCAATGATAACAGTGGGATAGATTATAAATATAAGTAAAAAGCACAAATTAATTATCAGTACTAGTTGTGATAAGAATCAATGTTTCACAATACGAAATACGTCAATGACATGAAAAACAGACACTGAAATAACAATTTTATTAGTTGAATTCATTAGTCAATTTAAGCTAGATCACCACGAAAAACATGGAAGTACTAGATGGTTGTTTCGTTCTATCATGTACCTCTCAAGCAGTGCGCATCTACGACCATGCATATGGGACTCGAACCCGGGACCACCGGTCTGACGCGAGAACGCCTAACCTCTAGGCTATTGAGCCAGCATCCAACCGTGTTAATGTATGACTTCGGTCGATTGATAAAATAACGCAAGAAATTATGAGATTACGTAATATGAAATGTTTACAAGATACACCTATAATTACATTATTACCAGTATAGGGTTATGGAGATTATTAAGTTTTTGGTTGAGATCATGAACCGGTCGATGTTAGACCACCGTTGGAAACCTGGAAGCACATGGGACTTAAACCCAGGATTTTCGATATCGCACATGAACGCCTAACCTCTAGACCACTGAGCCATCATCCAACGGTGGTAATGTTTAACTTCAATCGATTCACGATATTATGTGACTATCTTACATTGTCCTGAGGTGTCCAATAGTAGGATGAAATAGCCATCCAGTGCTACCAGGTTTTCAATAATGTTCTAAAATTAATCGGTTCATGATCTCAATCAAAACTCCACTATCTCTGCAACACTATACCAATCATTTACAAACATCATAAAAATTTTCTGTATGCTCAGTCTATTAAGATGGTTGTTTGTCAGTACAATGTGAGTTATTATGAAAGGAACATTACAAAATTTATGGCATAAACTCAGTTCAACCAGTTTTAGAATTTCTCATCAACTAGAAAGCTCCTTAGTATATTGTTGACTAATATACTGACATGCTTTTGGTTAATTTGATTAAACTGAGAGTTTAAAACTAAACAGTGAATTAAGAGAATACAAAAACAAACAATAAAATCATACATTTCAATGTAGATTGTTATATACTACTGTTGAACGTTTTAAACTATGAAGGAAATGAGATCGTAAGTAACAGTAATTTGTTAATAAAATGACTTAGTTCTTGGATATGGGTATCATTACCAAGGTTTAACTTGATAATTTCGAATAAATTGAGCATTGGGTAGATTATCATAAATAAACAAATATGGTTGTAATATCCCAATGAGTAGAAAAATTAGATTTTTCTGACGTTTCGCGACATAATGTAAGCCACTTCATCAGTGAATGAATAAATAACCAGATCAAATTCCAACCAAGTTTAAATAGTAAAGAAGAACAGCGACACAGTGCACGCATACACACACAAACGTACATAAATGTCGCTTATAAATCACCTTGACTGAAATGACATAACATTGAATTGTTCAGACCTGTTTTTTGAGTGATTGCATATAATACGCTTACGTTGTTTCTTTGTACTAATTAAACTTGATTAAAGTTTTTCTGGTTATTTATTTATTCTCTGAAGAAAGAAGCTTACACTAAGTCATGAAACACCAGAAATTTCTTGTTACTTATGTCAATCAACATTGTTTATATGTTAATATTTTATGATAGTATACTAAATGAATAATAATAATAATAATAATAGGATAACTTATTTACCGATTTACTACCAACTTAACACTTTAGCTGGATCCAAAAGATGATAAAATTGGCTAAGCGATAAGTGCAAATGATTGACCAAGAAATATCAGAAGGGGTTTTGTGGAGATTTTAGAAATTTCACCGGTTGAAATCATGAGTCAATTGAAGCTAGACCACCATAGAAAACCTGGAAGCACTGGACGGCCGTTTCGCCCCAGCGCGGGACTCTTCAGCAGTGCGCACCCACGACCCCACACCTCGCGAGGTTCGAACCCAGGACCTACCAGTCTCTCGCCAGGCTCCTAACCAACTAAACCACTAAGCCGGTGTCCAATGGTGTTAATGTCTAACTTCAACCAATCTACGAAATTGTGCCACCGTACACCATTGTCTTCGGTGAGTTGATATCTCACAACAGACCTGGTTGAACTCCACCGGTAACGGTTTCTCACTAGAACTCCAGGAGTGCCTCTTGTAGTCAGTCAATAGTGAGCAGATGATTATTATCAGATGGGGTTTTGTGGAGATTTTAATAATTTCACTGGTTGAAATCATGAGTCAATTGAATCTAGACCACCATGGAAAGCCAAGAAAGACCAAGAAATAGCCTGCACTTCTAAGGGATGAATTATACATCATTAATGATTTATTGTTCTAAGGAATATATATTCAATTTAGCTAACAAAATTCCTTCTCATTATCGGTTTTACACTTAAGGAACCAGTTAGGCTCGCGTACAAGACAGTTGAGTATCAGGATCAAAATCAGACATTCCACGTCATAACACCTATCAAATACATGTTTATGTGCTCTACTCTGAGCGTCACTTGTTTACATATGACAAATGGATGACATGATTTGGATGTGTATACTGAGGTAGGAGAAGATAGATTCTAATCCATGACTTACTGGTTAGAAGATGAGCATTTCAAATAATGACACTAGAAGATAGCCACACATTACGTCATAATGTTCATGAAATTACAAAGTGAATTTAGACTGAATAACATAATAATAAAATGATATAATTTTATTTCATACTTTTTCCATGGTTTATGACATAAGAACTGTGAATACCTGAAAATGATAGATTTTAGTAGCATCACACTCACTGAACATGACTTTTCAGTAGCCAAGTTTATATGATTCCTATAGACATAATCAACTTCAAACTTCTTTTCTTCTGAAAATAGATTCACAATAGAAACAATATTAAAAAAAAAGATTCTTAAATGAAGATTAAAGAACTATCAATATTAATAGCTGTTTGTTATTTAACTAGGTACTTTGTTTAGGTAACTATTATTTTGTATGTCTCATTTTTGGTTGGTTAAATTTACGACCGATATTGATTTGAGAATACA